ATTATAGAGTCGCGAACACCGAACACGAACACTGTTTTGGTGATTGTTTTGTGTCTTTCGCTTTTTTGTGGGTTTCGTGGTGTTTTTTCGAGGAGCGAGCCAGCTAGCGAGAAGTCGACGACGAGGACGAAGCGAGGTATTATAGAGTCGCGAACACCGAACCCGAACACTGTTCTGGTGATTGTTTTTGTGTCTTTCGCTTTTTTGTGGGTTTTGAGGTATTTTTTCGAGGAGCGAGCCAGCTAGCGAGAAGTCGACGACGAGGACGAAGCGAGGTATTATAGAGTCGCGAACACCGAACCCGAACACTGTTTTGGTGATTGTTTTGTATCTTTGACTTTTTTGTGGGTTTGAGGTGTTTTTTCGAGGAGCGAGCGAGCTAGCGAGAAGTCGACGACGACCACGGCGACGCGGCGAGGTGTTGTCGATTGGCGAACGGCGAACGAGAAGCCGTTCACGAGAAGTGGGCGATGACGAAGCGAGGTATATAAAGTCGCGAATACCGGACACTGTTTTGGTGATCGTGCTTGTGTCTTTCGCTTTTGTGTGGGGTTTGAGGTGTTTTCGAGGCGCGAGCGAGCGAGCTAGCGAGCAGTCGACGACGACCACGGGGACAAGGCGAGGTGTCGTAGATTCGCGAGCGGCGAACGAGAAGCCGTTCGTGGGAAGTCGGCGACAACGACGATGCGAGGTATTGAAGCCGGTGCCAACGAATCGAAGTGTTGTGCGTTGAGTGGGAGCTATGTGGCCTCTCTCTTATCCTCCGGGCTATGTTGGCATCTCATCCCGTCCTTTCCTTCCATCTCCTCATCCATCTTGCACGTCCCGTTCGGACCATCTCGTCCACGACCAGCAATGCCAGGTAGCTCATCTAAATGTGGATAGGACATCAGCAAGGAGACCCCTACTAGGGCAGACCGCAGACTACTGAGTTCAAGGGCAGAGGTCACCGTACCCCTGGATAGGGCACCATCGCAGCAATGCTGCGTTGCTTTCACCTTCCTCACCTAAGCTCGCAGGCCGGGGTGTGGGATGTGCTATCAGAGGGGCGGCAAAGAAGGGGGTTGTGCAGTTTGGACATGATTTGGAGGCGGGAGGCAGGCTGATTGAGGCACCCTGTGAGAGGCGGAAAGTCAGCGTTGGGCAACACAATCTATCTGGCTGCAAAGGCTAAGTCCCCGCCGTGACTTAGCCTTTGCAGCCGTAACGAGCAAGGTGGCATGTGGGTGTGTTCGAGGCAAGGTTTCAGCTATCCAAGAGTCTTGAGTGAGCAAGGATGCGGCATAGACTTACTGTTGCTGCTGTTGATGTCACCGTGTCTGAATGCTGATGTCTTCAGGGTGCCTTCGATCATGCGCCTGCCTCCGCGTACATACTGTGTAGACCAAGGTAGTATCAGACTCTGCTCGGTCACCTCACTGCGCACAGCAAGTGTCACTTACCAATAGCATGGCCATAGGCCACCGTACCTGCCCCTGCCTTCCTTGCCATCACGCCTCTTTGGCACAGAGCCCTACTCCCCGTCTGTCCGCAAAGGCTTAGTCAGCTACTTCACAATGTTTAAAGTGACTTACCCAATCCCTGCTCGTCCTTGGACCTCCGTTCGACGAGTCCCGCTGCTGAGCCTCCACGATGAGCATCCCCAGCATGCCGGTGCTGTGTGACAGATGATGGCCTTGATGAACTTAGGGTAGACTTCGTGTGATGGAGTCGTCGGAGATGGATTGTGATTCTTGGACAGATTGTGAGTGCCTTTTGACCATTGCCAGGCGGAGAATCCACTGCTTGGACGCCTTGGCCAGCGAAGAGACTTCGAATGAATGTGATGATGACAGCAGAGATATTGGCATCGCAACGTCCCTCAAACGTTGCTAGCAAAGAGACTTCAAACGAAGGTGATGGTGGAATAATAAGATATCGGCGTACCAGCGTCTAAATTAGACGTGGCGATGAAGCCAAAGGCCAATGCTCATCCAGTGAGCATTGGCCAGTGCTGCCCACGAGCGGACGTTCTCCACGAGGGGGCGAATGATAGCGGAAACGAGAGGAGCGCTGATCTCCACACAGTGGGCAAAGTGGGCGCTCGCGCCAGAGATCGTCTTCTTCGCGATAGGGCCAAGGAAATCGCGAACGGCCAGAAGACGTGGCGCACTGATCTCCACGCAGTGGGCGAATTGAGCGCTTAGGCGAGAGATCGTCTTCTCCACCAGAGGTCCAAGGAAAGCGCGAACGGCCAGAAGACGTGGCGCACTGATCTCCACACAGTGAACGAAGTGGGCGCGCGTGTGGGAGATCGTCTTCTCCACGAGAGGGCGAAGGAAGCCACGAACGGCCAGAAGGTAGGGGGCCGTGTGCTGCGCAAGGCGAGTCAACGTGGCCTTTGCAGTCGAGCCCATGTCGTGGGCCAGAGACGAGAAGGTGACCGCTGGCGTGGGGCTTGGCGTCTTCCCAACAATGTCCAGCACTGCATTTTTTACCAGCTGTCCGAGGGTGGGCAATGGGGTCGGCCCGTTCCAGAACCTAACGAGGTATTCTGGAAGCTCGTCTAGCGCCTTGAGCCAGCTAGAGAACGTCGGCTCCTTCGCGTCGGCGTAAGCGCGGACCCCGCAGAGACCGACCACTGCCAAGAGGCAGACAACGGGCAAAATCCAGCCGCGCGTGGGCTTGCCGCTCGTGGAAGCTACCTCCAGAGCCGAGCAGCGAGAGTCCACGTCGGTCACAGCTTGACCGATTGCGCTGATACCGTCGTCGACGGCAGCGCGGACCGTGTCGACCTCGGCGACAGTGGCGAGCGGCGGGGTGTTCTCCATGACTCTGACACGCTCGTGAAGCGCAGCGTTCTCTCCACTCAGCGCGTCCAGACGAGCCACGACAGCGTGCAGAGTTGCCGAGTCCGTAGCGCGCTGTGCCTCGGTGGCTGCTTGCTCAGCTTCGAGCTCGGCGATGCGCTCACGGAGCGCAGGGACCTCTGCCGCAGTCTGCTCTGCGGTGTTTAGGCGATCTTGAAGAAGATTCACCTCCTCTGCTGTGGTGGTGGTAGCGGCGGCGATGGTGGCGGCGGTGGTGGCGTCGAGGCTGCTGACTCGCGTCTCCAGATCGCTCACGTCGAGGCGATGAAGTTTCAAAGCCTCTGCGACGGTGGAAGAGACGGCGTCCGTCATCTTCCCCTGCAAGCGGTCGAACTTGCGCTCGAGATCATTGTTTGCGCGCGTCTGTTTCTTCACCGTCTCGTTTAGGTTTACCACACGCTGCTGGAGGTTGGAGTGGTCCTCTTTGTGGCTGTTTGCCACGGCTTTGATGCCTTGCATCATGGCGGCCAGGTTTTGGGCCGACTCTTGTTGCACATTGCGCAAAGTGAGTTGATCCGCGTTGGGGTCAGCCGAGGCAACCGAAATGTCGCAGATCGAGATGTCGGAAACCGCCCCGACGGACGTCATCGACGTGGGACCCTGCTTGATCGATAGTGAAGAAGTGGTAAGTGATGAGCGGTGCGGTGGTGGAGGTACGTCAAGTACGTCAGAAGAGAGGGACAGTGAGAAAAGAATGCATGGTGTGCAATGAAGGGAGTGAGAATCGCGAAAGCGAATGAAGAAGTGGCAGGAGGAGTATGATGGCAAGAAGCGAGGGGCAAAACAAGGACAGACAGATAGCGAGTGAGAACGTTGCATCGCGAGGAGAACAGACACACCATTGCTCACCTCGAGTGCGCCACGAGAGAGCTGGCGAACTTTGCCTTTCCACGGCGTGGAAGCGGCATCGGCGTCGCCGGCTTTCTTGACGAAAGAAAACGATTCCTCGTTGGAGGAATCGAACGAATCGGTGGCAGAGCTACCGGTGGAGAGAGACTACAAGCAAGGAATCGCTTGATTTCAGGATACAGTCGTGCCACCAGCAAAGTCAGCAGATCGTTCACTCACCACTTCAACACTCTTGTTGACATCTGGGCAGCGATCCTACGGGGAGAGAGAGGGTAAAAGAAACAGTGATGTGAGCAAGTGATGATTGCGAAAGCCCCAGTCTCCTACTTCTATGATAATTACCTCTTCGGCTTGTGCAGCCGAGAAGTGGCGCTCCGCGTTGGCGGTTACTTCAGACATCTTGCTGAGAGCGTCGACGGAGGTGGGAGGTGTGCGGGTTGCGATAACGAAGGGCTGTAAAGCTGTGCGTGATCGCGAAGGTTGGAAGTTTGTTGGGGGGGACACAAAAAGCTTCTAACCATGGAGGAGCGAAGGGAGGAGGGGGAAATCAGTGGGTGACCTATTTGACTCACAGATTCACAAGGCACCGAATGCGTGGTGTCCACGCTTGAGACTCAGGGGCAGACTGGTAGGCAGCGATGCCGCGAGACCGTTGACGTTTGACGCTGTCGGAAAGCAAGATGCAGTCAAGTGTCGAAGCCGTTGAGCTTGGAATGCTGCGCGTCCCAAGAACCACCAGCGCTCACTGGATCATGCTGAAGACGCGCCAAGTAGATCATTGCCGCAGGGTCACCTCTTCAATTTTGTCGATCAACCGAAGGTGCGTCTCGTATCTCGTTGACATTGACAGGTCGTAACATCGACAGGTCGTCGAGTCGACAAGCTCAAGCTTGAAGGGTGAGTAGGGCACCGCGAGCGAGCTAGTGTGTGAGAGTAGCGATGTCGCAAGCCGCAGTCTGCAGGCGCAACGGGTCGCCCGCAGTGCAGTGCAGCGCAGGCAGATTCAGACTCCGACATGTCTGACATGACTTGGCGAGAGCTGAGGGTCAACAAAGGCATTGCTAAAGGTGAAGCGCACGCTGGATCGATCAGTCTGGTGAGCGGTGAACAGAATGGGCGACGTTGAAGCGATCACTGAGGGAAGTTGGCGCTGCAGAATGTCGCTGACGACGTTCACTGAAGGTGAAGGATCGCTCAGCACGCTGAGCATCGTAGAGTGAGTTGTCACACAGGACGGAAAGGTGCTACCGATTGACGATGAGCTGGACGTCAAGGTCAATGGGTCGAGTGTAACGAGACAAGACGAGTCGTGAGTGTGAGTCGATCGATTTATTCTCGAGTCTGCTTTGGCGAAAATTTTCGGCAAGCAAATCGTGAATCAAAAGTGCGTTGAGCATCAGCGGCACGAAATCAAGTGCGGCGCACGGGCGCAGTCACTCGTGACTTGCCGCGCCCCGCCGTCACGCCACCGCGTGCGTGATGCTACGCTTCATGGCTGGCATGTCAGAGCGAAGGCTTTCGCATCTCAAATTGCTGGTCGTCGTCAGCAGCTAGTCGTCCGCTCAGTCAATGGTGACAGTCATTCCGATGTGCACTTCGAATCATTCACGATCATCACAAGTTTGATCACACAGCAATGGTCAAGGCCCGAACAGGAAGCTAAAGTCTCGTCTGCTTGTCGACTTTGAACCAAGTCCAAAAGAGGACCTGTTCCAAAAAGGTCATAACGTACGCCACGTCAGCTGCCACACATTTCCACAGGGTTGACAATCGTTCCATTGAGTTTCGAAGGAGAACAGAATCACACTCGTGACTCGCTCATGGACGCTGATTAAGGATCAAAGAGGTCATGTCAGTTATTCGTGATCGCCAGACGATGACGATCGCTTCGTCCGATGTAATTCGACGATGGAGTGGTACTACTTACCTGAAACGTTGCGTAGGACTTCACACCGCGCAGCTTGTTGCTGGGAATGGGCAGGCGCGAGGGGCTCGTGGTGGGCGAATCCTTCAGCGAAGCAGGTGTTCCATCAGGCGAAGCAGAAGACTCGGGCTGTGCAGCGGGCATGCCCGACGGCTTGTAAGGAGGGATTGGGCGAGGCTGTGTTGGAAATGTGGAGCGAGCAAGTCAGGGTCAGCCACGACAAAGGTAACATCAACGGCGCCGGCAGCAATGGGAAAGCGAACAAGTGATGGTGAATGCCGAGGGAGACGACATCGATTCGTTTCAAGAGAGAGGGGGCGACCTCTTTGCGGACAACGACAGCCACAAAATCAGAGCAGCCACTTCTCGAGCAATACTCACAACCTTTGAAGGTGTCGCGGGAGATGTCTTTTTGGCCTGGTGCAGAGCCCAAATTTGCTGGGCAAGCAGGGTTGACTGTTGCGGGGAAGCCCCAAAAAACGGCTCCATGGCCGTCAGGCCGAGGCTGGCCATTCTTGCTCGAGCGACTTGCACGTCGCTGTCCGTGAATACTTCGGGACTCGCCCACTCATTAGAGAGGTCAGATGGAAGCTCTTGCGCAGGGGTTGGGATTTGCGACATTTTGGAGAATGAGAGGATGGGGCGGGGAGCGATTTGGGATGAGTGGGGGAAAGGAAGAATCGATGGGTGCGCTTGTGACTTAAGTAATCACGAATGCTCCATGAAAGGAATACACTCATCAAGACTGAGCGAGTCGGAATGCAAGCTACCAAGAGGGTACATGCGGCATGACTCTGACTCACGACTACTCGCAAGCGGGACTCGTGACTTGCTCCTCAACAGCGCGTGATGTCACAGAGGCGAAGTGCGGCAGCTCAGTGCGATCGGTCCTGCACTGTGACTCTTCTGACTCTTGACTATTGTAGGGCAGCTCGCCAGTCAAAAGTCAAGAGTACAGAGGGATGTCAGTCAAAAGTGGTGAGTCGTGAGCGTGAGTCACGAGTGTTTGGGTCAAATGTGAATGGCGTCATCGTCATCGAAGCATTCCCCTTGCATATAACGGCTTCAAGTCAGACGCGATCGAGCCTTCACTCAGATCGTGTCCCTCGACAGCTTTGGCTATGCCGCGACCTTCTTCCTCTACCTTCACTGTGCAAGGATCTTGAATACGAATGTGAATGGAGTCACGAACACAAGATGCTGTTACCAAGAAGTGTGCAACTCATGGACCACACGTGATGAGTACGTGCTGCTGGAGGTGGCGTGCGCTGTAGACAACACGTAGCTGACCGAAAACGCGAGCGGCTCACAGCCGCGAGTCAAAAGTTGATGAGTCGCACGGCCCCGGCACGGAAATGAGTGCTCGTGTCATTCAAAATTGTCAGAGCGTGAATATGCTGCACACGCAAAGTCATCTCAAAAGTCATCGTTGCGGAGCTGCAAGAAGGGCAGCGGACCTCTCTTCAGCACCCGCCACGTTCGTTGGTACTGATCACTCGCTTGAAGCATCAAGCTTCCAGATTCCTCACCTTTTGTTCAACAAGCATGCTCGACTCTGTACTTCACACGCACGCACGCACGCGCGTCAACGGTCGTCGCGCATCATGCGGCAAAGCCGTTAGAAATGCGAGGTGGGCCTCTGTTTCCAGTTCTTGGGACTGACCAACAAAAAGCAAGGCACTTTGGCAGTGAAGTGAGGCTCAACAACGATGTGCACTCAAGCTCGATGGGGGCCTGAAGGGTGTCCGCATTCCAGTGAAGCAGTTGTACGTGCTTTGCCCGTGGATCGAGCTAGGTACAGCAGCACTTGGACTCAAGCCCCGCCCCTGACCAATCAGTCCCGATGATGTGGGTGAGCATGCTTCACAAAACGCCTGTCCAGCGAGGCTCACCCTCTCTCCTCGCTTCTCCATCGTTCGAAACGCTTTTGCTCAGAAAAGAATTTCGACACTTTCGCTGAACAGCATCCCAAAGCTCTCAGCACCCCTCCCAAAGCTCACGTACCCCAACCCAACTGAACCTTCGTTCAACATGTCTCTTCGTCGTCGTAACTCGTTCCCCAATCTGGGAGCTCAATACCGCGAGATGGAGAATTTCCGTGGTCAAGTCGAGTCGCTCCGCCGCACAGTGGACGACTTCAAAGTCGAGTTTTACGGTGAAGTCACCTCGCTCAATCGCAAAGTGAGCGAGGAGAGCATTGCCAGATCGGAAGGAGCAACGCAGGCCAACAAAGGTTTGCTACAGCTCAAAGGGGACTTCATCGTCCACAAAAGCACGGTCAGCAATGACCGAATCTCTCTTGAGGACCGCATTCAGGTTCTCGAGTCTGAGAAAAAGGACTTGATGACCCAGAATCAGGTCAAGAAGTTGATCGAGACCGCCTTGGCTCAGTACAAGGCTGACACTCAGACCGCCTTGGCTCAGCACAAGGCTGACGCTCAAATCAAGCGTCAAGAGCTGGAGGAGAAGGTAGAGGCGCTGGCATTGGAGAACGAGCGCCTGAAGCTCATTGCCAGTTGGAGCAAGTATTTCTTGCTTGCTGTCGTAGCAGTGGCACTCGTCGTCACTCTGTGGCACTTCGCTGGAGACGGGTTCACCGAGTGGACCCGTCATCCAAACGAGGTTCCAGAATGGCTGGTCGATTATCTTGAGCTCCGACCAACTGTCACCATGGAAATTCATCATCCTCTCCATTGGCTAGACAAAGTCAAGCTCAGCGCCTCAAACTTGATCAAGAATCCCTTCTCTCCGCCACCTCTGCCACTCCCTCCGACGCCCATGCCCATCAAGTTCACGGACGTCCTAGGTGACCTTTGGGGCAGATTCTGGCATGCAGTGCTCACCGCCTGCGGGTCTGCACACGAAGCAAGTATCACGATGAGAGCGAATATGAGGGTATTCGTGATCAAGAGAGATGCATGGAAACTTGGTTTTTACATGGATGCGCATGCGCGTGCGCGCACGCATGTGACAGCAAGTGCGGTCGCTGAAGTTGCCGAAGTGGCCGAAGCTGCCAAAGTTTCTGCTGATTGGATCAGTGCGGTGGCACTTCATGTGCCAATGATCTTTGCTTGATTTGCTTGAGTGAGTCGCAAGTGTACGACGACCGAGTTAACCTCCCACTGACTTAATGTGAATGTGATTTGCAGGTCGCAACAGCGATACCAGGGTTTCGCAAGGGGCAGTATGACAACAGACAGCGATACAAGGGGCTCACTTGCAAGGGGCCAACATGCTTCGCGTCACTTTGAAAGCACCTCGTGTTCACTTGGTAGGCCAGGTGGTTTGCTTGGTTGCTGAAGCACGCTCTTGGAAGGTTGTCTGTTGCCGTCAGAAGACACCGAATAAGCCAGCAACGCTGGCCTCATCGGTGTTCGCACTCACCCATAGAGGAGTAGGGACACAACAGGAGTGGAGGGAATCGCTGGTCCAAAACAAACCGGAAAGATGGACTCCAAAGGTCCCGGGTGACTCACGACATTACGGAAAGGAAAGGAAAGCAGCAGAGCGGAGCAGACTTGGACTCATGGCGCGCGCAACTAGCGCGCCTTCAAATGTGACGGTGAGTGACCAAGGTCCGAAACGCTCGATCGAATGTCTACTGAACACAGAGCGTTTCTCCTTCGGGAGCTGCAGGATTTAATCCTGCAGCTCCCTTCTGCTCCCTCTGCTCCCTCTGCTCTTATCTTGCTGTTCGTCGTTTGAGCCCCGTCTTTCTCTCTGTTTGATTGGAACTTCGGTCGCCCGTCGAAGCTCCTGGTCCCAGACCTCTATGGGTGAGTGCGAACACTGATGAGGCCAGCGTTGCTGGCTTATTCGGTGTCGACTGACCGTGCAACGGATGGCTGGAAGAGTGACGTGCTGACGCGCAAGATCAAGTAGCTTTCCTGGCTGACCAAGTAGCGGGGACCCTGTGACGCGAGCATCCCAAGAGCACCTTAACTTCGTAGTCCAAATTATTCTGCCCCTTACGCTCCCAGTGCACAGTCCTGCCTACTGGACGCTATCACTCCCGCCATCACTTATGACTTCACTCGCACTAGCGATGCGGCCGCAAAGTGCACAGCGACAGCGACATGCAATCCCAATGCAGATTCAAATCAGGCAATTTCCTCAACGGCCGCCCAAGGTCCCTCTGCGCCTCCAACAATCACAAGGTGGTTCTCAACAGCCAATTGCTGTCCAAGTGCACACGCGCAGGACCGCCGAAGAAGCGCATCCTCGCATGCTATGAGTCGCCATGACTCTTCCCACGACTCCAGCCGCTCCAGCTCATGGAAGTTCAGGATCGTTCTCTCAAGCGGCCCCAACAATCACGATGTGGTTCCCAAACCGAACAGCCAATTGCTGTCCAAGTGCACACGCGCAGGACCGCCAAAGAAGCGCATCACCGCATGCTATGAGTCGCAGTCGCCATGACTCTTCTCACGGCTCCAGCCAATTGCTGTCCAAGTGCACACACGCAGGACCGCCAAGAAGCGCATCACCGCATGCTATGAGTCGCAGTCGCCATGACTCTTCTCACGGCTCCAGCCGCTCCGTCTCATGAAGGTCCAAGTTTGTTCTCTCAAGATTCGATAATGATCGCGACTCCAAGCCCATTCTCCCTTGACTCGATAAGAACCTCGCTGCGCTCCCGATGAAGTTTCATGTTCCAAAGGCCGTATTTCCCAGATTCGATAATAGGCTTGTCTCTGATCCGTTTCCGAAATAAAATACATTCAAAATCACTTCTTTTCAGAAGCCGAGTCTGAATGGGTGTGATGGTGCCCATCGGCAATGGCCGCTATGGTTAGTGACATGAATGGAGATAGACTCGGAGGCTGCATGCGTTGCAGCGCGTACTCCGACCGATCCCTGCATCCATGACGCTTGCTTGTGCGTACAACGCGTGTGGTGCTGTTCTGACGGCTACGAGGCTACTACCACCATCCTCCTCGCGGCGCGCGCCCCGACGAAGCCCCTCATCAGTCTTGTCGCGAACGCGAGTGCCACGCGCCTCCATAATCCATCCTGCTGCGCTTTGCAGCCCTCACGTCTGCCAACGCGAGCGCCTCAGCCTCACCACCGCCTACTGCGAGACATGGCGGCCTTGGATCCTTGGGCAGATTCAGCGCCTTTTCCCTCCGCATCTGACCTCACAGTCCCAGCTTCCGGCTCAACGGCTTCTGCGATATTGCCGCAAGCACGCCATCCTCCAACTGATGTGCCAACCCAGGGAGGTAGACTGTTCGATGAAGCTTTAGATGTAGGAGCAGGCTGGGGTCATGATGACGTGCCAGAGACTGAAGCGTCCGGGCCGTCACAAGGTGCGTCCAGCCCTGCGCAGCACATACCATCTGGACATGTGTCATCTCGACCAGAAGACAGCTCTGCTGCACACAGCGCAGCGATCGTCAAAGGAGTCGAGGAAGACTCTCTCTCTGATGACTTTAGAGATGCTCAGGACAGCCCAGCCCCCTCCGACGCGCATCTTCATCACTCCTTTGCGAAGGCAACACCCAATCTGCCCACCTCGCTCCCTCATCAGCAGTCATCAGGCAGCACGACCGATGTTCAGCCCTCGACTACCAACTTCGAAGATGACTTCGGCGACTTTGACGACGCGCCATCCATGAGATCGGATGGACACGCTAGCGATGACGCCTTTGGGGACTTTGACGAGGGGGCAGTCGCAAGCGGTGGGGGGTTAGCAACAACAGGCCAAGCTGTGCTATCTAGCTCTGCAGCGTCACAGGCATCTCTCGTAAGTCAAACTGCAGTGTGTATGAGGGTGGATAGCATTCAGGGGCTTGGGGTTTAGCCACGCGATGAATGCCTTCGTCCGGGAATTGAGGTAGCTTTTTTCGCGCACCATCACTTTGACTAAGGTTCATGTCATCGTTAGTGGCCGACGACGCTGATTCCGGTACCCTGTATGCTTCTCGCATTTCTCAGCGCTCCTCACTACACGTCACACTGCAAAGCACGGCATCTGATCTGGCGGAGCAAATCCGAGATATACTATCTCCGCCTACCCATGACACGCACGCGCAGCATCCATTCTATGAAGGCGCAGCGTCACAGCTAGGCAGGGAGATGGTGAAAGAGGGGCAGAGAGTGAGGTCCGGCTTCAGGTGAGTCCGAATCTAGAAGAATAGCAGGCGGGAGAGGCCCTGGAAAGCCTCTAGGATGGAGCTTTGAAGCAACGTCGCTAAAGCATCTCACCCCCTCCTTCCCGCAAACGATGCACAACAGCGACAAGATGTGGTCGCAGCTGACAGTGCAGCCTGTGCTGCAGCCGATGAACTATCAGCGATCACACATTCGAAGGGCGCATCTGATCTCGCTGGGGATTCCTGTCAATCTTGAAGAGTTCGCCGCGCCTCTCGCGAGGAGCAGAGCGCTCCCACCTCTTGCGCTGTCGTTGAAGAATGCCACGGACGCAGCATACAACGGGCCATCTAGCGCGCCAGCACACTCGGGCTCTACAAGCAACCTGGGCCAGGGCGCATCTTCGCGAATGCTGCAAGGTGAAGCTGCGACGCCTCGTACCGCCAGTCCTGCTCCAGCCGCGCAGAAGGAGAAGTTGGCGGAGAAGAGGCGGGAAGAGCTTGGTCTCCGCATGCCTGCTCTTCTCGATTCAGCGCGTGGCGAGGAGCTTATCAAGATCACAGAAGGTGAGTGCAGGGCACCCCATCAAGGTGGTGGCCGAAGCCCGGGCCAGAGGGTGCAACTTTGCCAATCATGTACGCTGACTTGCTGCATTTCGGGCTTCTCGAAAGATCAACTCTCGCTGCAGTCCCTTCCCTATCTCCAATCTTTGACGTCCGAGCTCTCAGCTTTGACGGAGCTGGCTTCACAACACCTTACCTACCATCTCACGCTTCGCGAATCGCACGCGGCGGACGCAGAGATGTACAACGGACTCATTCGAGACTTGGTGGCCGGCGCAGCATCCAGGATAGCGAGCTCAGGCGGTGGAGCCGCAGGCAGCAGGGGCGACAAAAGGCACACGAGCATTGGGCTGGGAGGCGGAGCGGGAATACCTAGTAGGGTCAGAGGGGCAAGTGGCATTTCGAGTGGAAGGAATAGCCCCGCACCAGACGCAACCTTCAGGAGGTAGAGACCACAGTGGAATACATGAGAGTTCGTCCGCACTAGTCGTCAAGCGAGTCGTGAGTAGTGAATTTCATCAGCCAAGCTGTAAGAGGCAGCTGCATGGGGGCCACGAAGACAGCACGGATATGTTCTGTGAATCATGCACGCTTTTCAAGGGATGGGAGGCGGATGGAGCACGACCAGGACTCGCCGAGGTACGAGGCGCTGCAAGAAGGCACGGATCAATTGCGGCGTCTGCGATGATGCGGAAGTCTGATACAGGGAGCGAATGCTGTGGAGAGACGAGGAGAGGAATGAATGCGAGCTGCCGCGTCTTGAGGGCACCATGCGAGCGGCTCAGAATTGTACGATGGTCCGCGCTGGCCAGCCAATCGCCTTGAGGTGATCGACGACAGCGGCTTCCATTGGCGGAGGTCCGCAGAGAAGAACAAGAGTGTCGTCCAGCTTGTCTGCGCTGATGTCTGCAGGTGGTGGTGGAAAGAGGTGCTGCTCGAGTAGCTCCTTCGTCAATCTACCCTTGCCCATCTTCCATTCCGGCGAGACGTTGGGGTCGCTGAGCACATGCCAGAGTCTGACATTGGTTCTACCGCTGGCTGCAAGAGCTTCGTCCAGATGTACTCTGGCTAGGATGTCCGCTTCCGTGCGATTCGCATCAAGGATGGCTATCTCAACGTGCGCAGCATCGGGGTCGCTGAGCAAGGCCTTGAGCGTGCTCCAGATGGGTGTAATGCCACTGCCTCCGGCAATCATGGCCACACGCTTCAGATGATGGTGCTCGTGACCATGCAGCTGAATAACGCCGCCGGGTTGATACTTCAGATGACCTAGCGGACCTTTCATCTCTATGGTATCTTCTCCCGGGATCATCTGTTCTAGCAGTGTGGTGAAGCGGCCCCCTGGAGTCTTGCCATCCGCAGATGGTTTGTACGTCTTGATCAAAATCTGCAGTGAGCCTTGAAGATCATCGCTAGAGAAAGGTGTGTATGCGCGCTGCACCAATTCTCCCTCGGCGGCGCTGCCTCGGACGATTTGTCCATCCTTGTCCCGCAGACGCAGGTATACATGCTGGCCGGTCGGCAAGCCGACGCGCTGATCAGGTCGATCCATGGCAAAGTGGTAGATCGCAGAGTCGTGAGAGATGACGTCCTTCTCCACAAGCACAGACTTTTTCCACTGCTTGGCGTTCAGGAATGGCGCCGTTGGATCGTCTTCTATCGGTCCTTCAGTCTTGACCAAGCCACCAGCCTCGATTCTTCCGATGTGGTAGTCGCGCATTTGTTTCTTCGCGTCCATCGAATGTATGGCCATGAAGTCTTCGGTAGCATCTTCGCCGGCTACGAGCGTGATGCTCTCTGAACCACCAGGATGCTTCTCGAGGAAAGCTGTGCCGTCGTAGACGTGATCGCCCACGACGAACCAGGGCGAAGTCTCGTTTGCGTGCTCGGCAACTTGAGCTTTGGTCACCACGGTCGTTCGCTTATCGACATGCGTCATGACCTCTTCAATGTCAATCTTGGCCGGCACGACCTTTTGAGTTGATGCTTCGTTGGACTGCGCGGCGTCAGCTCCGAATTGCGGATAACGAGGGTTGGCTCCTTCATCGTTCATCCTCTGCATCCATCCGCCGGGGGCGTTGCCTGCTAGGGTTGGATGCTCGAAACGAAGCTGTTGCTGGTCATCATCCCGATGAATGGCGACTCTGAACCACCAGTTGTTCATCATCGAGGTAGCATTCCAGTACATATCTCGAGGCATAGCGGCCAAGCCTTCGTCGGTGGCGCGAATTGAGATGACGGAAGACTCCTTGAGCCTTGCGGTGTCAACGTCTAATTCCCAGAAGCACCAGGCAAAGCTCATCTCTGTTTCGGTGAGGTCCAGCGTGCCAAAGAATGGGTGGTTGCGAATGGGAGCGATGCGGTATTTGTCTTCTGGCATGTCGATCTGCGAAAGCTCCCAAGATTTGCCGTCATCCAAAGAGACCTCGACACGATGAATCCTCTTGCCGCCGCCTGTGTAAGCATATCCGCAGATGCGGTAAGAAGATGGTCCAGCATGACTGATATCAAGTGTGGAGTTGTGATCAGGAGTCAGAGCTGCAGCGTTGACGTTCAAGTCGTTGATGATATACTTGGGATCCTTCCACCAGTGTTCTTCACTTCTAGCCTGATCTGCGGTGACCTGCGTCGGCAACACTTTGTTATCCCAGAAGTGTAGATAATGCTGTGACTCTTCATCCGAAATCTCAATGCGATTGAGCCATTTCACCATCCTTCCACCAATCTGTCCCGGCACGATCAAGCGCAGCGGAAAGCCGTGGTCGGGACTCAAAGGTTCACCATTCATGCCCCAGGCGATGAGCATACCTTTGCTTCTATCTTTGGCCCAAGTGAGTCGCTGCGAAGTACCATATTTACCCTTCGGCAGCTCGTCGATGCCTTCAAATATGACGTGTCGAGCTCGGCCTGGCATTTTGCGGTCATAGGGAAAGGCACCAGCGGGTCGAATGGGTTTGCAGTAGTCCAAGAGGTCCGCGAGGTAGACGCCAGTGAAGAGGCCTGTAGACACGCCTGCTGCTCCCCAATTGAAGCCTGGTCAAGTCATATCATGCCAAATGTGCGGTCAGTTGATTGGCTGTGGGGCAGCGAAAATCTGGTAGCCAGCATGGAGGCAGTACTTACCAAGACCCTTGGTAACCATGTTTTGTTCCTTGCGCCTGTTGCCGGCGCAGACCAGGGTGACAGGTAGCGTAACGGTCTCGAACTTTTGCTTGAGCTCTTCGATGGTAAAGTTGATCTCCTTCTCCACTAGACCATGTATGCGCAGCTTCCAGTCCTTGGCATCACCTTCAGATACGTAAGGGACAGCACCGTGACTGCGAACGTAGAACAGAGATTGAGGAGTAAGAAATCCAGTCTTGAGAATGTCGATAAGCGGTGGCTCGACATTGAGAGGATGTTTTCCTGTGAGCCGGATAAGGCGTTCGTCGCGAGCAACCCAAGCATCCGGTGTCCCATTGTCGATAGACAGCGGCTTGACGTCGCCAGTCTTTGGCACGGGTGGCAGGTGCTCGCCATACACGCTTTCGCTATCAAGCTCCGATTCAAGGGAAGATGGGCTAGCTGTATTCTCCCGTATGAGCTCGGTACCCTTGAGGGCGTCGATGGAGCCAGCGTTGGAGGAACCAGGAGTGGTAACAGGCGTCGTAGCACCTGTGCTGATGCCAGAAACAGATCTCAGCTCCGAGTCCGAGCCTGAGCTGGCTGAGTCGGACCTTAGCTCCTTGTCAGAGCCCGTCGACGAGCGAGGAGATGATGACAGCGACATGGTCGGCAAATAGGCAAGGTCGACTCGGATTGCGGGGCGTGCAAAGTCGAGGCAGCTTACGGAGAAGCAGCAGCCAGAGGCACAACTGATCGGTTGAAAGGCGAAGCCCAGCTAGCTGAGAGGGCAGAACCTTCTTATGTACGAGCTCGTAGCACAACGCGAGCAAGAAACGTAGCGATGGCTCGAGAACGCGGCACAGATGATGTTCAGTCAGAGACTTGCGTTGCGGTCGCGCCTACAGATTTGAGCTGCGAAGGCAAGAGGAGTGATGCAGCACTTGCAGCACTTTTCTATGTTGACCATGGACCGCTCGGTAGGAGCGGATTTTGAGGGTTGCTGCGAGATGCCGAGAGGTGGTTGTTGGCCTTTACCGAGGTGAGCAGCGAGTTGGCAAGGAGTCGGCGAGCCATACATGTGCTTCGGCTGGCCATTGGGGTAAGAGTCGTGAGTATGCGTTCGCAATTGCCCTTTTTTCAGTAGTGCCGTATCATCTCCAACCAATCACCTGCTGGCGTGAGCTTTCGCTTGAGCGCCTGATGCTTACTGCATCATGAGTCCCCAGTTGACTGCGAGCCAGAGGAGGCCTCAAGCCTCGGTAGGTGCACAACCTAAAAGAATGACCTCCTACATCGGCCCTGCGGCCGGACGCCACTCAGGTTTTGCCTCATTGGGTGCTTTTGCCATCGAGCGACTTGCGCTGGGAGATTGCGGTGATGAGATCAAGCCGGTGGCGAGAGTTCTGTTCGCGGCCCTGCGCAATGGTGATAACGAAGTTCGCCTTCTCAAAGCTGGCTCTTTGCCCGGATGCCTCTGCAGGTAAGGCGCTGCATCCGAGCCTGCATGCAGTGGTGTCAAGGCGAGGAGTGCGTGAATGCCGCCGCGGTGGCTCTTACAATACAGCAGTGAGTAAATGCACGCCATGCAGAATCCATATGCAGACTCTGCCGCCGGCTTAGACTCCTCGCATAGACCAGCACTTCAACGGTGTCAAAGGGTGAGTTCGCTCCGCGAGTCCAAGATAAGAAGCTCAGGCCATCCGATGCTACAGCGCAGCGCGCTCACCTTCGACTGTGCGAGCAAACTCATCAGTCTTTCGGGCTTGATTCACCAGGCTTGGCCAACGCAGGCACAGGCTTGGCAAAAAGTGCGAAGATAGCCCTAGGGCTCGCACGATCGATCTCCTTGTCCTTTCGTGATTGCATTGTCGAGCAGCTGCCGGAAACGTCCTTCGTCATCGACGCTCGAGTCGCTCGTGACCCACCATTGCCCTAGAAGCAGACGTCAAAGTCCGGAGAGCCACGAAACGTCCTTGCCGATTCGCGGCACACGTGTGCATATATGGGGCATTATGCTGCTATATGGGACTACTGTATTCAGTTGAGCACGCAAGGCGGGGTAACCAGCAGCCTCGGAACGCGTGTTTCATGACTTTGCATGGCATGAACATACATGCTGGAGCAAACCTTCTTGCTTGCTCGTCCATGGCCCCTTCGAAAAGCCTCCGGTCAATGAAAGAGTCGCAAAGCAAGCGCGCTCACAAGTCGTGATCGACGATCAGTGGCGGTCGACCGATTTGAGCTGCTTCAACTTCCTCCTCGACTCACATTGAGAGCAAGGGCCGCGCGGTGGTGCGCAGACAGTCGTCTCGGACAGCAGCAAGGACGCGGCTTGCTCCTACCTTGAGAAGTAGAGAGTGGCCTGCAACTGCTCCCTTAATTACTTCGGTCGCAGTCCAAAAATCGCATAAGATTCAGCGAGGTTTGTCCGGGCAATGCTAGGCCCCCGCGGGGAAACGTATACGAAGTAGGAACTGTACATTCATGATTCGATTCACATTCGTGCGGTGATTTTGGTCTTGCCGAAATGAATCGGCCGGCAACATGCCTCGCTAGCTTGACCAGCCGCATCAAGGATCGTGACGCGCGCCTGCCGAAGGACGATGATTCAGATCGACCCTCGCGATCCTGATTCAATTTGCGCGGGATCCATCGCCGACTCTGATCGCTTGACTATTCGCTGCCGTGCACCCTGTTCATCTCTGGCGTGGTTAAGTGCACCGAGCAGCATACAGCTCACGACTGACAAGCCGAGACAAATTAGCTGCATGGGGATAATTTGTGAGGCCCTCCCTCCTTTTCGTATAGGTGTTCTTGATTCTCGACGCTCTTTGCGCCGCACGTATTCGGCCAACACCAATTCACAATTGAAGCGCCCCGGCCCTTAGCGTCGAGATTCATCTCGAACAAAGTGTGTCGCAATGAGCGTCAAGGAGCACTCGTGAATCGGGACCCAGGCGGCGTGCGGTCGGGTCACCCTATTTTTGATCTGATCTGGCTCACCTTGACATCCCAAACCGGAGAGGAGCCTGCTACACCTACCTACGCGCCCACGTAGGCATCGTACACCGGTCTAGTATGTAAGGGAAGAGTCGTGAGTCGAACTTCGCGTGCTCCCTTGTGACTGAAAAGTCAAGACTCTTCATTATTATTATTAATATTCTTCTTCTTCTCTGCATTGTGTAGCATCGCGTGTGTTCATGTTTTGAGCGAGCATGCATTCAAAATTCAAGATTCGTGACGCTTTTCCACCTTGACTTTTATTCAAATTTCGAGCTCAAATTCGAGCCTTCCGGACTTGACGATAGCCTTGCTACAAACCAGCAATCGGGATTAACGTGAACATCCAAAGATTGTGGTGTATATGCAAATATGCAAGACCGAGATTCTTGATTCGATTTCAATTCAACAACCTAGACTTCTACACGGGGCCAGGTCACGCGTTGCACCATTCACGTGATTGCAGAGCGCGCAGATGCTAGGCCAGTCAAAAGTGCGTGCATGAGGCTCATGCGGCGAGGCTTTGCGTCTTGGCACATGCGTGCGCCTGCTGCAGCTATCTCTTCTGCTGCATGCTGGATAAGTACGAGCGAAAGATAAGCAAGTTCGAGGCTTTGCCTCCCAGCATCAGCCTCTCAGCATCAGCCCTCATACCTCCGCTCGATCTCTACAGACACCCCGCCTCAAAGCCCTTCTAGAGCTGCTGCTTGTCGGCGAGCCAATGACAGACTCGGCTACAGCAGCGCCTTAGATAACAGACACATACCTGCAAACGCCATGCAGTCCAGATACTTCGTCTCAGGCTCGCGCAGTAAGCCGACAGAGGCTATTGCCGAGTTGGCTGAAGATACCCGCCAGGTGCGCTTATCGGAGGCCTACTACTGGGCATTCGACGTCGTGTGATTGGTCACGACACTTTCGAAGCCATGACCTCGCAGTCACAAGAGGCTCGCGCTAGTTGGACATTGATCAAATCGCAGCTCACAGCACTCCAACGGGGATGATCAAAACCACAACCCTTAGTCATCCCCGACGTCTTCCATCCTTCAACCACTCAGCTCTGTCCGCCTCAAATCCGACGCCCATCAAGTGCTCAGCGCTTGGATCGATCTTCACAAGATGGTGCCCGTACCCACAGGCGTACACTATGACGACAATGTCGCAGCAGCACCATCGAGCACTGACAAGAAGTATCCCAAGCGATGCGTCGTCGTCGGTCTCGGTATGGTTGGCATTGCCTTCTGCGAAAAGCTTCTGAAGATGGACATTGACGGCGGAAGAGATGAGTGGGAGGTGGTCGTGTGAGTCTTCCTGCTGACTGCTCGCTTCTTCTCAATTGCGAGCCTCAGCTGCTCACACCATGACTCATCCTTGCATTTGTGCACACAGCGTTGGCGAGGAGCCGCACATTGCCTACAACAGAGTCGGTTTGACACAGTACTTCACTTCGAGAGATCCGGAGGCCCTGTACTTGAATCCTCTCAGCTGGTACACAAGCCACGCGCCTGGCAAACTGCAGTATCACACAGCGGATCCGGTCACTTCCATCTCACATGAAGCCAAGGAAGTGCGAACATCGAAAGGCCTCACGCTCAAGTACGATGTATGCGTGCTAGCCACTGGCTCAGACGCCGCTTTGCCACCATATGTCTCCCAACAGAGGTTCCATGCTACTGCTGGCACTTTCGTCTATCGCAATCTTGCAGACTTGGACGCCATGATCGCCTACTCCGAGGAACACAAAGTCAAGCGTGCTGCAGTCATTGGCGGCGGCCTTCTCGGTCTCGAAGCCGCCAAAGCTCTCTTCGATCTGGAGACAGTGGAACAGGCGGTTATCATCGAGCGAAATCAGTGGGTACTCTCACGTCAGCTCGATGGTGAAGGTGGCCGAATGGTCCTAGACAAAGTCCGAGCGCTTGGCGTCGAAGTTGTCACTCAAGCACGAGTCAGAGATCTGATCGTAGGGTCACAGCAGGAAGACGACGAAGGCAAAGAAAGGATTAAAGGCTTGTTGCTGGAAGGCAAGGGTGAAGACGGAGCTGATGCGCCGTACGAGCTCGACATGCTGGTCTTCGCTGTTGGCATCAAAGCAAGAGATAATCTTGCCACCCAGTCTAATCTCAAGGTAGCGCCTCGAGGCGGCTTCGACATATCAGATCGTCTTGAGACCAGCGCCAAGGACGTCTACGCGATCGGCGAATGCGCCAGCTTCAAGGGGGAAACCTGGGGTCTGATCGCGCCTGGCGTCGAAATGGCAGACGTTCTCGCTTTCAATCTTACCGAAGGACCACATCACGCAAGTGGTTTGAGATCGATGACATATCCCGACTTAAGCTGCAAGCTGAAGTTGATGGGCGTCGACGTCGCAAGCTTTGGCGATTTCTTTGCAGATCGCGGAAAGCTCACAAAGTCACTTCCCGGCAATCGCAAGACTGGAACTGGAGCGCACGCTAAGGTGCCAGATGGCGCTCCTGTCGTCAAGGCCCTCACCTATCGCGACCCCTTCTCCGATGTGTACAAGAAGTACATCTTCACCGCAGACGGCAAGCATGTAGTGGGCGGCATGATGGTCGGAGATGTGAAAGACTACGTCAAGCTTGTCGGAATCTGCAACAAGGGCAAAGAACTCGAAGTTCCACCGGCCCAGTTCATCTTAGGATCTCAGAAAGAAGGCGAAGAAGGTGACGACCTTGACGATGACACCCAAATTTGCTCTTGCCACAATGTTACCAAGGGCCAGGTAGTCGATCAAGTCAAGCAAGGATGCCGATCGTTTGGCGACATAAAAAGCTGTACCAAGCTCGGAACTGGATGTGGAGGTTGCGTTCCACTCGGCACTTCTATCTTCAACAAGGCCATGACTGATGCTGGCGCCGAGATTTCTAACAATTTGTGCCCGCATTTCAAGTACTCTCGCCCGGACATGTATATGATCATCAAGCACCGCAAGCTCCAGGACTTCACCACCACGATGCAAGAAGTCGGCGTTAAACCCGACTCCCTGGGATGCGACGTATGTCGACCGGCAGTTGGATCTATTCTTTCGTCTCTCAACAATCAATTCATTATGAAGCCATCGCAAAGACAGACGCAGGATACGAACGATCGCTACCTAGCCAACATCCAACGTGACGGGACTTACTCTGTTGTTCCTCGTCTCCCTGCTGGCGAGGTGACCCCATTCCAACTCAAAGTATTGGGTGAGGTTGCCACAGAGTTCAACCTCTACTCCAAGATTACGGGTGGGCAGCGCATCGATCTATTCGGCGCGCGCAAGCACCAGCTCCCTGCCATTTGGACACGTCTTGTCGACGCTGGCTTCGAGTCCGGCCACGCTTACGGCAAAGCCCTACGCACCGTGAAGAGCTGTGTAGGCACAACCTGGTGCCGCTTCGGTGTCGGCGATTCGGTCGGACTAGCTGCCGAACTTGAAGGACGCTACAAATCCATTCGTGCGCCTCACAAATTCAAGTCCGGGGTCAGTGGATGTGTGCGAGAATGCGCAGAGGCGCAAAGCAAAGATTTTGGCCTAATCGCTACTACGAAAGGCTGGAATGTCTTTGTTGCTGGCAACGGTGGAGCAAAACCTCGACACGCAGAACTCATTGCGGAGGATGTACCACGTGCTCTTGCCATCAAGATTATCGATCGGTTCCTCATTCTGTACATCCGCAATGCAGACAAATTGCAGCGAACTGCACGATGGGTGGAAACACTCCCGGGGGGCATCAACGAGCTCAAGGACATCATCGTCAAGGACAAGTTAGGTATTTGCAAAGATCTCGAAGATGAAATGGACTCGCTGGTGGGCAAGTACCACTGCGAATGGACCGAAGTCGTGCGGAATCCCGAGCGCCAGAAAGCCTTCAAGCAGTTCATTAACACAGAAGAGACGCAGGTCCACTCCGAGCGCATCGAGCAACGCAACCAGAGTCGACCGGCCGACTGGCCAGCAGACGCTACTCCTCTCAAGTTCAGTGTTCGAGACATCGCAGCAAATGAGCCTTGGGAATGGCGACCAGTGGCGAAAGTGGCTGATCTGGACCCTCAACCTGATGCTCCCACCTCTGCCGTCGTCAAGTATGGCGACACCCAGATCGCAATTTGGAACATTCCCAACCGTGGCCTAAGGGCGTCTCAGAATATGTGCCCACATCGCCGAGCCTTCGTCTTGGCCGATGGTCTGATCGGCGAAGACGACTCGGGCAAGGAGTTTATCAGCTGTCCGCTGCATAAGAGAAGATTCAACCTGGATCACAAAGAGGAGAACGATGCCGGCAAATGCAACGATGCGGATTATTCAATCATGACATTTGAGGCGCGGCAAGAGGAGGACGGCACTGTCTCCCTCAAATTGCCGTCCTCCGAGTCGCTAGATGCGCTTCTTTCGACGACTAAATGGATGCTCCGCAAGGCTCGAGAGGAGTCTCACATCCTCTCGGGCGGACAACCTGGCCAGACTGATACGGAAGGCTACGCAATGACCGAGAAGCATGGACAAATTGTCGAGATCGCAGGGCCTACTGAGGCAGTGCAAGAAGAGTCGAGGAAACTCGATCGAGAGCGCAGGGGTATTCCTGAGCCTGCTCAAGACACGAGCAAGGGAGGCGCCAAGAAAGCTAGCTGCGCCGACGCTGCCCCTGGAAGCAAGCTCGATTGGTAGATCCTACTACACGCTCTAGATCACACAGTCTGCCTCCTGTCCTCTTTCTCATGCCTTCAGATCTGCCTCATCCAACGCGGTGCCAAATTTCGTCCTCAAGCGTCTACTTCCCTCCCGTCTACCGCAGTCACGCTTCGCATATGCAATCCATCGTTCGTTTCACACTGGCACGTTGCGGTCACCGAATCTGAGAGCGCTTCATGTCGTGTCATCGTTCTTGCAGGGATCGAAAGGAAGCCGAAACAATCTTGAGGTTGGTTTGTCCCCTAGTATGCTTTTCGCGGGAGCTGAACCAAGACTACAGACTAACAATCGAGGTTCTCAAGGCAACAGTTAAAAACCATGGACCGGCGCGTCGTCTCCCTTTCACACTTCGTCCGGGGGAGATCCGATAGTAGGATGACTTCTCAATCGTGTCAGAGTGGGAAGGCGCGTACATCTCGACGCACTACTTTCTGGCCAGCAGTCCTTACTGTGAACAACGACTCGGCACGTGGATGCTGTCGTCTTTGATTGAAACGAGTCGAGTCTATTCGTACAGCTTGAAGGTGATGTGTGCACCAGCGTGCGTTATGCGACAATGTTCGTTGGATTCGAGTCTCGTCGATTGAGTTTCTTCGCAGATCTTTCGGTAACGGTACAGTCACCTGCTTTATTCGTTTCACTTCTCTGGTGACTCTTCACAAGTCGTCCGAGTGGCCAGGAGTGCCGCCAGCGCCTGCGGCTTGCCCGTGGGAGCAGGCGTAGCCGGGTAAAGCGTCAGCATGAACTTGAACAGCTTACGCTCAGCAATTCAAAAAGGTGCTTGTGTACTCACCAGCGCGATTGCTTGGAACAGACTCGGTGTCACTGTTGTCAGGCGCTGTGTAGCCGGAGGTGTCAGCGGCACGCACAACCTCGAAGTCAGGAGGCGGGCGTCGGTCTGAGGTCGAGACGCGCTCAACTCACTCGTTGCAAGTTCCTCTACCATACGCTTGAGGTCGTCCAGACGACCGGCTACATCGCTTGACACTTTGGCGCAAGAGAGGCTTGATGTCAGCATGAGCCTCAAGAACGGGCAGCACCAGAGTACGCACTCGTCTGGAGAGCGGCCTTGAAGTTTGCAAAGTCCATGACCAGCACACTTAACTGACCCAAGCCTGCTTTCAAGTCTTTGACTTCTGCCGTGGTCGGAGCAGCGAGCGCGAGCTGAGTGGCCTGCGAAAGAGCTGCTTGCTTAGTGGTGAGTGCACGAAGGCTATCTAGTACACTGTGCAAGATGAGCTCTTGACTGTCGACCTTCTTCTCCACACGGTGAATCGCTGCAAAGACTCCATTCATTTGTGTCGAGGTGGCGTGAGGACGAGAGTTCGACTGCTCTGTGGCTGTCTTGGTGGGGCTCGTGGCGTTCGCGCCGACCTGTGGGTTTGGAGCAGGAATACTATTGGCCATGCTTCCTGGCACGGCCGTCTTCTTCGTTCCCTTCTTCTTTCGTGCCATGGCGAGAGAGTGTAGCGCTTGTTGTCTTCCAGAAAGGCTGCAAAATTGCCCTGCCAAGCTCGGACCAAGTCAGCGACAGGCGAGTGCGCTGCGGTTGCGCAGATATCAAAGCATGTATGCGGGCAAAAGTCGAACTCACAAGACTGGTATGCTGCCACAACGAGAGCCTTGAGAGCACCGGTGAACACGGAGGCTGACACCTATAGGTGGACTTTTGAACACGCGACCGAGGAGGCGAAGCTGGCAGGAATTATGAAAGGTCTGCTTTCCCGGCAGGAATCTTTCTGTCTGTAATTTTGAGCACGCCCTGAGCGACGTAGAGAGATGGTGGCTGTCGAGACGTAAGTGTGAGTGCAATCGCTGGAATAGACAGATATGTATTTCGCGTCCTCAGCAAATGTGCCAAGCGCAGTCAAGCCCGAATTGTGAACGGCCGCGCAGAGAAGCGAGGGAGGACATTGAAATCAAGACTTACAAATCTTCACATCACAGTCAAAAGTGTATAAGCAAGAGTTGTGAGTCACAAGTCGCTCGCACAGCAACCATTACTCATGCACCGCGTAAGTGAGCAAGTATCTCAGCGATGTCTCAAAAAGCAAAGCAGCCCGGGCAATACCCGAGCAATCAGGGAGTCAAGAGTGTGAGTCACATTCGGACCGGTGGAGCTTGATGGCGAGGTTCTGCGTGGGAGCACTCGATCGTTACTCATCAGAATGTCCAAAACTCCTCTTCCGCGCTATATAGAAGCTGAGCATGCCGAGCCGCGATCAACTTATGTAACCGCGGGCGCGCTTCTCACGATGCTTGCATGTGTTCCAAGCGCAGCAGCGACTGGAACCTCTGCATGTCGGTCTCAGCTGTATATATAGCAATCAACAGAAATCGGAAGTCTGTAGAGTCGTGAGTGCATCGACGGGATGTTTCATCATAAGTTTTAGCCGGCGCTATACCGGCGCTTCCCAGCAGATGACTGTCTGGAGGTGCGTGGGCGCATGTCTGAATGGTGATCTGCTGCTGCTGACAGAAGCTGCTGCAGTCACGAGGCTACTGGAGGGTACCTCGACGCATATATATGTGCACTTCCGAGCTGTTGAGCTCGCGCGAATTCGTGACTTGCTCCCAGGCAGAATCTATATACAAAGACGTCATACGTGCACCACTCAAGTTGCCAGGACGGCTGTCGACTTTCTGAAGTCAGGCGCACGTTGTGTATGCCGGAGGGCATCGACCGACTTGGTTGCCAAAGCGGTTGGGTGATTGACGAGTATCTGTCAAGCCAAGGCACGCTATATAGCTACTTCCCTCTGCATCATCCTCTGCTGAAGCACGGGCTCGCATGGGTTGGTGTAGGTGGAGATGCTTGCTACTGATGGGCGATAGGGACATTCCTCACTTTGGACAGAGTGTGAGTGCTCCACATGTTTGCAGGTTGCACATCTGATTTCGGAGTAAAGCAATAGCAGCAGTAGTGAGCATAGCGAAGTTCAAAGTCACCTCCCAGGGACTCCAAATTGGTGATTGCATGAAACGCGATGCAGAATCTTGAATGAGTTCCCACATCGACAATCAGCTGTCATGATGCAAAACAATACCATAGCATTTCGAATGGCATCTCGTTCCAAGGGCATATAGCCGCATTTGCCTTACGCTCCGTCGCTGACTTTAGTACCTCCCCATCTGGCTGCTCACCCATGGACTTGCGTCATTCTTTAGCAGTACATCCGCGTCCGTGCTTGAGTCTGCTGAAGTACTCCTTGAGACCACGCACATGCCACCATTTTGTCGTTGCCCTGGGCGATGAGGGGATCATCCTGCGCCCGCCGTCCTCTTCCCTCCCGCCCTCTGACCCCATTCCTCGTGCTTGTTGACTTGATAAGGGCTGTCTTCTACACAATGACGAGGGCATTTCGAAGAAGATGCCCGTCTCTCTTCCCGGCTTAGTCCTGCCTTCCGCTGTTCCCATTGGAGTTTGCTCCCCTTTGCCGCAGACGTTCCCGAGGCGGACTGCCCCGAAAACCGAGCAAGAACCTCTTTCCCCTCGAGGTTAACTTCTCAGATTGTGTAGAGACCCAATGGTGACAGTGCAGCCTTGAGCCACGAAGCATGCCGTCTATGTGGAGCTGGGGATTAGTGGCGGGACGGTATTGGACGCTGCTGGCAATGTAGATTCGGGGGCTGCAGTAGGGACTGAAGCGCAGATGCTAAGCCTCATTAATGGTGAGCAGTCCAGCCCATCCGTGGCACAGCTTTGAGCGATTCTGGCTCAGGGTAGGGGAGCGGAGTGAGGTGACCAATGACCGACTCCCGGAGTTGGGGCTTTGTACTTACCCTCTGGCGCTCTTGGTCTGTCGTCGGTCGCGTGGGTGATTGCCTGCGCGTACTAGAGAGGCTGTCGATGTCGATGCCCCTCGCTGACGCATCCACCTTGACTTCCTGACAGAACATCCTTCCGCAAGTATGTCCATGCTCGCTTGCGTGAGCGTCGTAGTACTTTGCAACGCGATCCTTGGACACGAGTGCAGTCCGAATGCATCCAAGTCAGAGGTATGAACGCTAATGAACACCAGCTAGCCGCCATTTACGAATCACGAAAACAGTGCTCCGTCAGCAATAGGCTGTGCATGGCGTCTGCTGCGGCACACAGCGCGTCACATTCTTGGCCGCTCGATGCTGCACTCACACTGAGCTCCATCACGACTTTGGCTGGTGGATCGGTGATCGGAGTTCTCAGTAGGAGCACCCTGCGCATGCAGTCGGCCTTCGCCAAACGTGAGAAAATGATCGACCAGCTTGGTCTCTCTTAAGAGGTGAGAGGCAGACGGCTTGTTCGAGACTCCCCGAGTGCCGATGTGCATTTCATCTTCTTCGTCGATGCCAGGAGGGGAGGCCAAGCAAAATCTTGATAGAGTGATAATAGCCATGGCTGAGCTGGCTGTCAATCACCTGCCTTGCACCGCTGCAATGCGTGAGGGTGACCGTGCATTGGAACAAGAGGCTCTGGGCTAGCTCGGACTGCTCATGCTTGCTGGCTTTGCTCCGGATGGAAGCGCGTTGTAGTGCGTTGATCCGCCTGTCGAATGAATGCGGCCGGCGCGGGAGCCTGTGGCTGCTTGCCGAGACTTTGAAGCTGCTCACCATTGTAGATACGGCGCTACGTACTCCACCAAGTGATGTTGATGCATTAGGCGACGCCATCGTGTGTGAGTAAGGAGAATGGACGAGCATGGAGGCGCTCCTCTCATGAGAGAAGGTGCTACCGCTTGCCTTCATCGAGGCTGGGTGCGAGATTTGCGGAGCATCAGCAGTCGCGTGACGCGCGCGCTCGGCTCGGCACAGAGGGAGGACCAGCTCACGTGTCCTGCTGTAGCGCCGTTCGCCGACCTCCACTCACGAGTCCGAAAGCTCATCAGCTTGACTTTTGACCCAGGATGCACACTCATGACTACGAAGTTTCTTGAGAGTTTGAGTGTATGGTGAAGTTTGCCCTCGCAGCCTATGTGGCTGACTCGCTCGCTCGCCCGTGGGCGGCGCTGGATGCATCATGGCGGAGGCTCCTCGCTCGGCACGCATGCATGAGTTGACATAATTCACGAAAAGTTGAATGGTGAATTTGATTCATCATTAAAAATTGTGAATTCAAGACTCTTGACGTCGTGCGCGTGGTGATGCAAACGCTTGAGAGGACCACGTGACGAACATGTGAATCAAAATCAAAGCATGTATCGAACACGCTGCTCTCTGTTCAGTATTTGCGCTTATCATCATTATGATCTGATGAATCTTGAATCTAAATTACACCATTAAAATCTGATGAATCTTGAATCTGGAATCTGAATCTGAATCACCTGTCGGCCAAGCTTGATTTGAGTAGTCGTCAGTCAAGAGTGTCTATGAGGGAAGCAAGAAGGTAGACCCATTCCGCCATGACACTCAAGACTCAAGACTCGTGATCGCATGTCACTTCACAACAACATTGACAATTCTTGCTTATTGGCCACAACAGCCCCCCATTCTTTAGCTGCCCGCACTTGCACTCAAGCGCTGCGTAATGTGGGAGGCCAGATCACCTCATCACAAGCCGTCTTCGTCAATGCAATCGCGACTGGGTGCCTCGATACTCGAGCTCACATCAGCTTGACACGACTATAGCGCTGCGACCTTCACGAAGAAGATGCAAACTTTGCAAGTGAGTACCTCGACAGTCGCATGGAGCAGCTGTGCAGCGGTACCGTACCTGACTCCAAGCCACGGGGATTTAGAATCACGAAGTCAAAGAGCAGACACCTCATGGAGCAACTCGGCATGACTCTCTGGATTGTCATCGGGACGAGACTAAATGCAGCACTGGCGTAGGGTTCTGCGCCTTGCAAACCCGCTAGAGCCTCGGGCTTGTCGTGCTCGCCATGCAATCGTGTGTGCTTAAATGACAGAGAAATTCTGACTTGGTACATGCCACTTGACCCCTCATTGCCTCAGTCAGCGCGATTGTGCGTCTGACCGTCATCTGCCAGGACTGCTGGCTCTCCTACAATGGTTGCTCACGCATTCGATCCGACGTGCCCTAGACTTGGAGTCTACTGCCGTGCGGATGTCTGAAGGAGCACATGCATGAAGGAGGACCTTCTCGGTCAATCATGCTCCATGCAGCTTGCACACGCTAAATAAGCAAGCTTAGCGGGTCTTGGCATGTCGAATCGGAAACAGCAGCAAGTGGTCATGACTCTCATGAGAGGTCACGAATACCATCAGGGCGCACGAAAGCCATGTCTTCCCAAAGCGTCTCCTGCTCCTCTGTCCGCCGGCCCCCGCGTGACTACCACTCTGTTCGGACGACCCCTTCGAGATGCAGCGCAAAGCCGCCGGGAGAAGCGGCAAGCAAAATTACGACAGAGATCGCACAACCAACAGATGACTACAACTATATGCATTCACGATTGGCTTGATAGCTCGGGTCTCTGCCCTGCCACTTCGTGCCTTAGACTTGATCGGGTCAAATTCCGCTCATCCGTCAAAAGCAACCTCGCGATGATTCGTGATCGCATCGATGAGCGACCTCTGTGGCGCCAACGCACATCCCTGCGCAGGCCTCTCAGGCACACAATCATCGACTAGCGCGAGTGCCCGCAAAACCTTCCCAGAGGACCACATCGGCCTTGGACCTCGTGCTGAAAGCACGCATACACTCCGTGGCAGCATGAAAGCCTTCTTTGGCATCCGCGCTGCATACACCCTTATTCGTATAAGAGAAGGGCGATCTCGAATTCGTGCTGCCAACACCTGCATCATCCCACGTTTGAGACTTGCACGAGCGACACGAAGCAGGGGGCTAGACAGCCTCTATTGCAGCCAGAAGAATCCTCGTTCAGCAATCCAGAATGATTCCGAACGCTCAAGGGGCGCCGATGGCAGCCCCGACCGAGAGCGTTGACGACCAGCACCACACGCCTTCCATTGAAAAAGAGAGCGATACGAAGAGTCTAGCAGAGTCAGCCCCCATCGTAGCTCTTGAGGACGCCGATGAGACAGCTATATTTTACAATGCCAACAGACATTCGGTCGGTCCACTCACTCCAGAGCTGCGCTCTAAAATCGTCCGCAAGAACTTCTGGGCGCTGCTAAGCCAAACGTGGTGGATCGCTTTTCTCATTCACCTCGACAAGTCGACCCTCTCGCAGGCGAGCACGATGGGCATCTTTCGTGACGTCCATATGTCCAAAAAGACGTATAATGACCTCTTTCTGGTCTTCTATGCCGGCTACTTGATCGCTCTGTGGCCTGGTGCCTGGCTCTCTCAACGCATTGGCCACCGTATTTTCATCATCGGCTCTCTCTTTTTCTGGGCTCTCCTCATCGGCCTTCACTGCACCGTCACCACCGGTCCACAAATGATGGCTCTCCGGTTCTTCCTCGGAATGGTCAGTTTGGCGCGTCGACCCACGTCGAGCAATGTCCGGTGAATCTGACTTTCTCCCATTGTTGCCCATTATCAGACCGAGTCACAAATAGTCCCATCTACTACGGTTCTGCATCAGGCGTTCTTTCCGCCCAAGAAGAGCCCGTGGGTGCAGCTCCTGTGGTGGGCAGCTGGAGGACTTGCGAACGTCATGCTCACCATGGTCGCGTACAAGCTCATCATTGATGAAGGTAATGCCACGCTGCTTCACGGTCTTTCGTCGTGGAAGTGGCTGCACATCATCTGTGCCGCGGTCACTTTCGCCATCTTCGTACCGCTCCTGCTCTTTGTGAGTTGGGCCCATGCGGTTCTTTCACCCTCCACCGCCACTGACTACCACGTAAATTCTCCGTTCTGTCAGCTGCCCAACACACCCGTCGACGCAAAGTGGCTGACTCGTGAAGAGAAGGTACATACCATTGCGATGATCAGAGAGACGCATGCGGGTGTCGCGAACCGTCATTTCAAATGGCACCACCTTCGTGAGCTGTACACGGACCTCAAGAGCTGGTTGTTCATGTATGTTGGGCCGTCTATGCGCAGGAAATGAGCTGCCTGCTAATATCCTCCTCTTTCACAATCGGGACGATCAGCTTCCACATGTTCTTCAACGAGCTTCCCAACAACACCTCGCAGCAATTGCCACTCATCGTTGTGGGCTTTGGATTCACTCCAGCTGAAAGTGCTCTCTTCAACATTGTCAAACCTATCTGGGGCTCTGGTCAGTACGAGGCGTCCGCCGTGCCACGTCCACCCCTTGATGCTTACCAGATCTGATCTCTCTCATACATGATGACAGTGCTGATCCTGGTCACAGCTGCAATGCTGTATAGCACTCGTCTCGGTGTCGGGTACACCTGCGCTCTCTCCTATATCCCGTGCTTCGTCGGTGGTATCATTGAGCTAGCGTCTCCTTGGTCGAACAAAGTAGCGCTTGTCGTTGGCACGCAAATTTCGACCTTCAAGCCGTCGTACTTGTGAGTCGCCTTAGTGGTGCCTTTCGACTGCATTTATGACGCTGACTGCTGCCGCTCGCTTCCTCCCACCTAGACTGGGTCTGTCTTGGGCTGGGACAACGACGACCGGTCACACGAAGCGAATTGCCCTCATGTCTTCATGCATCGTAGCAGCTTCGGTTGCCAATATGATCTCCCCGGAGTAAGTGTTCAAAGAGGTCTGGTCCCAAACTAAGCTACTGTGACGCCACCAGTGCTGACAGCGTCCCGCACCGCGCAGGTTCTGGCAACCACAGTACGCACCCCGCTACAAGCTTCCTTGGGCTTTCATGACCGCTTTCTGGTTCATTTCTCCCGCCATGTGTCTCATCATACGGTGGCATTTGCAGAGAGAGAACAGGCGCCGTCAAGCTTTGCTGGCCCAGGGAGAGACGAAGGATGGAGCGCTTGGAGAAGGTAAAAGAGGTCTGCACAAGGTCGAGCAAGCTAGACTCGATCTTGGAAACAGCGAGAAACTCAACATAGAGAACGAAGATCTCGACCTCACCGATCGCGAGAATTTGCGCTTCGTATACCCTTTGTAGATCCAGGACTTGACGATCACCGCCATTTAGCTCGTCTACTACCTCACTCACGTTGTCCTTCACTTTACGACCCTCTGTCCCAATCGCCCGGCCCCGCGAATTCGAGTTCAATGACTCATTTCATTACAATCTTGAAATCATAGTCTTTAGGGGTATCAATGTTCCGAGCCCTTGAGTCTGCCGAGCTTGCCAAAGAGCTTGCCTACGCCTGTCGAGAGCCGCTTGTTCTCATCCTTGCCGCTCGCACCAGGTGACTGAGCCGGGGAGCTGCCGGAAGGGCTTGGCGATTGTTGAAAATGTGGTTTCGAACTTGCCGACCAGCTAGGTGCGGGCTGGCCAGTCTTTGGAGGTATGTAAGGCGCTTGAGAGCCCGAGGGTAGGCTCCCAGTCGAGCCTGGCCCCAGACCAACCGCTGCCCCTCCAGGTCGTTCGAATTCGTCTATTCTCTCCTTGCTCAGATACACTATGAGCTTTTCCGGTGGTGCATACGACTGCAGTTGAGCAGCTGTAGCGCCACTCGGGCCCTTGATTGGCTCGTTCAGAGGTATCCGTGAGCGAGGAGCTCTAGTTGGCGAATTGGGATTGCTGCCCCGCCGCGGAGAGGGTGAGTCCATGGATGCATCTCGGACGTATTGATACAGTTCTCCAGAATTGCTCGAGCCCTTCGAAGTTGGTGCGAGGCCTGCGGTGGAAAAGGTACAACAAGCATCTAATTTCGTCAAATACCGCTCAAGAGTATGCCCAAATTTTGCTGATCTGACGAGGCTTACGCCGAGGATTGCGCTCCCATATTCCGAACTTGCAACGGCACGGGTCTTACATGTACTCACGATACCATGCGGCCTTGACTCCAGCGGCGACCTGCACCACTCTTGGCGTCGTGTCCACTGTAAATGCCCTCAGTATGATGAGATCACAGGCAGATCCGCCCTGGTCGGTCCTGAGAAGATGCAAAGCGCGCGCAACGTATGATTGGGTCTGTTTCACGAGAGACGGAGTGGGCACGCAGGGTGAGCATGGCTGCCAGCAGGAATTCCGAGCCTTTCAGCGGCCGAACACGCTACCCTGACACCTCTTCGAACCTTGCTCCTGCACTCAAGACGCTGTGTATGCGCTGCTTGCGAGAGTTCTGTACTTTTGGCGCATGGAGCGACTCACATCTCCAAAAGGACCAATGTCGATTTCGTTGCTTTCTTGCGTGTGCGGTACCACAGCGAGGCCCGATATCGACGTGCCACCAGAAGTGTCCCTGCCATGATCGACATTCAGAGCTGAAGGTCGGGATGCAGTAGTCGTCTGCTGGTTTCGAGAGGGCTGCAATCCGAGCTCAGGAGGTGCACCGGGCGGTCTTGCGCCCGCAGGAGGTAGGTATTCGGTTCTGGGAGCAGGCAGCAGGGCGCTTGGCAACAGCACTTCAGCGTCGGGTCTCTGTGGTCGACCGCTCTCAATAGCACCTTCCGGGGGATTGAAAGGCACACCTGCAGGTCTCGGATTGTTGTCATCTGTTTCTGCGTCTAGTAGACTGAGTAGAAGACTCAAGAGCAGGATCTCCAGGCCTTTTCGATCTTGCACCTCGAGCCGCGTCAGGTTGTAGTCGTACAGCTCAATTTGACCAGCCCGGCTTTTGCTCGCAGGTCTGTATCTGCATACTCTGATACGTTCACGTCATCGTGGCGAGCTCGCGGAAGTCAGCAGTAGTCGTCTTATCAAGGGTCCTGGAAGCGGGTCCACTCACGCTACCGGAGGATCGGGTTTGCGTACTACCTGACACATGTAACTGGACGGACTTCCCAAAGCAGTCTCCCGCCGCATTGAAAACGTTTCTCTGCGTATCAATTGCAGAGCGCATCTTAACGTCAGCTCACAGTGTGGATGGGAGAGTCGCCTATGTACGAATGCTGCGCGGACTGCACGACCAAGAAATGCAGTCGTGAGTATGATGGCTGGTTTCAACCACACTCACCCTTGCCAGATCCATTTCCACTCTGTGTTGAACACGCCCGCATTGCGATCAACGTTGATCTCCTCGTCCGGATTGCACAGCTGTATTTTACGCTGCCGTTCCGTGAGAGTGGCAGTTGTGGTGGAGAATTTGGAGAGTACCGCCGAAGTGTGAGCATCTCTCAATTCAGCAGCATATGCAACTGTCCGTGCTCGCTCATAGGTGTACTGAGCTGAACAGCCTGAAGCATGCTGATGGGACGGGTCTAGAGCTGCTGAGGCTGTCGTTGCCGGATTCGCATTGGATGCGAGCTGATACAGGTCCACTATGGCGCCTTGCCCGGGGCGGGGCACTAAGGAAAGGCTGTAATTTGCAGCGTCTAAAGCCATTCGGACTGGCTGATCGGTGCTTTTGATGCGCGAGAGGCGTGGCACTCACGAGTGTGCACACGGGACGCGCCAGGCTCGCGATGTTGGAGAGGCGGTGTGATCTGAATGCTTGCTTAGCGTGAGGGTAGCGGTGTGATGGTGGTGGGAGGTTGAACGACCCAGACACGAGGTGTAGTAGTGCCTGCTGCTGCACTCTCCATGTGATCCTTGGATGAATGCTGCCTGCACGATGCAGCTTCCACATCCACATTCACGATTCAGCAGCTGGACCATGCGGTGCGCGGTGCGCCGCGTGCGCTTCACGTGCGCCTCCACATCAAACGACATCTTTGCTCAGCGGTCTCTACAAACGCCGCTCCATCTTGTCACCATAAGCAGGACCGGCTGGTCCTTCATATTGCACTACGACCACACTGCTTTTGACATTTGGACTCGTCGTCCGGAGCGCTCTATTCGCGAGCAGTGAAACAGCGTGTAGGCGGCTCGAACCAACAGGCTTGGTTGAAGATGCCGCCTTCGAAGTCCTTCAAAGCGAAGGTCCTCGACCGCCTCGCTTCCCAGCAAGCAGCTCTCAGTCACAGTCGCGCTAGCAGCTTGTCGACAACGTCCGACTTAGCAGCGAATCCCAAGGAAGCGCACCGCTCCACCAACAAGGATCCCTCTTCGCAGCGCAAAGAAACGCCTTTGAGCTTGCCTCAACTCATCTCGCTCATATCCTCTTGCTCCCTAAGCCAGTCGGGCGCTGGTGTCAGCTCGATCCAGCTAGCAGGTCAACTAGTGAGAGCTAGACTCAACACGGAGCAGAGGTTGCGACATATTGACGAAGCGGACCTGGAGAATGCAGGTGTGCAAGGTGTAGAGCTGAGAAAGCGAATCCTGAAGGGTCTCAGGAAAGCTGTGAGGTACATGGTCAGGGCACTGTGTGGGGAATTCGATCCATGCTGCTGCACAGCGTGACAGCACTCGCTTTCTGACTACCCTGTATGCTCCGCTTGCAGCTTCGAGACGGGCCGTTTCCCGCATTCAGTAGCACGAATCAGTCGGCCGCCGCGCCGACTTCCTCCGGAAAATCTGTGGAATCCTTTGACTTCGCTGCTGTCCTTGATGAGGAGGCACTTACAACACGCAGGGTGCATGTTAATAGAGCTCCGGTCTTGCTAGCTTGGGCGGTAGTTCTTTGCGAAAGATTAGGATTCACCAGATGTGAAGCTCTGAGTGTCGGTGAGTAGTCCTGTGCGGGCGCAGGTCATCGCTTGGCTGAGCGCAGCCTTGGCCCTTGGGTGGTCATCGCAGCGCAATGCTACGTGTCGATCACTGCTCAAGCTAGAGGACAGTCGATTGGCGTGATAAAGAAGAGTAGCGCATCTACGTCAGGTGCAGATGCGTCCGATCGCGTGGGAAATAATCAGCCTGTGAGTAGGCCGCTCATCGTTGACCGGACAGCACATGACTCACACTCGCGACTTTCGTGCTCCCAGCATTTTGTGCTGATGGGTGTCAAGATACCCCTCATGCGCATATCAGTAGTGGAGCAATCACCTGGCCAACAAGAGCTGTCGGAATGGAGGGCCATCCTAGATGGCTCTGTCGTCGAGCCTTCCAAGGTCAGTCGACGATGCGTTAGGAACAAATCAAAGCCAGCCCTGATGAGCTAGCTGTCTTTCTACCTCACCAGGCCTTTAACTATTTGCGTGCCGCCATGCGTCAACTTCTCCCGCACGTCATAGGAGCCTTGATCCTCTTGGCGGACTCCTACATGGTCCCACCACCCGGCGCTACCGAAGCGCACGGAGTGGACGAACTACATAAGCAAGCCTTTGAGCTGTACGTCGATTTCAGGCCAGAAACGGGCGGGGAGTGGGGAAAGAAAGGGACGCTGTTCTTGAGCGTTATTCTACGGCTCAAGAAAGGGTTGCAGGAGTCCAAGGGAAAGCCCGATGAAAACGGCATGACAGAAGAGGACTGGAGGAGGGAAGCTGCGAGGCTCGGGTGGGAAGAGCAGAGCAAGCAGACGGCTACCGATCATGCTATTGAGGGGCCTGTCAAATCGGAGATTGGCGTGCGGGAAGGACCGACCTTCTCAGAGCTGCCTCCAAACGCGCACACGCTCGTCAAGCTTGAGCCCAGTAACGATGAGGCTACAAACGCCCCGCAGACCGGACGAGTTGCGGATCATGGCGCAGTCGAGCCCGCATGGAGTGCACAAGACTCTCTTGCCCCCACGCAGGATCTGCCGCCTGATCCGACACACGGCGAACCGGACATAGTGGACGAATTGTTGGTGGAAGATGGACCTGGCGAGCAATTGAACGCTGCCTCAGGCGAAGGTGCTCAGAGACAGCCGAAGCGCGTGTATCTGCAAACAGACTCAAGCGAAGGTCACGAAAACGACAATCACGAAGAGATCACGCAAGACTCGACTCGCAAACGTGTTAAGAGAGAGGCAGAAAAATGATATCGAAACACGCTCCGACTGGCCTACTGCTCCGCTCTCACCCATCGAGCCAGAAACCGTCATTTTGGCATCGACGCAGGCCGCCTGATGAGCCGCCCAAAAAGGCGTACGTCGTGACACCTCATGAGGCTTGGTGAGGCTTTTCCCACCACTGGCTTCTCGATCTCTTGTGGCCCGAAAGTCGGCAAAAGGCCAACGCTGCAACGCAATCCTCTGCAAGGCAGCTCGGAGCATCGCTCGATTGATGCGCGTCATAGATATCAATCGGGCAAGGACCTCAACAATATTTTGAGGGCGCTTTCTGACAATAAGACCTAGAACGAGCCAATGAAAAGGACGGACTATTTGCCGTAAGGAAGTTGCAGAAGCGTGTATGCTAGTTATTGAGTGGGCATTAACCAAGAATACTTGGTACCGTGCAGTGCGGGGAAGGGCAGATGCAATGCATGAGTCGCTTGGAATTTGATCAGATGGACCACGACCCCTCCATAGACAAAGCTTCGTGCTCACGCGAAGCCGAGCTTAGAAGTAGACAGCCTGGGCTTTGTGTACAGCCTGCTTGCCGCTAGGTCCATGACTCTTGAGAACGATCCGAGGGTCATCTTTCGAAGCTTTCACGCTTTTTCCGTCCACCGTCGTGGCTTCGGTCAAGACCTTGACCACCTCACCCTTGACCCAACCAGGCATGGACTTCCAATGCGCCACTTGTCCAGCTTTGGGAAGGCGAGATGCGCTAGCTTGAGACGCACCGTCCGGAATTTCCGCAGAGTCCCCTTTGGAGCCGTGCTTGCCCTCGTGCTTGGACGTCGAAATGTCGGCTTCCTTCTTGCCACTCGCTTTGCTTTTACCGTCCTCCGCCTTCTCCTTCTCTCCATTCGCCTTGCCATTAGCTGCTCCCGTCTTCTTCCCGCCTGCACTCTTTGGCTTCTCTTGCGCCTTGTTCTGTTTCGTCTCATCGGCTTGCGTCTTTGACTTTTTGTTGCTCGCCTCTTCAGCTCTGTCTTCTTTTGGGCGACTGGAACTCCTAGTCTTGCGCTTGTTGTCATCCTCAGGCTGCTCTTGCTCCTTCTCGGCAGCTCCGTCTTTGCTCTTCTTTGCTCCCTTCTCGCTGACCTCCTTGCGAGCCTCTGCGGCCTTGTCAGTGTTGCCTACAAATTGTTGACCGGATTTGGACGTTTTCTGCTTTTTCTTATCCGTCTCTTCCTTTTCCTTGTCGTCCATCTTCTCCCAGGCCTACGCGTAGCAGTAAAACGCGGTCGGGTCAGCATCAAGATCTTACGGGCCGCCTCTCGACATTACTACGAACCTCTTTGGGCAGGTACCTCTTCCTGCTGCCATCGTCGTTCTTGGCATTCGCATCCCCGTCTTTAGTCTGCCATTCCTCCTCTCCCCACTTGCTGAGATTCTTTTGCGAGTCATCTTGACCCTGTTCTTTGTCGGTGTTGTAGCCCCCGCCCCGTTTCTTGTACTCGCCGGCCATCATCTGTGCTTTGCGAGCTGACCATTGTCCAGGAGCACCACCCTTGTCCGATTTGTGAATCTCCTCTTTGACTTCGTCGCGAAGCTGCAAGCGAACATTTGTAGGGCGTCAGAGGTCTACCCTAGATGTGCTTCGGGCATAGCAATCATCACATTTCATGCACGCACCTTAGGATCGGTGTACTTGTCTTTGGGAGGCATGGTGACCAAGTTGCTGGAGGTGAGTGGAGGACGTGCACAAGCAAAAGCTTTCTGAAGAGTGTGGGAAAGGCTCTCGTGCGCTATATACCACGCGGAAGAGGATGTGGAAGAGAAGAGGAGTAGGTCAAGTTGGGTAAACACGATGTCACATCGACCAGCAATGCCAATTTCTACTTCTTATTCCTCAGAATCGACGGGCAAGACTTTGTCTGTCCACTCACGAGTGTATAGATGCTCGCATCCTGGATGGAAAGCTTACCTCATGCGTGCATGCCAGGCTTGGAAAGCTGAGAAGATCGTTTAGCTGCAGCAAACTGCACGTCAGCTGTCTAGATCCAAACGGTCTTGGTCACGGCAGGCGCTCCCGCACCTCCCGACACCAGTAGAGCCGAATCTGGTCACGGTCGTCCCATCATGATGACCACCTTCCGAGAGAGGTAGGTACTGCGTGCATCTAGCCTCCGTCCCGGTGCGGATGCGGAAGCGGATCGTGGCGGATGCTTGCGCGGGGCGAAGCGGCGCAACGCTGCTGACATCATACCTGCATCGCAAGACGTTCGGACCCTGCATGTCCGGCACCACGGTCGGTCCACTTGCATCAAAAAAGAGGCTGCCCCTCCTGCTCGACCTTGCTAAGCTGCGATTCGCGTGTTGATGGCATGCTGTGCGCCAACATTTGTACGCCGAGCTACAGGGAGTCAAGAGTGGTTGTCATAGTAATTCCTGAATGTGCTGAGAATTCATGGTCTTGGGTGCGATAACCTGTCAGCTTGACAGGCGACCGCGCGCCACGAGCTCGCGCGAACAGTCTGTATCAACCTGCATGCTTGCATATATGCATGGGTAACTGGGACTCACCGCTAGTCGTATCAGTACGCGTACCACTCCGTCACGCGTTCGGATCCGATTCTTTGGGCAGTCATCGCACTCGATGTACTGGCTGCAAAGAATCACCGTAGGGGTCGCATTGGTGTTTCCCTTTCTCTTGGCAGTCAGCTGTTTTTTTGCTGTTGCGTAATGTCCATGGACACCTGTGCTTACACAAGAAGCCAGACACAGGAAGCCAAACAAACACAAATGTTATAGGCTGAATACGATAACACCTGCCCCTTGCTGAGCCAATGCTCAGACCACCTTCTTCACTTGGTCTCTTGGGCAGCCTGGCCAGTGGCACAGAAGGAGCTGATGTGAGTTTTGTCTTGTGTTCTGCAGCGCCCCCAAGGCATGTCAAAGGCGGACCTGGCCAACCAATGCTCCCAAGGTTCTCTGGAGCTTTCAGCCAGTCTGCAATGACAAGCTCACTGGTTTGCACCCACTAATTGGCATACCAAGCTGTAACACCAGCAGTCTGAGGTAAGCTTCTCATTGCAATTTTGATGCACATTGTCTCCACAAAAGGAGCCTAGCGTGCGACCAGGAGTCAACTCAGACATGGTGGACACGGTCAGGCGTCTCATGGGGACCAAGAGTTGCTGAAGGCAAGGTTGACAAGCTTGAGTGGGTCTGAAACAGCCCAATACTCAGCGCATCATCCTTGCAGGTCATGCTCTTTCTTCTCCCTGGCTCCAGAAGGCCAAGTGAAGGTGCATGATGGCTTTGTAGGTCTCCTTCAACAACATCTTGATGCCCTCTAGCTCCACTTGTGCTGCACGCAAAGGCCAAGTGAAGGTGCATGATGGCTTTGTAGGTCTCCTTCAACAACATCTTGATGCCCTCTAGCTCCACTTGTGCTGCACGCAAAGGTTGCAATCAGCTCTTGACAGCCAACAAACATACCAGCCTGAGCCCCACATGGACAAGCCTGTACCTCTTCCCTTGACGTCCCTTTGGCGCAAAAGGTCGACAATCCAGTCCTTCTTCAAAAGGGAGGGGACCTTCATTGTGTTGATCGCCTGAGGTGACTTGACCGCGTTGGCAGATTGCGCCAAATGACCATATAGAGAGCGGGTCATTTTGTTGAGGAAACTGAAACCATCTGTGGGAGCTACAACGGTATTTGCAGCTGCGCTTGACGGTCCAAAATAAGCCAAGAGAGAGGTGGCCAGGCTGATTCCACTTTCCAAAGCGCCGCCCCACATCGACAAGAAAGTCAGGGGTTTTGGTGTCATGGGCGCTCGACCAACGTAGGTGCGAAGAGAGTTCTGGGCCTGGTCTCACCACAACAAGGGCAATGGGGGGGCAGAGAACAGACCACTCAAATTCTGTGGACTCTTGTTGAGAGCGCGCAAGAAAGCTGCAACAGTACGGTCTGCCGCATTGCTGCAGGCAAAGCCGCCATTCCCAGCAGAAGAACCGCAAAGAACATGAGTGCGCTGAGCCAGAGGGCTTTACGCAAGCGTTGGCGGGAACGCGTCTGCTGGTGATGGATTGCTTGCTTGTGATCTTTGCGTCCAGGGCCTGCGCAACAGCCACCTTGATGTGATCTTCCATTGTTTGATCCATTGTACCAGGCTGCTGATTTCTGGCAGCCACCTCTTCTTGCGCACATTGAGCATTGTCCATTTGCTGATTGAGCTGCTCAATGTCATTGGCGGTCCTGCTCTCCAGCCTATTGTGGTTGCTGACCAGAACTTCATGTTGGCTCAGGCTATTGACATTAGGCTAAGAGAAGAGCCCAAGCTTGCCACACCTTGACACACAAAAACGCACTCCTTCTCTGCTCTGGCTGTGAGTACCAGAGACTTTTCCAGGAGCGAGCGAGGTTGGCCTCCATCAAGCTGGCTCAAAGCAGTGCCCGCGCTCTGCTGTGTGAAGCAGGCATCACTGCGCTGTGCGTTTTGCTGCTCAGATGTGACTGACCTCCCTCAAAAGTGTCCATCTCGGAAGCTTCTATAGGTACAAGGCTGGCCACACAAATCAGACGCTTTGGGTGGTGAGTCGGTTTGCACGTGGTCACGCTCAAGCTTCGCGTCGCGCGTCGCGTCGGGCGCGTGTTTGTGTATTTTTTTGGCCTCGACTCGAGCTCACAATCTTTCTACGCACCGAGCAAGGCAGTCGGTCGTGCTCAAACATTGTGATCGTCCTTCACAATGACTCATATATCGTTGACAGCCATCAATCGATCAGGATGGATTTGATCCGAGTCGATACTCCATCAGCAGCAGCCTAAATCTGCTGTGCAGGTTCATATTGGTCCGCCCCGTGTTCCGGTGGTCAACCTTGCAGCCTCATCAACGCTTTCATCCCCACCCTCCTCTCTGCGGCAACATCCTCGCGTCCGGCATGCACGGAGTCCTTGGCATGTCGTGCATGCATGACATGCGTCCGTCACGGCGTCTTTCATGCTCATGCACTCGATCCCTCTTGCTGCTCAACTGCAGCGCCGCCTCAGTTCGCAGCACAATCAAGATCGCTGCGATTGGAGAACTCGGCTTCTTGGCGAGCATGATGTGAGCGCAACAAAGCTTGACGCCCGAGCACGAAACGGTATTGACTCGGCAAAGCATGCAGCCGGCATGCTGTTGCTCTTCTGCAAGGCGTCCGTTGAACGATTGCCCATAAACACCCACGCCAAGCAAGTTGTTGCTCTCATGCAAGGTTCTCTCGTCGTGAGTTGGCTCCTTGACACTTGCGACTCGACCATCTCATACAGCTCTCGCGACCTGAATTCTCTCCTTCTTCCACTCACCTGTGCTGTATGCTCTCCCGCTTGTTTGCGCAGTCATATCCTCGATCCTTGTTCTCGTTCGGTTACACTGGCTTAGCAGTCCCAGTAACGCAACCCGTCATCCCTTGCAAAGATGACGCCCAGTCGGGGTGGTGTGCTGTCGGCACTTGCATTCGCCCTCACCGCACTCGCGCTGGCACCACTTCAATCACAAGCACTGGAAGATGCAGATGTGCCTCGCACGAACGAAAACAGAACGCTGTACGCTATCCCGGTGCCCCTACCATACGACTCGCTGCAAAGTGCAAAGCCGGGCATCGAGAAGTCCACACTGGAGCAGACGCAATTTCACCTTTGGAGCTACATCTCCAGTGACTACGATGCGAGCAAGATCAAACGCGCGGTGGTTACGCTTCATGGCCAAGGAAGGGATGCTTGGTCTTACTGGGACGACACCTACGATGCTCTCCTCAACGCTACTAGCCCGACCAAGAGATCCTCGAAAAGCTCCAGCAGCACTTCGACACTGTCTTCTGCAAGATCGTCATCATCATCGACCTCATCATCTCGCAGCAATCGCCACACGTCTAGTAGCGGGTCATCCTCTAGCACTTCCCGAAGCTCCAGTCGCTCACAATCCGTCACGTCTCGAGCTGAAAGCGTCACATCGCCTCCCACGCGACGAGCCAGTAGAAATCGAACATCGCTAAAGCGCGACGAAGTCCTCATTCTGGCGCCACTCTTCTTTAACAATCAAGACACCTCGGCGTATCAAGCACTGGACGAGGAGTTCGATTCGCAATCGATTGTGTGGAACGGTGGAGATTGGGCAGAGGGTGCAGATTCGATTTTGCCGGATACGGTGTATGGTTCGGAGGAGGGTCAGACTTTCGAAGCGCCCAAAGTCAGCTCGTATGAAGCACTGGACGAGGTGGTCAGATGGTTCAGCGACAAGAACGTATTTCCAAAGATGGAGTGAGTTGGTGTCAAGGCGAGGTAGAAGGCTCGGCTCGAAAGTGTGGCTGAAATTTTCGGTTGGTGCTTGCTAGGACGGTGTTGATTGCTGGCCATAGCATGGGCGGTCAGATTGCTCAGCGCTATGCACTCCTAGGCGCCGTTCCAAGCGCTTCAACACCTGTGCACTTTGTCGTTGCCAATCCGGGCAGCTTTGCGTGGTTGACCCCGGAGAGACCCGAGCCTGTGGACGACTGTCCTGGTGAGTAAGAAGGCAAAAGGACGGTGGTGAATTTCACGTTGCTGACGCGCGCTAATCGTACCGTCTTCATTCTTCGCAGACACCTACAATCTGTGGAAGTATGGGCTTGAGCTCTCCTCTGATGGCACGTGGAGTCAGAGATACCTCAAGTCCTTTATTCAACAGTCGCTGGATGCCAAATCTGAGGTGCTGGACGTTCGAGTACGGTACAGCGAAATTCGCCTCGTCCACTACCTCTTCGGATTGGATGATTTCGGACCGGGAGACACGCGATGCCAAGCGCTCACGCAGGGACCGCATCACCTGGGTCGTGGACAGAATTTCCTGCAACATTTGGACACGCAGGTGTTGGGACCTCGCAGAGAGGCAGACGCGGCGCAGCATGGGTCGGACAATCTGCAAGGATGGGGGAAGGCAAGTCACACGAGCGATTTCGTCAAGGGCTGCTCGCACGATCCCATGTGCATGTGGTTGAGCAAACAAGGGATAGAGCGCTTGTTCTTTACCAACGCGGATGGAGAGGAAGGACCCAGAGGAGTCGGAGATGACGATGCGGTGCAGGCAAAATGGTACCCTTGGGGCGTCAATTCTGCGGCATCGCACTTTCCGTCTCGGTCAACATCGACCATGCTTGCGGCGCTTGCGGCCTCTATCTGCATGGCCTTCCTATGATCTCCGTCGGCCTATGGCTTACGGCCTTGCGTTCGTCAAGCACAAAATTCAGCATCGCATCCGCGTTCCGAGACAGAACACCAGCAACCACAAATTTCGGTGCAAGTCATCGATTGGTTCGACCGGGCTACCTGGCGCTGCAAGCCGGACGGATAGTCGTCATGAATGAGCGCACGACTTGCACCGTCGTACATCTTCTTCTGCAGCACGCAGACCTCCTTCGGGCTCACCCTGTTCAAATTCACCGTCAAGTGTATCCATAGATTGCCATTTTGCCCCCCATTTCTCACCGTCTCCGGTCCCTCGTCACATGCGTCTGCTACAGCTTCACTGCCCCTTCTCATGTGCACCATTTGCACTCCTCATCATACCCCCCTGCGTCGGTGCCATCTGCGAATGGAGCTGCACCTCGATGCAATAGACGATAGATCCGTAATTTCCGATGTGCGCGGTTTGTTGAGACTTCTTCGAGGGCGTGTCCGGTGGAAACGTTGGAGGTCGCAAGGCTCGGTGAATCATCTCGAAGGACGACCCAGACAGCATCGAGTGCGATGGGGTGGCGCGACCTGCTCGCGTGGCTCGTGGCTTTGTTGTGAGTCGGTGTAGTGCCGTACCAGGCTGCACCGCAAATACAAGTAGAGCTTTCCCACCACGAGACGTTTCTAGAAAGCTACACGTCTCACTCTTCTCGATTCCAATCGCCCTCGTCCCATTTGCGCTCCAACCATCTCGCTTCCTTTTGCATCTCTTCCAAGCTCCTCTCTGTGCGCGTCGAAGAAGCATCCAGACCTCTTTCCGACTGCTTTGCTTGATTCTCCTTCACCTCTGCTTTGACGCCTGCTGGCTCTAGTAGAGACTTTTGCCGCTTGAAGAGGGACATGCCGAACGCTTCCAGGTGGGTGTAGATCTGTCGCGAGGGAGGAGATGCAACGTGTGAGAGACGAGCGACGTCATCTCACCGAGAGACCCGAACGCGCAAAGATCTATGTCCCGCACGCGCGCTCTGCGCTCACCTCGTCATTCTCTGCGAAATCACCTTCGCGTCGAGGCAAGATGTGCACGTGCAAGTGGGGCACGCTTTGACCTGCCAATGTACCATCCTGCACGCCGATGGTCAATGCGGAGCCCGATGTCGAAGATGATGTGCCCGCTGAGTCAGATGTGCTGCTGCTGACGGTGTAGATGTGCTTGACGAAGGAGGAGACTTGATGGACCAGCGTCCAGAAAGGCGCAATGTCTTGCGGTGGAAGATCGGACAGCAGAGGTGTGGGATGGATGGGAATCACCAGCACGTCTGATGCGAAGCAGCTGTTGCTTGTGAGCGCGAAAGGACATGTGCGTCTCGCTCTAATGCGCTCCACTCACGACCTGGCACGATGGGCTTGATGTTGACCAAGGCGACGGCGACCTCGTTCCGGGCAAACACTTGCGTAGACACATCAAAAGGCCCAAACTTGACCTGCCCCTCGCCTTGCTTCGATTGAGCAGCGCTCGACATGTTTCTACGTGCGAGCCAGGAGCAGCGCTTGGCTTTGCTTGAGGATGCTGCTAAAAGCGAATCAAAAGGCTGCGATGATCTTGCAGCTACCGCGAACAGGGCTTGGGTGGAGCTTGATCGATGCAGATTGTGCTGACAAGCTACTGCGGAGTGCGAGCGTGCTGTCAAGCAGCTTGCGACAGCCAGACTGCGAGGATGCCGTAATGTCGAGACGAGCGATTTGGCTGCACTCAACATTTCATGTTTGTGCTTGGCGCTGAGGGATGTGAGCAAGAGATGCAGATCTTTCTGGTGCAGCTGCGATCGATGGCAGTGATGGGCGTCGAACTTCGGTTCGAAAGAGGTTCTTTGCTGGTGGAAGCGATAGCTGAATATGAGTGCCGAGTTGTGGGTGCATAGCAAGCCCTGGAGTGAAGAGTCGTGATGAGTGGCCGAGTGTGCTAGCTGCTGGTGTTGTGCTGCATGACCGCTTCGTGATGCTTGATTATTCTTGATTGATCGTCGTGAAATATCTGATGAGAGCTTCAAGAGCCCACACAACAATCACGCACAGCACATCACGCATCACGAATCCAACACGAACGCGCGCGTCATGACGTGGATTCACCGAAAGCCCATGATCGCCTGCATCACGTGGGCATGCGCGGCACCGGCCTCGAAGAAGCAAGCAAGCAACAAACACGCTCTCGAGCCACCCTCTCTTTCCTCTTAATATCAGCTTCTTGAGCGAGGTCATGCATGAGCTGAGGTGCAAGCAACTCACGCTAGGAAAGCCACGATCTGCTCTGCGCTCTCTACATCCGCATCAGCACCTCTCATCACCCTAGCCGCACTCGTCTTGGGTTGAATACAACAGCGCACCGCGAACAACAACGTCTTGATCGAATTCAGCGCAAGCGACCTGCGTGGGGGGCCACAGCCCGCAGTCCATTCCGGACCCTCTTCGCCATTGACGAACTTGCAGCCATCGCAGGCAGAGCAAGATGAATTACAATGTGATCCACGACTATCTGTCGCAGGTTGGAGCTGCCTATGCCTCGCGCAGTCAGGATCCGTTCACCTTGGCCAGCCTCTTGGTCGTCGATGCTCAGAAGCACGCCTTGTTGTCCCATGCTCTGCGAGCTGTGAGTACCAGTCTGCTCGCTGACACGCGCTGGCCCCCATTCCTGCTTACCACCCTCGCCTGCAATGTTCACCTGTTTCAGCCTCAAAATTCGGATCTGCCCAAGAAGCTGCACACTCTTTTGCGCGTACAAAAGACGGACAGATTGGTGCCTTTCATCGACTCGCTCTTCAACTACTTGGCTACTCAACCTCCCACTGCGCAATTGGTAGCTCGAGGTCCTGCTCAACTGCCCATCCAGGCCTACAGACCCGCCTATGATGCTTGGGCTGCTGTTTGGACGTGAGTCGAGTCTTTTCAGCGAAGTTGGAAGAAGCGGAGGTCATAGCTGGTTGCTGTCTGGAGGTGGACGCGGTAGACTTCAAAGCGGGAAACTGCGCCATGCACGCGAACTCATTTGCACTCTTACTCCTCACATTGTACAGCAAAGCATTTGCCATCTTCTCACTGCCTGAGGCCACATGGTTCGGAGCCAGTCTCAGACACTTTGGTCTGGTGTTGCTGCATCTAGCCGTCAAGGTGAGTGGAACCGCTGCGCTTGGCTCCCGAGACTCGCCATCGTGCTCACGCTCTCCCGCACCTTTCGTGATGACGAATCAGGCTGACAAGTACCAGGTGCAAACCAGCAGCACAAAGAACCCCTGCATCACCGATGCTGCATCGAAACTGTCCAAAGCTGCTGGGCTGGCTGCCATAGATCGAACGCCAGCGGCGGGACAGGAGACCAAGCGAAGGGAGGTCTTGTGGCTGGCCAACTTGAGCTTTTACGCCTACTTCAAAGTGAGTCTTTGGAGTGTGGCGGCAATGTTGGGCGCATCGCTGACATCTCATGCCCGGCGGCTCGGTCAGCTCAACAACCTGCGCTTGTGCGATACCGTCCTGTCCTCAGTCGACAGCGCCTTCGCTTTGAACAGGCAATTCGCGCCACTCGCGACATCTGCTCTGGCAGGTGCGAACGCAGATCAGGGCGAGAGCTGCTACAGTCGAGCAGATAGGGTGACCTACAGGTACTACTTGGGTCGCTTGAGGCTCATGCAGCATCGTATTCGTGTAGTGCGTGGCCATCAGCTGCTCCTTGCTGAGGCGCAACGTACCCGCTGACAAATGACCGCACAACTGCCCCACCTTCTCCTGCGCACCAAGGCACACACACATTTGCGATGGGCCTTCGACAACTGCATCGTCTCTTCACGGAACAAAGTGTGAGTCGAAGCGCACTGCTCTCGAATTCTCTTAGGATCAATGCTGACGTCTGCCTGCACCGTAAATCGCAGCTTCATCTTGGTTCCACTGCTTGTAGCCTCGCTCATCTTGGGCCATTATCCCACGCCAGCTCTTTTGCAAGCATCGGGACTGGACCCCCAATTCGGACCTTTGGTAGAGAGACTGAGATTAGGCGATGGGGCTGGAATGTTGCAGGAGCTGAACAGGTGGAGGGAGTGGCACAGATCCAGGGGCATCTATCTTTTGCTCAGAGAGAGGCTGCAGACTGCCTGCTGGAGGAACCTTATTCGACGAACGTGAGCAGCACGCTAGAAGGTACCTCTCATCAAGGAGCCGCACGGAGCTAACGAGAATCGTGACGTTTCGAACAGTCTGCTAGTATCGCGCAAGCTTGCGGGCCAGAATTCCGGCACGGTCTCGGGCTCAGCTTCGCCCATGCCCACGAATGGTGCGGCAGCGGCGCAAGCTGGCAAAGTGGAAGCACCGCCAAACATCTATTTGAGGGAGATTCTGCCTGCTGCGAGATTAGCATGGAGGGACGAGGAGCTGACATTGGCGGATGTGGAATGCGTCGTGTGCAGCTTGATCGATCAGGTGAGCGCTGGGGGTTGAATTGCTAGAGAGATGGAGCATCCAACGCGGAACGAATTGCCAACAGCTCTTCTCCCTCTGACACTTGTCCACCAAATCGTCACGCTTTTCTAGGGCCTCATCAAGGGATACCTGATGCACAAGGCTGGACGATTGGTTCTGCAAAGAGGACCCAGCATGGGATTTGTACCTGTTGCTTCTGTACGATGAGAGTCACACGATCGCGAGACGCATCTCTTCTGAATTCGCTGCTCGAAGCGCTAAGCGCCTGCGACGCTGCTGTTGCCGCTGCCCGACCCCGCCAAATTCGAGCTTAAGCGTGCGTCAGTCAAGCCGCATGTGAGCCGTAATTGTACCGACAGAAGACTGCGATGCACGATTGGCTGCTACCGTGAATGTGTGTGTGCGTGTGTTTGTTGAATTGGCGCGACGTCGTGTGCTCCGTGGGTGTGAAGAAGGATCAGGTGCGGGCTTTGCATCTCCGACTCCACATTTCATTCACATTGCTGACTCGACTGCTGCGACGAATCACACCAGCACGTCCATGGAGTGCTCGGTGACAAAACTCCACCAACGAAAAGCCGGGTGAGCAAAAGACCGGTACCGTACCGGTATTCACGGTTCACATTGTGGGGCAGAGCTCGTACCTTGAACGGACGCGCGATCGGTGCTGCATGGTTGCTCAGCGATGCTCGACATGCTGATTCTGATGTGAAAGTCGCGATGGACCCCGAGAGGAGGATAAACCACGAATCGTGGTTTCAGACTGGCGCTTTGCCCGCGTATCACGGAACAAGGAAGGGAACGGTTGAACTCGCGATTCGCGATTCGTGATTGGCGCATGATGCATGAGTCTAACGATGCACGCCAAACGCCAACTTGCAGCTATACTGCTGCTGAGCCCGCTTGCGCACAGAGGCGGAATGGATGGAGCGCATGATGAGGCACAGCACCGCTGCAATGCCCACTCCCCACTCGATCTCGCTCGCGAACGACGACCGCCATCACGCACTCACACATCAGCTTCCTTGTCGAGGCTCGACTCGACTCACTGACTCTCTTGTCGAGACAGGGAGAAAACAATAACTCGTGACTTGTACTTGCACGTGCTCGCTCGCTGGTGGAGCGCGTGGATGCGAATCTTGAATCGAATCGACGTGCACAGGCTCAGTCGAGGATGGGTGCAGCGGAGGCGATAGCAGCAGCAAGCTATGGTTTTGGCCCGCGATCGCCGAATCGTATGCACGTCTGGCGCATGCAGAGCGGACTCTTACGCTGCGCTCGGGGGGTAGCCATGCAGCACCTACTCAGTCAGAGCCACGGGTGGGTTGTGAGCGCATTGCAGCTGGTGCTGTCCCTCTTCCAAAGCCCCCGTCCCGTTTGGCTCGGTCATGTGCTCACTCGCCCAAGCGCTGATGACACGCTAGCTCGCTCGCTGTCACGAAAGCTCATGGAAAGGCTTTTTGATCGGAGACCATCACCACATCGACACACACGTGGGCAATTTGCCTCTTGCTTCCCTTCCACATTTCCCCTTTCCCGCTTGCAAAGGGTGTTCACTGCTTCTGCCCTGCCATATCCTGCTCACAGCATCCGCAGCGTCGTCTCTCTGATTTTTGAGGCTCCAAAACAGCTGGACTGTAGTCAGCGTGAGTCCAGCTCGCTAAAATGGTATTGGTTGGCCAGTAGACACCATAACTAAGCCTCGTCTCGTCACCCTCCCTTCCTCTCTCTCTCTCTCTATCTCCAACGCAGCATCGCCACATCATGGGCATGTTCAAAGGAAAAGCCGACGGGCTGGGATCGAGCAGTCAGCCAGGTGACACTTCTCGGCGCACCATGTATGCGCGCGATGCTTCCACAGCTCCTCCCGCACACCAATATCAAAGCAGAGCGCCACAAGCGATGCCACTCGGAAACGCCTCATTCAGCGTCGCTGGCTCATTGAGCAGCTTCCCTACAGCGAGCAAAAGTGCCGGTCTGCCAGCAAAGAAAGGCGCGCGGAGAATGTTTGCTGACAGCGAGTCTGAAGCTTCACGGACGCCAGGCTCTGTTGCAACCAGCTTCTCGATGGATAGTGGGTCAGATGCGCCAGAGGAGCAAGAGATACCTTACATCGATCCTGCACAGCGGGCAGAAGAGGAGAGGATCTGGCACCAGAAGCAATATCAGTACGAGGAGGCGAAGAGAAAGGCTGCAGAGAAAGCACAAAAGGCCCAAAAGACTCAATCTAGTCGCAAGACCTTCATGTCACGCAACAACTCGAAATCCGACTTGGACGCGTTGCGCTCGCTCAACTCCACACCCCAAGTCCCTGCTCCCCCGCGTCCGTCCCTACAAACGATGAATTCGAGCTCGAACCTATCTACGCTCAGCAGCGGTACTCACAGACCAAGTCTGTCGCAAGAGAGGGCGCCGAGCGAAAGTCGAGTCGCGCAATGGGCACGCGGGACGTACGGTGAGCGTCAGCCACCAAGCCGCCAGCAGACTCTCACGCAAAGCCAACAAGGGTATGGGGACGCACCTGGTGCGGGCAACGCAACTCATTGGCAAGGAGCAACGGGTCAGGAGTACGCTCGACAGGTGCGCGAGAGGTGGGATGACTACGAGTCTCGTCATCCACAGGTGGTGCATCAGCAACCCGCACAAGCGACCACTACTTCAAGTCGCTACATGACCCCTGGGCCAGGGTCTGACTCGCACCATCCTGGAGCTGACAGGTATCGCAACTACGCTCAGTTCCCGCGCGACCTGTCATCCCAAGCTCCGTTTGGCGATGTGAGCAGAGACGTGCCGGAATCTGCTTCTTGGCATGGCCACGGAGTTGCGCCCGGCCCGCCACGCTCTGGTCAGATTCACGGAGGCTATTCTGAAGATCTGACTTCTCCAGCGCAGCTGCAACGCTACCCCTCGCATCACACGGTGGAAGCGTTGCCTGCACGCAGCGCTTCCGCTTCCCTAGAAGATGCGCACCGTTTGGCGAGTGCTTCTCAGCATCATGGGGGGGGTCATTCGCAGCATCCGCCAGCGCTTCGCTCTGCATCGTTTGATGCGACCGATGCTGCCAGCATGGTGCCAAATCCCCACATTAGGTCAGCGTCTGCGACACAGCTTCAGCATCCTGCCTCACTGCTGGCCAATCGCCCGCAAGCTCAGGGATCAGGCTCGGGCGCGCAGGTCTCCCGCATCAACACCAACGTGTACGATCACTCGCACGCACGCATGGCCGTTCCGGCTTCCCAGGCATCCGCTGCGCTCGTTGCCAGTCCGAATGGTAGTCTCAGTCCGAGCGCAGGCTCCAATTCCTCTGCACGCAATGCAGCGCTCCGCGCAGTGTACGGCTCAAGTCCTTCTCAAAGCCCGATCCCAGAGAGACCGAGCAGTGCAGCAAGTCACTGGTCGAATGGTTTGCCATCGGCTCTCCAAGCCGGTCGCGAGTCTCCTTCGTGGCATTCCCGTCCGCGTCCGGCAATGGGAAGGGGTCTCGACGAATTTGGCAATCTGCGTCCCCCTCAACAGCAAGTGAGGTCAGAGACGCCAAGTAAAGAACCCCTGCGCTCCGTCATGGACTCGCCCACGAGCGCTCGGGCTAGATCGCCCTCGATTGCCTCTCGCGCCGGCACACCAATGCAACAGCAGTCTCTACGCCACCAGTCCTCCATCAGCAGCCTCGACTCGATCGGCGAGATGAAGCCTCGTCGTGCGCCTGCACCTCCAATTCAGCAGACGCCAGCCGCAGCGCCTGCAGTGACGAAAGCGCCTGTTGCTCCTCGAGCTGAGAATGTGGCTGGCGGCGAGAGCAAGCCGAGCGGTGCAGCGGCGGTCGCGCCTCCCGCTGCGCTGCCTGCGACTTCCGACGCAAACGTGGGCGAGATTAATCGATCAGCCTCACGGCTCACTCGAATTGCTGGACCAGATCGCACACTCGAGTCTCGACGAGGGACTCGTGGCGCCACAAAAGACGGATCGAGCTTTACCGCTTCGACAAGCGGTCTGCCCCTGCCTCTCTTGGCTGGAATCTCCGATGCTCAAAGAAAGCAGGAAGAAGAGGAGAGCACGAAGAAGAATCGCGTATCTGACTCGAGCAGCAAAAGCGGCGCATCGACGAACTCGAACGTTCGCTCGAGCCAGCCGACCAATCCTTTACTGGGTGTTCTTTCTGGGCCTGCATCAACATCCACGGAAGAGAAGCATGACAGCGTGCCAGGCAGCACAGGCACATCGATCGCCGGCACAAAGAAGTTTTCGCCCATCGAAAAGCCAATAGGAGGCTTCGCTCATGGGCTCGCCTCCAGCGTAGACCACCGATCCGGCAAAGTGAAGGCCGTGCCGGAGCACAGCAAAGCGTCTCACAGCCGTAGACCATCTGAAGGGGGTGAGCGAGCACCTGCTGTTCTTCGAGACGGTGTCTTTGGGTCTAGTCAATCTGTCCCTCCCCAAGCGGACCAGGGCCGCGTGCGTCAGCCGACGACAAGTTTCGGCAGCATTAGCAGCTTGAATCCTGTCGAGAGTGCGCCGCCGCCATACGTTCCAGTACCCGAGAGTACTCGTGCGGCTCTACAAAACGAGAAGAGTGGGTCGGATGGTCGCCAGGCGCAGGCAGTCTTCGCCAGTGCGGACACGACTGCTAGCAGCAGCACTGGGACAGGCCAATCTGGCAAAGGTAGGGCATCCATCTCTTCGCTTGCAGCTCCAGCAAGACCACCCCGTCGACAGGCTAGCTCTTCCACAATCGACTCCGACGCAAATCTAAAGGCTTCAAGAGATGCGTCAACTTTTGCGAAGGCTGTACCCCAAGCACCCATCCTCGACGAGCCGGGCAAGACAAGCTCTTCTACCATCTCGACAGTAAAGCCAGAGCGCAAAGCACCTCCCACATCGATCAAGACCGGCGTCAAGCCGTGGCAATCAGGACCAAAGTCTGCCAGTGGATCAAGCGCGATGCCAGCGGCACCACGATCCGCAGTGGTGCCGCCTAAAAGCGCTCGAGCACCACCAGCCGCTTTTCCCAAAACCGCCAAGCCTGCCCTAGCGAGCGAAAGCTCAGAGGGCGCAGCGTATGTCCGCGCTGAGCGCCATCCGAAACCGTCGTTTCCTCCTGTGAAGACGCCGACCACCCGAAGACCGAGCTCCAGCGCATCTAGGACCTCGATCGCGGGTCCATTGCTTGCAGGCGCCGTGTCGGGTTTGAAGACGCCCCGCAACGTCCCTGAAACCGAGTCGAGGGGAGATGGAGGGATCGATAGTCGAATGACAGGTGAAACTTTGGATGCTGATAGTGCCTCCGCCGTCGATTCTGGGCCGGAAGAGGAGGATGATGCACCTATCTTGCCCGAAATCCCACGAGTGTCCGCCGCGCCGCCACGCCTGGATTTCAACCTCGAAACGTCGCTGGACACGGAGCTCAACTCTGCCTGGGCTTTGCTGAGCGAAGCAGCCGCGACAGAAGAGGCTGGCGTCGGAAGGGATGAGCCAGATGAGCAGCAGCCGCCTTTGGCGCCCGAGCCAGTAGTCTCAGCCTCACCTGCAGCGATCACCCGAGCTTTCAGTCGATCGCGCCCGCCGACCGCTTCCTCGATTCCGTCCTCCACCGGCAGATTTGTGCCTACACATCGCCCAAGCCCTTCTCTCGACGCCAGCGCCCGATCCAAAGCTGGCGCGCTTCACGTAGACACCACCCCGCTCGCCGCCTTCAAGCTGGGAGTGGCTACTCAGGGTCGACCGCAAGAAGTTCGAAGAGTGCTCAAGAGCGGTCAAGCGCATGCTGAAAGCTCGTCGGCATACCTGAGCGCTCTGAACTCCGCTACTCCGCCCAGCACGGCGTCGCCTGCTCGGTTCGAGAGTGCACTCTCGAGTGACGCGGCAGAGGAGTCCGAAGCTGAGACGACGGCTGCTCAGTCTTCTTTGGCGGACGCTCGTGGTGGCAAGGTACACGCAGAGGCTGATGTCTCCAACACCCCAACATCGGCTTTGACAAACAGTCGCAGCCCACTTTCTGCTCTCTCGAGCAGCACACCAGGCTCGTCGGGATCCGAGCTGGAATCGCTCACTCCCTTCTTCGCAAAGTTCAACCGAGCGCACATGGCGCGCTCGGAATCCATGTCCAATGTGGAAAAGGTCTTGCCTAGGATTCCGCCGGCTGGGGAGATGAGCCCCCTCTTCGCCAGTCTGCTTAGTCCCACGGAAGCGTCTGCCGCGCTCGCCCGTGGATCGGGCCGCAGGAGCACGTCCATCAGCTCTCCAAACGAGGCGGTCAAGGGTGCTCTTCCCGCCGTCGCTCGACACAACCTTGTCCACCTTCCTGTCAGAAAAATGAGCTTGCGCAGCTAAATCAAACGCGCTTTGCATCACCATCTTTACACACTCTTTACGGTTCCCACTCAACCCTCCAACTTTTCTGTGCTCGCGCGAAATTCTCTTCCTTTGTATACCCTTTAATCTATCGTGGCCTCACCTGCGCTATGCCGTACTTCCGCGACAACACCCTTCCTCGATGATCTTGGTCAAGGCGACACTACTGTGACTTTGCCTGGCCTGTATTGCGTCAGTCCCCCAAACATTGAGATGCAACGAGAATGCTTGCATTTCGAATGCTACAATATCCTGACTTTGCCCGACAAGACGAGGTGTCTGACTGCTCTCCATCTAAAGAGGTGAATCGATCCTTTTGTCATATTGGTAGATTCGTCATCCAATATCTTGAGCATTCCACAGTCCTTGAGACACCTGACAAAGACCGGAGCATCGGGATCCGGAACATCCACCATGCCGGATCTGCCGTCCGTATTTCCCGCTCCCGTTCCCGCACCCGTATCTTCCAGGCTGCGCATGTGGAGCGGCAAAGCGTCTAGCACGGTCGTCTGAAAGTGCGACGAGCGAAGCTGATGAAAAGCCTGGGCGTAATTCTGCTCGAGCGGAGAGAGTTGGGACATGGCGTGCGCCGAGGCGCTATTCTTCTGCACCAGGTACGCTGCGAGATGTTCGATCTGCGGTTGGCGAGGCCAGGAAGAGGAGAGAAGAGGTTCAGCGACGCTCAGCAGACTTGATCACATGTTGCTTGAGGAAGCTCCTGTCCTGTTCCGCTCACCTTGGCTATCCGACATCGCAAGTAAGCTCTCAGCAACCATCTGGCCCGTTCGATGTCCAGAGCGACGATACCCAGACGAATGTGCTCCTCCTCCGATGTCGAGGTGTCGCCTGACAACGACTCCAGAATGGCCTAAAGTCGTTGATGGCAGATTGCGCATCGTGAGCAAAACTGGAGCTGGCTACCGCATCGCAGTCTCCATGAACAATTTGTAGGCAGCGATAGCCGGCGCCGACATGCTAGCACGTCATCTCGCCCTCGCAGCGCCCGCATGACCCTTCCCTCATGTTCCATGCGACTCACTTCTTGCCCTTCGATCATAGCACAGACGCTATCCACCGTATCGCCGCTCCACTTCAAAACCTCTGGAGAACCTCTCTGTGCGACCCAATCATCCTGCAGCTTCTCGATGGGCGACTTTCTCCTCCTTCTACCCGCCCCACCGCCTTGCTCATCCACCGCTCCATCCCAGTCCAGATCTTCTCCTTCCTCTTCCTCGCCGTTTTCCTCTCCCATCCATTCATCATCCAGGTCCGCATCCGCTCTAGCAGTTCCAGCACCTCCGGACATTTCGCGCCCATCCGCTCTGGCCCTTCTGTTCCCTCTGCCGGGCGACAAGAAAGGATTGTCGGACCTGAACGCGTCCCTGTTCGCTCTGCTAGTCTGCGGGTCATTTGCCGGTCCATCTCTGCGATGCAAGGATTCCTCAAAGATCAAATCATGCCCCGGCTCTACTTGGCTTTGCGATGAGGGAGCGCCGAAGGTATTGTGATCGTAGCTTTGGTCGTGAACATTCCGAGAGGTGGAAGCGTCTGCTGTGCCTGTTTCGCTGGATTGACTAAGAGGATGAAAAGACTGCATTGTGGCTTTGAGATGGGCGCTTGCCTGATGGTTGGCCCTACTGGATCGTTGAATGGATTGAGTGACGACAGCTACTTGCACCTTTGCGGCTCGAGTGAGGTCAAGAGGGGAGATCGTGGCAATGCTGAAATTTGCAAGTCCGCCACAACTGAGTGCTGCCACGGAGCCTTTCGAGCTTGCAAGTGTGTTGCGTGAACAGTCGACAGTCGGAGCTTGCGGAAGGATGAGAAGGTATTGCAAGCCAAAGGGAGCGGACTGGAGCTTCTGAGTGGTGAAGTGAAGGAAAGATCGGACGAAGCACAGTCCACACCTTTCAAAGCTGCTTTCGCTTTGACCTGAGCAAGATGTTGTGTGCATGCAAGTCACAACGTCGAGGAGCACGTTACGTGACGCGGATCGCGAGGCCAGCTTGTTCAAGATTCGCATCGCATCGCATCGCATCGCCCAACTCGCGGTGACCAATTAACACACATCATCAAGCAGCGCGACGCGTTATTCCACCGCGCTCAACCCACGCGCGCGCGCGCGCTGCTCTCCCTTTTCCTCTCTCCCTCTCTCAATTTACGCGATCTCAACGCGCCCAAAGCGGACCGCGGTATACTCACGCACCCGCTGCTGCTGCATGGTAATTCACGATTCTTCGCTCTATGCGCATCGACTATACCGCGATCGACTCTCTACATGCTATTTGAGCGTACGATTTGCTCACTTGCACAACGAGGCCGTCATCCCAATAAAGTGTCCCGGTAAAGAGGTCTTCACTCGCTCCTCACACACACACACACACCACTCGTGCTGCCCAAGCGTCTTTGCTTTGCATGTGCGTGCCATCGATGCCGAGCGCCGATCTTTCACTCTTCATACACGCCTGCCCGGCCTGTTCTCTGCCTCATCGCCTGAAATCCCGAGCTAGAGCTGCTCCGACGCCATCGCGACGTTCAGAAGGCTCTTTGCGCAGAAACATGACAGTTGCTACACGCCAGTCGAGTCCTGCAGCAGAGCGTGCCTGATGACGTGATGATCATTGCGGGGACTCCGTTGAGTGTGAAGAGCTGATGCCGAAAAGCAGGAGGAGGTCGAGTACATTTTGAATGAATAAGAGAGAAAAGGGATGTCCAGAAGAAGGGGCGGCACAGAACTGGTGCATCGTGATGCGCGGTGCCAGTGTGCAAGGCGTGATTCATGAGGGAAAGGGGGGGTATTGGGTTATTAGTGTTCGATGCGTGCGAGGCAGCAGTACGGAATGTTCGAGCGGTGATGCGGTACTGAGCAATTGGACATAGGTGCTGAGCGATGTAGCGCCCACTCTACTCTGCAGAATGCTTGGACAGCTTCCTGATCGAAGGGCCGTACTTGACCAGCACGAAGGGGATGGGCAGCATGAGGAGGGCAAGGAAGCCGAGCAGACTGCTAGCCCACTGCGTGCCCAATCGTGCGTACATCTGTGCCGCAAAGAGCGGGAATCCAGCGCCAAAGGCTGAACGCATGACGGTGTTGCTGGCAAGGGCAGAGGCGGCCTTGGCCAGGTACGAGTCGATGATGTAGTTGAAGAGGCCCAAGAAGATCAACAGGACTGCGAAACCCAACAATGAGAGACTCATCATGGGCGCCCAGAAAGAGATGGACGGGTAGCTGGTCCAACCCAACCAGAAGAAGCTGACCACCAGACAAGGTGCGGCGATGCACACAATGTCCAAGCGCTTCTCGGGCGGCACCCTCTGACCCTTGGCTGCGTACTCGTCCACCAGCTTGGTGTATTTGGGATTGGTGAAAAAGACGTAGAACAGGCAGCCTGCCACTCCGCCCAGGAAGAGAGGAATGAACATCAAGCCGTTGACCAGACTGTTGAAGCCGTGTCCTTGCACGAAGACGATGGGCACAGACTCGAACTGGAGATAGATGAGACCATAGACGAAGCTGCGTTCGTGCAATATGAGAGGGGTTAGCACAGATTGACCGAGTGATTGTGTCGATGCATGATGCTCACCTCAAGTAAAGACCCATGGCAATGAGAATGGGCTCCTGGAAGAGCATGATGAAAGGGAACGCGATAGTATCGTGCAGAAGTGTCTTTGGCTTGAGCGGGTTCAGCTCCAAAGGCGCCTTGTACTTGTCGTCCGACGTCTCTTTTCTGATTCTTTGCGCCTTCTTCTTGAGGATTGCTGGAGCGTACGTCTCCTTGAAGGTGAAGATGGTAATGACGAGACAGACGCCAGAGAAGATGGCGCAGACCCAGTACACCCAACGCCAGTCCGTGTTCGTCACTGCAATGGCGCCAGAGACGATGGGTCCGACAGCTGGACCAGCAAAAGGAGCGACTGAGAAGAAGCAGAGCGCGATGCCTCTCTGCTTAGGGCCCCACACATCGGCGATCACACCTCCCGAGTTGGTCAGAGGTGCTGCTCCGAATGTGCCTCCCAAAAATCGGAAAACGAGAATCTGGGCGGTGTTCTTGGAGAGGGCACAGCCAATGTTCCAGCAAGTGTAGGCAAAGATGGAGATGATGAAGACTGGTCTACGGCCAACGCGCTCTGAGAGGGGACCCCAGATAAGAGGACCAAGACAGTAGCCTGCAACCCAAAGACTGATCGTGAGAGTGGCCACCTCGGATGAAAATTGGAAGTAGGCGATCATTGGCTCCACGATGCCTGAGGGTGCGGAACTGGTGAATGTGGAGTTGAGAACGAGCAGTGCTCCCATGATTGTCAAGTACGCCTTGTATGCGTTTGACCAATTCTGGAGTGGAGGAGAACAAAGCGGGGCGCGGCCATTAGCAACGCGAATCGCCTCACTTTGGCTGCTCGAATTGCGTATTCATGCCGATACTCACTTGCGGATTCTCGGGATCATCTGCGCCTTCCCAATGAACAATGACTTGATCCTTTCCAGCTTGACTCTTGAACCTTTCCAATTCCAGCTCTTCCCTCTCCTGGCCGAGATCGCCTCCGAACGGATGCGCACTCTCCATGCGGCTTGGTGTCCGCGCGCTGAAAGTTCTGCTTGCGGCAACAGCTCCGCTTTCGCCAGGGGCGCGATAGACGGGAGGTTCATGAAATGTGGTGGATGGTTGTCTTCTTTCCATTGCTTCCGCTTTTGGTGAATCTTCCTTCAGCTCCTCCTTTTCATTATCCGCCTCATGGTGGCCAGAAGAAGTGGTCGCTGAAGAAGCGGCTACGGGTCGCTCTGCGTCACCCTTCTCGGTAACGTCGGCTGCGTTTGTGGACGCCATGCTGGATGATGCTTGACTGCTGCGCCTAGAATGCCTGGTCGCTGCGATGGGTGGCAGTGCAGGTGTGTACCTGTCAGGATTGGAGGTGCGCGATGTCGGCGAGCGGGGTGACTCTGAAGACATGGTGTCAGGGTAAAAGGCACAAGGCAGGCTATCAGTATGTGCGGGGACGTGGGCACTGGTGCGTGCGTTTGCGCTAGACGCTGGACGCTATGAGGAGTCTGGCTTGCGATGCTCACCTTTACTTGGGACCGAGGGAGAGCGAGCTTGACTCTTTATAGGAAGTTGTGGGATTCGAGAAGGGGGAACGAGAAGCAGGATGATCGATGTGATGTGCTGGTGGATTCAGACCACCGAACGGAAAACGTCGACCGAAGTTGTTATGAGCGAAAATTCGAGGAGCTAAGACATCCTACGTCAAACTCGACCGAAGAGTTCTGCAGTCAAGAGCAAGTCAGAGGTCGGAACAAGTTTGTTTGCCTTAAATTGTGGCGCGCGCGTATGCGTGAGGGCAGCGAGTAGTTCGGTGCAGTCGTGCACGCATCGGTGGCAGCAGCAGCAGCAGCAGCAGCAGCAGACCGCTTTCCTGAATCCGGATGAATTTCCGGGTCCACCGAACCGCCGGATTTTGCGAAGGAGAGAGAGGCTCAGCCAAAACTCGTGACTAAGAGATGATTACCTGTACTCACGACTGAAAGGCTCATCAAGCTCGACTCGCGACTACAGTACTGACATCGTGCGTCAGAGCCCGCCGCATCGCGTCGCGTCGGGGCGTGTGCGTGCGTATCTGCTGTTGTGTGTCATGGATGCTGACATTTGCCAAAGCTCAGCTCACTCCGGAGCCCGCTAGCAGACATGCAGAGGCTAGATGCATGAGAGCAGCAGCACGAGATGATGCGCGGCACAACCTGATGCCGTGCTTCACTCTGCCTCACGGCGCTTCACGAGTCACGATCGAGCGCAGCCGCTCGTGGCTGGTTGGTTGGTTTGGTTGCATGCAGATCGCGAATTGGGCCCAACCGGCCCGCCCTCACCGGTCGCTTGCTCAGATCCAATTTGATTGCCTTCGGAGACTTTTCAGCGAGCATCTGCTGCTTGATGCTTGTCATGCTGCCGATGGAAAGATCCCAGCTGCCCAGCTCTGATATTCGATTGCCCCATATACTGGAAGTCTGAGAAGAGCTCGGCCAATCTGCCTTGCTTCTGGGCCGGTTCCCAGGCAAACGACGGCAGTGCGAAATCTGGCAAACCACACGGAATGGTATAGGAGTGGCAGAGGCAGTGGCAGTGGCAGTGGCAGTGACTGCAGGAATCGAGTGCTACAGATTTGGCTGCAAGGGACAGCCTCCATCGTACGCTATCATGCTCCCGTCATCAACTTCCCCGATCGAGCTTTCTGTCAGCTGCTTCAACATGAGCCGTCTCCTTTAACTTTCATCAGGAAGCGCGATGGAAGACGGACGGGCTTACGGTAATCACTCCGTTCATGAGCAAGTTACGCGCACATCCTGCATGCCATCTCGTCCGCACTTCGGCTCTCTTGGTGGTCGTGCTTTTTCCAAGAGGCGGGCCAAGTCAGCCCAAGGTTAGCAGTCGGCATAATACTTGATGGCATCAGTAGTCAGCAGTCGTGAGTGCTGCTTGAATTCCAAGTGCTCTGTCGCCAAGGGACAGAACGACAGTGCAGAAAAGCATTTTCATGAGTCACGACGATGCCCCATATCCGTTTCCACCTCGGAGCGCCGTCCGTGTGCTGATGTATCATTCTGTCAGTGGCGCACCTTCAGCTATACAGCATGCTGCTCAAGCTCCACCAGCATTATTATCGCGCCTGTGGTCCCAGCATGCCATGCAGCAGCATCAACTGTTCCGGCGAAGGACAGGCACAAAAATTTCGTCGCCTCTTATCACGCTTATTTCCGGCCCGAGCTCAGGCCGCTGCTGATGGTTCTCCCGGGCTGGGGCCTTCCTTGCATGCTGGACGCCGCATGCAGCAGCAGCAGCAGACGCGTCGGGGCGGACATCGTCGGCCGGCGCGTGCCGAAGAGCCAACTGGCGTGCGCCCATCAGCGTGTAGGCGCTCCTTATCCTTTGGCTTGCTCCCCTTCGTCCTCTGCGGTTGACCACCCAGCTGATGAAGAGCAATCTTGAATCTTACTCTCCAGTAGCTCACACGAGGATTGTCAAACCAAGGTGCGCTCCAGACGAATGAAAAGGTCCGCTTGCACCATGGAGTGTTGGACTGACGCTCTCGAAGTGAGCAGGGGCTGTGAGGCATTCGAGATTATGCATGCATGGTGAGCAGTCCGTGAATCCAACTCATCACGTGATCTTAAAATTCCTGCGATTCTTGATTTTGCGCAGTCAGGTCGAAATAACTTGCTGCGAGCGCATGTTACGCAGCGTCCAGAGGGGCATACATGCCAACTGCATCGGCCATCCATCCAACTTGACGACTCTCACCACGATATAGCTCTTCAAGTGTTGCCAGTCGTGACTGCTGCCGAGGACCACAATCCGCCTTGCCAACATACCAGGAACAGACTCGCACGCGCCTTTGTCGTAAAGATGGCCAAGTCACTTCGGTCCAGGGCCAAGCTGGCTCACAGACAAGCAAAGCGCACGAATCCCAATTCTGACTACGCCATCACAAGCGCAGCCAGGACAAACGCGATTGCACAGAGGCTAGCAGCCCGCATGAACATGCCCAAAGAGGCTCACAAGGATGGCGAACTGGATGCAGAAGAACAAGAGGAGGGCGAAATGGGCAATGCTGCGCAGGGTGAGCATCCACGTCGCGAATCTGCTGCAGTGTCACCAGAAGCGCTCGACTGGCAGCTTTTTGGTTTGTTAGATCCGGATTGCTTGGTCGTTGCGCAGGCAGCTGTATGCACAGATTGTCTACAGCATCCATCTCCAGCACCCTCCTTGTTCGAGTGGCTCGTGTCGTCGCGCCAGGAAAGCGATCCGATGGATCCCGTATCTCATCGCATGCCTACCGCGTGTTTAGACAAGCTTTGCTAACGCTTTGCTTACTGCATCCTCGTGCGCATCCACTTCAGCGATGGAAACGGATGCTGGTACATCCGCAAAGCCAGAACCGTCGGAACGTATCTCGACGGGAGGAGCCAGGGAAAGTGGAAGGGAGACGTGGCGCAAAGCCCGAGGTATGAAGGTCAGGAAGTCTCACAATCCTACTGGATTCGGCGCTCGCAGCAAGAATGGCGGCAAGACGAAGAGGCGAAGATGAATCATGGGGTGGCAGACTAGACTCTCACAACCATCATTCACGCATACATGCCGTCTGCAGGATCTCGTGCCGGGCTCCATCGCAGCGCCCAGCATCTTGGCACATTCAGGTACCAAGCTCACTCGTGTAGAGCGCGAGACGAAAGTCGTGGCGTCATCGAGCGACTCTCGAAAATCGAGTCTGCTCGACAAATTCTGATTGCTACACTTCACACCAATGCTCCTCTATCATAATTCTCCCCTAAGATCTTGTGTTCTGACGTTCGTCATCGCCCCCGCGGCCATCTCGCCAGCACGGTGACAATGTCTCAAGACCAAGACCAGGCGACTCGCGGCGAAGCTTTCAGCATGTACAACACCTTCAACCAGAGACAGTCAGCGGGTTCATAGCGCGACTCTGCGCAATCTATGGCTCTTCGCTGCACTCAATGCAGTTGACTATCGATCATTCTGCCTCGACTATTCGCCTCCACAGTCCACATTATCCGAGGCGCTGTTATTCTGTTACAGGTAGGTCAGCTCTTGCGCACTTGATTGCCTACTTCATTCTTCTCAAATGCCCAGAAGCCGCGCTGCGCGCGCACATGCGCGCGCGTCAATCCAACGGCTCTTGGTCTCGCGTCGTGTCGTGTAAATTGGGTCTGCTCTTTCGCACGGGAGCTCAGAGCTGAGTGGAGTGGTCGTCCACGGACCACGAGCGAAGTCATCGCGCTGATCGTGCTCGCCCTTTTATAGCGTTCCCCTTCAGTCTCAGCTTCTGCCTTCGTGACCCTTCTCACCACACTGAACCAGCTCACCGTCATTCAGGTTCCTCCCGGTCTACAAAGCAAAGCAGCTGAGTAGTGCCGTTCATCCAGCCGACCCAGCTTTCCACCACACAGTCGCCACCGCGTCGACCACAACCTCTTTGAAGTCAACGCCTCTCTCTCCATCGTCATCGTCACACCCCAGCGAGGGGTCGGCGCCCGGCGTCGCCGGCGCCGAAACGCTGCTCAGGGTGAGCGCACACTCGTCACTGACTTCCCTTCCCTCACCAGTGCCGTCATGAGCTCAGGCCGTCGTCACCTGTTTGGACAACATGATCAACGTCACGCGGACCATGAAGGGCTGTCGATCACTTCGCCCTTGCCGCGCGCCCACAACGAATCATCGCCCTCGACTGTATCGCTGACGACTGCACCTCCCCCTCAAACCGTTCAATCGACTGGATCAGACACGTTCACAAAATCAGAATCTGGATCATCGTCGCACACACGCCGAGAGGTGTCTCCCATGGGATCTATTGGTCGCCTGCGCCACATCTACTCCCTCCATTCTCTTTCGTCGCGAACCTCTACGGACGACACGCCTACCAGCGTACCCTTCCCTCCACCGCCCGGGCAAGAGCATCGCCGTTCAACGACACAAGCGAATCGCATCAAGACCTCGCACGTGCGATCCACGGGCGAAGCAACGCCGCTACCAGCACCAAACTATTCCAGCTCATGGCAAGACTGCTGTGCCACGCCTTTCGAAAGTTTTCGCACCTACTTTGATCACGCCAGCAACACCGAGCGCGACCCTCATCCATCTGCCCCCTTGTCATCGAAAGACGCACCAGACGACGGGTACTTGCATCAGCTCCACGCATACTCGTTCGACGCATCTCAGTCTGCACCGTTCAGCCCGTCTGTGGAGTCGACAGCATCTCCTTCCATCGATGGGGACGCCACTACTGAGGAATCTACCACTGCATGGCGCGCACCAGCTCGCATTCGTGTCATCACGCCGGCTGGAACGGTTCAGGAGACTAGTCCTCGAGCCGGAAGACCTTTGGCATCATTCGTTCACCATGCAAGCCTCGATGCCTTAGCTCACGCGGGCCATCAAGCTCCTCTCGTGTCGCCACGTCAGCGCCAACAGTATGACGTGACATCCAATTTCGACAGTCGCGGCAATCCGACGCAAGATGATCCGGCTTCTCCCTGCCGACCCGGCACGCCTTTGCCTCCAGAGCTCTTCGAACGACGTCCGACTGGCACTGCTGGCCGTCTCCAACCACTGGAGCGTCCGGAACCTGGCAAGCTCGTGTCATACTACCGTGTCGAGCCCCACCCAAGCATTCCTGGTGACGAGGTGATGATGTGGCACGGTTCGGATCTTTCACCATACACCTCGTCGACGGGTGCTCCACCATCAAGCGCGACGGAGCTTGCGCCTACTATCGGGGTGGATGAACTTGTCGACCTCTTGAGCAATTCTCGCCGACCAGCCGCCCCGATTCAGACCGATGCGGCATCCACTTCATCGGACGAGACTTGCTGGAGCCAGGAGAGTCATCCAGATAACCATCTCCCTCCCTATCATTCTGCGAACTCCTCGGATGATTTGACAACTCAACGTGGTGGACCCGCTCTCAATATATCTGTCCCTGCCTCCAGTCATGTGGTGCGCCGCACAGTCAGCTCCGAGCAACTGGATGAGCCGCAGCCCAATGTCCCATCTCTATCGCACCAAGCAAGCGCCGAGTGGAATCTGTTTGATGAAGAAACGCCGAACACGGCGCCGCCGAGCGAGCGCTTCCCAGCGCCCAGCGAGCGCTTTCCTTGGTCGGCCGTGCCCGCCATCTTCGCAAAGTTACCGTCGCCACCGCCTCCACAAGATCCGAACAACCTGATCATGAAGCCTCGAACGCAGGAACCTCGCTTTCCTGAGGATTTATACACCCCACGTTGGGTACGAGCTGGGCGCAAAAGCGTCGTCAAAGCTGATTCTGGAACGAAAGAAGGTTGGTGTGGGCTTTGCACCCTCGAAGGCGAGCAAGGCGACCCCGCTGAAAATGGAGGCAGCTGGCACAATCTCCGAAACAGTAGGTGAGTGTTTTTGCTGAACTACACGTGCTCTATACTATGCTGAAACACGCTGTACTCTTTCATCAGCTGGCGATACCATATGCTTAGGTTAGTGGCAGGTTGCTCAGCGTCAGACCACCGTCCATGGGTCGAGCAGCTCACGTGCGGTGTCTGTCTCATTTCTCACAGAGTGCATGGCATTGGGGCGCGCTCAGGCTGTCCGGTACGCGAGCCTGTCGAGTTACACAGTGTGCCCCAACTAGAGAAGAAGATGCGAGGAAGATGCTACTATTGCAGGTGAGTGGCATGGCAGCTTCGTCACGATTCGCTGGTCTCACATCCCCCATGCCTGGCATCGTATCCAGCCAGTGGATCGTTTTCGACGCCACTTTTCCACCTACCAACTGGTATGTGCACGCAGGTGAGCATGCGTCGATGGTTTCAAGACTCGTGCCACTACTGACGCGACTGCCTGCGATTGTCATTCAGGTCAGTGCAATTCAGACCAATCGGATGACCGCGCCTTCGACGTCGACGACAGCGTTGCGCTCGTCGAGGAGGAGCAGCAGCCGCTCGATGCGGCCACGAAGAAGCTGAAACGCAACACGCAGGCTACGTCGTCGCCGGTCTCGAAGACCAGAAGGCTCAAGTCGATTTTCTTGCGACGTACCTCAACGAGCGCTGAAAGTACCGCAAGCTCTTCAACTCCAGCGCGTACCCCTCCAAGCGCGACGCCTCCCCCGAGCACTTGGCCAGCAGCTGTGCCTAGCAAGCATGCCATGAATACTCGAGCTCGCCAAAAGTTGGTCCCGGTGGCAGAAGAACCGGCAAATGCGCTTGTTCCGAGTGGGGACGACCACCGCAGCGGCATTTCGGATATGGCGGAGGGCTGCGCCAACGAAGACCGCTTGATGGTGTCGGCTCTCCATGCCTACATGCACTACAGCGTGCCCACTAGGCTGGGCGAGTCATCATGGCGCCAATACTCGCCTCTGGACTCTCAAGACGACTCCATCCGTGAGCGACAATGAATGACACGGCGCTGTGCATTCGTATCTACGAGCAATCGCAAAGCGAAATTGTCTACAAAGGCGCAACATTGCCAATCGATCTGTACAGCCCACATTTTCAAATGTTCCAAAGCCCAGTCAGTCTCGCAATCAAATCAAACAGAGGATCTCATCTACCGGCATCTCTTCTGGTACAAGAAATCGCATCCTCCATCAGCATATGTACACTTATCCACAAATTTAGCATATCAATAGGCAATCATCCCACCCGCAGAAGTCGGGTCGTGAACAGAAAGAAACTGATTGGCTGACTGACTGGCTGGCTAGCTCAAAGCATGTGCATTTTGTGACGCGTAGGTGAGCCTCGACGGAAGGAGATAGAGCAACAATCAGTGCGCGTGTCGGGGAAGCCCAAGGTGCGATGGTAAAGCGAGAGATCCGACATTATTGAGCATCGCAAAGAGTGAGCTGCAGCTGAGCTGTCAAGTGACGAGCGTCGCGAGGAAGCGAGGTGCGGGAGCTCCATTCATAAGTCCGGCTTGGGCGCAGCCTTCTTGACGCTGGCATTCGGTGACGCTGCTGGCGCAGGACTGCTTTTCCGGACAATTTGCAACGAATTGGCAATCTTCTTTGCCAGAGCATCTGGACCCGAGCCGAAGCCTCGTTGCACTTCTCTGTTCCCGCGAGCCTCCTCCAGAGCGCCTCGTCCGCCTGCACTGGCCTTTCTTGCGGCCGTTGAGAGCTGTCCGGAGAGCACAATGTACTGGATGCTGCCCCATTCCCACAGCTTCCTCTCGAGCCAATTAAGGTCTGTCCACCAACGAGCATTGCCAGTGATCAGCACACAAAAGACAAAGACCTGATGCATGACCTTCTGGAGATCCACTCACCGACTGGCTTGTTCAGGAAGTCGTTGCAGCCTGCTGCAAGGGCAGCTACTCGATCACTGTTGAGGACTGATGCCGTCAAGGCTACGATGATCACTGAGGCGCGGAATGGAGTAGCTGGAACGCTGAAGGCTTCGCTAGCTTGCTTTGCTGGTGTGATTTGTTCGGCGTTGACGCCCGTGACAACCTGGCTAGCGGGCGGTGTGGTAGAGGGTAGTCCGACGTTGTCCATGCGCTCCAATTTTCTGATCTCTTTGGTTGCTTCAATTCCGTCCATCACAGGGAGTTGAATGTCCATCTGAGGGGAGAGACCAGTATTTCAGCTAGGAGTCCAGTTCATTTGTGCAGTACAGACGTACCAAGATCAAGTGGAAGCCCCCCTTGGCCCACTTGTCGATCGCTTCCCGTCCGTCTCGTGCAGCTTCCCACGAAATCTGCTTGCGCTTCATAAATTTCTGCAAGATAGCCTGATTGATCGGATTGTCTGCAGAGTTGTGGATCAGGCGCACACGCGTCAGCATCAGTGCGAGTCGATGTCTGACTACGTCATCCTTACCTTCTACGATTAGCACCTTGATAGGCGGTAGCACTTTTTGGCGAATCGGAGCAGGCTTAGGTCCAGTGCCCTTCTTCGCCTTGGGTGCAAACCCAGCACCAATAAGAAGGCCAGACTGCGGTTGTGCGCTCGGCCGCCGGGACTCTTGACTCTGAGGCGCGGCGAAAGAGTGTCTAGCTGCACTGATGGGATCTATCGCAGCGACTGGTGATTCAGGCATCCTAGCTCCCGCTTCGCCGAGTGGAGCTGGCGCCAACTCTGCCTTTTGAATGGGAGATTGAGGATGTTCTGGCACTGTACTTTTGGCGCTCTCGGCAACCGTGGAGGGCGCTGCTGCTGCTGATGCTTTCGGGAGAGACACATTTGACAGCGCGGATATCAAGGGTTGCTGGGTGCTTCGAGGTGAGAGAACTCGAGTCAAAGGACTAGCTGACGCAGCTGGTCCAGTGCCATGCTGGGAAGCAGTTTCCGCTCTGCTAGGCTCCCACACGCCGTTTGCGCGTGCGCTTTCGTCCAAAGGAGTGGCCAGTGGCGGCCTGCCTCCGCTCAAAATGCTCTCAATGCCAACTTGCGGTACAAAGAGCGAGCCAGCAGGATAGTTCCAGCTCCGTGGAGAGGAAGGGCCTGCAACGCTTTCGACGCTTCCCGTAGCTGAGGTCTTTCGTTCTCGTCGGGCAGCCTTGGAGGACTCACTGTCTAGAGCACTCTTCAGGGTGACTGGTGTGAGATCACCACTGTGCTGCTGTTGCCTTCGCGTGTGTTCCCCAGTGCGCTGAGATGAGCCGACATCTGTAGACGAGCGCTGCTGATTGCTATTGTCGCTGCCTCGTCTTGTCGATGCCGGCGTTCTGTTCCCTTGCGAGCTGGTCCTTGGCTGAAAGAAAATGCCGGCAGGCCGCCCATCAGGACTTTGGATGACCATGCCCGACGCTCCTCGACTACCCAGTCTCGAGGCCGTCTCACTGAAGTAGCCCAAAGCGTCCAAGGGCAATGGGCTACCGCCGCTGTGATGTGACATCGTGCTTGCCGTGGACGGAAGCCCTGGTGCGAGATGATTTGTAGCAGGCACCGCTTGCACTGCTCGCGAGATGCCCTGTTTGCCTGGAATCGAGTCGGCTGAAGGGGTCGTTGCTGATGACTTGGCAAGATGCGGCGCTGACGGCTTCCTCGCGCCGTCTCCAGACTCGAGGACAGACCGGGTGGCCTCCTGAGGGATTGGACCCTTCTGTCTTCCAAGGAGGTCCAGCGCCGGGTCTCTGGGTGGCATGTCTAGATGCAGAGCGGGGTGTCGGCTGGCATCCTTTGGTTCCGCCGCGTGCGTCTCGTGGGCGCGGGGCTCGCCTGTGGCCAAGCCGACATCTATCCCGAGCTTAGAGGCAGTGTCGATGGCTTCTGACGGTGCGTGCGAGTCTGGCACAGCGTCGCCGGCTCCTTGTACGTCAAGCATCCTAGGCACCTCGACAATACCAGGCGAAGGCAGGGCTGGGGCGCTTCCGTTCACCTGTTTAAGAGCTGGTGCGGTGCTGGGTGACATTGGACTTGTGGCTATGGCGGAGAAGAAGGGATCCACTAAGGGCTTGTGCACAGCAGTGTGCATCGCCGTCAGTAGTCTGCGAATGCCCAAAGGCTGCGGGATGACGATGACCTCTGGAAGGGGTGCTCTTTGCGCAGCTGCTGATTCAACGATAGGTTGGATAGCGTCCCGGACGATGCGATACTTCTTCAAACTTGTGAAGTGGATGATGGCATGCGTTTGGGGTGCATATCCGACGTGGTGAGAAGTCACGCGCTCGTCGTTCATTACGCGCTGGACGCTTGCAGGCTTGCTGCTGGTCGACTTAGCTGAGCCCAGGGCAGACCTCAAGACGGCCGTTGCTGAGCGCATTCGGAGAAGCTCTCTCTGCAACGTCTCGATGTCGTCGTCGATCAGCACAAAGCTGAACGGTAAAGGACCTCTAGTAGTTGAGTCTTGACCTCGCTTCTCGCGGTCACCACTACCCGACGCCGACGGCGAGCCCGGCGCTTGGTCGGAGCTTGCATACCCAATGGCCTTCGGCTGTTGAGCCTGAATCATTGCGCTAGCGTGCAGAACCACCGGCACACCAGTGACTGGATCCAAAACAGCCGTGTCGTCGCTGTTCGATCTGTCATGTGACGGTTGAGGTCCTCGGGCGAGCTCCACGCCCATGCCAGCGTTGCTTGGATAGTGAATCAAGCTGGGCCTATTGTCTCTAGACAGGGCGATCGCCGTTCTTGGCAAGCTACTCTCGTCCTCGGCACCTGTCCCGGTCCACGACCTCGTCTCTTCCCAATTGCCAGCATCGCCTTCAAGAGGCAAGTGCGCAGTTTCGCAGCCCAGCGCTCCCAGCTGTGCGGAAAGAAGCTGCGCAAATCTGCTGGTGGGCGACGCGTGTAGTGCAATCTTTCTGCCCCGCAGCTCCTTCTGTGCAAATTCCTCTAGGTCAGCAGCAGACGGCTCCTCCGCAAGCTCCAGTGCTGGCAGAAAGCGCTGTCGTGCCTCTGTTTCGGCTGGCGCTCTGTGCTTTGCTTCCAACAGCGGTGAACCGAGCCTCAAAGGGAGCTTCATGATCCACATCGTCCCGCGCTCGGAGGATGATGGGTGATCGACGACGACTTCTGCGCCTACCGATTGAAGCAGCTGGGTAGTCACATCGTCCAGCACCATCTTACAGTCTCTGGACAAATCTTGGTCACCGTGTACCGAGACCGCATACGTGCATACTAGCTGATGTGGTGCAGCGTTCGCGTCAGCAGCATCGTGGTCCGAAGTAATTGCCCGATCAACCTGCGGGCCACATTCTACGACTGTCCTTGGAGATGACGCATCGATAACTCGGGCTAATAGCTAGCCACAGTGACAACGAACGAGTCAGCAGTGGGCACATTATTCAGCACGTATCGGCTCCATCACGACTCACTTGCATGATCGCGAACCTCGTGGCGCCTTCGTCGCCTCGCACACTATAAGCAGCTTTGAGTTTGTCACCTTCTGGTGCTCTCAGCTCGCTCCCCGCTTCCGTGAGGACCAGCTGTATCCCTTTCTCCGCTGCTTGACCTGATACAACGTCTGCCACGCGCTGAGATAATTCCAATAGATCGAAGTCCGCCTCTGCGTCCATGCCTAGAGACTCGATCGGCTCCAACGACTGACTGCTGGAGTTTTGCATCATCCGTCGTCGTGGCGCTGATCGGTCGCGTTTAGCAGCAACTTGACTTGGACCTGGACGTGACTCCGAGCTGGGACAAGACTGTGTACTTTCGTCGCCTGCGTCGAGAGCTTGGGCCGCTTCGTTCCCCCCAGCCTCCTTTCCCACCTGCCCTGATGTGAGCTGAGAAGGCTGCACAGCGAGCGTAGGGTGTTGAGCTCCGAATGCAGCGTTGCTCATGCGTCCACAAATCCAATTGAGGGCTCTGAAGGATTCTAACAGCGCTTCTACGCTAGCGACAGGTACTTGCAAGCTCATCGCACTGAGCCTCTCATGCGACGGATCTAAAAGATGAGGCGGGATGATCTGCATCAACGTGCTAATGGGCAGCTGGAGCGTATCTGCGACGACGGCAGACAATTCGTATCCATCCATCTGCCCTTGATCGCCTTTCGCAGTGTTCGCTTTTCGAAGTTGCTGATCGGCCAGAGTATCAATGTCTTCATGTTCTTGTTGCGCACGTCCACTCCACTGCGATTCTGAAGGAACACGCTTCATACTTCGGTCGCTAGGCTTCTCCCTGGGCTGAGCATCGATGAGACCACCATCCACTTGCTGACCACTGTCTATCTTTGATGCAGCAATGCCGCTGCTCCCAGGATGTCTGAGCGCACCCATGCGGGTGCTGAGGGGTGCCGTCATGCTCCGATGAAAGGGTCTCCTAGCCACAGCCGAGGGTGCTGCTGCATCCGGCTGAGCGCTCGTTGAAGCTTGCCCTGTGGGTCTGACAGCTGTACTACGAAAAGGACTCGACATGTTGATTGACGGTGTCTTGCACGAGGTTGAGAAAGATGTGAGAATGAATGCGGGTTTTGCAGCATGCAGAGGAAGAGGGGGTGCTGATTGATAGAGGTCGTGAAATGTGCGTGCACTGGCGATCTAACGACCAGGCCCAACGTGGTGCTCACTGCAATAATCGGGGAGCAGATTCGAGCATTATTGCGCGCGAGAAAGAGGCACAAAGACTGATTGGTGGGATGGATGGCGGAGGTGAGCAGGGCCAGGTGAATCCGCGCGTTTCCATGAACACCGGCAGACCCTGTGCTCCACAGCAGCACCCACACGCGCGCGCGCAGTCGATTCACATGTGCGATGTCTGGCTCGCCCCGCTGCGACTCCCCCATGACGCGCGAACGATCAGCATGGTGATGCTGCTCTCGCCCGCCAGAGAGCGACAAAGGTTTCTGCTCCAGTCAAAAATCACGTAAACACATTCCGGTCGGACATTGATGCGACAGGGGTCATAAACTTCATCTCAAGTTACAGCTCTAATCAAGCGGAACGATTGCACGGACTTTGCAAGCAGGCACGCACAGTCCTGCAAGACGGTCGGTAGGTGCGCGGTCGGGATTCGTCACAATGTTACCAGGTATGTGCAAATCGATTACCATAAATGAGGGGAGCCGAGAGTAGTGCTGAAATGATGATGGCTTGTCTATGAATGGTGATCTTGCGGGATGAGATTCTACTTGGAGAAGCTCTCTGTTCTTTTGTGCTCGCTCAGCCGTCTATCGTCGTGCTCGGAGGTGGACTTCGAGCTCTGTTTACGACTCCGTACGCTGGCAAGACTGGACACTCTGCTGCGAATTCGATCTGCAAACCCCTTTATTTTGGGCGAGGAATTTGCAGAGGTAGAGGCGCTTTTGACGCTATCGACAGACTGCTCGCCGACACCGAGCCTAACGCTGAACTCGCTGCCCGTGTAGCTAGCATCGCTTGTTGTCCTCGAGCTTCCAGCCTCACTACCACTGCGACTATGACTAGGACTAGAATCAGCGCTCAGACTAGCGCCTCGAGCGGGTATAGCTCCTTCGCCCAACTCTGCTGGCCTGCGAGGTCCCTTGGACCTCCTGTGCTTCTTCTTCCGTCTAGTGTGCTTCTCTCCACTCGTAATAGGTCCGACCGCGCTTTGTTGTAGACTCCTATCTTCCGCATGTTGCTGCGCGTGCAAGGTCGAAGTGGGGAACGGCACGTGTGGCACCTCCGCAACAGGAGTGCGCTCGCTCTCCGCCAAGCTAAGGGGCGGAGCTAGGCCTGATTGCTCAGCTGTCGGATTCTCAGACAAGAATTCCTTTGAAGTATCAGCAGTGGGTGTCTGGACACTCTCCTGAGCAGTTGGTGGACGCAATGTATCCCTAGTCTCCAAAGGCGGTCGCGCTGCGAGCGGTAAATTGTCGTCCTGCGCCGCCATTCCAGAGCGCGATGCGTGTCCTATTGGCTCAGGAGAGGTCAACGCTTCGCCGTTGCCCTCAGCGTCCATGGCAAGCGCAGACAGCAGAGACTCTTTTCGAGCTGAGCCTGACTCTGATAGTTCGTCGGCGCCAAGGCTGTAAGCTGCGGAAAGGTCCGAGCCCAGATGCTCTCCCTGATCAGCAGACCCTGTCGACGCTCCATGCCAATCTTTTGGCGAGCTGTCGTCTAAGTCACCGGCCGAGGTCGCCAGCGTAGAAGCGCTACCTCGCATTTGCACCGCGTCACTTGACGTGATAGACCGGGTTTGACTGTCGGAGCTGCTTAGTTCGCTCCGAGCATATGCCGAGGGCTCTAAAGGTTGCGTGCTACCATGATGGGCAAGGATGCTTTCCGCACGAGCAGGAGCTTGGCCATCAAAGATCTCATGAGCAGCGTTTGTTGGAACCACAATGCCAGAGATGGAGTCTTGCTGGTCTTCCATCTGCTGCGCAGCTTGAAGCTTGTCTTGCGAGGATGATGACACCTGGGCCAGCTCTTGATGTGCGTCAATTTCCGTTGCGTGACCGCCCTTTGCGTCTCCATCCGCCGACTCCGACGCGGTAGCCGTCGCGGCATGACGATTGCCACCGTCCCCCGCCTCGTTTCCTCTAGTCTTGTTCTCGAGACCTGAATGATCCCCGGCTGCTCTAGCCAACTCATGCAGCGAAGGATGAGCTATCTGGGTCAAAGGCTTTTCTGATTGCCGATTCGAGTCAGCTGACGATGTCGTGTGTGCCATTTGATCGGCGTGTATGAAGCTCTTCTCAGCTGCCTCAGCATTCTGACGAGCTGAAGGCAGATCAAGAGTGTTTGCAGTGGATTTCTCAATGCCCAAGCTTTCTACCAAAGTCTGTTGAACCGGCAGCGCGCCCTGCGCCGGATCGAGATGGCCGTTGGGCTGGTCGATGCACAAGTCAGGACCTGAGTGCTGCTCTGGTAGGTGGTCGCGAGCGTGCCGATCCTCATCCAGCTGTGTTGATTCGCGGAAACTACGCAAAGACGGCCCGCTGGCCTGGGAACAACCAGGGCCATGAGCCTGACCGTTTGACAACTTGTGGTCAAAGTGCACTCTGCATGGTTCCAGATGGTCTGTATTGTCTTCTTCTAGGTCTCGAGCACGGGCGGTTGCTAGTCCGCCTACTTGGGCTGACGGCGCAGCAGGAACTTCAGGGTCTTCTCGATCATGTTGATGCGTAGTCAAGTCAGACAAGCTGGCGCCTCGCTGGGGAATTTGCGCTGGCTGCTGTTCACCATACAAAGCTGGTGCGCCCTCTCTCTTCGGCAACAAAACTCTTGCCCCTGCTTCTGCACGAGTCGGTTCGAGCGTCTCGAGCTTGCCGTCAGGTCGCAAGAAGTTGGCGAGACCTTGCGTTAATCCTGTGGACAGGCCAAGCATGGGCGATACTAAAGTGCGACAACTGCTTGCGCCGAGATCTGGACCAAAGGGGATGCACAGCCCGTCGAAGGATACTCTCATGTCCGGCACATGGTACTTCGCCGCGCTTCGAGAGGTCAACGATGTTTGAGTGCTTGAAGAGCAAGTCTGCACCATCCAGCCCACAGCTGGAAGGAGGGTTGAAACCGGTCTGGTCTTATGGAGTTGGGGCCAAGCAGGCAAGTCGCTCCGCAAGCGAGGCAGCCCGTCTGGATTGAGCACCGAGTCATCCGCCGTCAAACTGTCCCAATGCTGCAACCACCACCTTTGCTCCTCCACTTCCACTTCCGCCTGTTCCGCTGCTTGTTTCGCGCCAGCCAAAGTAGGCTCCTGTACCATCGCATCAGACAAGTGTGGGTCGTGCTTTTTCTCGCTTTGCTGGTGCAAAGGTAGCCTCGAGCGATGTTCCCTTAGACCAGCTACAAACGAAAGCAGGGCTTGATCAGTAGAGTGATGTTCCAGTCCATGTGCCAGGTCAGTCAGCAGGGCCAATTCTAATCGAGGGCCATCTTGCTCGCCCTCCGCATTCAGTGCTGCTACACGAAGCGATTCCTCGACTGCTTGAGCAAGACTGTAGTGACTGATGTGTCGCCTAGGGCTTAAAGAATCGATCACCAGCACGCGAGCACCTTTCAACTTGGATCTCGTGCTTGGCGGTATCGACGAGACGTCGCTGATGTAAGCTAATGAGCCAATCCTAAATCCAAGGCAAGGGAACGAAGCGCCTTCGGACGTCAGTCCATGCTCCACGAGCAAAGGCTCTATGAGGAGCGCTTTGCCTGAGACATCCTGGATAGGGCCTTTGCCAGCGTCGATCTCGAAGGGCCGAGCAGGATCGATGAGATGAAACTTGAGAGCTCCTACGGAGCCACTGCCTGCCGCAAGAGGAGATCCAGCATGAGACCGCACCCTCTCGCCACAAATACCCAGCTGATCATACTCACCAGTCGCCTTGCTTTCGTCCACGAGATAAGGAAACGTATTCTGAACTCCTTCAAACGCCTCCTGTGTACAGTACACATCGATCTGTTGCTGTATTGCCCCTCTCATCGTCCACGCCCTGAGCGAGTCTAGTCCCAGCATTGCATCCGCATGAGCATGAGTCAGGAGCAAGGCAGTTATTCGCCTTTGCTTGTGCTGTCTAAACGCGTTCAGCGCCGATTCGTAGAATGTCGGTCCGCAGTCGATGAGGATGACGCTGAGAATGGAGAGGCGCGAAGACCATCATCAGCGTCGATGCGTGCAAAGCTGGCCAAAGAGCTGCACGAATGCTTTTGCTACTCACTGCTCCACCCCGTCCAGCCCAGCGCCAATCACCATGGCAGAGCAGCAGCCCCTTCGATTCTTGCTACCCGGTCTGATCGCATCCGCACAAGCCTCGCATCGTTTTCTTCCTTGCGCTTTGGGCAGCACGCAAGGAGCAGCAGGAATCTGACCAGATGTGCCCGTGCCCAAGAAGACGACTTTGCGAATCCATGGGTCGATCAGAGGGGCGTGAACCAGCGACTCGCTTGTGGGAGCTGCCACGTCGTCTCCTAGATCTTGCCGTGGCGTGCTAGGACCAGCCCGACCCGGACTCGCCATGATTGCAAAGCGAGATTTCCTATTATTGACACCTTGTTGGGCTACGACCATTCCGCTCCAAAGTGGTTGAGAAGAGGGAGGGGAAACGAGACACGTCCTCTGGGTGATGTTTGTTTGTTTGCGCCAGACGCTGATGAGACAATGGCGACTCTCTGCGGTCTGAGCAAATTGGCGACGGGCTCTGATGTCGATGTCGATGTCGATCCAAGGGTGTCCCAGCACGGAGCGATCGGGCCTAAAGCAGCATGATCACATGCTTACCTCAACCTGATCCTCTCCGCAGGGGTAGGAAATCATTCAGGTTGGATGTAGAGGGCCATGCAGCGACGAGCAAAGTACGGGTGCTGGTAGCCTGGTGACTAAGGATGCACGAAAATTTGATTATTCGTGGTTTGCGTGCACGATCCATGCACGTTGCTTGTGCTGCCTCGCGCGCACAGACGGTTCTTCCGATCATTAGGTCAGCGGCAGAGGCAGGCTATCGCCATGATCAAGGATTCATGCGGATTGTGAATCAAGAATCATCACGGATTTGAATGTCGATGCTCTCGATGTGTGATTCTCCGCTGGGACACGATCGACGAACGTCATGCTATTCTTGATTATTCACATTTTGATTTTTGATTCAGAAATTCGAATTCTTGATTCTACAATCGTGAAACACGAATCACGTGAAGTGTGACTCCGCAATCCATCTCAATTCGATGCAAGACCAATCACATTCATATCGGCATACACCATTTACTAATGGTTGTGATTCTTGGTCTTGATCGTTGATGCCGTGACGGTGATTGAAGATTTGTCGTAGCCAGATTGAAAGTCATCCTGACTCGCACCTCGATTGATCTCGATTTTGATCTTCACTTGCGCTTATCCAGCCAATCAGGACACGCCCCGAACTAACACTTGATCATTGCTGCCTCTGCATGACTTTCTTCTCTGAGAGTCTCCTATGCTTCCCTCACCCGGCCTGCTCCTCTCCTTTCTGAATCAGGTCGTGTGCCTCGGATGTAGAGCTGACATCAGCAGCGAAGCGCTCTGAGCCCAAAAGCTCGACAGCGCCAAAGCGCGGCAAGCTCACCTCCACACGATACGCGGTTGTGCTGATGGAGCTCTTTGCAAGAATGTTCCAGACTCTCACCCCCATATATCAGCTGACGCGCGAGCGGCTCGCCGGGCTGGCCGACTTATTGGGCGCGGCGCCCGCCATGGCCGCGCGAGCGAAAGGCCGATCAGGCCGTGCGTGCGGTAAAGTGGCGTGTGCAGGGGAGCAGTCTTCAGTCAGGAGGATTTTCGTTGCTGCTGACTTATTGCGTGCGGATCTGATTGCTCACCTCGCGCGACTCACGATTCGTGACTCACGACTGCTGCTGCCGCTGGGATGCGTGCGAATTTGATTTTGATTTTGATTGGCTGCGTGCAGCCCTGCCTGGCCTCTGCTGGTGCAGGGTGTCGCGAGTCACATAGCGTAGGATCTTTCCTTTGCTCGCTCTATTGTCTGACTGTAGTTTTCAACCTCACCACCAGCATCAAAGGCACAAGCGTGGTCAGAGGCATCACAAACTCAACCACCTCCCACATCAGTACAGATCATCACTTGCGACGCCACAATGTTGAACGCAGCAAGAACAATGCTCCCCAGAGCAGCCTCTACACTCACCGCTTCTGGCAGTGTTGGCCGATCTGTGGCTCCCAGCGTAGCTCGCGCAGCTGCTATCACAACCTCATTCGGGCAAGCACAGCGGCGGGGTTACCACGAAAAGGTAATCGATCACTACGAGAACCCCAGAAATGTGAGTGGTGCGAGTGTCTATGATTGTGGTGGCAACTCGAGCGATTCTGGATGGCAAAGGCAGATGCGCCACAGCAAGCGCACGAGCACTTTAGCTGACACCGGCACTCGACGTTTGGCACGTAGGTCGGTTCATTCGCAAAGGGGGATGACATTGGAATCGGATTGGTCGGTGCGCCAGCATGCGGGGATGTGATGAAATTGAGCATCAAGGTGTCCGAGTCCGGCATCATTGAGGATGTTCGTTTCAAGACGTTCGGTTGCGGATCGGCCATCGCATCCTCTTCTCTGGTCACTGAAAAGTTGAAGGGTCTGACATTGGAGGAAGCAGGTCGGATTCGCAACACTGAGATCGCCCAAGAGTTGAGCTTGCCACCCGTCAAGCTGCACTGCTCCATGCTGGCCGAGGATGCGGTCAAGGCTGCTGTGAGAGATTACAAGTCGAAGAGGGATCAGGCTATCGCTCAGGGTCAAAAGCCAAAGACTGGCCACATCGATGTCTCTCAATCCGTCACCACGGGTCAAACCACCGCCACTGCCAATGTAGACAGCGGCTTCAAGTAAATGTACGGCTCTGCATTGAGACGCAGCCATTCACACCGCATGTCTCGTGCATTGGAACTGGCCCAGAGAAGGCAAACGACATCTTTCGACTCGGCACACAAAACCCCAAGCCCTCGCTACTTTCTGTCCGGCACTACCAGGCGATGTAAAACCAAGAAAATTTGAGAAACCCTTCTCTTCTTCTCCCCCACTCCTTTCCTCCCGCGCGGCTATGCGCGCCAGTCACGATTTACGATCATTCGAAATGAGATGCTAGGTTCCACAAGTCACCGATTCGGGCTACACTCTCTTTTGAGTCTAAAGCTCGGTTGTCCCATCGAGACTAGCGCGGTTCGCCTTGACATGCCCTGCTCTCAGTGGCCGTTGGTAGTTCCAGTGAGGCCAGACGCTGCCTCTCTATGGTCATTGCAAAGCAGATCCGTTGAGCGAATTGCTGGGCATAGGCTCAGAAGTCAATGCTTTGCTCTGCACTTCATACTCGTCCTTGGCACGACCTGCAGCAGATCTGCGGGGCCATGCCACACGCACGGAATTTCTGTCTGACGCGGACGAGACGTCGAATTTGCTTTGGGTCTATGGGGCAGCTCCCAAAAAGATCATTCGAGCACTCGAGCCTCGCTCAAACGCTCATCTCCTTCGCACACCTTTCTCCAGTAACGATCCACCTGTTCGAGCGAACAATTCCATTGCTTCGCTTCGCGGGCAGGCTTACGGCTCAACAAGCCGCATCTCGTACATCCATGCACGTTCGCCAAACATGCCTTTGGACGACGAGAAGGGGGGTAAGGGCAAAGAAAGAGGTTGGCCTTGGTCTTTTCAGCATGGCGAAAGGGGGAGCGTGCCCCTTGCTTCTTCTCCTGCTCGATCTGCATTGCTCGAGCTATTCACGATGTCGGGACAAGCCTCGGACAAAATCTCGATTGACCGGGCTCTCTCTCTAAGAAGCCCTCTCCCTGCATTGCAAGAGTCGATAAAGAACAGGGTAGTCGGTGCTCCAGTGCACTCCTCACAGGCCTCACAGCACGTCCGCCCTGAGAGGTGCAGAATCTTTGTACTCATCATCGAGCACGTCAAGCGCACTACAAAGCAATCTGCTCGTGAATGGAATCGTCATTAAATGAGGACAAGTCTATAAGAGCTTTCGTGTCGTTTCAATTTTGAATGTCAACAGCCTAGAGGGGCGGGTGAGTGGAACGATGTGATGTTACAAGGCGTCGTTTCGACGTGTGGGGAGCATGGCGTGAAAGCTAACTTTCATCTCAGCTTGCCTTCGAGTTCTGCAAGCTTGGACTGATGCTGAGGATGACGATGCTGGCTAGCGACGATCTGATCCTGCTCAGGGCTGGGTTGAGGATTGAGCTTCCTCTCGCTCAGGAAGTACTGCTGCAGGCCGGATCCGTTGGTGTTTGCCAAAAAGTCCTGCTGCTGCACAGACAAGTCATTCTCGCCCTCCTTTTGCGTGCTCTCAAACACTCTTCTCATCTCGTGAATCTTTTGCTGAGCGTCCAGCTCCGCATCGTAGGCTAGGTGTCGCTTCAGCACCACGCGCTCGTAAAGCGACAAATGTCGAGGATGCACGGCTACCCCGTGGTACTCGTGCGCCTTGCCAGCGAGCACAAAGGACCAGTATCGGTCTTGCTCGTCCAGCGCCAACCCAGTGGTGTCTGGGATGAACACCATGGTGAGGATCCACGCAGCCAAGGAGAAGGCTGCGACGATGATGAACTTGGCTGAGTTGCTGTCGATGTAGGAGTACGCCACTGCGGGGATCATAGCTCCAAGCTTGCCCGACGCAGCTGACACACCGTGCGCAGTCGATCGGATCATGGTGGGGTACTGCAGGGAATCGGCCATGATCTCTGCGGTCAGAACGAGGTGCACGGCAGTCCAAGTCAGCAGAAAGCACACTCACAACTTCAGCAGCGAGCAAGAAAGAGGTAGTGTTGGGGCCAAATTGGGTAAAGAAGCCGCTGAGGAGATAAATAGCCTGGAAAGCCTTGAGACCAGCACCTGGCGTAGTGAGCTGGGGATATGCCGCAGCGCAGACGGTGAAGATGATGAAGAGCATAGCCAGACCATTTGCCTGCATCCACTTGCGACCGTACATCCTGTGGTCGATGACCAGAGCGGCGAGATAGTAGCCGACTAGAGATACGCCAATGTTGAGCAGCGAGTAGAGCCATGTCAGCTTGAGGTTGCTGGGACTGCCAGTGATCAGGCCGATAAAGACACCCGAGAAGAGCTTGCTACCGTAGAACGCAACGTCGTTGGCAAGCCATACAATGGCCGTGCCGACGATGCGGTGCCAGTAGTGACTCCATGCCAGCTTCAGCGAAGCGGCTGAATAGCCAGACGTGCCGCTCTTGTCGCCCGCCTTCTTCTTTGCTTCGGCAAGACGCTTGTCCTGAGTAAAGTCCATCTTGTAGTAGCGGTGGTACGCAAGCCACAGGGTAGGCACGGAGACGATGGCGAACTGTACCCTAAAAGTCCACTGCGCAGAAGCCTTGCTAAACGGTGGTTCCAGAGAGCCGTGATGGAAGACGAGTAGAAGGAGAATCAAAAGCGTCTGGTTGACGAATTGACCCCATCCTTGCATGGTAAAGGCCAGAGCTGTCTTTCTGCCTCTGTGCATGCGATCTGCCGCACCAGCACCGCGGCCGGAGCTAGCTTCCATAGCGCGGGTAGCAGTGACGGGGTATTCACCACCTACACCAAAACCGTAAAAGAAGAGAAGAATTGCCCAGCAGATGACCCATCCGTTGAGCGTCGTTCCCCACATGGCCGTGAGACCGATGGAAAAGATGGTGAGGACGACGGCATCTTGCACCATTCCGAACTTGCGGCTGATCCAATCGCCCTCCACACCGACGCAGATCTGACCAATGATGATACCGGCAATTTCCAAGGGTTCGATGGCGCTGGTCCAGTACTTGTTGCACACTCGATGCGTGCTGAAGCACTCGGGCCACACGGCCTTGAACAGCGGTTGAAGATTTCCGACGCTGAAAAGCACCCAACCTTCGACGAATAGACCCATACCGGTGATGACGTAGTTGGAAAAGTACGCTCGGATAGGACTCAGAGGGTCAGCCTTGAACATGCGTCCGATCTCTGAAAGCTCCCTCTTGGCCTCCTTGTTCGAGACTTCGTTGACAAAGGCCGACTTTTGTGACCATGGGAGCGAAGCCCAGTACACCTTGTCTGCATTGTAGCAGTCGGCCGGGTAGAGAAGAGCATCGAGAGCGCTGGATGCAGACCCGTCCAGAGACCCAGCAGCGCCCCATGCGCTCTCCTTTCCTGGCGCAGGTGCATGGTAGCCAGAACCAGTGTTGAAGGAGGGTGGGGATGCGGAAGAGGCCGTCGAACGGCTAGAGCCTTTCTCTTGCTCGACTAGGGAAGAGCGAGAGATTCAATGTCAGCCAAGTTGACGCGGCTCGGGCGGCCAGCACCAGCACCGCGGAGGTTCGAGTGCGTGCATGGATGGCCCGGCGTCGCGCCATGCGGCCTAATCGACCCGCACCCACTCACTCTGGTCAGTCATCTTCGATCCAGATGCCTTGCCTTGAGGTCCTCGATTGGTGGCGCTGAGTGCAAGAAAGGTGATCGCGTACGACAGTCTATATAGAGGTTGCTCGCTCGCGTGACCAGCTCTCTGCGCTGCGAACGGAGGAGCGGGAGGTCTCCAGAGATTTTTGACGCTAGAACGACGTCGGAGATTGAATACCGTTGAACGGACGCGCGCCTGCTTGCAGCTGTCGTTTAAAGGATACGGCAGGAGAGCCGACGTGCGAGGACGTCGAGATGGATTCGAGTACTGCCAGAGCGAGAGTGTGGGCTGTGATGGACGATCTGAATGAGCGAAGAAAGAAAGTCGAGAGGGAGAGCAAAGGAACGAAGCAGGCCGGTCAGAATTGGACTCGCGGCGCTCTTGCTTGCCCACTCACTGTCACTGTGCACTCACACACACACACACACGCTACCGCTGATCTGAAGCAACTGATCCAAAGGCCTGGGTTTGGCAATTTTCGGCTGCGAGGTCGCGAGGCTAGCGTCCTGCAAAAGAGCTGCAAGGCGTGCAGAGGGGGAAACTGGACCGAAGCACGCCGCTTGCTGCTGACGTCGCGCGGTCCGTCGGTCGAGATGAAAAGACGCGTGCGGTCAAACGTACGACACTTTGCCGCAAGCAGCAGCAGCATGGCAGGAGGCAGCGAGCGGCAGCAGCAGGTGTGAAGCCGGGGTGGAAGATGAGGAGGAGGTAGGTGTACGGTGTGAGAGCGAGAAAGGGCGGAGGAGCGTCAGCGAGTGCCGAAGTTGAGAGGAAGACGCTCTCGACCGGCGGCTACACCACGCTCTGCGTCTAGCTAGTCAAGCGCGAATGGACGCCAACAGCGGAGCGTCACAGTACGTGCCACTAGCCAGCAGACCTTTGCGGATCTGCCGATGAACGCAGCACGCGGTAGAGCTGGCTACTCACGAGATGCGATGCGATGCGCTTGAAACACAGTGAAGCGCGAAAGGTGAAGCAAGAAGAGCTGTGGTTGAGCGCGCTCTCGCACTCGCACTTGCGGATTGTTGTTCGGAAGCGCTGGCCAGCAGTCGTGTCCGGTTGGGGCAAGTTCAGCGTTGGTGGATTGTAGTCGTCGTTCCCGATGAGGGAGCAAGGGAAAGCCTTTGCACAAGGATAGCCGCAGGTCGACGTGTGGGTGGCGACGGGCATGCAACAATCGTGAATTCATCTGTGCGATCTTATAGGGATGCCTATACACCCAAGGCCATGACCGATTCCCTTGCCAACACCCACGACTGAGATGGCTGCCGTCAAGCTGACAGCCTGCGCGGTGCTCGATCCTCACGGCTTACGCCATGGAGTTTGCCGGCGGCAGGTCGAAGGAAGGCAGACAGGCAAGTCCTCATCATGAATGCGCACGTCGGACCGCACCGCGTGTGCGCACATATAGCGCCAGTACGCCCGTGTGCATCTCTCACAGCAGCCAGTCACGAGTCACGACTCACGAGTGCATTCATCTGTTCCGCTTCACAGCGCCTAATCTCGCAATCATGACTGATCAAGTACGCACCTCGACAGCAATTGCTCACCCATACTCGCGACTCCCGCACACGACAATTCAATTGCTGCGCCGCCAATAGCATCAGGTCCTCATCATCCGCTTGACCGACCAGGTACGCCAACGAATGACGGATGAAGACCCGTTCGGGTCGCATCACGCCTACACTGGTGCACCTTCTCATCCACGCCATTCATGAGAGACTCTGAAGCATCGCCCTCCCGGTCTCTCGCTTCCGAGCCAAGACTTATGCCTGCCGAGACAGCTCGTGTGTCGCTTGCTGCTGCTGTCGTCAGCGAAGTATGTATGACGACAATGGCCGGCGGTGCAGGGACTGCTGGCTAGATCGATCGCGGTCTGCAAGGGCACTACATCCGTACGGCCATTCATTCGCTTTTCTCGTTCCTGTGCCTGTCCTCCCACCGCTTTGGTACGGACAAACTCCGACCAAGGAAGGTCGTCCATGTCAATTCTTGCAGTACACTCCGGGCTGGTCAGTGGCAAAGAGGGAGAGATGCCTCGAGCGCGTTGAGCGTTGAGCAGAGAGAGGATTTTGATCGATGATTGGCGAGCGGGTTTAGTTGCAGGAGAACGTGCCCTCGTGCGTCGGTTTGAACGCCGCCAGCCGCGCGCCGCCGCGCCGCCGGGTGCTCTGCGCAAAAGATTGTCCGCGCCTCGCGCCCCGAGCACCTCGAGGTCCTCGCAACCAGCAGCAAGCCCAACAAAAAGCAAAAGTATCAACAAGGCTTCTTTCTTCGCGTCACCCTGATGACCAGCTGTGGCTGTCCCCAATCAGCTCATGGGAAAAATTTTGCCAGTCTGAGGGTTTCCCAGCTGCGCCTGGCCCAGGTGGTGCAGTACAGACGGCCGAAGCTGACCCGATCTCGCCGGGCCGATCACACGTACCTCGTGCGACAACGGCAATACGCAGAAGCTCAGCCGCTTGGCAGTTGCATTCTGACAATCGAGCAAAAGCTTACATTCGCGGGTGACGAGTCGAAAGCAGCTGCTGAGCTCGACAGCACTAGCCGTCAGCCGAGATGGTACGCAACCAGCGTCATAAGTCCACGTGCGCTTTAGAGCTCGATCACGGTCGGGAGGGGTACTTTGACGCCCAGAAAGCGCCAGAGAGAGGTCACCAGCGTACCTATATATTCACAGCTGGGTGCGCATCCTGACAGGCCGCTCAAACCGATCGAAGCAGCGCGTCTGAATGAATGACCGCCGGATCCAACGTCAACGTTGCTGACATCCACATTCACGTCGGCGGGATGCAGGGTCTCTCTCTTCGACGATCTGATATGCATCGTTGACGGTCGCAAAGGTGCGCATCTATTGCTGTCTTGCCACCTCATTGAAACGAGGCGCAATGCGGAACGCTGCGCACGCGTCACTCACACGTTTGGCATTTCTGAGCCAAAAAGGCAACGTGCGCAGCTGACTTTCGTGGATGCATGCCGCGAGCGTCGGAGCAGCGCTGTCGGGTGATCGACCAGAGCAGCAGCAACAGCAACGTATCGATAGAGGCAGGACTAAACGCAACCACTCCGCAGCTCGGTGGATCGGCGCTCTGGCCTAATGTGGGCGTGCAGTGGCGCGCACTACTGGCTGATTGCGCAAGCAGGAACGGCGGTGTGCCTGGTCTAGTCTCGGCGAAGTGGCTGACAATTCCACTTGCTGTGCTTGCAGTCCGGGTCCGCGGCATGGAGAGCATCACAGCGATTCTTCTCGACGCTGATGTCTGTCCGTCCGAAAGCAGCCGCTTCTGAGAATACACCCTTGCTTGACAGAGCGACCTATTCGGATTCCGGTCCATCAGTCTTCTTGAGCCGGTCCAGCCACGCCTTGGAATCCAAATTCGCGAGAGCGTGAGGTAAAGAGCTAGCGACCGAAGTAGACACGATGCTAGGCCTCCAATGACAAGTGGTCTGTACATTCGTCGAGCCCTCCGTCGTGGCCACGGTCGACTTGAGCTCAAAGTCCGTCGACAATGACGCAAGGAGTAGGGCAAGCTTGCTGAGGTTCGCACGCGAGCAGAATCATGAAAGATTCCGGAATGATCAGAATTGCATCAAGGCGAGCGGAATCAGCAAACGACGACTCACTCGCTGGGCACTTTCAAAATCGCCCGCACTTCATCCCCGTCGCTTCCTCCATGTTGGAGCTTGTCCACGTGAAGAAGGTCAAGCGAGAACGCGCCTCCAACCGAGCCGTGCGTTCGTTTGACCGCGCGAGAACAAGCATCAAAGATGACGTGAGCTTCTGGCGGGTCCACATTGTTCAAGCGTGAGTGTCTGCTAATCGGTGAGCTTCAAAATCGAATGATAAAGGGCGAATGAGCTCAAAGGATTGAAGCAAGCGTGTCACGGCCGTCATCTTTTGCGACGCACAGCTTCAGAATGACGTAAGAGTACTCTCCGCCTTTGACATTGTGTCTCTCGTGGCGATGAGATTGACCAGACACTCTCTTTCTGTTTGCATCTCTTACTTCCTGGCCACCTGCAACAAGCCGCACACAGGAGGCAGGCGGTCAACTATCCGTCGAGTCGAAAGCATATCAATTCCTCGGACAGTGCTCTCTGTCCTAGTGTATTTGACATCAGTCAGTCTTCATCGCTGACTCACTCGATGGAGCGTTCATCTCCGCCTCCTCCGCCTGCGCTTGGTTTTCAGCAGTCTCCTTGCTCTCTGTCAAAGCCTCTTGAACGCTATCGGCCTGTTCGACATTGAAACTGCTAGCAGAAGCACCAGATCGGCCCTGCCCGTTCTCTTTCTCTACTGCAGCTTTGCTTGTCGTCTTTTCAGGGCCCAACGCCTTGCGAGGAGCGGATCCATTCATTGCAACATCCGCCAGCTCCTCGAGCATCTTCTGAGAGAACTGTAGCGCTCCGCTCGCAGACGATCCGGCACGGTCGCCATTAGGAGCCGGATCCGCACCGCCGTCCAAGGTGTTTGCTTCTTCCGCCCCTTCTTCCGGCGCATCTTCGTCCTTGACCGCGTTGAACAGCAACTCCAAAGCGGGTATGTAATGCGTGTATTTCCACATCTCCTTCAGTGGCACCGAGACGAGATCGAAAGCGATGGCGATGGGCACGGTAGCTGCCGTGGCTGTACTGTTGGCTGCGATGGGCTCGACCCCCGAGACATCTCCCAAAGGCTCCTGCAGTCCCTCTGCAGAAGCGGTGTTGTAGTGATTCGAAGCGGTAATTTTGGGCAGTTTGGGATATCTCTGGCTAAAGTGCGTCAAATAGATCCGCTTGGCGTGCATCGCCTTGCCCACAGCTATGGCCTGTCCAAAGGTAGAGTGGCCTTTCTGCCAAGCCATCTCAGGCTGACTGTCGTCCAGCGATGCTTCATGAATGAGCACCTCGACTCCTTTGCCTGCTCTCGCCAGCGCTGTGCACGGGCGAGTGTCACCGGAGTAGGCCAAGCTCCACGGATCGGAGGTGCCGGATGGGGTCTCCGTTGCGTGATCGCGAATGCTGTCGGTAGCTGACCGCAAGATGATGCCAGTGCAGTGCGCAACACGATGATCGACCTCCACTGTATGTATTCTGCCGCTTTCCGCAAAGCCTAGCGATCGCTTCAAGAATGCCAAGTGTGATCTAGCGTGGTGTCTAGCTGGCAGTCGACTTCTGAACATTTTAGTGAGAACTTCCTGAGGATCGCTGGAAAACTTGGGGTCTTTTCCTTCTCCCTTTGCCGCATGTTCAGCAGCTCTCTCTTCAGCTTGCTTGGCAAGGCTATTTCTCAAGAGCTCGTCCTGCGCTCTGCACTCATAAGTGAGCAGATCCGTGCCCGAGGCTTGTGCTTGAGCAAGGTCGACAGCTACATCGACTCCCGTTTCAAAGTCGAAAGACTCAGCGTCTAGGAAAATGACGCCTCCTTGTCGTTGTGCGGCTGAAGGCGGGATGCCGGGAGGAGCCAGTCCTAGTGGAGTGATGGCGTCCAGCTCGGTGAGGTACTGAGAGATGAAACGACTGCAAATGATATACAATGGTGTGGTCGGGTGTAGCTGACGGGCAGAAGCGCGATGCAAGTCACTTGAGCTGGCGTTGCTTCGAACGCATTTCCAGGCTTACGTTTAAGCATCGTACTCACTTTCGCTCTCTCGACCAAAAGTCTCGCAATGCCCATGTGATGGTCTCCGTGAATGTGGCTCAAGAACACCAACTTGAGGTTTTGCAAAATCTCCTCTACTCCGCCATCCGGATCGTCTGAGCCAAGGTCGTCGCTAAGTCCTTCGTAACGAGCGTTATCACCGCTCAAAGAAGCCCAGCCAGTCCTCCCGAATCGCCTGCAAAGCTGTCCTAGAGTAGCTTCACCGCAGTCTAAGAGCACGTAATGATGCTTGACACTTAATTCTCCCCCATCGTCTTTGCGAGGAATGTGGACTAGCGTGGCAGTGACATTTCTGTATTTCGAGGGCGCGGCACTGCCCGTACCCAGCGAAGTCAGAATCAATTCGCTCTCTTTCTCTCCACTCTGCCTTCGTGCTTCCTCTTCCACCTTGATTGCCTTTTGAATCTCATCTGACAGGTTTCCAAATCTGTGCCACATGTCTTTGAGCTTGGCTCGCACATCATTGCCCAACTCCCGCGCATGCTTCGGTTGCCGCTTGAAGGAGACCAAGTCGAGGGTCTCTTGGTGCTGCAGGGGTGCGTGAATGGCAGGTGCGTGGGAGGGAAATTTGGAAAAAGGACCAACAGGTTGAATGGTAATTTGAGTGTCTTGATCGAGAGCTCGAACGCTACCCTTGACATGGTCCGTCGAAGCGCTGCTGCCCAGCAACTTTTGCTTCAAATCGGGGGCGACGTGCTTGGTAGGAGCGACAGCGTAGGGAGTCGGCTTGAAAGTCTTTCCATCAAGTCGAGAGAGCCTGAGCTGGGACAGGGCAGAGGACGAGAACGCGTGCGTGTCGGTTGCGTATTGTCCGTTGGAGATGATATGGTTTACCCCGGGTCCGAAATGCGCCACAAAATCCTGGTAGCGTGGATCTGTCAGCACAGCGTCGGGTACGGCGTGAATGACGACGTGTGGGGGAGACACGAGCCTGTCATTGTCTTGCGAGCTTTCTTGCGCGCGGTAGAAATACCGTTCAAATTTTGCCTGGGAGTCTGGCGAAAGGAGAGAAGGTAGGAATGCCAGCGAAGGGCAATAAATTTGCACGAAGCTCTGCGCAAAAGACGGAGAGATGAAGCGCGCGATGTGAGGATGGGCTAGCAGCAAGACCCATACAGACAGCCACGACAAACGACTGGACATCACTCACAGAACCCTTCCTGGTTTCGCCCACTACTTGAGAAGACTGTATGGTGATTGTTTCCGTTTCCCAAGCGTCCATCTCCTCGTTAGCCTCCTTAGCCGCCTGCATTTCTTTAGACTGCTTGTTCTTTCTGCCCTTGAAGATCCTTGATGCTTTATTCATCGCATCGTGCAGATTCTTGTGTCTGAAGACCCACTTATTCCTGGCGTCTGCATCCATATCAGGCCATTTGGTAGGTCTTTGAAAGGTCACGCTGCCTTCTTTGAGCAGCTTGCTGCGAGGCGGTCCGTCTGGTATTCCGAGCTCTTCGGCTGCGTCTGCGTTGAATTTGCCACGCTGCGCTGGATGCTCTACGATCCAACACATGACGGTTGAGGGTGAAGCTTCTTGAGCATGTCTCACCCCGAAGTCTTTCCCGGCGAGACGAGGCAGAGGCTTGAGAGGCGGCCTTCGGACCACGCCACCGGCCTGGAGCAGCTTTATGCCAGGGAAAAGATTCTGGGCAATCCATTTGGCAGTCTCTTGCTCAGGCTCATTACCTTGCCAGTGGGACTCTGTCCTTCTGCGCTTATTCGCTGGTCCGTCTTGCGGCGGCCCTCTGCGGCCTGATTCGCTATTTGTATGCTCGCTCCTTTCCTCGTAGACAGGCATGGCTTCCGCATGGCGGAGAGCAACACCATGTACAGTGACCCATTGATCCTTGAAGAAAGGAGGCGGCGCCAACTTGTCGTCTTTCGAAACGATATTCACTGCTCTCGAATCCCTCGACTTGCCGCGATTACCGCTCCCACTCGCCTCTTCCGCTTCGCTCTTGTTGGGACTGCCATCATTGATGCGGAGTAGCAGCGACTCACGTCGAGCATATGTGCGGAACGTGCAGACCAGATGCGATAGCGCACTGGGACCGTGCAGGGTCAAATGAGAGATGCCAGAGTCTGCAAGACTCATGATCATGCCTGGCGTAGAAGCATGGGTGCAGAGAAAGGCGGAAAAAGCAGCCAATAAGTCATCGACGGATTTTGTACGTAGATTCGGGGCCGCTCGACCAGCGAGGACATCTTGCCAACTCACCCGCAAGACCAGCATTCTCGGTGCCAACGCTGTTCACGAACACGTGCTCCGTCCTCGCAATCCTTGCTCCCCTCTGCAAACCAATCCTCGTACTTCCTTCAGGCACGTTGAAGATGTACCTTTGCCCATCTACCAGCAATGTGACGAAAGGCAAGAGCGTCTGATTGTCCGAGCTGGGCGGGAAGACGATTCTGAGCGTCGACAGCATGACTGCCGATTTAGCGGGGGGTTGACTGGCCACGTCTGCCTCAGCCAGATTAGAGAAGGGGCGTGTAAGCGGCGCGCCAGCAAAGCTGAGGGATTGTGTAGTCGAAGAGCGATAGGCGAGAGGTCCTGTGCAGGTCACAACTTGCTCGCATGCAAGGCTGCGGTGGAAGGGCGAGCGACGAGCAAGACTACCGCGAGCTGCTACCAGTGCAAGACAAAGTCGGCCTCTCATGAGCTGGCGAAGACGAGGTCGAACTTGTTCTTCCCCTGTAATCTCAGCTTGCGGTAGGTGTTAGATCATGTGAGGGAAGCGCAGCAAGAATTGTTGCTCGGGGACGCCGTTCAAGATGGGCGCGGAGAAAGAGTGAGACTAGAGAATCTTGGTTGAAGTCAAGAGTCCTTGCACCTGTCGAGGCCTCTGATGCCACGGAGTCACCATGCAGTTCTGATCGAGAGCTTTTTCTTCTTGCGTAACGCGCGCGCAGGCAGTTAGATGCATTTTGGCGCCTCCCGCACGAGAAGCGAGGATGAAATGTGGAGTGGAGGGCCGGCCGCGCTGCTCTCATTCAACAACATGCCCCTGCTCTTGGTCAAGCTCCATGGCATCTTGGCATCCTCCAGCTGACATCCACTCCCAGCATCCGCACCTCCGACTTCGGCTGACTTCAGCCGGCGGAACGGCAAGAGCGTCATCGCCTCGGCCCCTCACTTCATCTCGATAAGCGAAGTCTGGACTTTTGAGCCTTGACGCTCCTCGACGTGTTTGTCGCCCACTGCATGTTTGATCCAGAAGTGACACGCAGAGTATCAAGCCAGCAGAATGTCATTTACTCGCTCATACACCCCCGAATGGCTCGTCGAGATCTACGCGCGAGCCTCTCGCAACAAGTCTACCTTCTTCCTGGGTGTCTTGTCCGGTCTCACACTCTCGCTAGCCTCGCTCTCTACAGCTCTCATAGCTTCGCAGCTGCGGGATGCACGGAGAAGGGAGATCCAAAGGAGGTTGAGACTTGCTGCTGCGAGGAGGGAGAGGGGTGCAAACGCCGGTCAAAGGTCGAAGAGACGACGGAGAAGGAGAAGATCGGCAAGTGGCTTACAATCTGATGAGTGGGAGCAGGAAGATACTGGCAGCTCTGGGTATAGCAACGAGAGCAGCAATGAAAGCGACGACAGCGAAGAGGATGACAGTCGTGACAGCTGGGTGGACATTGAGGTGAAGAATGGACACGTGGTCAGAGGTGTGGAAGGTCTGATAGGTGAGCTCATGCCCCTCGATATCTCGTGGAAGCGGGTTGAAGGAGGGAGGTGCGCATGCAATCATCGTTGTCTCACTGACGCTTGCTATTCAACCCCGATAGGAAACACGCCCTTGATGCGCATCAATTCTCTTTCCGAACTGACGGGCTGCGAAATCTTGGGCAAGGCCGAATTTCTGAACCCTGGCGGCTCGCCCAAGGATCGGGTAGCGCTTCAAATTCTTCAAGATGCCGAGGCGGCCAGGCTATTACACCCACATACGGGCAGCTGCATTTTTGAAGGGACAGTAGGCTCGACAGGAATTTCGCTAGCCACTTTGGCAAAAGCCAAGGGATACAGATGTAGCATCGTCATGCCTGACGACGTCGCCCTCGAAAAAAGACAGCTATTGAAGTGCTTGGGAGCTGAAATCACGTTGGTCAGACCTAGAGGCATTGCGGATCCTAAGCACTTTGTCAACGAGGCTAGGAAGCTAGCCAAGGCATTTGGCATGACGAGCATCAAGGGCGATGCTGCGGAGAATCGGTCGAGCCGCAAAGAACAAGATCTAGTCGTATCTTCGAAAGCCAAAGGCGGTGCGTCTGAAGACCCGGACGCACTAGAAGAACGACCGAGGGGTTTCTTCGCAGATCAGGTCAGTGGCTTCTGCAAGGATGGCACACCGGACAGTCGCATCGTGCTCTTTCCGCGCTGTGGACACTAAGCATTCCCAGCTCGAGTATTTGGTGCCAAGCTCATGTCGATGTAATATTTTCTCTTCCACGCAGTTTGAGTCGGAATCCAATTATCGCGCGCACTACCGCGGAACTGGACCAGAAATTTGGAGGCAGACCGGCGGCTTCGTGTCTGCGTTCGTCTGCGGAGCAGGGACTGGCGTGATTAACTCCGGCGAGACTCTTGTTGAGTGCAACATCCTGACGCTGACCCTCGATCTCTCGGCTTTACAACTCACAGGGAACGCTTTCGGGTGTGTCCACATACCTGAAGCGGCGCGACGCCAAAGTCCGAATAGTGCTAGCCGATCCTCAAGGCTCTTCACTGTTCAACAGAGTCAAGTACGGCGTTCTTTATAGTTCGACAGAAGCTGAAGGGACCAGACGACGTCACCAAGTGGATACAGTAGTAGAAGGCATCGGTCTGAATCGACTGACTCGCAACTTCTCGCACGGCCTGAACGACGATGCTGTAGACGATGCCGAAAGGGTAACCGACCAGGAAGCTGTGAAGATGAGCAGATTTATCGCTAGGCACGATGGCTTGTTCCTCGGCAGCTCTAGTGCTGTCAATCTTGTCGCTGCGGTCAGGACGGCAGTCAAGCTCAAACAGCAGACGAAGCATCAGCAAGATCACTCCTCTTCATCTTTCAGTGCAAGGCTTACATTCGCCTTTCCAATGCTAGGCAGTGGAAGTACGACCGCGCAGAGCCCAGGGGCATCTCACACGTATCAGGGCAGCTCACAGTCGTACGACTACAACTCCAGCATCTACGCTCCCGAAGAGGGAGAAGGACAAAGAGCTGGACTTGCGCAAAATGCCCCAGTGGTGGTTACGATCCTGTGCGATAGCGGATCCAGGCATCTGAGTCGCTTTTGGAACGACGAAGCCCTCCGAGAACTGGGACTGAATCCGGAGGATGAAGACATTGCAGAGATGCTTCAAACGGGCACCACGTCGCCCCTCTGAAGCGACCAGCGATGCGACTCGGCGAAGTCGGCGCCGCGAGCTGCCGCTGCCGCTTGCTTTGCAGCCTCTACTTCAGTGTCTCTTCTCCATTACGTCGCAATCAGTAGAATGATAAGACTGGTCGAGGTCGCTTGCCCCCATCGCGACGCTGCGAACTGTTTCATCTCATCGCATCTCAAATTTATCGCATCTACATTGATCAGAGTGCCGTAACACCTCTGTCCGAGATGCTTGATGGTGGCTACGTGACGCAAAGAAGACTTTCATGACTAAAGATGGCCTCGAATTTGCCAAATTAGTGTTATTCGCCACTATCGCTTTCCAGATGCTGCCTCTGCAACATACGAAGAAAGTAGTGGGAAGTTAGTGCGGGCTCTTCCTGCTCATTCCACAGGCGGGAGCTATCGAAGGTCTATCGTGCCTGCGACGTGATGAGATTGTTGCCAGTCTCTGACTCATGACCCTGAAGCATCTAGATTGCTAGCACATCAAACAATGCTCTAGACGAGTGGGAAAGCTCCCGATCGAACCGCTCCTACGCCTATCGCGCCTCTTTGGTCCTTGGACGCCTCAAGACGCTTGTACCCTGGCACCCTCTTAAGCCACGTGTACACAAGTGACGCTGTCCCAGCCGACGTCAAGCTCCTGAATGTCTGCATGCTCGACACTGACTCACCTCGTCTGGTCGCATCCTCCAACAATTGCGTGTCCACCGCAGCTGCAGGGCAGTGCACGTACCTCACTACCGACCCGCGGATGAAAGCTGACCTGACCGCCGCCTGTATGCGCTCGGAGAAGACAGAGTGGGTCAGTCATCACATACGGTCTCACATGGAGCATCCTCGCTCTCTTTGCTAATTTGGAGTGGTCTCCTCGTGTTGGAGCTCGCATACACCCTGTGCTTCACAGCCGTCAGATCGCTGCCCTGAAATCACTCACCAAATGAGGCCACCTGGCTTCATCCCCCTGTTTCAATTGCACATCCACAATCCTAAAGTTCAAGAATTGGTCCACGCTCTTGAGTGTTCCCGTCAAGCTGACATCGTTCTTGAGCTCTACTGTGACTGTCTGACCGGTCAGGGTCTTGAAGAAGCTGAAAATCAGCATTGTTGCGAGTTGTTGTGGAGTGTAGCCAGAATGGCACGCTTCTTGCCGCTGGCAGTGCGAGGATGAGGCACTTGATTCCGGGTGGTTGGGCGAGTGACCGTGAGTGTTGCGTTGCTGTATCGTGCAGAATACTTACTGGATACTCCGTCAGGTGGGAGTCAAGTGATCGTGAGAGTCAATCGGTGATCCATGATTTGGACGAAGGTGACTACTTTGTGCGCGACAGAGCGCCTCACGTGATGGACTGACGGAATTCTGCCCGTGCGCAGACCCATAAAAGTTGCCAAGGTCCGCCGCGCTCGTCAGCATCAGCAGATCCTCGAATCACGAATCGCGGGGGTCCCTGCGTGAAGGGCACATGCGACCACCCAGCAGCTTCAGTCATGAGCATACCCTCACCTCGGTCCCTGGCTGCAAGGGACTGTGCACTTTTTCTTTACGATCAAGACTTTCACAGCATCTTCTAGACCCATATTAGGCATCAAAGCCTGGAATCTACCGCGGACCTTCCTTGCCCAAGCCCTCTTCTGATAGGCATTCTGCGGGTCCACCTTGGCAATCCCTTTTCTGACCCGCTCATTTCTTAGTCTGCGCCTCATGAGCCTCCAGTGACTTGCAACATTGCCTCGGCATTGGTCGGATGTCTGCCCGTGCAGCCGAGCCCCATGCATCGCTGCTAAATTCGATCTCGAGAGGGCCATGAGCAATCTGGCCATCCCGAAGCGCAAGGAGATTACCCTATCGGCTAGCCCGCCAACAAACACGAATCACCGCTAATACCACTCACCTCCGCGAGCAGCCAGAGATTACCTCTAGTACACCCCAGTGGTGGTATACATGCTCCACTGTACCACTTGGAACCAGCTCTGCTCCTTCCGATCACACCATCTCGCTCCGCCAGCCGCAGGCTGGTCATGAAGCACGCTGGAACAGATGCTGAGCATTACAAAAGTCTTTTGGGAATGCTCAAGGGATGGAAATGGTCGCCCACCGTGGTGACGCAGCTCAAGCGTATAGCTCCGTCTACGCTCGCTTCGCTGCTCTGCTCAGTCTTGATCCTCGTCAGACCCATCCAGCAGCGCTTCATTGGCCCATATGCTTTCCTCTCCCTGACCTTCCTCTTGTAAGTGGTCGCCATCCGCATCACATGCTTCTAGCTTGGAGGCATCCTAACATTCGTCCCCGTCTCACATACATGTGCTCTGGCAGTCTATTCTTCTGGCCATGTACGCCCATTGGCGAGCACCTCGAAGGCGTCCTCCTTTCGATCACCGCCTGTGCCATCTCACTTGGAATATCCGTCTTGGCGCTGTGGGGTTCCGCCAAACTGTCTAGATTGCCGACGGGTGAAGCTGGAGAAATGTATTCCACGGTGTCTTCAAGAGCTGTCGGGGCAATCACGCTTTTCGTGCTCTGCTTCAGCGCAGGACTCCTATCGAGCTTCATTCCACGCCTCAAGACACCCGTTCGCATCGCCCTGTTTGTTGCAGCCTGGAGTCTCAGCGTCACAAAGGCGGATGACGCCTCATCTACCCTTACACCCGGCAAGGCGTTCACCGACCTTTTCTTTCCAGCGTTGACCGGCGCTGCGTGCAGCACAGTCGCTGCCTTGTGCGTCTTCCCGCGCACGGCAACTCGAGAGTGGGCCAAAAGCTTGGCGAGCGGTCTAGATGAGGTGGCCAAGATCGTCGAATGCACAGTACGCGATTTCTATTGCGTCCTCGATTCAGCAGAAGATGGCGACGAAAAAGCCGGATCAGTGCAACCTCGACCGTCTGGGCAGCTCTCCGCTTATCGCCATTCGTTCCTGGGCCGAGTGACCCAACTCGATGGAACTTACCTCTTCGCATCTCACGAATTCCAAATCGCTCGTGTGCCCTTGTCAACTATGCGACCCATATTGAGCAATCTCAAGCACCTTCGAGGATGGGCAGCGTGCGGCATGGGACTTGGCACTGGGCTGGAGAGCTCTGCACAGGCGACTGCACCTCACACCAACAAGACATTTGTCACCCGTGGTGGGGCTGACGATCAAAGTGGTGACGATACGCAATCTGACAGGCTTCACCCGCACATCGAGGCTTTGGCTCGGGAGGTGATCTCCAGTCTTACACTCGTTCGAAATATCGTCCAAGTGGTGTCACACCAAAGCAGCTGGGCGGAATCCATTGCCTCCCTCAGGAAAGAGACAGGGGCAGATAGAAGGACCAGTCGTTCGCACAGCCGCTCCGCTTCTCGTACACAAGAGCCGCGCTCTGCACTTTTTGCAGTGGCGCTAGGAGGGGCTGGCGTCGGCATGGGTATGGACTACCGCTCAAGTGCATTCTCGAAAGAAGCGCTGAACGCCCCAGACCGTGCGGTGCTCGCTCAACGCAAGAGGATCAAGATGGTGCTCGCCGCAATTCAAGAGAAGGTAGCTGATCCCTTTGTTGATCTGTCGGAGACGCAAACGGATGATGAGGCTGAGGGCATCCCTTCTCAAGGTAATGCTGGAGCTGCACCACGTCGCCGCCATGGACTCACGGACAATAATGAGCTCGAAATGTGGCGTTCAGAGGAATCACGAAGCAACTCAGCTTTCCTACTCATGAGCCTACTGGAAGTTGCGAGAGAATGCTCAACCGCTCTCAAGGAATCTCAACGGATGCTTCGGGCCTGGCACAGGCAGCCTAGGCGTCGCGTCTGGCTACCGTCCTTTACGTGGCGCCTTTTCTGGGCCAAAGCGGGTCAAATGGGAATGCTACACATCCTCGATACTGCTGGTGGAGCGCTTCACCGGGACGATCGAGACGAGGATGACAATGACCGTGCACACGCTCAACGTGACAGTGACGATGGCAAGAGTCCTGGAGCAGATGAAGAGAGACGATTCGCACCAGCTCAGCAGACGTCGTATGGTGCACCAGAAGAGATCTTCGCCAGCGCAATGGTATCTTCGACGCACTTCAAGTCCCCGACGAGATCGAAGAAAAACGTCATCACACGCTTCTTGAACACACGCCGCGTTCTTGCAGTTCGTCTGGCCCTGCATGAGGCCCTGCAAGCTGTCACGCATAGCCCGCAAGTGAGGTTTGCACTGAAGCTGGCGACAGGAACTGTGCTGCTTTCGCTGCCCGCGTGGGTCGCGCGCGACTGGTGGCAGGCCCAAAGAGGACAGTGGCTCGTCATTGTGAGTGCCGCCCCCAAAGACTCGTGACAACATGGCTACTTAACTTTGCGTCCTGGCTTTGCCTGTCTTTCTACAGACGTACATTTGGTGTCTGGAGACTAGTACCGGCGCCACATTGAGGGTCTCTGCATTTCGTATCGCTGGGACATTCGCAGGCGCCTTTTACGGCATTATCAGCTGGTACGCCTCTGGTGGCAAGGCACCTGCGCTTGGTTTCTTCCTTGTGCTGGGCAGCATCCCGGCAGCATACTTGGCGCTTTTCACGCGCGCTCCGGGTGTCGGTGTCGTCATGGCGATCACTTTTCCCGTGGTTTGTCTGATCCCAATCATTGACACCTCGCAGTCACACCACGTGCCATCGATCGCGCTTATCCGAGGGTATCAGATTCTACTGGGCATCGTGGCTGCTCTACTTGTCAATCTTTTGGTTTGGCCTTATCACGCCCGCGTGCACCTGCAGCGCCATATTTCCAAGACCGCCTCTTCCTTGCAACACCTGTACCTCAGTCTTAGTAGGCAGACTGTGAGCGGACTCGTACCGACGAGGGAGACTAGGCACAGATTCGAAGCTTTGGAGAGCGCCATCACAGACTCACTCAGTCGATGTCGGATGGACCTGGACTTGATGGCTGCAGAAATCCGCCTCGTCCCCTTGCCCACTCACGTCCTGCGCCGATGTGTGTCGGCTCTTCAGAACATCAGCGACCTACTACTGGCCTTGCGTCATGTCCGTGAGACAGCTATGCTGCGATTCGGCGTCTACGAGCATACGGTCCTGAATGTGTTGGCTCTGAGGACCGATTTGATCTCGAACATCGTGCTCAACCTTTGGACAGCGGCGGCAGCCATCAAGACACGCGACCCACTCCCTCAGTGCCTGCCTAGCCCGCGCCTAGCTCTGCAAGATCTCACCAGGGCATTGCGAGAGGACCTCACTCGTGCGCCTCCCAGTCGTCAGCGGTCGGGCAAGCAATCCAGAGAGCCGCCGAGCTTTAATGTTCGGTCTCCGTCAACAGATGAGGATGGTGGAGACGCGCAACCTGAAGGTGTCCTACTCTCCACAGCGGTCCGCAGACTGCAGCAGCAGCAGCAGGATATAGGGGGTGGCCTGCCAACCTCTCCATCCAGCCGTAATGCATCGCGCAAGTCACATGCTCATGTGGTTTCTCTCTCGCTGTCGCACACCAATACTCATCACCACTTTGCTCCAATCGGTAGCGGATCTGCCAGTGGCTCCCGCACGCCGATCGCATCACTTGCACCTTCAGCCTTCCGGCTACCCGATCAGAGCAACTCATCAATACTGAGATTCGAAGACAGCACGACTTCAGGCAACGCTCCTTGGCAAGAGTCCGAGAGAGCGAGCGATGCCCACAATCGTCCCGCGGAGTCAATCAAGGAAGTCCATGATGAGGAGTCGAGCGCAACATCGAAATCGCGCGTGAAAAGCGCAGACAAGCCGCCTGCAAGCTCAGGCGCATATCTCTTCACGCTCGCAGAGCACTCGCTCTTGCAGGACATCGTCGAGCAGCTCGAGACGGTGCTGGAGTGCGTGCGCGATCTAGTCGGCGAACAGCCTTTATTCGTCGCCCAGTACATGCCTCGATCGATGGTGCCCCAGAATGTAGGCTATGATCCTCACCTCTCGTATGATCCTTCCAGGACGCAGTCGGGAATGGATCAGGAGCTACGTCGTCGTCACCAGTACTCTGCTTCGGCCAGTATGAATCCTAGCTTGACTCATCATCACGGTCTCACGCTTTTGAACGAGCTTGCCGCGCACGAACATCGTCGGCTCCGAAGAACGGCCACAAAGACGGCAACTCAACCTGAGCGGATTGGCGAAGAAGAGCGCAAGGATGCACCGCCGTTGGAAGAACAGCAGGGCTCTCAAGATGAAGCCGAAAGCGGCGTGTCCGCGACAGCACCGAACCTTCGCAACATGTTTTCGAACTCGACCCAGTGAAATATCTCAATTATCTACGTCATCCCGTCATCTATATTCACATTTCTCCACCCATTTGTATTTACAAGCAGCAATCTACGCAGTCTTGAAGACATCCTTGACAGCCTGCATGTCAAGGGGAGCTTTGGCAAGCTGAAGCTGAAGGAGAATCTTGGCTTTCTGAGGGTTCAAAGTTTTGGAAGGTATGCTGGTGGTCCCGTTGCCGAAGTTGTTTCCTGCCTGAACGGTCCCGCTGGGAGATCTGCTTGCAGTGATCACTGGTACACCCCGATTCATCAGCTTGGTCATAGAGTCCAGCCAAGTCCTATCCGCTTCTCCATCACCTTCTCCAGCAATCACTACACCTTGCACTCCTTGCGACGCTGCAAAGTCCAACTGGGCCGGTCCTTGGTCGAGGGCAGCGTAAAGGATGGAAACGCTAGGAAGGTTATTGTTGGCGGGCAGGGACGATACGGGATAAAGCTGCCGACCAGTCGCTCTCGCAGGCTGGTAGTAGTAGATAGGCTCAATCTAAGGCACGACACACGCGCAACAAGGTCAGCGATGCAGTCACACCGACAGTCGGGTCATCCTGAAAGGACTCACGCCAGCGAAAGTGCCCAGAAAGCCTGCTTCGAGTGCCTGAAAAGTGTCCAGTGTTCGCGTGTTGCTCTTGAAAGTGTAGTAAGCGCTGCCGATCCTATCATTGAGAACGATCAACGTGCCTCTATTTCTTGAGGATGATGAGATGCTCGCGCTCACAGCTTGGAACAAATTGAAAGAACCGTCTGCGGAGAGAGAAGTGGTCGGGCGCATGGCTCCCGTCACCCTGCGAAGGTGGTCAGGGCCGTGAGCTGGCTGTCTGCAGGACCGAGACCGTACTACGCGACTCGGTGTCCTCACACGATCGGCCGTTCATCGTCGATGATACTATCGAAAAGGAACGCGGCCTCTTCGAGGGTATCTGTTCCTGTCGTCACGCACACAAAGTGTTTATTCTTGTTCTCACGAAATTGCAGGTCGCATGAAGCGGCGCAGTCTCACCCATTGTGACGATCACTCCTGAGAGATTAGAATCGCTGTCCAGGTCACCTTGGATCTTCTTGGTTAGGGATAGCAGGATGGAAGTGTTGAGCTGATTCGAGCCCGTATTTGTGAACTACAGCGACACGAAAGATGTGCAACGACAATCAACAAGCCACATCCTTCGGAATATCAGCTACTCGGGCTCACCTGCTCGGACTCTATCATTGCTATATCCTTCAGAGGAGGCACGGCCTGCAGCAGCTGTTCGACGGTCACTTGTCCGGCAGAATACTGCGTAGTGTCCGTCGAGCTGTTCGAGTTGCTGGCCTGCGTCGTCTCGTGGGCGTCAGCACAGTCGATTGAGCTTGATGGTCGACGCTTTTACTCACCCCAGCGATGGTTCCCCCTGTCGCGTAGATTTTGACTTTTGGTAGAGCTGCTTCGACCATCACGAGTATGTGTAGCCATGAGCAGAGGCCGAGTATGGCCCATCCCAAATGGCGAGAGAGCATCTTGCTTCAAGATGTCGAAGGAGGCTGTAAAGTGATGACGGTACTGCGTTCAGTGTGAGTAACGGTTGCCTAATATTCTCATGTTGCTACCTTTCTGAAGCCGCACATACGATCGCGATGCCTTTCCTGAGATCGAAGGGACATCTGATACGGTACTCGTGCCACAAATGGCGCGTATATGTGCATTTCACGCTTTAGCGTGGCCACTCTTTAGCTGCAGCCTCGTCGATGTGACTTCACACTAGAACGCGAGGTGAAGCAAGCATCTACCGCAGGGAAGATGTGCTGCATTGCGAGAACAAGTGAAGAGTACCTCATCGGTCCTCGCTTGTCGGTCAAGGGCTTGTTCTCGTTTGGAGTCTTTCATTCTTCACTTCTGCGACGTCGTGCTCCACTTCAAGCCTCGACGGTGCACAGCCTGCTCGCTGAGTACGTGACGCGGACAACAATGGGCATGGACGCCGTGGACGTGAGCGTTATAGGCATCCAGCAAGGCCATTGTGTAGAGGGGTCAATTTTTGAACGTCAAGAGAAACTAGGCCTTCTGACCCGAATTCGAGTCACGAGTTTCGGCCGCGCCTGTTTTGTTCACGCTAAGTCACGTTACTTGCAAGAATCACTACTCAAGACTGATACACCGGTGAACGTTCTGCTCACGTGACTTGAAGTTGCAGGCCGCGGTTTTACCGCTGTAGCATGACCCACACCCGCGGGTCCGAGGCCGGCTTTCCGCACGCGCACATCAGCACCCGCGACACTTTGACTCAAGACTTGATGTGCGATAGCGCGCGGACTGGAGAGCCGCAGGTAAAGTGCCGTGTCGTCGCGGCGGCAAGCGGCGCATCCCAGAGCTCGATCGGATCGAAAGGAAGTCGAATCCAGGCACTTTCCCACTCTGATCACGAACGCTTATTCTGAACTTGCCAAGCCGGCGCAATTAGCGAAACGGAGTTTGAAAAGAGGGAAGCAGGTCACATATCCACGCACAAGTCAAACACCGAAGTGTGCTGGTGCTCGACCTTTCTACATGCTGTAGTCTGAGTTTGCGTGTGCGATAACTCTTCTTTGCTGTCGAGCTAAAGCGGCGTTGATGTGCCTCACTCCGCGAAGTACGGCCGCGCCCAGCTATGGTTGGAGATCATCGAGGGAGATTACGCAAACTTAAGACTCGATGATAATTGTCATCGCAAAGGTGCGGTCCTTGCAACACAGACGTTGACATTTGTGCGATGCCCTTGTGCAGAAGAAGAGAAGAATTACGAATGAGGCAGTCGATGTGTTTCATGATCACCAACAGGAAAGCTTTGCAAGCTGTCGCCACCGCGCGCGGCCTCACACACGCATCGCGAGCGAGCTCAGTGAGAAGTTTTTGCATGCAGGGAGGGGTCGAGCATGCAGCAGGTCTCACGCCATCCACCCGCCTCTGATGTGCCGCCTCGAGCCATCAGATGACTGGAAGCCCACCTTCTGTCGAGCAGGATTAGCACAAATTTTTGGGCTCCTCCGCTTGTGTGCGTGCTAACGATTGCTGAGGCAAAGGCGCAAGCGCAACGATGCGCCGATTGAGATGCAGGCGCCTGCCAAGTCGCGAGAACTCCGTTCGGTGATGTTTCTGAGCAGTGACGGGCGCCTACTATAGCTAGGGTATGATGTTAATACTCACGACTAATCACGAATCAGAATCGTGAATGGCACCCAGCGCGCAGAGCAGGCGTTGTTTCGCGATAAGCTAGGATTCAAATTGTGCAGCTTTCGTGTCCTATGCTGTGAGTCCGCAATTAATTGTGAGTGAACACTCGCGACTCTTGCAGCAGCAAAAGGGCGTAGCGAAAGGGCGCAGCAAGGGGGCGCAGCTCAAGCAACTGAAGCGACCGGCCTAGACTCGCTGCATGGCTTCGATGGGCGATAAGGCGAGCAAGACGCCCCGGCCGAGGTGCAGGCAGCAGCTTGACACACAAGATGGAGGATATCGGGCCACCAACGTACGCCCTTCCTGGTCTCAGCTTGCTGCGTCGTCTTATGATATGAGAGGTCTGCTGATAAGCTCTCGGGGCTTGGCATGCGTCAAGCTTGTCACGCGATACCAGATACCGTTCGCGCGGTCAGCACTCACGACTTCCGGTGGGGTAAATTCTGCAAGGCACTTCGCTAGCTGCACCTATACAACAGTACGTGGACGTCGGAGCCAAGCTGAGTGCTGGTACAGCAGTCGCGAGTGAAGGCGCCGAAGGGCGTGGCGTGCACATCCGCGACTAAGATACATGTACTCACACACTGTAGCGCGGTCGACTTTTAACGCTTTAAGAAGACCAGCCCGTTCCTGCATTCCATCCTACCTCGCCCCCTTCTTCAGATGAAGGCTTACCCCGACTTGGAAGGCCAAAGTGCATCCATCTGACAGCCGGACCACCATCCATTCGTCCTATCCACCCAGCCTCTGACTTAACTCAGTTGGCTCTTCCTCTCCTTTCGGAATCTCCTCTTCTCTTCTAAGACTGGAACCCTAGAGCCACTTGCGCGCAAGATCCTTCGTCACGATGGCTGATGCGGTCACTCGTGCTGAGTCGGTGGCGTCCAAGCCATCCGAGGAAAAGGTTCCGTACGACGTCTCTGTCAAAGAAAGCGTCTCAGATCGCGATGCTGCTGCTGCTCAATCCGAGGAAAATGGCGACTTGCATCGGGCCCTCAAGCCGAGGCAGGTCTCCATGATTGCCATCGGCGGTGCGATTGGCACTGGTCTCATCATCGGCACTGGTTCTGCCTTGGGTCAAGGTGGTCCCGCTGGTGTCCTCATCGGATACGTCGTCATGGGCTTGTGCTGCTTCGCCACGCTTTGCGCTCTCGCGGAGATGAGCGCATACATTCCTCACAAGCGAGGATTTCCTGGTCATGCCACACGCTTCGTCAGCCCCGAATTTGGATTTGCGTGAGTGTTGGTCGGGGAGCGGGGACATTGCCGAGTCCTCTGAGCTCAGATTCATTCGACTTACATTGTGTTGCGCTGCGCCATGCGCCCATAGAACTGGATACAACTACCTCTTCAAGTGTGAGCAGCGCGAAGCAGGGTCACTAGAGCTCACGACTTCTTCTTTGCTGACAGTGGCTTCTCTCATATCGCAGACCTGATCATCTTCCCCACCCAGCTTAGCGCCGCCGCCCTCCTGATCACGTTCTGGACACCGCTCAATCCCGCAGTCATCATCAGCGTCTACCTAGTCGTATGCGTATTCCTCAACTATGCAGGCGTAGCTTGGTTTGGCGAGATAGAATTCTGGCTTTCGTTCATCAAGATCATCGTTTTGACGGGATTGATTCTCCTCGCGCTCATCCTCGATCTTGGAGGTGGTCCAACTGGAGACTTCATTGGCGGCCGCAACTGGAGAGATGGAAGAGCATTCCGCGAATACAAGGCGGAGGGTGCTCTGGGTCGCTTCCTCGGCGTTTGGAGCTGCATGACTACCGGTCTCTTCGCCTTCATGGGCAGCGAGCTGATTGGTGTCTGCGTCGGTGAGACAGCCAACCCCAGGAAAGCTCTGCCTTCGGCGATCAAGAAGACTTTCTATCGTATCCTCTTCTTCTACTGGATCGGCACGACGATGATCGGTCTCATCGTCCCTTCCGACGACCCCAGACTCCTCGGCAAAGGTGTTACGAAGGGCACAGCAGCAGCCAGTCCATTCGTCATTGCAGTTGTCGACGCCCAAATCAAGGCGCTGCCAAGCCTTGTGAATGCGTGCTTGCTTATCTTTGTCCTCTCGGCCTGCAACTCCGATCTGTACATCGCTGCTAGGACCCTCTACGCCATTGCGTGAGTTCTGCAGCTCGTGCCCTCTTGGCTTGTCAGCTGTCACGTCTATGTACTGACGCCTCCCCTGCCGATCTCGACCGTCACGTCGCAGCGAGGACGGCAATGCGCCCCGCATCTTCCTGAAGTGCAACAAGCGTGGAGTGCCTTACATGGCCCTTGGCTTCTCCTCGATCATCGGTGCTATCGCTTACATGAGTGTGAACACCGGTGGAAACACTGCATTCGGGTACCTCAAGGACACCGTCACAATTTGCGGCGGTGTCGCGTGGTGCAACATCCTCTACTCTCACATCGCTTTCATGAGAGGCCTCAAGGCTCAAGGCATTTCTCGAGACATTTTGCCCTACCGAGCGCCATTTGCGCCATACACATCTTGGGCCGCTCTCATCTGGGTCTCCATCGTGCTCTTCTTCAAGGGCTTTGCAGCATTCATCGGCAAGTTCGAGTACAAGACTTTCATCACCCACTACATCGCTTTGCCGTTCTTCTTTGTCCTCTGGTTCGGCTACAAGTTCGTCTGTAAGACCAAGGTGGTCAAGCCTCAACAGATTGACTTTGCAGCTGCGCAATCGTACGATCACCTCGACGAGAAGGAGGACGAGGAGATTGGCAATCTGACCATGAAACAGAAGACGATCAAGTTCTTCAAGGAGTGGTAGAGTGTTCAGCTCAGGCCTACAGCATTGCAAGCATTGCCCTTGCCCGACTGTCCCTGCTGCTGTTCAAAGTTTCTTGTCATCACGAATGTTTCCAAAACCCACCTGTTTGTATTTCACGTCACGACGAGATATTGGATGTTCCTTGACCTCGATGTGGAAAGCTCGGTCTCAATGCCTTGTGAACGGTGTGCGAGAATTCTGGTAGTCGAAAGGCAGTCATCGCTCCATGCTAGTGTAAAATTCGAAAGGTTGTGGAGTCCGCAAAGGCATGGTGGAGCAAGGAAGTTCCTCAATCGCTTCGAGAAAGGGGATCAGCGCACATCGGCTGCGAGGGGCCGATTTTCTATGCTCAGTTGCAAAACGGGACGCGCTGCTTGAGCTTCGCGCTTGCTCCAGGTCCTGCTTCATGCACCACAGCAGCCTCGGCAACGGAACACAAGCTTTGACGGCGGTGAGCCGCGCTTGCTAGGTCAACCTTTGGAGGCGGAGTCGCGAGCAGGATGTGTTGGTCGTATATCGAGGGGGGCGACGCACAATTCACAGCTTGCTGTATTCTCATGAGAGGCTCCCGAGTGCAGGTCCTTCCTTGCCCTTGCAGCACGATGTGGCTTGCTGGACATATCGCGCCCCGAATTTGAATTGTCGATTGATGTGATCGCGGACATCTTCTCCGTGCGCGCGCGGCGCATTCGCGTTCACGTCCCATCCGTGGTCGTCCGTCGTTCGCCGCCGGCTGAGGCGGTTCTTGAGCAGCTCGTCGCGATGTGCTGCCGCACGTCGCCGACAGATTGGTGAATCTCAGAATCACAAATGCTGGTCGAGCGGCTCGTAAATCGTGATCGGACGCGCAAAGAAGCGGAGGAGGAGGAAGATAGATGGAATGCAAGCATATATTCGACGTTTTGCGGGGTCGTTTCACACCTTTCTGCTATACATTGACGTACTGCCAGCGGGTCGCGATGCCCAAGATAGACGCCACGATCATTACGAATCCAATCAATTGAAAGTATTGAGCCCGGCGGTTGGACTTCACGAACATCTCCCTGCATACCCGAGTGGCGAGTGCGTGTGCGGTACAAGCACTTACGACTTTCTGGCTTGCAAGCTTGCATCGCTCACTACTCGCAATCGTCGTGATCGAGTAGGCTTCACGGCCTGATTATGAGCATGCAATCGTGAATGAGGCATTCACATTCGTGACTTGCGACTTCCGTCGGGCAAATCCAGCGAGCAAAGGTGAGACACAGCTAAGCAAGCATTCACATTCTCTTTACGCGTGCCGACGTATGATGAGTGGCAGAGGGTTGACGCTCCTGCCAGCTTGCGATGTGGTGCCTCGAAGCCGCTGCTTGCGGGTACAGATTCGTAATTCACGATTAGCATCAGCACACGCCGCGCTCGCCTCCCCTCCGCTCCGCCCAGAGACGGAGTTTGAGAACAAACATGCGGTCGGCGCAACTCTCTTGCGAGGAGCATATGCATGCTTAGCGTGCGGGTTCCTCGCGGTCGTGTGCGTCTTGCCGTACGATGTCGCGCTGCCTGATGCTTGATGCTCGATCGTTCCTTCTTCCCCTGCTTCTTCTCGCGCAACACGAATCTAGCAGGTGCATGCTGGACATAGTCCCTGGATGCTCTTATCGCGCAAGCATCGCCGCGATGCGATTAGGAAAGCTCACAAAGCGGCCGAGGACCCGCTTGTGTTTGCGATGGCTAGCTTCCGCTCGCACAGTCACAAAGCTAAGGTGCGTATCAGCACAGGCGGCAGTAGACCCCCACTGTCATCGACCGCGGGGCCACTCCCAGCGCACCTGCACGATTCAGGAGGATCAGCCGCGGTTCAGCACTGCATCCGCCGGTAAGATGGCCCTCGGTCTTTCCTGCGACGTGGCTTCGAGCTTATCCCCCGCCTCTCCTAGCTCTGACGATCTGGATTTGTTATTCCTTTGCTCGCCTGTTCCAAGCTTGCATAGTCCTTTGACGCTAATATAGATAGCTTCTGACCGACTGCATACCGCACAGCCGTCTTGCCACGATGGTTGCGCGGTCCTTGCGTCTGCATTCGTGCGTGCACTCAGTGAACAGCAAGCAGCATGGTCAGCATAGACGATATCACAGCAGCAGCAGCAGCTGACTGAACCGCAACGGAGGATCCAGCTCCCACTTTGCCCAGGCAGCTTGAACGCATAAATACCCAGTCCGACGAGCCAGCATAGCCTCCCTTTCCCCACCCGCTCTGCCCACTCCCTCACGTCTCTAACGTCCCTTTCCATTCTCCACCTTTGCCGTCTTCTCAGCTCATCCATTCACTTCACAATGGTCTCTACCCGCAACAAGTGGTCGCGTCTTGCGGCGATGCTGGCGCTCTGTGCTGCCTCCGCCGTGCTTTTGTCACTCTCGACTGCTCCTGTCGCACAAGCCGCTCCCATGGCTGATGCGCTCCAGTACGAAATTCACGAGAAGCGATCCGTCTACCCCAACTGGAACCGCGTTGGCAGGCTGGACAAGCGCACGCAACTCCCCATGCGCATCGCGCTGAAGCAATCCAACATGGAGAATCTCGATGCTTTGCTCAGCGCTGTGAGCGACCCCAACTCTGAGCAGTACGGCAAGCACTGGACGCCAGAGCAGGTTCACGAGCACTTTGCGCCCTCTGACGAGACGGTCAATGTAGTCAAGAGCTGGCTCCAGTCTCACGGTTCTATCGATGCCTCGCGCATTCGTCAGAGCGCCTCCAAGGGCTGGCTCGAACTGCACGTTTCGGTCGCTGAAGCCGAGAGACTGCTAAACACCGAGTACCACGGTTGGGTTCACGCGTCTTCAGCAGGACGCGCAGCAGCGGACATCAAGGTGCACCCTGCGGTCATGAATGCGTACTCTCTTCCTTCCCACATTCGTGAGCACGTCGACTTCATTACACCTACGCTGCACTTTGACGTGCGTCCCGACCTCGAGAAGAGGGACCCGTCCGAGAACTTGGACAGCATCTTGGAGAAGCGTGCCAACGGCCATGCGGTTAGACCCATCGGTGCCCCTGGCTCAGGCTCGCTGCCAAAAGTTCGTCCCATTCCCCAGAGCGCTTTTCCGCTGATTGACGAGCTCAAGGACTGCTCTAACAACGTCACACCCAACTGTCTTCGAGCTCTGTACAAGTTCCCCGCTCTTCCTTCCTTCACCCCCATTAACCCCAAGAACGGTCTGGGAATTGTCGAGTACACCCCTCAGTCGTACATCGACACCGACCTTGACCTGTTCTTTGGAAACTACAGCAAGAATCAAGTGCAGAAGCGACCCAAGCTCGAATCCATCTCGGGCGGCAAGGTCGACTTCAACAACAAAAACGTTGACCTCAATGCCGAGTCCAACTTGGACCTCGAGTACGGCATGGCTCTGGTGAACCCTATCCCAGTTACGCTGTACCAAGTCGGCGAAGGCCAAGCAGCCGACTCCTTCAACAACTTCCTGGATGCTTTCGATGCTTCCTACTGTGCTGGTGATGATCCCGTGCAAGATGGAGTCTACCCTGACCCCAAGACCGGTGTCCAGAAGACTTGCGGAACTCTGAAGGCCTTGCCTACCATTTCCACTTCTTACGGCTACAAGTGAGTGCGGTGAGCCCATGTTGCGAGAGGTTCGATCGTCGACGCTGATTCTCGTTGGAATCCGATTTACTCCGGCAGCGAGGCTGATCTTACCCCCGAGTATGAGGTTCGTCAGTGCAACGAGTATGCCAAGCTCGGTCTGCAGGGCTCCACTTTCCTCTACTCGTCGGGAGACTACGGAGTCGCTGGTAACGGCGGACAGTGCATCGATCCAAACACTGGGGACTACACGGCTGGAACGACCAAGGGAGACAAATTCAACCCTTCCTTCCCCGGTGGCTGCCCTTACGTTCTCTCCATTGGAGCGACCCAAATCACCCTGAACCAGACCGTTCTCGCCCCAGAGACTGCTTGCAACTCCGTCATCTACTCTGGCGGTGGTTTCTCCAACGTCTTTGGCCTTCCAGACTACCAGAGCAGCGCCGTCAAGTCCTGGTTCGCCACTGCACCTCAAGCCAAGGCCTACAGCTCGATCCAGTACAACAACAGCCAAAAGACTCGCGGTTTCCCCGACGTCTCTGCCAACGGTGCTCGTTACGTGGTTGCGCTCGACGGATCGTACAAGTACCACCTGTACGGTACCTCTGCCTCGGCGCCCACCTTCGCCTCTATCCTGACGCTCATCAACGAAGCTCGCTTCGCCATCGGCAAGGGTTCCGTCGGATTCGTCAACCCGGTGCTGTACAAGAACCCTTATCTGCTGACCGACATCACCAACGGTACCAACCCTGGTTGCGGAACAGAGGGCTTCGCTGCAGTCAAGGGATGGGACCCCGTCACTGGTCTCGGAACGCCAGACTACCCCAAGCTGCTCGCTTACTTCCTTGCTCATTGAGTAGCATACGACGACGACGAGGACGATTCCACGCACCGCAGCAAATACTCTGCGCCTTTGCTCCACACCTTTCCCAAGCACACACTCCCCAGCTCGCGTATCTTTCACAAAGATTTCCGCTCGCAGCTCGGCCTCTTTTCTGCATCACGCGCTCCGTCTTCTTGCAAATGACACATCATTCATTGGTCGCTGAGTGTCGAACCTGTACCGTCGGGCGGCCGCACGGGGCTTTTGTAAGCTCGATCTGATCCTCGCTGTGAGTCAACGCGTGAGCCGGGATCTGAGCGTGCTCCTACGGTAGGCCAGGACAGTGCCTTGCTAGCGCGGTCACATGATGCGTACGCTACAATTGGTCGACCTGCTCATGTCCTGCGCTGCCTTGCGCTGCCTCCAGGTTTAATGTGTCGCGAAAGAGCGAGCAGTCGGCAGTAGACAGACCAAGCTGCTCCCGGCCCCATGGAGCCCTTTATCGCAACTAGAGGCGGTGGTCTGAGGAAAGGAGCTGTGCTGCACTCCTTCGACGGGAGGTCTTCTTGCCTGCAACGCCCAATTGCAAGGATTGCAGCGCTGAAGGCAACAAAGACTTGAGGGAAGGAAGCGCATGGCATCGATTTTGCTTGATAATGCTGAGGAGCGTTGCCGGAAATGCGATTGTATCTGTGCTGCCTTGGTTGGATGTGGAGAACAGGATGCCACTGCTCAGGAAGACTTGCTTAGGCACACGATCATGTGGAGCTTCATCTTCTCCATCCGGATTGGTTCATCGCTTCTCTCAATCCTACTCTGGCGACAACGACAGCTGCTTGTCTAGCCTTGACTAGCGCAATACCGGCCAATCCCCACACTGCGCCTTGGATCAAGGGAGAAAGCAGCTGGTCTCGAATGGTCAGGTAGAGAAGGGGCACCCTGAGCGCCAGCGAGGACATCGTCAGCGAGGCGCTTCGAGCGAATGAGCCTGCGATCAGGCTCACCATTCGATCCTCAGACTACCCAGCCAAAGCTCAGGCTCTCCCTTGGGAGACTTGGACAGCTGCACCTTCTTCGCGCCCGACTGTGAAGCTTCGTCCACGACGAGACGCTCTCCCTTTTCTCCCTCTTTGAGATTCGCGCCGCCCGTCTTCTCGGCCAGATCATCTCCTTCTTTTCTAGCTGCTTTGATATCCTGAGCAGCTTCATGCTCCAGTTCGTGAACGTAGCCCCTGATACTAGCCAAGTAGCTCTGTTCAAACCTGAGATCGGGGAGGATGGAGCTGCTGAGAGCCAAAGGATTCAATAGCGGCTTGTCGGAGGTGGAGGAAGAGGAGGAGGTGGAGGTGTGCGTGTCTATCGAAGAGATGGACGAGCGACGCTTTCGATCTTTTGAGCTCGCATCGCCTCGCTTCTTTTCGAGGTCGAGGAGGGACATGGAAGAGAGAAAGGTGGGACGCGTGGGCTGAGGAGTGCGGCTCGACATGATGCGGTGCTGAGCCGGTGGGTGGTCGGGAATGCGAGAAGAGACGAGAGCAGGGCAGCAGGGCAGGCAGCTCGATGAGCTAGAATCGGCAGCAGGTGGTTCAGGGCGATTGCAGATAGCTGGAAGCGTCCTCAAGCTCGGTTGGCAATGGTGGTGGGTGGGTGTTGCCTGTTCCGGTGACTTGGGAGTGCTGGTGTGGAGCGTGGCACATCAAGGATAATCACGTGGTTGTGCATCGTGGTCCATTACACGTGACACGCTCTCCCCCACTTTTTGGACTTTTGTAGCACGCGGGCCGGCCTTGCTGTATGCTGCGTAGGGTCGCACGACCTTGGCCGCAAGAGTGAATGTGGAGTCACGGCCGTGTAGCTGGCACCTGTGAGGTTCACGATCATCCCTTCGATTGCAGCTTGCTCCACAGCTCAGCTCCCACGCACGCCCTTACCAAGTCACTAATCCCAGTATTCATCCTTGCAAGCGTGCGTCGTCGCTCCGAAGGTGGCAAGGTTCAGCGCAGCGCAACCACTCGACCACTCGCGACGCCCTCACGACATGTCGTCCTACGATGGTGGAGCCGTAGCTAGCAGCTCGTCTTCGCACTCCACAGCGTCAACGAGCACAGCGAGTGCTCTTCCACACAGCGGACCACTGCAGCTTGCAGCTTCAGAGATGCTCAAGCAGGAGAAGATCAATTCTTTGAGATCTCAGTTGAAAAGGACCAAGAACGATTTAAACGAGGTGGAGCGGGTGCAAAAGGCGCTCGCGGAGCTTCAATTGCAACGCAATGAAATCGAAGCGGACAAGGCCGGCCACGGCAACAGTGTGCTCGTGAGTGAAAGCGTGTTGCCGTGCTCTGCCGGTCGACCTCGCATCACCACAGCTGACTAATACTCATCGCTCGCGAAAGACTCCACTGGGCTCGAAAGCGCTGCAGAGGCATGTTCCAGTCTTGCAAGGCGGCGCTGGTCCACGTCTACGGATGAAAAAATCGGCAACTTCTGCAGGAGAACCAATCGCAGCATCGCAGGCTCTGGAATTTCTGCAAAGTAGAAGATCAAGCCTTGTCGAGTCGTTGAAGCGAGCGAGAGAGCAGCTGGACGCACTTGTGCTGGGCACGGATCAAGGCGCAAATGCAAGCTTGGAATCACAGCAAGCTCCGCCACCGGAGTCAGTCGACGAGAAGCGTGCACTGCCAAGAGCAAGCGGCGCAGAAGAGACCTCTTCCCAAAGCCAAGCTTCCACCTCAGCCACTAGACTCGCCGAGCTTTTGCAGCGCCTAGGCATCAATCCTTACTCGGATTCTGCAGGAGACGGGACGGACGAACAAGGTCGAGTGCTGAACGAGGAAGGTCTGCCATTTGTGGATCTGGTGGAGCAGGTTGGACCAGAGGACTCGACTCTGTCCCAGTCGCAATCTACGTCGACTTTGCAGGCTGCCTCAAAACAAGCGCCGGTGCGTAGCACCCACCGGCCGCTCGCTACCACAACAGCGCCAGGCAGTACACCACGATCACGATGGGCTGAGTCTATATTGGATCAGCTGGAAGCCGAGGAAGCACAAGAAGCGCTGCACCCACCTGAGGAGAAGGAGCCTGTGCACGAAGCGCACCAGAGCTTTTCCCGCGGGTTGCAGCGACAAAAAGCCAATGCTGGTGACGCACCACAAGGACCTTTGAATTCATCTACTGGATCTAGTCAAGACAGGAAAGGGAAAAGCAGAGAGGTTGGAGACCATGTAGCAAATACAGGTCCACCAACTCCATCGTCTCAGAGACCGAAACCCATCAGGTCCGCCCTCAAGCGGAGTTCTAGCGTTGGTGCCAGCGCGGATGGCAAGGTCCCGACTATGACGAGATCGCTCTCTGGACTTAGAAGAGGATGGCTGAACCTAAACCCAAGCAGCCCTGCAGCTGACGACGCGAAGGGCAGCTCAGATTACATGAGTGCATCAACGGCGAGTCCTTTGTCTAACCCAGCTTCAGGTTCAGACCCTGCAAAGACATCAACGAAACCCAAGAATAGCTTTAAATTTTTGGCTCTGAATCCAGGAAGTCCAACGGCAAGTCCAAGCTGTGGCCAGGATGCTCTCACAGGACCTGCCGCTGGCATCTCTGCAGCCTCGCACTCCTCAGACGATGACGATATCGGAGATCAACACGACGAGCGAATGTCACGCTCCGAGCCTGCTCTCCTCGCGCGCGCCGAGCAAAGCCCATCCCCATCGCAGCGTAGCGAATATGCGGACCGGGGCAGGGCCTCTGTCACGCCTTCCAAGAAGTCAGTAAGGATCAAGACTCCCTCACATTCGCGGGAACGCACGCCAGGTCAAACGTCTCCAGAGCTCGTGAAGAGCCTGAGGTTCGACGATGGTGACTCGTTAGAACGCTCAACAGCTGCTCACAGCAAACGCTCAACAGCTGCTCACAGCCAAAAGAATCTGACGGATGAGAAGGAGTTCAAAGGCGCGGAGGATGAGGCTAGGAGGATCGTAGAGCTGCTCGGACCTGGCGTGGTCAGGGGGCACCCATCTGCACCTGCCGACTTGGACAGGCTGGAGCAAGCTCACTTGGAAGACTCTCAAGGGAGCATCCACGGCGCTTTGTCGTCAAGCGCCGCCAAAATCTCGGAGGAGGCTGAACAGGCAACCAAAAAGCCCGCAAAGCCTCGTGTTAATCCAGTACAGCGGACCGTGATGGAGCGAGCGCCTCGAATAAAGCCCACTGCTACACCAGTAGCGAGCTCCGACGGACCGATCAAAAAAGAATCTGCACTCGCCAAGGGCTTTTTGAATCGACCTAACAAAGCGAGCGGTCCTGCGTCACCTGCTTCATCGCGCGATGCGGCTCGTGTTGGAGCACCAGCAGGACCTTCGCAAATCGCCGCCAGTGAAACAAATTGCGATCCGAAGCTTGGCGATGTACCCCAAGCACCTAAACAGTCTTTTGGCATGACAGCCCTTGACCGTGCCCTGCAAGCCGACGAAGACGAGCTTGCCTCCCGAGAGAAGTCATCACTAGCAGATGGCGCCTTCTCCAAAGCGAATTTGCGGCCTCACGCGAGACCAAGCAAGGCATTCAAGGAAAAGATGGAGAGGGAAGCTGAGAAGCACAAGGGCTGTGGCAAGAGAGGGGAAGATGAGGTCTGGGACCTCAAGAGGCCGGAGGATACAGAGGAATACAAGGACTCGGAAGACAGCGGAGAAAGTCGTGTGAGGTTCGCAGACAGGCCGCAAATTGTTGGAGAAGACCAGAGTACCCAGCCTGCGGCGTCTACCACGAAGGAGTCATCTTTGTTCGCAAGACCCGCAGTACGTTTTGCCAACGAAAGCGGTCGGCCAGATGGCTCCAGCACGTCTCGAAAGCAGCTTTCAGAGACTGATGCGGCAGAGGACGAAGAAGAATCCGAGGGAGATATCGTCTCCGAAGACGGCTCCGAGGACCTGGTGCGCAACTCAGATCTGGGCTCCGACTTTGATGAGGAGGACATTGATTCGGATTCGTCGGAGATCGACCTTGAAGAGCTTGCGCCCACATTGGAGAGCATGCTGGACGACTTTGAGTCGGCCGAGCTGGCCCGAGAGTATGAGCTTGCCCGTGCACGCATCAGCGCTACCAAAGCTAGACTTGGTGCGTCTGTACTGCGGGGCACTCCGACTTTGGGCAATGACGCAGCTAGCGATGATGACACCGACGCTGGCGACGACGCGTACGATGACGGAAGGGACATTGTCAGCGCCAGACACGGGGCCACAGAAGGCGAAGTCGAAGGGTCAGGTGGCAAACGCATGTCCAGGTTCAAGTCGGAAAGGTACGCAAGAGCCGCTGGATTTATCAACGATCGCTTCGCGCCTCAAAGTCGAGAACTCAGCATGCGTGGCATAGCGGGAGAGAGGGAGGCAGATGCTCAAGCGGATCAGGCAGGACACGAGTTGGCCCACTTGCTTTCCGATGCGAGAAACGTTGGGCCGGATCGAGCGCTGGACATGAGCGGATCAAGCCAGAATCCAGTGATGGTCTTGCCGCGCATAGCGCCGGTGCGATATCCAAAGAATGCTCGAGACCTCCTTGGTGGATCCGCAGAGGAAGATGCGTCGTCATTTGAACCGGTGAATGCGAGAGCAATTGTGCGCAGCAGGAGACTGGGAGCAGGAGGACCTGTCGACCTGGAAGGAGGCTCTGAAGAGGATGAAGAAGCTGAAGATTTGGCAGCTGTGATGGGGGCTAGGCTAGACTTGGCGCAGCAACAGAGAGAAGAAGGCATTCTGCCCGGCACAGCGGCGCGCGGATCCAGCACGAGGAAAGCACGGGGCAATGCCCAAGATCCGCCTCTCGTTCGAAGCAAGCGCGCTGCAGCTTCTGACTTGCCAAGCTCGAGCGAGAAGGGACAAGGTGATCAATTCGCGAAGCCGCGGGCACCACAGGTTATCGCATCAGGTGCTCAGCCCGCCATCGCAAGCCCTCTTCCTTCTGATGCGACCCCTTCAACGACAGATGCGCAAGGACCAGAACAACCGAAGAAGGTGTCGCGGTTCAAAGCGGCCAGGCAAGCGGCTGCGGATTCTCGTGCCAGCTCTTGAGAAGACACCACGACCTGCAGCCTGACGTTGCGACACGGGCGTATTGCAATGCAGAATGAATGCTTTTATCCTTACTGCTTTTGGTATACATGCTTCTTCGCGCGATCTTAAAGGTGCTCGTCATCGTCCTCATCAAGAGGTGGGTCAGGCTTCCGCCGGTACGCTTTGAACCATTTATCGCCTCTGTTGCGAATGACCTTTTTGCCTGCGTGTGAAGGGACGAAAGTTTGGATCAGCGCCACACGCCGGCAAAGCCATGCTGAAGCTCGATTCAAGCGTTCTGTCATTTCGACTCCTCCAGCCTTATACCGCGCCTGCCCCTCCACATGACGCCCGCCTCCGATCTATTTTGGCTTGTCAACTCACCTTCCTCTGTGGCGGTCCAGATAGCCTTGACGCAAGGATCGTCCTCCAATTCCGCGTCCGGGATCGGTTCGAAAGAAGGATGCACGTCCAAGTGCCCCACCATCCACAAGTGCAGATCGTGCACGTCCGTGATGGTGTAGAGTATGCCCCCAGGTCGAAGGACGTATGCATACTCGGCCAAGAGGGTAGACGAGATGATTCGAGCTTTGTGCTTGATCTTTTTGAAGTGAGGATCGGGATGCAGGAAGAACATTTTGGACAGCTAGCAAGGCGATCACGCGCGTATTCCGAGCAACGCAACACAATCAGATCGTCGAAGTGCAGAGATGGGCATCTAACAGACTAAAACGCTGTACTTACCTGGCCCTTGCGAAAGAAGTTGGGCAGAAACTTCATAGCGTTTGCGCGCAAGACGCTCACGTTCTCGTAGCCTCCTGCAACGTTGCCCGTCCTAGCTCTCGCAACAAGCAGCTCGTTCTGTTCCTTCTCATCCTTCTCATCCTTCGCATCCTCTTCGTCTCCGTCCGCATCACCCGGCGCTTGATCCTTGCGAGAGCGCTTGTTGGGATGGGAAGACGTGCTTGACTGTGCGTCGCTAGTGTTATCAGGACCGACAGTTGGTGATACGCCTGCTCCCTCCGCTGATGACGAAGCGGCGCTGCCTGTGCCTACCTGAGATGTGTCGTTACCAGCGGCGTGCTCTCCGCGTCGGTGGGATCGAGCAGCCAATCTCAGAGCGTGGGCCTTATCCTCCACATACTGAGCTACCTGAGCTCGAATCTCTAGCCCTACGCATAAACAGACACCGGCTACGCTTCAGATTGAGCTTTTTCTCATCGATCGAACTCTGGCAAAGCACCGCCCACCCACCGAGAATGAGTTTGTCAGGAAAGATGGGTGCCAGATCAAACAACAATCCTCCGAACCCGCACCCCACATCCAGAAACTCGGGCAAGGCCTTGGTCCGTGTAAAGACGGAGGCTTGATCAATTTGGGCGGAAGAGTCGGCATAACCGTCGGATGAAGCAAATGCAGGGTAATGCTTGCTCCAGTCCATTTCCGAGGGTGAGCTGGGACTGCAACGGAACACGGGGAAGCGACGAGCGATCAGCACTTCATTTCGACCACAAGCACCCTGCTCCGCTGCCCGCATCACCAGCCTGCTCAAATCTCGCAACCTCACTTGAAGCGCTCTGTTGATCGGCGAGGCTACTCACAAGACCAGATCATGATCGCTGAAAGGATTCGCGTGAGCCCTTTGTCTGTACCATCTCTTTTGAGGGATCATCAGCGTGCCAGTCGAGCTGCCCGCATAATTCAGATGATTCATCCCTTCCTCCTTTCCCGCCCTCACTCCTCCCTTCTTGCGCTTCTCAGCTGGCATGTTCGCGCTTCAACTCGAAGATCACTGATCCAAGATGGAGGAAGCGAATTGGATGTTTGTGCAACCTTGCGGAATGAAGAGTGAGACAGGCAAGTCAAGAGCCTTTGATGTGGAGAAGAATGTCAGGAGTCGAGATGCACACAGGCCAGGAAATCGTTTATCGTGGACATCACCGAGTCTTAAAATGATGTGCCATCGTCGCGCTGTACCCTAAATCTAACAAGATGAATCGCGAATAATTTCTTTTTTGCAGCGGTTTATTACCCTAGCGGAACTGGTCACGTGTCACGACAATCTGAAAACCACAAACCTCGTCGGATCTTGAACTTTGACTCGTGACTCAAACGACAGTCAGGAATTCAAGGGTTGTTTTCAATTGAATGGCAATCACGAATCACGAATGATCGCGGATCAAAGCTTGGCTCAATGTATTTCGAAGGTGAGTCACGATTCTTGGCTGCTGCTCTAGGAGGAGCCTGAGAAGCGCCGGTGCTCGAGTCGATGCTCGTGAAGCCTTGATACACGGCGCTCGAGACTACGATATTTGCTGAGTAGGGGTGAGCCGGTCGCGGGAGACTTTTGATCGCATGTGTGCAATGCCTCGACAAGCTGCATGGGACACAGCGGTATGGGGACTTGCGGAGGAGATGAATGATGACCGGTTCTGGGTTACAAGTACATGTCTGTCTTTTGAGCTTCAATTTCTCAAGTTCAGACGTTGTAGGCTGCGACGCTGCGTCGTGTGCCGGCTTGCACCGCCGAGCAACTTGAACGCGCTGCGCGTTGAAGCTTTGACCCTCAATTCTGAAAACGTCTGCGGGTGGAGACGGAGGCGATGACCTGCTCGAGCTGCCCATCGTCCTTGTCTGCCAAGCTATTGGCATGCGTATGCCGATATGGCAGCATGTGACCCGGAAGGCCAGTCGACACAGCACGAGTCAGCATGCATGTTCAAGCTTGAAGAGGGCCACTTGGGAGCTTGCATGACGACGACCGTCAACTCACGTTGGGATCAAAGTCTTTGCTTCCTCGACATCCTCGATGGAAAGGTTGACAAGCTGAGCCATTTCGAACCTCGTCAAGAACAACGTGCCAACATTGTTCTCATTCTCGTCGAACGCAGTCGGCTTTCCTTGGTCGTCATAGAGCGGCTTGGGATAGTCACGCTCGAGCAATTCTCTGGGTGAGAATCAAAACGGTCTGCGTCAGTGAGCCTTCACTCATCACCGACGCCATTGGGCACATGAGCTCGACCATCCTCCTTCAGAATGTCGAACTCACTTGCGCAATGCCTGAATGGAAGAAAATTCCTTGAACTTGCTGAATGCCTCGGAATAGTCCATACACTTTTGCAGCACGCTGTATGCATGCAGGCAGAACGACCTCGTCAGCTTGTCAGCTTGTCAGCTTGAGAGGCACTGCTGTCCCTTTTCGAAGTCTGCGGTCCAGCTCTGATAGCGTCCTATGAGTGGCCCATGTCGGCCTCACCAATCTCTCCGAGCCCCTGCATTCATCGTCTAGAGCCCGACATCCGTGCCTACAACTCACGCAGATTTGCTATATCCTCCAACAAGCCTCTCTTCATCCGCGGTCGTCTCCATCTCCAGTGAGTACTTGGCCTCTGCAATCGTTAGGGCTCCACCTATTTCTCTGATCTCGTGCGACTCTGCAAATCCCGCATTGAACCTGCCCACCGAGGCATCCTCTGGCAACTGATGCGCCTGGCGCTGACGCGCAGCTGCCAAGCCATTCGTGCGCCTTCCTCCAAACATGATGGGTGCGGATCAAGCAAAGGCTCAAAAATTTGCGAACTCGCCCCAAGGAGCGAGCTAGCGAGCGTTCCGACTGCTGAGCAACAAGAACAGCGATGGATAACGTAGGATTGCGAGTAGATGCTAAGCAGCGTAGGCCAGCTGGCTCTTAACGCGATTTGTGGTAGACGGCTCGAATGGCGGCTGCGCGTACAGAAGGGAGCCGAGCGCTTGACGCTCTTGAAGGAAGTGAGGGCGAGGAATGGCCAAACTAGTCGAGTTGGAGGCGCGATCTCGGCGAGAGTCGCGCGTTTGTAGCATCGCTGCTATTGGACCCCAGACACGAATATCACGGAACACTGGACACGCACAAGGGTGCGAGTGGGACGCGTCAAAGCGGACCTGTGCGCGGCCGGCTCGTGAGGCACGTGCTTCACGTGACGGAGGTCCCGTTTGCAAAGATCTCGTGGGGAAGAATTAGGCAGACAGCCCTTTGCGCGTGTACTCCTTCCTCATCCACCTGAAATCCATCCCTATCTACCTACGCGACGTCGTCGTTCTGACCGCCATTCGCAAGTCTCGAGTCAAGAGACGCAAGCCCAGTCTTTGCCAAGCACTCCGCCTTGCTGCGAGGAGCGCAGGGTCCACAATCAGAATCCGCAGCAACATGTCGCTTCCTCTGCTCTCCCGGCGCATGGCGTCTTGCTCGATCAGCGATTGCACCGCAAGCGCTTCGAACAAGCATGTCTCCCGTGCAGTCAATCTGGCATCAGCTTTTTCGACATCCTGCAAAGCATCTCAAGCACCGATCCCCACGCCGGTCATGCCTCAAGCTCAGGCCGAGGCGCGCACGCAGCCTCCCAAGGATCTGTTTGAACTGACTGTACGATACCCACGTCATCCACTCTTGGGTTTCTTCGAGAAGGTCACAAACACCATTTATTCATCTCATCCATTCCATCCCTCCAAGGGGGTCAACAAAGGTACGAAGCAACCGTACGGCGCCGATCTTCCAGCTAGCGTGAGAGATTCGGATTTCGGCGCGCCGTACCGGTGGGGAAGGAGCTGGAAAGTGCCGGAATTGCGAACCAAGAGCAGCGTGGTGCTTCATCAGCTTTGGTACACTTGCTTGTTTGAGTGCAACAAGATGGCCACTACGAATGCCGAGATCAGACGGGTGGGTCTTGCGCGCAATGCGGAGCAAGCAGGCTGCAACATCGAAAAGAGGAAACACTCGGTGAGTGGATACGAATGCACAGTAGCACAGCTGCCTTCAGGCTCTTTGGCCGTTTTGACATGCTGACTAATCCCTCATCTCCTCTGGCTGCAGGTGCGGAAGACGATGGCACGCATCAAATTTGTGCTCAACGAGCGCAGATTGGCTTTGCAGCAAGCGATCAGAGAAGCAAAAGAAGTGGAAACTGAAGACGGGGTCAATGTCGAGGAGCAGCCAGCAGAGGCGGACAAATCGGTCAGGTTGACTAGACAGCAGAGGATCAAGAAGCTAAAAAAGCTTTACAAACAGGGGCAAAATTTGGAAGAAGCAAAGTTGTTGGAACAAGTGAATGCTAATGAGCTACTGGCTCAGGAGCGAGGCCCAGATCCGACGGCTTTTGATGGAATTGCAGAGGCGGAGCTGAGGCAGAAGATCAATGCTGCCGATGCTTGAGGGGACGGCGAAGAGCGATGCATACGTTCTAGGTAGCTTTGGGACAACTTTCGCCGCGTCAGGACCTTATAGCTATCTGGTTCGTCCAGAGTATCTCTGCGTCACAGATTGGAAATAATGATGCATAGCCAGGACGATCATTGGAGTGTACACAGTGCGTCAGACGACCGCAGCTAGGAGGCACGGTTGGCGCGCCCGCAGTAGGAGCCTTGCTATTCCCTCCATCGCCTGCCGCGTCTCCAACAGACGTGAAGGAGACTTATGACCTTGGGGTGATGATCCCTGAGACCTCGTCGGATCTGAAGAGCGCGCACTCAAGTGAATTACACTCATTTCCACATTCTGTGCAGTTTTGTCCGCCCGGCGTCGGAGCTCGAAGAGAGCGAGGTCTGCAAGAACACCTCGCTTTTGTCATATCACGATGCTCGCTCATCTTAGTTCCACAGGCAAGAAGGCGCTTCACGACACGACCTTGTGACGAGTCAGTACGGGCGCAGCGCGTTCAGCAACTTCTTATCAACGCAGGGTTTCCACAGGCATTACGAATGGGGGGTGGCTTTCCTTGTTTTGGGCAACGAAGACGTCATGCTGTCTACCGAACAGGGGCGACAGCCATCTGGGTTCAGGGAAGGACAGGGCAGGCATACCATGGGTTCGCTCAACAGGTTACTCCACCTTTCAGTGCAGGAAGACGCAGGATGAATGTCTCTGAGCTCTGCTGATAGTCATTCGCCTCACAGGCGCCCTAGCGGTCGTTGTTAACCTCTTTAATTGCCAGACCTTGCAATTCTTTGTTGGAGTCTTATGATCAGCTTCGCATCATCGTGAATGCGCTCGATCTGACAGAGTACAATCAGTGGCCAAAATGCGGTCGCATATATGCTGTCTGCGAAAGCGGGTTCACAGCTTAGGAGAATCCATCCCCTCCTGTATCTTCCTGTGACATCTCACGTTCCAGGGCACGCCGGCGCAGTCTGTGGGATGGCCGTGAGTCATACACTCTAACTGGCGCTCTACAGACTTGTGTCTCACCGCGCTCCGAGTGCTCCGAAGTCCTACCGAAGGGTCTCGCCGAGGTGTGAGCATGAGGAGCCCGGCCGCATCGGCACACCAACGACGGTGACTCCCATCATCAATGATTGCCGATGGAGCGGTTACCGCCTTGATTCGTGATTGGAGTCTTCATCCCAATCAAGGGACGATTACGCGCGTGTCATGCTTGTTACCGCTCCACGGCCGGACTGCTCGCGGCACCGAAAATTCATGACCAGCTGCTTGAAGTATGCAAGGCACCAGTTGTCTGAAATCAAGTAACGACCAACGAAGAGGCGCCGAGGACTCCCTTGCGTTGTCACGAAGACTCAAGTCGACCTCGACTGCCTGCTCACACTGCTGTGAGTGAGGTACTGTGTTGACGAAATTTGCGACACAGAATGCACAGCTTAGAGTTGTCAAGAGTGCATGCTCAGCAGCGGATGTCCTCAGCACTCATGGGCCCACGTAAAGCGTGAATGAAGTCGCGCGATGTGAGACGCGTTGTTCTGACTCTGATGAGTCTGGTGTCGGTACATACTCTGACGGCAGACCGCGACTCCGCGTTCGCGCTGAGTCGCGAGTGACGATCAAGCAAGTACGCTAGGTGATGGCATCGATGTCACGGATGAGAGTCCGCGGAGCCGCGTCGGGGTACATTTTGTATACTCGTCTTCTGTAGCTCCTTTTCTTCTCTTTCTGCACGTGTCGTTCCGCTCGATAGACCCCTTCTCCTTGGAAAGCGAGGTCGATCATATACGCCTCTCCGGAAATCAGATAGTCTTCTTGGTGCGCGGTTCGAGAGCCCAGGTGGGTCGGGCTGAGCAAGTCGTCCGACAATTCACGATCGCTGGAACTTCCCGAGAATCGTCCGTGCCGTGTTTAGGTGCACCTCTCCGGAAATTGGCGCAGAATGAAGTGGGCTCTGTGTTCAGAGCGCCCCGCCGTGCGATGAGAGGTGAGAAATGGGAAGTGAATGAGCTCGTGATGTGAAGATCTTCAGCAGTGGGATCGATCATGAAGACCATTGATGACAATTTGGCGTCAGAGGTGAATTATGCTCGCTCGGACTGAGGTGTGCGAGCCGAGCGCTTTGTCGCATGCCAAGCTAGCCATCGGATTTGTCGCCCAGGCATGTGAGAAGTAGAAGCGGACAAGCAGCAGCATCCCGAAAGAGTCAGAGAGCGCAAAGCAGATGTTCAAAAAGGCACCGGCATGAATGGCTTGAGTCCACTTTGCCGACGCTACTGTGTTGCACCTCAAAACTTCGCGAGTCTCTTGCAGCCTCCACGATAGCTCTGGCGGGACATCTTCCTTGCCTGTGCGACAAATCGCGAGATTGCAGGTACAGTGTCAAGTATGAACGCCTGTCGAAGGGCGTCCGATGCGTCTGAAGCATCCTCAACATGTCCACCAAAGCATACCGAGATGTCGTCGAGCAGTGGATCGACTGGTCGCACCTTCGCTAAGCATGGCATGCCAAGTGCTGAGGATACAGGCTGCAAAGTGGCAAATGAACCTGTCAGTGATGACGTATCGGGCACGCCGAACAGGCAAAGGGAACCAATGTCCAGCTCTGGCCATCCTCAGCTGACTCCCGCAAAAGGTCAAAAGACGGAGCTTACTCCTATGCGCAGATTGCTGAAGACATTGCCACCTCGCCTATCGACCCCGCAAGGCCCTCTGCCTCAACCGCCTCCTGCGCCAGCCCAGCCATCCACCGAGCGGCATCTTACACCAACATACTCATTTCGTGGAGGCAGAAAAGCCGGCCACACGCCTCCTACTTCTCTGCACGTTCCGAAGACGCCCTGCTCTAAAGCTCTACCATCAACAACGCAAAGTCCGCGCCTGATCCCGTTTTCTCCTCAGCAATTGGGATTGCGACCTATTGTGTTGCGCCGGTATACCCAAACTGGCACAAAGGAAGTTGACAGCAGTGCCACCATCACCGACAAGCCACTACCGACATACGTGAACGGCGAAGCAGAGCTTGATGTTGGCGCGACGGACAAAATGTTGTACTATCCTTCGACAAGCCCTCACGATTCTCAGTACGGACTTGGGGACCACCTGAACGCGGACCACAGCTTTCTGGACACGCGCCCATCCATCGAGACGACTGTTACCATAAATACTACATTGGTGAGGAAAGAGGCTCAGCACTTTGCCTGGGCACCGACGCCGCAGAAGAAGCTGACGTTGACTCTCTTGCGCGACGCTGTAGAGCCAATCCAAGCTGCACGCAGATGCAGCAGAGCTCAACTCTCCCTGCAGTCCGATCGAGGTACTGCTGGATGACAGCTTTTCGCGGCCGTCTCCACCTGCGCCGGCTTCGCCCTCCAAGTGCTTGGGAACAGTCTCTGGCGCCATCATTCAGGCTTTTCGAAGCGCTGAGCAGTCATCGTCTACGCATCTCTCGCCCCCGCGCTCCCATCATCGAGTAGGCCTTCCTTTCAAAAGCTCCATGGAAGATGTGGGCCCCTCGCGTTCAACTCGGTATTTCGCCCAAACGCCAACGGAGAGCAGCTCCGGTCTTCCCAGGCCATCCAAGCAGCGCGCTTCCTTCGTGCGCTCTCGTAGCGTCGCCGACATTGCGGATGAGGTTGGGCTGGAAAAGAAAGACACGCCCCTAGACATGTCCAATAACGACAGCGGAATCTCTCTGAGTGGAAATGAGACTCCAGACCCGAGCTTGCGCGAAACCGATCCAAACAGCGTCCCATCGACTCACGGGGGCATGGAGCTGGATGAAGAATTAGGTTTCTCATACAACGTCACACCTCCACACTCCTTTCAAATGACACCCAGATCGAGAATCGGCACCTCTCCTTTGCGCTTCATGAGCTCTTCTGCTAGACTCAGGGGCAGTGCGAGCCCCCTGACGACGCCTCGACGCTCACGCGTGTCATTCCCAGCAGAATCGCCTTCCGGCAAGACCTCGTCGCACCTCATGGACAATCACCCCACTCCAAGCTTCTGGGCCTTGTTCTGTTGCGTAGGAAAGGAGGTCAAGTGACCACTTGCACAGCCCCTTTCACGCACACACACACTCACGAACCAATGTGCGTCGGATCGACGCCATACTCCCCTTGAGGTCTGGCTTGACTGTGAGAGTAAACCTCGCATTGAGCTTTCTCCTCCGCTCATTGTGCCCTCGTGCCCCATCAGCCCTTGGTCTTCTCCAGAAACCAAGTTCGAATCCACTCGACCGTGCACCGCTTGGTCGCCGAGCTTGCGACGACTCGAGATTGGGATGTGATACATGCGCTATGTATATACGTGCGGGCGCTATATTTCAGCCGACTCGCCATGCACTGGGTTCCACCACTCATGCACGACTGGGACTCTTGACTCAATTGTACTCGGGTTAGAATCAACTCAATCGCCCTATAGATGCTGCTGCGCATGCTGAATTTCTCAATATGAATTAATCAGGTGCTCGTCTTGTTGAAGTCAAATCCTAGACGCGCTGCTGCTGCAGCTGCTGTGAATGCATGTACCAGTCAGTGAGTACAGATCGATCGCGATGGTGCGTGATGTAGAGCCTGCATCAACAAACACACCACCTTTGACGCGTCACGATGATGAGTGTTTGAAAGGGTGGCGCACAGCCACCCCCCAAATCCCCAGCATGCATATACTTCTAGGACAGGTCTGCTGCCCATATCCGCGACTGCATGCGTGTACATGAATATGCAGCATCTGCAGCCTCCAGTTTCATTAAAAGAGGCCCGAGAAAGTCACGACGAGTGTTGCTCTTGTCAACTGACGACTTATGCATGCTACTTTTGGTGAATGAGCTCGAAGCAACCTATTCTCAATCAGAATAATTAAATGAAGGAGGAGCTGCCCTTCCCCCTTAATTCAGATTACGGCGGCCGAAGAGTTCAGCAGTTGCAGCTTCTCCATACCTGCATCGCATAGCCAGCATGGTGTGTGAGCCGCGCGGCAAAGCGAATCACATCTTTGAAAAAGAATTCTAAACGAGTCAAGTGGGTCGCGCGCGAATGGGCCGCGCACAATTTTGCGGCACAAAAATCAATTGGATAAGAATTGCGTGCATGAATTTGAATTCATGATTCTTGATTGGGGTCGAAAGTGCTCAGCAGCGCGGCCCCGGCTAAGTCTGTCCGCCGGCCACAATAAATAGACATCGTCACTTTGTCTCACCATCCGCATCATCTCATATAGCTCCCTTATTGCTGTCAGCAAGATTCAACTCAACGAAACGGATACGCAAGCAACATCGCCAGCACAATTGCTATACAGCTATATAAAGCCAATCGCCCAAGCGCCTGATTCATTAGAGACAAAGTGATTGGTCACTTTGTCGCGCAACGGCGCCTACTCTTGTCCGGTTGACTATGCGCACTTCGACCACAGCCTCGACGCTGCGCCCGAGCTCTCTATCGCCTTCTATGCCGTCCGACGCTCCACTTCACGGCAATGATGGGCCTACGCCTGTCACACCAGACTATTCCATGGTCGATCGCAACTTCAAGATCATGAGAAGCTTGTCTGAACACGCCATCAATCGCATGCAAGACGTTGGGACAAAGCACGCCGGCTCCAGCAGACCACCTCCATCCGCCTTGCCATCCGCCTTCAGATCACCGCAGCTATCGCCCTACGAGCCAGTGAGTCTGAGGTGTCTCCATACTGCCTGTATGCGTGTTCGAATGAGCTCCAAGACTGATGCAGCATTCCATTCTCGCAGCAGACGGAGGAGGACGGCGCAGAGCACGATTTGTGGGGTCAGCGCACGATCACTAAACGCGCCAGCAAACGTCCTTCTCTCAGCTTGACTGGAGGGTTCGACAAACCACCCGTGCCCCGCCAAGTGTCCACTCCACTCACACACAGGCGTCGCAGTCGAGGATCTACTGAACCGCCAAAGACTCTAGCTCGTCGCTCTTCTGCTCCGGACCTCAGTGAAGGCGTGACCGGAAAGACGTCTCGCAGATCATCCATGTCGGAACAAGATGAAGAGCTGGTGCAAACAATTGCGTCGCAAGAGCTAACGATAGAACATCTCAAAGCCAAGCAACGCGAGGCAGAGGCTGCTCAAGGGGAGCAGAAGACAACTTTTGTCGAGACTGCGGAGCTCAAACAGCTGCGTGCTACAGTCTACGAGCAAGAAGAATGGTTTCAGCAACATCGTCAAGAAAGGGATGATCTCCAGGACAAGCTCAGTCGAACCCTGCGGGAGAATTCTGAGCTGCGATCAGCCAAGAAGCAGCTCGAACAAGATCTCGAGTCCTATGAGCGTTATCTCAGTGCAGGCAAGGATGAGATTGACAGAAACCACGAGGTAATTGCAAGGCTCGAGAAAAAGATAGCCAAGAACGTGGAGGATGAAGCGCGACTGGAGAATGAGATCAGTCACCTCGAAAAGGCTCTGGAGCGCGAACAAGACAAGTACCACGAGAGCAAGAAGGAATGGCAGAAGCTGAACAGCAGCAACCAGCTGAAGCTAGGTCGATTCGAAGAACGCGTACAAGAGCTCGAAGATGAGGTCAAGAGCAAGGAAGATGATATGCAGGAGGAGCTCGACAGAGTCAGAGCTATTGCCAACACGGTACCAGACCTTCAGCAGGAGATTGCAGTGCTCACCAAGTTTGCAAAGGGCATGGCTGTCGACGAGGGCGACATGACGCTCAGCGAGCTTCGCGGTGAAAGGGAGCGCTCTCCAGACCTGGAAGCTGAGCTCACAGGCGCCTGGCTACCTTTTGGTACCAGCAGAGGGCGTGCACAGGGCAAGCGTGACAGCCTCAGATTGAGCGTGGTGAGTTTGTTCACATCTTTAGGCAGTATAACCACATGATCGGTGAAGTTGACCTTGCTTGATTGGAATCCAGGCTCAGTCAGAGCGCGAAATCGCGTACGCAGAGTCTGGCATGCAGACCCAAAGCGACGAGAGTGAAGCACCGCTCTACGCAGAGACCAAGACGATCTCGGCGGAAGCAAAGCCATCGATGGTGTCAGCAGCGGTACAGTCGGACTTGACGCCACTCGTCCCGACCATTGTCGTTCACAAGGTCGACCTTAACGAGCTGCGCATCGAAGCCGTCAAGCGCCTGAGTGATTTCTGGCGCTCCTCAAATCGCAATCAGACGCTCCTCACAGTGGCTGGACTGGCTTGGGCGGTGCATTATGCGCTCTCAGAGTCGGACGAGGAATGGGTCAACAGGACCGACACGTTCATGAATCCTGGCGCATACGTGCCCGCCTTTGGCCATTGAAGTCGCCAAACGTGGTTTCCAGCACTATTCAGGCCGCAGAAGAAGGAGCGGTGAATGGACCTAAGTTGACGATTCGATAAGCCCTCATCATCGATCGAGCGCACGAGGCAACAGGGCCGCACCCATGGGTCTGGATCCCGTCCTCGCACCAGATGTACTAACAGTTACTTGCCGTTCATCACTCCCCCGATTGTATCACAACCATTCGCTCGCGAGAGCTAGCAACCGTCATACCCGTGCCTGGCAATCGATCTCCTTGTTTGGCGACGAGCGGCGCTTACCGAGACGAGCGCGCAAGATGACACGTCTTCTTTGATGTCTGATGTCGGATGTCTGACGCTCATTGTTGCGAGGTTCACAGCTTCCTTCGCGCCGTCATTGCTGGATGAGGAGGATCGCTAGCCACCATGCCCTTACTCGAGGCTTGGATGGGTACTGCTGTGTTGTAAATGTGTGGCATGAGGCCTTGAGATCGAAGTAGCTGCCGGCCTGGACCCAGTCACCCATGCATGTATTCAGACGAATGTTGCTGTAGACTCTTGACTACTAGCTTGGTACACGGTCACAGTGCAGAGTGAGCTTGAGTGTGAGTGACCCGCGGCTACGCCATGTCCGATTGAGGCAGCTATATACTGCTGCTGTGCGGGGGCGCACAGACACGTCGCACCGAACGGTATACATGCGCATGCTGATGTTTTTTCGTTCCGATTCTTGATCCAAATCATGATGGAGCGGCCAGCAGCTCCGTGCACGTGCATCGAGTTGTATTCGCTGATTGAGAGCTTGTATAAGATGAATTCAAAAAAGTGTTGGTCTCGTGCATCGCGTGTACCTGCCTCCAACGACATCAAGATTCGAGACGCGAGACTCGAAAGCCGGGCCTCACGACCACTGTGACTGTTCTGCTTCAGTATTCGAAAGTCCAGGCCCCCCAACGGTCGATGTACGGTGCAGATTTCAAGGCATGTGGGATACAGAAGCAGAAAGCTGGCATCAAACATGTGCCCAAGTGCCTACATCAGCATTGCGCGACAGCTGGAGCGGCTCGAACAGCGGCTGAGCACACATCCCGCTGGCCGCGATGTTCGACCCACGAGCAACCTCGCGCGAATAACTGGGCAGGATGGCTGTCTACTGGCTATTAGCTGATGGGTGGATGACAATCAGACCACCTTTGCTCCTCCCTCTTCGTTCTTCTCCCATCATCACAGACGTCAGCAGTCAAAGATCTCAAGCTACAGCTACAGCTTTCCTACAGACCGACGTCCTTGCGCCTCTCGTGTCTCTCACTCGCGCTCTCACTCGCTCTCTCGCTCGCTCTCTCTCTCTCTCTCTCTTTCGCTCCCTCTCTTTCTATCGCTTCCCCTCTCTCTCGCTCCTTCCCCCTCTCGCTCCCCCTCTCCCTCGCGCTCCCGCTCTCGCTTTCCCACTCCCTTCCGTTCTCCCGCGATCTCCACGTCCGGATCCTTCTCTTCTCCTGTCCTCTTCATTGGAAGCAGCGGAGAGAATCAGTTCTCAATTCAAACTTCACCAGCAGTCACGCCGCTATTCTTCTCGGAGAGGGCCTCTTTACTCGTGAGTCATCCTCGCCGGCTTCGTCTCACGTCGATCGGCAGGAGTCAAGCATTGACCCACGGCCTTATTTCGAAGAAGGACTATCCCAGGACGAGAAGCACCATGATGTCTCTTCAACGTAGCCATCCCGCTGACAGTGACCCAACGGACGTGCTCTATGCACAGTCGCCTACGCCCGCCCGCCCGCTTCTGAGCCCCAGTGGCAGCTTCTATAAGCCACCGGGACCTCGCCGTGTCACGCCACCTTTGGCACGAGAGGTAACCACGTCCGAATCAAGCGAAGCAGAGAAGCGATTGCAGACCGATAACTCGCTGCTACGAAGCGAGGTGCACCGCCTTGAAGAGGAGCTTCGTAAGGCTAACAGTCGTTCACAGCCTCAATCAGCCCCTAGCAGCTCTCACGATGCGGGGGCTCTGAACGACCAAGCCTCATACTACGAGGGTCTTTTGGCGGAGAAAGAGGCGCGCATCCGGAAGGTGATGGGCCAGAACTTGGCCCTCTGGAAGGAAAAAGGGCAGCTTGCTGTCCAGAACGCGGCTCTGTCCAGCGCGTCTGCGGAGGACAAGGCCACCATTGCACGCTTGGAAAAGCTTGTTGCCACGCAAAAAGACCGCATCAAGAAACTCCGGCAAAGTGACAAGGAGAGAGAGGAGTTCTTCGACAAGAATGTCCTTCTCTACCAAGACCAGATCAAGATGTGCAAGGAGGCCGTCAAGGAGGAGAAGTTGAGATCGGAGGCGGAGTTATTTGATGCTGACGAAGCGCGGGACGTGGTAGAGGGGGAGTTGCTGGAGATGCGATCAAAGCGCACTGATGCACAGGAAAAAGTCCGAGCTCTTGAGATGGAGATTGTGGCGCTGAAAGCGGCGCAGCACGGGGCAGTATGGCTGCCCGAGCTGGTGCACGGCGAGATGGAAGCGAATCAGAGTCTGCTGAGCGAGCTTGGCGAGGATGTGAGTCTAGGCATCAATGCCGTGAGGCATTCACCTGCCCAGCTGACTTTGCGGGCTTGTTATCCTATCAGAATGTATTCGACGATCAGGAAGGGTTGGAAGACCGTCAGAACGACCAGCATCTCGAGCAATTCCTCGACAGTCTCGCTTCCTGATCGGTCAACCGCTGGACCTTGCTGCTCGAAAGCAAGACATTCATCATCGATAGTGAGTCTTCCACGCCACTCAAGATCTACTCATCGTTCACACGCATTCTTCAATCCTTCAGGTGCTTTGCGATGAAGTGCTCCGTCAACGTTCTCGACCTTTCTATATCATCGGCCGCCAAAGCTTCTCCATCAACATCAGCTGCAAGGTCTTTGTCACCCCTCACGACCAGCAAAGATTCATTCTGATCGATTCTTGTAGCCTCCAGGTCCTTCTCCATCAAGTGTTTGCTTCGTAATCGTCCATCACATCCTTATTCCCACGACCAGGACGCCTCTCCCTCGGATCGGTCAGCTCTATCCTCCATGCGGGGCTCAATACGTGTGTCGCAACTGCCACGCATTTTCGACTCATTCAAGCAGCCATCATAGTCGACCAACGCCATTGTACTATACCGACACAGGCATGCCCAATCCAAGTGGGGATGCTGAAGCTGTCCTTCATGTTCGCACTAGCATTGGAATCGCGTGTACGAAGCGCGCAGGTGAAATAGACGCGGTACCCCATGCATGCAGACGAGACGCGCAATGGTGTCTGTGCTTATCTGATCGGACTTAGTATGCGCGCGTGTGAGGTCAAGTGGACACGAGCTCGACCCTCCGTTGCCAAGACATCACGATTTTGAGGCTTGATCGATTTGTGAGATCGAGCGCTACAAGTGGCAGGGCAAGCGTGGCTGGCGAGAGTAGGTGCAGGGTCCTGCATTGTTCCTCGAGGTGCTGTGCGGCCTCACCTTCTGCCGACTCCACCGTGGCTCAGCACGCGCAATGAGGAAGAGTGGACCGGGTTCCCACGCTGATGATGCTGCTGCTATCTCCCGGAAATCAGAACACTCGCGGCACCGGAATCCATTCCCGTGCCTGCATCAGATGGCGCTGCTTCTCTTATCGAGCTCATGGGGCCGCAAGGCGAGGGCTCGCAGACTTATAAGTAGCGGAGTCGCAACCCCTTCTCCCCTTCACTTTCCTCATCCCATCCTTGTCCCCTCCTAGTCCTAGCTCCCTCCTCCCCCCTTCCCCCCCCACAACTTTGATTCAGAATGTCGCAACGCCCAACCGGAAGCACTATGGGGCCGGCCGCCTTCATGTGGCCCGCGGATCGTCCCTGGGCAGCAGAGTACGACAACGTACCTCCTTGCGGCTCGAGCGCAGGCGTTGGAGAGAGAACGCCTTTTCCGCTCAGTGCGTAGCTCGTTGTCACTGCCACCGCCTTTGAGCCGAAAGCAGACTGACGTTTTGAGTGCTTGCCTGCCTTGTAGCGGACGGACGCCTCGCCATGATCACGCAGAACGAGACGACGGCCGTCCACATGAGCATCTCGTATGACAACAGTGAGTTCAGCCTTCGCACCGCAGGCCGTAATCGGCAACGAAGACGAAGTCTAAACATGCATTTGGTTCCTAGACCCCACTTCATTGTCTCAATTCGAGACGTTCTACACGCCCAACGAGGTTGACCTGGACCTGGGTCACACGTGCGTCTGGGCCCCCGATCCGCCAGCAAATGTGACGGCCGGAACAAATGCGACTTTCAGCCTGATGTACGTCGCCAACGCTGTCAACGAGGCGCCTGCACAGGTGTTCTACGCATGCACCGACGTCACCTTCGTCGAGCCGGCTGCATTTGCAGCAACTGGGATCGCAGTGCCGTGTTTCAACGCGACCCGCGAAGCTCCCGCCGGCGACACGGTAACGACTGAATCCGGCACTACGCTGACGAACCCTCACGTAGATTCATCGGCCCAAGGCTCTGGAGGTCTGACGGGCGGTCAAATTGCAGGTGCCGTCGTCGGTAGCGTGGCAGGCGCAGCCTTACTGCTGGGCCTGGCGTTTGCGCTCTTCAAGCGCAGGCACGCCAAGGCTGAGGCGCGCGCATCAACGGACCCTTTCAATGCTGGGTCGCGCATGGAGCAGTCTTCGGATGGAAGCAATTCTCTCGCATCGAGGTCCCTGAGCGAAATGAAGCAGGCTCATTGACTGGACTTGCAGACTCAAAACAGCAGCTGAGTCTCATCGAGTCGCCCATCCAGTCCTACCTCGTCGGGTAGCATCGAAGGTGTTCCAGACCGAAACGTAGAGTCACGTAATGAAATGACACGCTGAACGACCTTTGATTCGTTGATTGCTTTGTCCGAATGACGGTGAGCAAGCGAGGACTCGGTAGTCATAAGTGTGTACTCAATGCGCATCGAAGGCAGGGTTAGCGTCTTGTAGCTGAGTTGCCAACGCTGATCGAAGCGAGCGAGTGGCGTCACCCCGAGTCGCCTAAAGATAGCGATCATTGTGAGTGGGCGAGTCCAGGAGCGCGTTCCAAAAGTCTTGCGAAGCTGGACTGTGCTGAGGCGAGCTAGGCCAACCTCCGAGCACATTGCGCTCTGGCGAAGAGGTATGTGCTGAAGGAGGCATGATAGAAGATGCCGAGCCCGACTTGGCCTGTTCTACTGACGATGGAAGTGTGTTAGAGGCAACAGCGGAGCGTGAAGGCGGCGGCATAAAATGACTCGAAGGCGATGCAACTGGTATGTCTTCTGGCGTCTTCTTTGGCTCAAGAGGATGAGAGCGTAAAGAAGAATCGGAGTCATGCGAGGATGTCGAAATCCTGCGCTGTCGCTTGCTCTCTTGCATCATAGCATGCACATCACGAGTCGTCCCGATGAGCGCGTCTTCGCCCGGGTCCTGAGCGTGAACCCAACCTATGTGCTTCTTCAAGCTCTTGTACTTCGTGCCTTCTTGCATGTAGACGTGGGTTCGGCCGCTGTAAAATCTGCCTGTGCTTGTATAGCCTGATGGATTGGAAGGTTCAAAATGAACTAGTGCGTGGGTCTTTGGCTCCGTTGGACTTGATCCAAAAGCGTATTTTGCCTTGTCGACCGAAGATGCGAGCGGAAATGTCAAAGCTGCTCAAGCGTGAATCAGGCTTTCCGTACTCACATGGGCATGAGTGGCGTCAGGTAGGTACTTGGAAGCGTGGTTGACTATCGCCAGGTGCATGGCCCTGCGTTGCCCAAGAGGTACTCTATTGTGGAAGTGTATTGTCAGTCCATGAGGAAAGTCTGTGGGTATGTGACGCTGCTTGTCGAAGCTAGCTGGAAGCATGCGACCACCATTGTACCTAGGGTCGCGATGTAGGCGGAGCTGCACGGGATCAGCTCGAGGTGCTTCAACATCCGGAGTCGCAGTCTGGGTGTGAGCTTCCGGTAGGTCCTCCGCCTGTACCTGCTTGGCCCGAGCGGCGGCCTGTTCGGACAAGATTGATTTCCGTTTTGCCCAAGGCTCGTAGGGCTGCTCTTCTTTGACCATCACTCCGACCGGCTTTTGATCATCGCCAAGAACGAGGTGCGAACCTGTTGGATGAGGCCGAAAGACCGAACCGGGAGGCATCATGATATGATGTCCCCGATGATAATAGCCTGCTCCGCACCTGCGTCAGTGCCCTTACATCTTCCAAATGAGTCTGCTGCGGCTGCTCACCGAGCGATGTCCTCCCACCACCCTCTATTCGATGCTGTTTCGAGCCCTCCACCTCGAACATTGTTGCCTTCGCATGATAAATAGGTTCGTGAAAACTTGGCCCAAATGTTCTCCACACCTAGACAGGAGAAAAATATGAGCTACGAGGATCGTTTGCAACAGTGCTTCTTGATCCCACCTTGACGTTATCTGCGTGCGGCACAAATGTCTCTGCGTGCAATTTTGCCGCGTGGGCTAAGACCTCGTGTTCGTGTTTGGGTATGTTGCTGCCGAACTTGACGCTGATGTTCTTGACCGGACCAATCCATGCACGAGCTTTGTGCGCGTCGAGTGCGGGTCTGAGTTTGTCTTCAGGTATCGCTTCGTTGATGACATTCGTAGCTCTTTCGCGCGTCAAATCATTCGCGCTGAATTTCCTTCTCCGACTTGGAACCATCTGAAGCGATGCGCGATTTGAAGGCTTTCTGCTCTTGGCTCCATGGGCGTGGGAAGAGGCTGTTGAAGCCGTGGCGGCTGGAAGCCTACCAGTGTGGGAAGCGAAGTTCACTGACGACTCGGGGGACGAAAGGAGGAAGTTCACTGAGCCTTCCGATGAAGCTGGACTCGCCGCACCACTAGCAGTGCCATGCAAAGCCTTAGCAGCTTTCGCAGCACCCTCTGCAAGACCTGTGGGTGCTGCCCGTGTGGTCGAGGAGATAGCCACCACAGCGAAGAGGGACGCGACCGAATTCCAGCCTAGCATCATGCCAGCGAGATACTGTCGGAACCTTGCCCTGGAGTTCAGAGCAGCTTTGGTGCAGTCGGTGATGCGTCGGCCAGCTGCACGCGGGGGCGAGACTTGCATTGCTGATGCACCTCTCGGCCTCTCGCCAGCGGTCTTGCTGTTGGCCCAGGCAGAGGTCACTATCCAGCAGCAATTTTGAAAAGCGCGAGATGTGATTGGGGCCGAGGAGCAACATTCGCATCTACCTGATATTTGAAGGCTCCATTGCACGTCCGATTTAACAGGCCGCCTTGTCAACGCTTCCAGTCATACTGTATTCTGTGGCGAACATAAGCGCCCAAGAAGTCGTCGCGGGCGGCCAGGATAAGGGAACGCCAATTCTCCATCGTCGGTGGCGGGAGCTTGCGCGCTTGGCAAGCCTCGTCACATTTGCAACTCGCAGGATATTGACACTGCTCTTTCGTGGCGCGCGCTAGTCCATGTTGCCGTGCTCTGGACTCACGAGCATGTGGTGGCAAGAGCAGCGCGATCATTCATGGCCTGCAATCGTCATAGGGCAGACTCACGACCTCCGCGTGAAGGTTGGAGCTGGTACTCAGCCTCACAGATAAGGAAGATCGAGTACGTTGTTGACGCAGAGGTGCTGCCGGCCGCCGACGACGCCGCGGTTTGCCACCTGATTAGCGGTCTTGCAGGAAAGACAGGAGAAGGCGGGAGTGTAGTGATTTCCCGCGCTAAGAGAATTGGGCAGTCGCATGTTTACCCGCTCCCAACCTTTCGCATAAGCGCAACCAACGGGGTACCTATGCAAGCGATAGCAATATCCGGACCGCGAGCACCTATTCGGCGATCTTGGTGTCCTTTTGTCCAAACACCCTTGCTTGGAAGAACTGAACCTCAGCTACGTCCCGTACGTTACTAACAAATCTCACTGACCAATACATATTGTCTTCCTTGCCGAACGCCGAATGCTGATGGCAAGCCACAAGGGATGATCTGACGCACTGATGCCGTTCATTGAAGCGAAGCGCAGGGTATACTTACAAGAGAGCATCCGCGAGAAGCAGCCCTTCGCAAATTTATCGAAAAGGATTGTAGATACACAGCACGATCGCTAATATGAGCACCTGCACGTGCATCGGCAAAGCAACCTCAGCGATGAGACAAGCCCGTGCAGAGGAAAATATCAACTCACCAAAGCGAGCATCGCAGCCAGGAGCATAATTTTAACGTTTTTCCACCACATATTTCTCCGCACACCAACGGCTCTTCGCCTAAATGCCATGCTGTGCTGAGCCGCATTGTCTGTCCTGTTCATCAAGAACTCCAGCGTCTCTCCACGATTGAGAATTTGTTCAATGTTCTTGGTCATGATATCCTTAACGCCTGCCAACTCTGCTTGAGCAGCTTTCACGGGATCCGAGTCTGGCGCATCGTTGAATCGTTTCAAGAGTTGAGTCAGCTTGGAGTCGAAAGGGTTGAAGTCGCTTGGTGCCGGAGAGTCAAGCAAGGGTGCGTCGAAAGTGGCCAGGAACTGCGTAGACCAAGCGAAACTCCTTGTGAGCAAGCAGCGCGAAGCAGAGAGTAGCTGCATACAAACACCCACCTCTTTCTGCACCTCTGAAAGCAGGGCAAAGGGAAGCCTTCTGCCACTCTCGTGATCCGCGCAGCACAAAAACGTGAGGCCATCTTGGCTCAGGTAGTGAAACAACCAGCTCTCGTATGTGTACGTCAATCTTTGTGCACCTCCACCATTCGACTCTGAGCTAGCAGGGATCCTTGCCAGGATCGTGTCCGCTGCGGTCTGCAAGGGAGCCATTCACCCAATTAGCACGCATCCAACAGCATCTGAGAGCCCCAAGTAGACGAGGACATAGCACATAGCACGTACCAAGAATCGCTCGTGCGCATGGTCGTGTGACTCGGTTAGCACGTCGCTGCCAGATGCGACCAAAGCCAAGACGATCATCTTCGACAGTGCGGGCGATCGCAGCCTAGCCCAGAACGCCGCAGAGAAGTGCAGCTGAGGAGAAAGGCTTGCAAGGGCGCTGCAATCAGGTGCGTTGCCAGCTTGACTGAGTGCGAATAGTCGATGGTAGCTGTGCTATCGAGGCAGCGTTTGACCCTTGGACCTGGGTTGTTGGCCTTAGGCCACCTCAACATTCTTGATTCCAGACTCACCACTCAAACTCCAGCTCTTGACTTATGACTGTATGGGCTCACGACTCGGAATTTGAATTCGTGAATTACACAATGTTGTATGTATGTCTCGTGGCCAATAAAGCCCCTGCATTTAGATTCAGGATTCAACCAGGAATTACAAACGAGCCAAAAGTCTGTCACGTGTATTCCACCCGGAAAAAAGCACGTAGCACACGTGACTCACGATCACGATCGCCGCTGCAAGCTCTGCCTCCAGCAGTCACGACTCACGCGTGGCCCAAGGCGGGCGGCAGGCGTGTCGATCAAGGATGCGCGCGCACGCTTAGGCGCATCCATGCGTGATTTATTTGAGAGGGGCGACGGCGCGGGACGAGGTGACAGCATGGAAGGCCCCGCACAGCTCGAGTGCATCAGCTCATCTACCAGCAAAAGATGCAACGCGCCTGACAAACGTCCGCGTCCAAAAAGCCTGTTCATCCCATCCGCGCCGCCAACAACCTCGCTCTCAACCACCACATACCCCAAGCGTGCATGAGTAACAAGATCAATTCGTGACCAAGCACCTCACTCTCCGCTTGCAGATCACGTTTCATGCCTAGCGTTGCCTGGGCCGCTCAGTATTCCAACCACCAGGCTACGAGTCTTTGTCATCCGAGCCAGCTCTAGGTAGCCCCAGCCTTGAAGACGACCCGTCTGACTGACGCGCAAGAGACATCCGGCCAACAATCGAGGCTAGTGCCCCACCGAAGCCATCGGACCATTCTCGACGACTTCGCCTTCAGCTTTCCGCACCACTATTGTCTGGTCATTGGTCTTGAATATCATATTGGCCTCGTCTGAGCACGCGTTTGGTACCAGTCGGGCGTCAGAGAGCGCCGAGGTATCGCAGGGGTAGAGGAGCATTGTTGCGAAGGGCAGCGTGCTAGCTGCTAGCTCGTGCACTCAAGCTGCCTTGATACGAGTCTTGTCCCTCGACGAGTGTGACTCGCGTCGTGCTCTTGTCTCTGCTACCCCTGGTGACTTGATCCGCGTGCACCGCTCCCTACTGTGACACCCCTCGTTCTGCCTTGGCCCCGTCCGCTCTCTGGCTACTGTCAACGGCTCACGCTGTCCAGCGATTGCCCTGAGGCTTAGCTGTGTTCCAGAGCTTCGATTGCCACTTTGCTTGCACACCGTCGCTGGCTGAGTTCATCGCAGTTGCTGGTCGCCTGTCTTTCTTCAAGCCCTCTCGATTTCGTTGGATCGTGATTGAGCCCTGGTTCTTTTGCTCGACTTTGAAGACGTCTTGCGGGGCGCTCTGGTAGCTTGCTCTACCACTGCTCGCCGCGCAACACTGTACTGCGCCGGTTCGTCTCCACAGCCACGACGCACAGAGAAGCTTTCTATTCCATTCTGTCTATTGTGAGTGTCGCATGATTGTGTGTTCAAACACGAAAACCATCGAACGGCACGCGAGCTAACACGAAAGGGTTTGCTGTCACTTCTTTGCGCACTGCTAGCGCTCGTCATGTGGGCCGGTCAGCAGAGCTTTGTTTACGGTCAAGCCGCAGCTGGCGGGCCTCAGCCACCTTACGCGGCGCCTTCGTACGGAGGGCCTGCACAAGGGCAAGGTTACCAACAATTCCCGCAACCATTGAGCAACGGCGCTTTTCAACAAGCGTCTACTTCTTACCAGTCACCAGTGCAGCACATGCAAGCTCCCGCGCCTCACCAACATCAATACCAACAGCACCAGCAATTTCAACAACCTCAAGCACCGCAGCAACAATACTTTCAAGCATCTCCTACATTGCCACCACAAGCACCTTCGGATCCTGACGGTTTTGCCGCAATGTATCACGGCCAGCTCTCTCAGCTTACTTTCAACTCAAAGCCTATCATCACCGGGCTCACGATCTTGGCGCACGAGCACGCGGGTGACATGGCCAACGTCATCGCGCAGGTCCTCGATGAACACATTTCAGCGGTGAGTATTGTCACCAGCTAGCGCGAATGCTCATCGGCCTTGTGCATTACATGGTCGCTGACTCGGCCTCTTCTCTGCCTCGTTTCCTCCCACCGTTCATGGCTGCGCTGTTCTGTGTGTCACTGCTCTTATCCATCTCTCTGCATTCGTTCCGGCCCTTCGGACCGCCACGCACTCGTGTCGAATGTCTTGGTGTGCGGGTGACAGGCGCGGCCTGAGCATCGCTTGCCGGCTTTGTACTTGCTCGATTCCATTTCCAAGAACGTTGGTGCACCGTACACAACGATGTGGTCTGAGCGTATTTCGGCCTTGTATCTCGAAACATATCGAATCGTCGACCAGCCAACGAAGATGCGGATGGAAGAGCTGCTTGCTACGTGGAGGAACAGCGGACCGGGTAAATCACAATTGTTTGGACCAAACGCGCAATGGGAGATTGAGAGGACACTGTTCGGCAATCAAGGACCTCCGCAGACGAGCAAGGCAAATGCAATGGGCTCGGTCTCTGGCTATCGGTCGCCGATGGTAGTCCAGAATGTCGGTACACCTCAGCACTTTTCGGGCGGCAACAACTCGCCCATGCCGCATGTGACCGGTGCAGCGCCTGTGCCAGATGCAATGGCAGCTGAGAAACAGCGCGGTCTAGAGTTGATCGATCGTTTGCTGGCTCTAGGTACCCAGCTGCAGTATCGAAATCCTGCCGCTCACGATCAGAATCGTATGACTGCTCTGAGACAGTTGAAAAGCGTGCTTCAGAGTAGCAATTTGACGCGGGAAGAGTTGGGTCAGATCACGGCTCAATTGGAAGCTTTGAGCGCTCAAAGCTCCAAGTCTGCCATCAAAGCCCTCGAGCAGGATCAGGGTGGGCCCGGCGCTGATGGGTTGGCCAATTCCCAACTTCTTCGAGGTTTGAATGGTGCGCTCTCACCCACTCACACGTCGGGCGCGTCTGCACAACATCAAGGAGTTTCTCAGACGAGGTCGCCGATCCCTGCGTCGGCAGCTCTGCCAGCAAGCTTTGCAGAGACGTTGGCAAATTTGGGCAGGTTGGGTCCGCTCGGTGGCGCCACTCCTCCTCACCAACCCTATAGTGGTACCGGACCTGCTGCTGTGCCTGCACCTGCAGCAGCTGCTGCGCAACCTAGCGATCTGATACGAAGTTTGATGCAGGCCGGTCTGATCAAGAGTGGACTTTCGGCTACGGCGACCCCGCCTCATGTCATCTCGACACCACCCCACGCGGGTGGAAACGACGCTTCACTGACAGCGTCAGCTACCGCAGCAGCCAAAGCGCGAGCTCAGGACTCGGACTACGAATCTGCTGTGCTTTCTCTGTCCATCAACTTGAGTGGACCTGCTTTACAAAAGGAGCCGAACAGCTTGTCCGTCGAGATTATGACGAGCAACAAGTTCTTGCCTCTGCAATGTAGACAATGCTCGAACAGATATCCTGCAGGTGAAGCGGGTCAGAAGAGTATGGACGAGCACCTAGATTGGCATTTCAGGCACAACCGTCGGGCCAAAGAGATGGCAGCTCGAGGTCAAGGTCAAAGCAGATCCTGGCTGAGTCGAATCGGACACTGGATCAGAGGCGGATTCGACGATTCTCCCCCTACGAAGACGGAGGCGGGCGAGGAGAGCGCCAGAAGCGGAGGACTGACGCCCGCTCAGCAAGCCGAATTGAGAGCTGCGGCCAAGAGCTTTGTTGTGGCGCCAAGCGATGATCCTAGCGCTGCTACCAGGCCCTGTCCTATCTGCAAAGAGCTTTTTAAGAGCGAGTGGAACGAAGACGAAGAGGAGTGGATCTGGAAGGATGCTACGAAGGTCGATGCCGTTGTGAGTATCGTCAAGGGGTCTCGAAAGTGTGTTTCGGATGCGCAGACGGTCCTGACTCTACTATCTTAAATGCTTTCTTGCAGTACTATCACGCCACTTGTCGATACTCCGCCAAAGCCCTATCTAACACAGTAGGTGCCCGAGGTGCTTCGCCTCAAGCGGGCAGTAACATCAAGAGCCCTACAGATTCTAGGGATGCCACTCCAGAGATGCGGGACGAGCAAGCTTCTGGCGCATCTGCTGATCCCGTCATTCGAGTCAAACAAGAAGATTTGGGCGCTTCGCCAACCAGCAAGAAGAGAAAGGACAATCCAAATGCCGAGTTTGAAGGCGAAAAGGGATCGGCAGAGGAGGTCAACAATCACAAACGTCTTGCAGCAGGGGCTTGACCCATCTCTATGCGCATCCATCATCATGCGATTCGCTAGTCGACCTTGAGAAGGACGCGCCATTGTGCTGATGGTCAATTTGCAAAAAGCCATGCGGCGCACATAACAGCAACTTGAGCTCTGGGCATCTTACCTCACTTTGATGCGGTCTCGAAGAAACGGCTCGTCGGCCGACAGCCCCACGACTCGCCTTGTGTGACACTTGCGTCGATCTTTATCGCGATGTGACTCTTCATCATGCACGCACATAGCCTCACGTCACGCACAGATGCTACGCTTCCTCAATCTCACAATTAGACCTTTGAAATCTGAGTCCTCGTCTTCGTCTGCACACGCTCTTCGGACATCCGCGTGACTTGAGAGTCCCCGCGTGTGGGATGGAGGTATCTCATAGCAACAAGGAAACTTGGCGTGCTCTTGAAGTGAAGGTATGTACGAAGCAAGTCTCAAATTGAGGTGACAAAGCAGCGTGGGCTCCGAGATTGCTGCTGCGCCGTGAGCTCTGCAATCGTGTTGACCCAAAGCAGAGAGAGGGCTTGACGATACCGTGAAGGAGGGTTCCGCTCTCTATGTCAAAAAGTGATTCGGCCTGAGTTCTAATTCGCCCAAAGTCCAGCGTTCATTCATGATCTTTCCTTCAGAATAATACGGTTGTTGGGCGCCTTGGGCAGGACGATCATGCTCTACAACGATGACGTGCGTTAAGTGGACAAAAAAGGTCAGGGCGCCGTGATGGGGCGAAGTCTTTGACAAGGCAACTCACGTTGTAGTCTGGGTCCGGGAAGCGAGTTGCCAATTTCCAAGAGTAGCGACGGACGAAAGTGGCAAGGATGGTGCCTAGCTGCAGGTATGCGAACTGCTCGCCGATGCAGCGATGCCTGATTGAGCCGGACAAGATGATAGTGACGGCGTTAGTACTGCGTGGTTAGCTCAGAGTGTGCGAAGGCTGTGTGCACTTTGACTTGAACTCACCTTCCCGCGCCGAAGGGCAAATAGGGACTGTTCGCACCGCTGGAGATCGCACCCCAGCCGTAATCGACAGTCTCTCCCTGCTCCTCAGGCTCAAGTTCGCCCTTGCCCATCCATCTATCAGGATTGAAGCTGGCGGGATCTTTCCAGATTTTAGGGTCCGTCTGAGATACACCGGGCGCGGCCATGACGTAGTAGTCTTTGGGAATGACATATCCTGCATCCGTCTTCTTGTTGGCTGCCAGTGAAGCGGCACTGGTATGGGACTGAGGAGAAGCCAGAGACGCTGGGACTGCAATATCTGTTTTGACCTTGCGCATGATACTGTGGATCGGCGGGTGGAGTCGCAGCGTCTCACGTACAACTGCGTCCAGCAGAGGCACAGAGTTCTTCTGAATGTCGTAGTCCAGCTCTCTGAGACCGCCTGCTCCGTCATCATACACCTCCTTCTGCTCGGCATACAGGCGCTCGCTGTGGAGGAAGCCGCCATATCGCGTCAGAGCTTCGTATCTTGCGATGTACCTCTCGTGCCCGCACTCACATGATCTCTGGTCGGCTGGCAAGACGCAGCATAGCCCAGCTTCCGGTGGCGCTGCTCGTGTGTTGTCCTGCCATGAGGAGAGCAATCATGATGTGCGCAATCTCTCGATCGCCCAGCTTTCTGCCATTCTTGTACGACTGGTCCATCAAAGCTTCGATCATATCGTGTCTCCCATCCTTTGACCCGACCTGGCTCTTTCTCCTCTGCTCGATAATTTGCATGTAGAAATCACTCATTGCCTTTTGAGCCTTGTCTCTTCTAAAGTTGCTGGGAATGGGCAGATTTGGAATCGCAAAGTTGAGAGGGATGAAACCGCCATCCAAGTCGTGGTACAGGTCCGCAAAAGTCTTGTCCAACGAGTCTCGCACCTCTTGACCTTGCAGCGTTCGACTCGCTGTGAGGATGGTAACCTCGCACATGGTCTTGAAGATGTCCACACTGCCTTCCGTGCTGCCGTTCTGCAGCTCGACAAATGCCTCATCCTGGGTAGCAAATTTGGTCACCTCGTCCACAATTTGGCCAACGTAAATGCGGAAATTGTCGACGCTCAGACCAGCTTTGACGAACTTCTTTTGCTCCATCAGGACCGCATTCGGCACATCGTACACCACGTCCTTGCCAAACACGGGAGTTGTCAGGTGCGTGTATGCGTCCTCTGCCGACACCTCTGTGATGCGTCCGTTGAAGATCAGGTTGGATCCTTTGGGACCAAGTGCGACGGTCATGTTCCTGCCGAGCAGTGTGAAGGTGTACACATCGCCATACTGCCAACGGAAGATGAGGCAAAGAGGTACAGGCACATGAGCGACACTACGTCGGCGCCTCGACTTTGATCCGCATCAGGGCTCACCTTCTCTCTGCAGCTCTCAAAGAAGTGGTAGGGGTCCATACCGTAAACCACAGCGGAGCCGATCCAAGGGAAGAGGTGGAAGACGTGCGGCGGCAAGCTGGGCTTCTTGGGGAGCAGCTGGGCGGAGGAGAACAACAGGGCATTAGCGCGAGCGCAAGAGCGACGTCTAGACAGCAATACGAGACTTACCAGCTGATCGATGACGTTCAGAAGAACCGCGATGGCAGGGAAGACGACAGCGGCGACAGCGACAAGCTGCCAGTGGCTCAGAGAAGCCAAAGGGCTAGCCTGCCACGCAGCTACGAGCCTATCGCTCATGTTGAATTGCGGCGTGTTGATGCAGCGCAGACCGCGAATAAAGAGATAGAAATGATGTGAGGGTCGAGATGGAAACGAATGCTCGTCTAGGTCATCAGGTCGATGGTAATCTGCGAACCGAACGCGCGCTATAAATGATCGACAGACGTGATCGTACGGTTTTTGGATATCAGAAGAAAGTTCATCCTCGCGCCTCACGACTCGCGCAGGTCGGTCGCGGATGCCTTGTGCGGAACATGCCCGGACGCGGGTTCACGATTCAGCGCGCGCGCCGTGCTCAACAAGGACTTTTCGATTTCAAATCCACAGTCATATTTCAATTCCGCTGCAAGTCTTGTTTGTAGAAGGTTCCGCGCTAGCGGAAGGCCAGCAGACATGCAGCAGCGTTCTTCATCTGCATTCAGATTTTGGCATACACGGGGTCACACCACTTACCCGATCAAAGCTTTCAATCTCCTGTTTTGATGTCAAAAGCATGTTTGGACCGAGCCTGTCTGCCATCGGCTCCACGCTCACGGAGCTCACATTTTTTGCGGTGCTGGTCATCATGACGTATCCCATTCATTCGCGATACGATCTGCTGGGCCCAGCCAATGCTCTAATCTGAGGTTATTTCTACCCATTTATCCGTGAGCAAGATCTCTTCTTAAATTGCAGCCTTCGTTCACCGCGCAGCTGAGGTGTCTCAGTCAGCAATGGTAATGTGGGTACGCATTACCGGGACTTCCTAAGCTCATCGACCTTCTCGCCTGCCAAGTCGCCCAGCTCCTTCGCCTTCTTCTCAGCCTCTTTCTGCGCAGCATCGACGTCGGGTACCTGAGGATTGCCCGCCTTACTTGTAGACGCTGCTGCGCTACCGTTGATCTTGGCTTCCCTTTTCTGCTTCTCAACTCCGCTGACCCTGTCCAACGACTTGCCAAGGCCTAGTCTGAAGCTGATCATGATGCCCGCAACGACAAGCACAACGTAGTAGTTGAGCAACTTCCAACCTTTGAGCGAGTCTTGAATCGAGAGAAGTTGAAAAGGAATGACGGTGTAGCTCATGCTAAGCTGGACGACCAGGACTGATGCCATGCTGTAGAGGATCTGACCGGTGTTGAACGATGTCCAGTTGAATAGAGTAGGATTCGGGGATCGGGGGTCGGTGTAGAAGATTGGACGAAGGTGTCGACGCAAAGTGCGACCAACAGACTGGCACAGACCTCCGAGGACAAAGGTCACTGCAGAGGAGAGACGCAAGACAGTGATTGTCAGCATGCGCTCCCAACGCTGGACATTTCAGATCCCGACTCACAATAATAGCCAGGCGCAACGCCATGCCAGAAGGCGCTAGTGATGAATGTGATCATCGTGCTCTTGAAGCCTGGTTTCTTGCCTTGTTTGGCAACACGCTTGTACACGCAATTCCTCAGCCAGACGTCTAAACAAAAAAGCAAGCCGTGAGGCTTATGAGCTGAGGATTGCCTTGAGATCCGAATATTGATCAAACGTCGACTCACTCGTGTTCATGTTCCAAGCGTCTAAGAGCTCTTTCCAATTGTTTGCGAATTCGATGTTCAGAGGGTCGATATTTCGGCATCTGTCCCACTTCGATCTTGTCGAGATGTCGTTCTTCGCCGAGAGCGCTTGCTGTCCGCTCGCTTGAGAAGGAGAAGGAATGGGCGCGAGTCCGTTGTATGAGAGGCCGCTCAAAATACAAGAGCCCTGCGTCATGATAGAGGGATGATTTAGTGCTCCGGCGATGGAAGAGCTTCGAAGAAGAGAAAGCCTAGCTCACATTAGCCAGCCCCCAAATTCCGTAGTACTTGCTTCTCGTGAACAATCCCGCAGCAATCAAGATGGCCAGCCTTGCAAGGAAAGGCCTGTCCGCTAGCGCGCCAGGGGCGCCAGAAGGCAGCAACAAGGCTTCAAAGTTGCAGTGCGGGGTGCCGACACTCCAGAGAGCCAAACCTGCGACACCCATCACGAGCTCCTTTGAACCTGCATACAGGCGTCCGGGAGGCGGCAGCTGGGATGGGGAGGACGAGGAGTTCGATGAGGAGCCATACAACGTCCCATTTGCCCAACGCCTGTAGTCCACAAATCGACTCGAAGGTCCCACAAGCACTCCAGGGAAGAAGAAGCTGGAGGAGCCGGTCGACACAAGGCAGAGGCGGATTAGTCGTGTCATCAGGCGCGCTTTCAAGGCCTTTTCCTTTCCTGCTTCAAACACATTTGTGACTCACGCGTAGCCCAAGAACTCCACGAGACCGGGGAATTCGCTTGATAAAACCCGGTGTTCCTTCTGCTGAGCATCTAGCTTGTCCTCCTGTCGTCTACCGTCGTACACGCTCCAAGCGAATGAAGTGAGGTTCATACACATGACCATCTGTGCAGCTGTGATCTCGATCGTCGTGAGAGGAATACCTCCATACGCTCGGATGAGGTGGCTGGGTAGTGCCAGAGCGAGGGACATTCAGAAGTGTGAGCGGGCAGGAACGTTCTGGACCACAAGTCGCTGGACGACTCACTTAACTGTCAGATGAGCCATCTGCACACCGAATACGATCCAAGGCATCTTGACTCCTGAGATGGTCACATTGTACTTTGTGAGAGCAAACGTGATGAGAGATGTGCCCAACAGCTGCAGATACCCATGGTGAAGATTGAGCACTCCAAAGAGGTAGAAAAATGAGACGACGATGTTGGTCAGATGCTTGAGGGTGGTGGGAAGGTATGGTAGAGGGTATGCGAGTGGATAGCCAACCACTAGGAGCGTTAGGAGCTAAGAGGGTGCACGTAACGCCAGAGAAGAGATGAGTCTCGCATAGTACCCGTTGCGGAAGAAACCATGCGCACCTTGAGGTAATCAGGAGGAACACCAACACTGCCTCCAAGCTCTTCGAAGATGGCGTCGAACATGGTTGGCTACTCCTGAGTGCGTGGATGAGTAGACAGGGCTTTGAAAGATGTTGTCAGGAGGTGAAAGGCGGCTTGACGAAGGTGAGCGTCGGTCAACACTATTGCCATCGATCAGCTGAACGTATGTGGAGGCTCGAGCTTCGCTTTCCTATGAGGCCGCTGCTTGCTCAATCGTCCACAAGGTGTGAGAACAGGCTCGCAGTCAAGTCGAGTCTGTGATGTTGGATGACCTGTAGAGAAAGAAGAATGCCTGTCTACTCGAGGCATCAGGTACTAGTCATGGGCACCATGTGCTCAAGCCAAGAGCACAAGGAATCAACAAACGCCGGAAGAAATGCTCAAAAGCTTGTACCGCGTTTGCATGCCAGCAGCGTTGTCTCTGTGTGGATTTTTTGAAGTGCACGCGGTCATGCAGCGTTGCTTCGGCGCATGCGTGTCGCGCGTGCAGCAGCACGTAGCACGCGTCCATCCATGCACCCCGCTCATCGTCCCTTTCAGAAGTTGAACGTGCGTCCGCTGCGCTGAACAAGATGGTTGTGTTGGGGCAGCAGCGCGGAAAAGTCGAGCGATCCGATCTGTCCGCGCGCGGCCTTCCCCGAGGCGCCGAGGCCGAGACGATCATCGCGTTCTAGGCAGCATGCATGCATATATGGGACGGTGAAGCTTCGATACACGTGACAGAGCTGCGCGGACCTCCGCGGCGTTTGGGATGCACCAGCCTCGAGCAAAAATGAGGTGTAGGCAACGCTTACGACTGCCATATATGCCGTCAAGAGTCAGTGCGTGCGTTCATGCGCCAGACTCCCGTCCACCTGATCCGCACACCCTACCCGGTCACATCGCACTCGTGACTCTTGGTGCTCACGCTTGTCATTGAAGCACCGCCTCACCATCCCGGCATCCGTCAACCCTTTTCAGTCTTGCGCACGCTTTTCGGCGAGGAACAGAAGAGACTTCGAATTCTTCGCACAAGCAGGGACATCGCAATGGCGTCCTGCAACGAAGAAGCAACGCTACAAGAGCTGGTACATGCTCAAGGCGCGCAGGCTTCCTCTTCAGACGACACCAAATCCCTCTTCCCACAGATTCACCTCGATCAGGTATGGGGATTGAACATAGAGCCACCCGAAAGCGCAAAGAAATGCGTCAAGCCTTGGCACGAGAGAGAAGATACGGAGAGATTCACAGAAAGTGGCGTGGATGATCAGGTGAGCTGGCGTCGAGGGATGGTGGAAGTTGCAGGTAGCGAGGAGCGTCAAAACATGATCCGCTCCACGGTCAGCTGCAAGAAGCTGCTCAGTAGCATCGGCGACCAACTTGCTCGTCAAGAGCGCTGAAATGCCGGTCGCTCACCCATCCCGGACTTTCTTTGCCAGTTCATCATCACCATCCCATTCACCTGCCCAGTCCGAGTCAAATCCATACTTCTGAATCCAGGAAGAGGTGATTTCGCGCCGAGGGTAAGTGGCATGGCCTCTGCACCTCCGAGCTCTTTTGCCCCCTTGCCCCTCATGGTCCAACATCACGTCCAAATCTCACACCTTTACCCTTATCCCGCCACACCGCAGCGTATCCGGGCCTACGTCAACAGACCGGACGGTGTAGATTTTGAAGAGGTGCAGAACTCCTCTGCTGCCACAGCGCCTGATGCACCAGCGAGAGAAAGGGCAGCTCTAGGACCTGTAGGCTCAGGCAAACCTCAGGCCGATTTTGCGCTCAGGGAGGGAGAGACGGGCGTGAGCGAGTATCCGGTCAGCGCTGCCCGCTTCAGCAACGTCAATTCCATCAGCTTCGTCCTGGTGAGTTGTGGTGTCTGCCACCCTTGCGAGAGATCTCGGGCGTCCTGCCATGCTCGCGTAGTCTGTTACTCATCCTTCATGCCGTACTTTCAGTCCGATTCAACTGCAGGCGATATCTCGAGACTCTTCTATTTGGGCCTCAGAGGCACGGCATTGGAGATGAAACAAGATCAAGGCAACCACTTTGATGTTCCGGCTGCAAACGCAGCTGATCGACCCGTCGATGGTGTGAGGGAGAGAGCTGCCGGTGCGCAACAAGGAAGCGCCAGATGATGATGATGATTCACCTTGCGCCGCGCGGGCAATTTCTCATCGATGCTCAGCTCTTGGAGTACGCGTACAAAATTACATGTATAGATTCCCTTTGTACATTACTCAGCCCTCCCCATCGTTTCTGTACGCGCGCCGCGGCAATGGCATGTCATGATTTGATCTGATTGCGCGGCGGAAGCTCGAAAGAGTGAGGCTTGTAAAGTACAACGAAAAAGGGTTCGGACCAACGAAGGCAATGCTGAACGAGACAGGTTGGGAAGCCAATGATAACCAGCGAGGAGAGCATCTGAACGCCTCTCAGGCCTTGCTCTTCTTGGACTTCTTCTCTACTTTTTCAGCTTTCGCCGCTTTCTTTGCTTCTTTCGCAGCCTTTTTCGCAGCCTTTTCCACCTGCGAGAGGTCGAATGGCACAAAGTCGGCGCGTGAGCCGACGGTGCACGGCCATGCGCTCTTGAGAACACTCACATCCACCTTCTTTGAAGCTTTGTCGCTGCTCTTTGACTTCTTATCCTTCTTGTCCTTCTTCTCTTTCTTGTCCTTCTTGGACGACTTCTTATCCGCAGGATCCGTCACGCCAACAGCGGCAGGCATAGTCTGAGGCTCAGTGACCGCGGCGTCCTCGTCATCGCTATCATCGTCCTCGTCCATCAAATCCCCAGCAGCTTCCTCGATAGCTTTCAAAGCCTTGCTCATCGCATCCGAATTCTTTCCAAGACCTGGAGAGCAAGAATTATTGAAGACAGAAGCGTGAGGACCGCACCTCACAAAAGCCAAGGTTTGAAGTTCGGGGTCACTCACCAGGCTTCCCAGTCTCGTAGAACACCAGTCTCTCCTCGACCTGGTGGTGCATGACCTCTCCAAACTTGGTCGACGGCGCATCGCTGAAGCAGTCGATTCTGCTGGCGATGGAGATCTTGTTCGCCAAGAAGCGAGACATTCTACCCTTGTTCTTCGGCGCAGCACGGGCGATCGCCGAAGCGTGGTAGATCAAGCCATACTTTGGCGTGTTGCCCTTGGTCTTGAGCGCTCTGAAGAGCGCCTTTTCGGCACCGAGAATTTGGACAGTCGAGGCAGGGTACTTGGCCAAATTTGTCAACGAACCAGCATGCGAGATCAAACGCGCTCCGATGACCTCTCCTATCAGCGCCGAAAGCTGCGTGGACACGATGCCGCATCAGTCCGATGCTGCAGCACGGCACGCGCTGGGACATTCTGAACTCACGTTAGGTGCCACGAGGTGCATCTTCTCCACCAAGTATGCGTGCATCCGTTTGCGATACGCAGCCAGCTCAACGACGCGCTCGGCGAAAGAGTCAATGTTGTCCATGTCAACTTCGCTGATCTCGGTTCCCATGCTCGCTCTACTCGCATCCAGCACATTCCTCGCCGCCGTGTCGTCGCCATCCAGAATCTCTGCCAGTTCCTCTAGGTGATCCTCGGAGAGACGCTCCTTGGACCTGATAAAGCTTGCCAGCTTGGCATAGATCATGTTGTCCGAAACCAGTCTGACCAGTTCAGGAAAGTGCCAGCCATACCATTCTCTAACACGCATTGCGAACGTGTTGACGTCTTTGTCCAAGGTGTCCAACAGCGCAATGGCCTGGATGATCATGTTGTCGCTTCTGTTGACGTTAAATTTGACCTTGCTCCTGCTATAACTGTGACCCAAACCTAATTGAGCTCTGTCCATGTCGCCCTCTGACAATCCTGACAAAAGCTTCTCGGCGTGCAAACGAATGCCTCTAACGAGCTCCTGCGATCGATCTCCCGTATCGCACTGGATGCCAAGCTCGGAGACTATCGCACCTGCCAGCCCGCGCTCTGCCACTCCCAGGGTGACGCCCTTTGCCTTTTTGCCTGCCGGCGCCAAGTTAAGTGTGAGGAGTGACTTGAGATGCTCATTGAGAACACCTGAACAGCACCCAAAGGGGTCCATGGTCAGCTGCTGTTGCTCGAACTTGTCACACTGCATCTGGCGATGCGCAAGAGTGCTCTGCACGCTTCACTCACCCTCTGAAACGTCGAGACACGATTGCAAGGCGTCGAGAGCATTCTTGAAAGGCGAGAAGGAGATCAATTTGACCATCCTCGAGAAATTGTGAATGTCCTTCACGCTCTCCTGCACCGCTTTGGTGTTGCTGCCAATCTCCTCGACTTGCAGCACTTGCAGGATCGCACATCCTGTGGCGCACTCGAAAAGAATGTGTGTGGGTGTGCTCGACATGATTGATGATCTTGCACCACTCAGAAGAACGGGTGATGATGTCTGGGTGAGCGGCGATGAGTGCTGGTGTTGGCGTCGGCGCGACGAATCTGGTGGTGCGGAGTGTCCGCAGGGAGGGAAGTGCGGTGTCACAATCGAGTGTCTTGGAGCGTGGCGAGGTAGCGGATGCGTCTGAGCGACTTCCAAGAGATTGCCTGGGAAGTGTGAGCTCAAAGTTGAGAGGCTGCGAATGAATGGCACTCAGAAGAACCTCTGCAGACGGCTCTCTCTTCTGATTGCACCTACAACAGTCACAAAGTTACCCAAGCGACGCGGTGAAGTTTGCGAAGCGCGCGCGACACAAAATGGAAGTTTCTCCTCTATCGGCCGATATCGCGGAGACAGAAGGCGCTACAGCACGTGGGTCGGGCCAGATTCAAATTTTGTTCGTGCATCGAGATCACGTGACAGTCCCACTCGACTAGAGACTCACCAGAACTTCCTTTCTGGTGTGTTGTGTTTCTCTAGACTCAAGACTGCACCTACATTCTTGATTGCTTATCATCAGATTCACACTTCTAATTTGCCAAGCTTGGACTCAGACTGCTTTGACTGAGCTCGTTAGGGTGGTGGAGATTGCTTCCTGGCCTCATGCTAGGCAAGCGCGAGAGCGATTGTTGTTGTGGATTCTCGCGCATCATGAAGAAACCGACGCGCCTCCCGTCAGTCGGTCAAACTAGACCTCTCTCCGAATGCCGGCCCACAGAAATCAACGATGACACGAAAGACAAGCATAGGCCATGAAAGCATAGACGGGACGACACGGTGATGTGCTTGTGATGATTGTTGATGACACAGAGCGCGCTCATTGTTCCCTTCGACGCGCAGCTAGCGCTACGCTGGGCCAGATCTGCCAAGCTCCCAGCACCTACAAGACGCTTTGCTTTCATCCTTGAACAAATCGCCTTCCTTGCCTTTGGCGTCCGTGCGAACATGCTTATAGTCCACGTAGTCCTCAGGGTAGAAATCAAAACTTCGCCATACTCTGTAAGACCCTGCGTCTGCTGCTTCTTGCGTCGTGACGGTGTGCTGTCCCTTGGGTGGAGCAGGCGCTGTTCTCAACAATTGTGGATATAGCGTCGGTAGTGACTTTGCCAGTTTCGGAAGCTCCCAGGCAGTATAAGGTGATACGTGACGAAGCGAGATGAGTATGGAACCTGCCCGAGTAGGCGCTCTGTATGGGACCCTGGCAAATTCTGATCTGAGTGCTGTAGTCTCTTCTCCTCCTTCGCCATCTTCGTCTACGTTGTCGGACTGAGCGTCTTCTTCGCCATCGCTGAAGTGCTCTTCATCGCTCAGAGGTCCTCCATCATGAGCTTCTCTGGCTCTTTTGCGACTCTTCGCTATCACGCCCTTCTTTGCGACGCCCTGCTGTGCGTACGAGGGAACTGGTCCAACGCTGAGCAACGAAGCGGCGCTCACAAGGAAACGCGATAAAGCTAGCTGATTGGCAAGGATGTTCCTGGTCTCGTCTGCATGACCTTGACCTGCAAATCAAAGGAATGCGAGCGTCAGGTCTTTGTGAGAGGAAATGCAAGCGCAGCGTCAGATGACTCCAGACGTGGACTCACCAACGTGAGGAAAGCCCCAGTAGATCTTGCTCCAGCTTCGCCTGAATCGAACATCGTCTCCCCTCGCTTTTGCTTTCGCAGCGGTCTTTGACAGACCTGTGACTTCCGGATGCTTAGCCAGATTACCCCCGTCCACTTCGAATATGACCACGTCTTGCCTCCCAGCGGCTTCTCGAAGCTTTGCCACGTTGGCTGAGGCGTTTGAATACTTGGCGTAGCAGGAAGCTTCCGTGTCGTATGAGGTGGCCAAGAGCTGTTGCAACGCTACAGCGTGAGGACTCGCCACAAGAGAGACAGCGAACGAGAAGTCACCTGGTCAAAGCAAGCGCAAGCATTAGAAATGATGTAGAATTAGAGATCCTGCTCGATCTGAGGCGCGCATGGACCTGCACTAACCTTCACCAATCAGTAGGACAGTGTCATCTATTTCGAACAGTCGTGTAGGCTTGTGACCGACAGCGGATTCTCGCGAAACGTTCTGCTTGCCCCGCTGCACTTCACTGGCAGCCCCTTCGCGTTGCTCCTCGCCCTCATCCAGCCGCCGCCTCTTCTTCTCACGCTTCTTCTCAGCATTGGCTCTAGCACTGGCACCAGAGACTGACCTCTTGATGCTTTCTGCTTTTCGTTTCTGCGCGTCTTCTACACGAGCTGCTTTGTCTGCGGATGCTTTGCGGGAATGATGGCCTGCCAACGCTGCTTTGAGGTTCTTTTTCGCCATCCTTGCTCTTTGGCCTGCTTCTAACGCGCTGCAGCAGATGACATGCTAGCTCAAGAGACGTTGAGAAATTGTGAGATGGTAGATGAGGTACGGCAGCATCGGTCTGGCAGCCATGGATCAAGGAGATGCCTTGCCGGGGAGGGTGCCGCAATTTCTCTCCGAGGCTCCGGCGCTGTCGGCCGTTCAGAGCCGAATCAATCAATACCTTGGATCGAAAAAGAGCCCGCCTTGAGGCACATCAGCAGCCCTTCGTGGTGGTGGAGAGCACAGCACGCCCTGGCTGCAGACTGATGAGTCGTGTGCAGCTCGCACGCTCGCACGCACACGCGTCGAGTGGTTGCTGCTGCCGACAGCAAGTGGAGAAGGTCAGCGCTCGCACATCCACGACTCTGACTCCTTCTTGCCAGCCCTCACGATGCTCTACGCTGACGAGTACTGACTGCGCATCCTCGAAGTACTATCTGATCTCTCGCTGTGCTACAGACGCCGAACAGAAACGTTCGTACCTCTCTTTGCCCGACTTGGGGTGGGGTGTCACCATCGGGTCTTTCACCTTGACAAAAGTGGAGCTCGACTCAGGAAGCTTTGGTGCGACTACCGTGCTCCTAGCTCGACATTCACCTGCTGCACTGCGAGGAAGTCTGAAAGACCCTCTTTCGCGCTGCGCTCACTTCATCATCTTGCCAGGAGCCGGCGACGGACGTCCTTTGCCAAAGTGAACCGCAGAGCAGTGCATTCCTGAGGCATATGAAGCGCTCGAGATCCCCTTCAACCGAACTCGACTCCAGCAACCAAGGCTTTGCATCTCGAAGGCTCTCCTTGCGCACCCATTCGTCACTCAATTCTTCCATCAGCGCAGCGATGGCAAACCTGCCCGCTTGCCCTCACGTCGCGGCGGTCTTGCCTGGTCTAGCACCGCCTCGAGCAGGCCAAGACGTGCACAAGGATGAATGCACCTTGTGCTTCGATGGTTCCCAAGAGGAACATGGTATCGATGTTTGCTTATCCTGCTTCAATGGTGGCTGTGTAGGCAATAAAGATCGAGAGCATGCTAGAGCTCACGCTTCCAAAACTTGGCATCCTATCGTATGCAACGTCAAGCGTAGAAGGAAACCATCGGAGGTGAGTCATGGTAATGAAATATCGAGAATGTGGCTGCGCTGCTTATGCTGCAGCCGCTATGTTCACAGAACCCAATTCAAGACACTCCTTCGAAAGTTGCCATTCTGGCGCGGAAAGAGGAGGATGACTGGACGTATGAGACCACAGTCAAGTGTATGGCCTGCGACCAAGTCAACGGCCGGCTGCTCGAGAAAGTCGGCAAGGTGAGTGGGGTGGCCCTCCGGCTCCAGCAACTTAGTCAAACCTACTTCTGATGATCAATGCGTGCTCTCGTGCGATCTGCGCTTAGCTGGGTGAAGTAGCAAATTCAATCGTGCGCAGCTTGTCCTCCTCTCAGCAGAACGAGGTTCAAGCCTGGGAAGCGATCATCGAGCCTTGTCAACACACCAGGGATCTGCAGCAGCAGGCTGATGCCACCAAGGTCTCGAATGAGGGTAAATGCAGCCGTTGTGACCTTGTAAGTGCAATGCAGGTGCTTGTCGAAGTAGTATCGCAGCGTTGCTGACCGGATTTGTCCCGCCATCAAATGATTGCCAGACCGCCAATCTCTGGCTTTGCTTGACATGTGGTGCGGTGTCCTGCGGTAGACAACAATTCGGTGGCTTGGGGGGAAATGGTCATGCTATGCTGCACTTCAAGGATACGGGCCACCCTGTCTCTGTCAAGCAGGGCACCATTACCCCAGAAGGAACAGCAGATATATATTGCTACGCTTGTGACGATGAGCGCAAGGATCCCGATTTGGCCAAACATCTTCAGCACCTCGGCATCTCGACCCTAGGACTCGTCAAGACAGAGAAGAGCATGACTGAGCTCAACTTGGAGCAGAACATTAACTTTGACTTTAACATGACTGGCGACGATGGTAAAGAGCTGCAACCGCTCTTTGGGCCCGGATTGACTGGCCTGAAAAATCTGGGCAATAGGTGAGTAATGCTCGCCAGGTGCAGATGATGCGTGCGCCTAAGTCATGCTTATATGCTTCGTCGATGCTCAGCTGCTACATGGCTTCTGTCTTGCAAGCTGTCTTCGCTTTACCGACGTTCAAGGCTCGATATTTCACCGCTTATCGACCGCACACGACGGCGTGCACCAATCCTCAACCCGCCAACTGCATCGAATGTCAGATGGGCAAGCTGGCTGACGGACTGCTCTCCGGTCGCTATGCAGTTCCCTCACCTGAGCAAGCGACGAAAAACCGAGGAAAGGGGGCCGTATTTCAAGATGGTATCAAGCCCAGCATGCTGAAGAGCCTGATAGGGCGAGGTCACTCAGAGTTCTCTACAATGCGACAGCAAGACGCCGATGAATTCTTGAAGCACCTTGTCAGCTGTTTGCAGCGCGACACTCGGAGGATCGCTACAGATGTTATCCAGATCGAGGGCGCACCTTCGGACGACGCTACGCGAATCTTCAGCTTTGGGCTCCAGTCGAGGCTACAATGTACTGAGTGCAGGCGGGTGCGATATACCGTTGAAGCTCAGGATGCTGGTCTCAGCCTCCCCGTTCCACTTAGACCCAAATTCAAGCCACTTGAAATATCTGAGGTTGTGGAATCTGGAAACGATCAGGTGGTCAATGATGTGGTGTTACCGCCAACGCCCAGAGAGGAAGTGACCACCGACATTCTACCAGATGGTCCTGATTCGGACGCTATGCAAACAGATGACACCACGCCCGTGCCAACGCCGCCTCGCTCGGATATACCAGGTCCGGAAGGAGCGCAGGAGGCAAAAGGCAAAGCACCAGTCGAGGGCCCCCATGCTGTCAACGAGCTCGAAACTGACTCGTACGCTGCTGCGCAGGATGAAGCTTCTGACATGCAGGCACAGTCTCTGGCGGATGAGCAGTTGGCGAAAAGCTTAGCAGCAGAAGGAACCAAAGACGATCCAATCAATTTGATCGGCGAAGCAAACAATGAGGAAGATGCTGAGAGTCGGGCGAAAGAGGAGGCCGAGTTTCAGAAAGCGATAGCGGACTCGCTCCAGACTGGCGGATCCCTCAACCAGATCGAGTACGAAGAAGTGGATCTTCAGGAGTGTTTGGACATCTTCACCGCTCCAGAAGAGCTCGAGTATCATTGTCCAGCCTGCGAAAAGCACGTCATTGCAACCAAGCAGACTTTGTTCACCTCTTTTCCCGACGTGCTCTCGATCCAGGTGCGGCGCTTCCAGCTCATCAACTGGGTGCCACAGAAGGTAGACGTGCCTATCAACGTCCCGCTGGAAGGACTGAATTTGGACAAGTACTTGGGTACGGGCAAGAGAGACGACGAAGAGGAACTACCTGAGCCAAAAGATGATCCGCCGCCCGCCGCTGCCACCAACACGCCACAAGGATCTGCCCAACCTCCACCGTCTGTGGATCTTGGCAAGTGGTCGAACTGGAGCGGACCAAAGTTCGATCAAGGTCTTCTGAGCGAAGGCATCGAGATGGGCATGTCGCCAGGCAGAGCTCAGAACGCCTACTTTGAAGCATTTAGACAGACCGGGAGATGGGACGCATCGGAAGTCGCTATGGACTGGGCGTTCTCGGCTGATGAAGATCCTGCTGTAGACATCGCACAAGACTTTGACGGGATTGCGCAGCAGGAGATTGCAGCGATATACGCAGCTGCTGGAGTTGATCCCTACGCGCCGGCGGACGTCACGTCAAATGAATCTGGTGGAGCGTCGGTAGCCGAGAGCGGTACTGCGACGCCGACTGCGGATTACAGCATCTTTGAGGAGATGGGATTCTCAAAGAACCAAGCTAGGAAAGCTTTGAGAATTAGCAATGGAAACGCCGATGCTGCTGTGGGATGGCTGTTCGAGAACGGTGGCGATCCTGGCGAAGAGGAGCAGTCTTCTGCCCCGGCTTACTCTGCGTTCGATGCGACCACAGCGGGCCCTGAGAGCCGCACAGCAACGGACGTGGAGATGATCGATGGCTCTGCAGATGGCGTAGCGGGCCCTAGCTCGACGTCGAGTGCACCGCCTCCGGTCGGTGGCTCAGCGGCTCTTCCCGCCAACTTCTCCCTCAAATGCTTCATCTCCCACAAAGGGGTGAGTTTGTGCGCGACGTCACGTTCCTTTGAGAAGATTCAGCTGAATGACGGGCCTTGCCCTCCTCCGTTGCAGCCATCTATACACAGCGGACATGTGAGGCGCGTTCGGTATCAAGTCTTGCTTGCTAGTGTTTGACAGTCATGCTCTCTGTCCTCCGTCTGCAGTACGTCGCGCACATCAGACATGACGAAGACGCGGCGTCGGGATCTGCTCTGGGAAACGCCCCAGCCGGGGAAGCTCAATGGGTTCTGTTCAAGTGAGTGTAAGCCATCAGCATTGTCTAAAATACGTTCTCGATTCCTGATTGCCTGCAACTCTCACGCTCACAGCGACGAAAAAGTGGTCAAGGCGCCGTTTTCGAGCCAATCTTCATCTGGAGCTCATCTAGAAGTAGGCGTAAAGGGACTTGTGAAACTGGCGTACGTGTACGTTTTTGAGCGTACACCTACGCCTACTACATGATGGCAAATACATCCTCTCAAAGGCAATTCAATATGTACCCACCGTAGCCTGACATGCTGCTTGCAAATCCGAATTCGTGACGGCTACCCATTAGGGCGCAGGCAGACACGATCTGGCTCCCATGAACTTGACAGCTCAGGACACCAGGGCCGGCTGACACGTATCGCACCTCTTTCGAAATACATGCATTGACCCTGTCTGCTCGAGTATAGCAACACTACTTCTTCTTTTCCCCTTCTTTCTGAGATGTTTTGCCATCTCCAATCTCCTTCTTGCCGCCCAAGGTGCCGTTCGCTTCGCCTGTCGTTGTGCCGTCCTCTTCTTCGCCTTTTGCATTCTGGCGCGAGAGAAGAAAGACAAAGTAAGCAACCGCTTGGTTGAGGACAGACTCATCCAGATCAGAGCAAGGAGCAGACTTGCGACGCACCTGAGCTCTATTCTCGACGAGCGCATGCAGTGCGATGACGGCTCGGATCAGACTGCTCAAGTAAATGACCAGCATTTGATCGTTTGTTGCTGTGCTAAAATGTTGAGCCTCTGTCGTCCTGTCCAAAAGGTTGAATATGTCTTGCACATTGAAGAGGATTCTGAGAGGAGGCGTCCACGCGGTAAGTGTCGGCCCCTCTGCACGTGCTGTAAAATTTCACAACACTGAGGGCGGGTTCTACTCACTCGTGATTGACGGGCATCTTGCCCAATGATACGAGCTCTAGGTAGTTTTGGATCTCCAGCAATCTCGCGAGCAAACCTCTCAAGCTAGACAACTGAGCCCCAACCCTGGTGCTGAGCGTTCCGACGGTAGTGGTGTCCCTAATATCTCTCAGCAAGTGTTCCACACCAATCTCTTCGCTCTCCTCAGCCACAATGCTCGAAGGCACGTGCACAAAGGTCTTCTGCGCCGCTGTTCCATCCTCCTTGATCTCCTCTATGGCAATGTATGCGTCCGTTGGGATTCCGGTATCTCTAGAACGCGGATCGACGATCACCATGACGGGCTTTGGCATGAATCTCTTCATAAGGTCGTTGATGTCTAGGTCGGATGCTCGAAGCCGAGGGCCAGTATGATACCAACCGATGATCTTTTCTCGCGCTGGGAAAGGAGTATCGAGATTTTGCGGGGTAAGTCACGCGCGACACTGAAATCATGGCCGCCGATATCGAGCTGGATACAAGGTACCTCCGAGCACCGATTGGCTGAGAAGACGGTCATTGCTTCATCTCATAGGTTCTAGATTGCTGTTCGCGCAGCAACCGTATAGGTACGACGCGATATAGCTGCGCGACCCACGTCATCTAGAACTGTCTCCTACATCGTCTGCGCTACCCACAATGACCTTCGTATTGCACTCACCATTGACCTTTTTGCACATCTCCATCATGCTAGTAATGTAGTCGTGATCTAAAAACCAGGTGCTCTTCCCTTCGCTTCCAGCACCTTCGTCCTCTTCAAAAGGCACTGCGAAGCTATTGGCCACATTGACGACTTTGCCATCGTCCTGACCCAAAAGCACTCCCACCACTCTCTTCCGACCTCCTGTGGCTGCGCGCGAAGCGTGGTCCGTGACTGATAGCAGGACGAGAGGATGCACATTGACTTGCTGAGAGATTGTCGAGAGCACGACGGGCTGCTCGCTCGTGGAACCGCCCGGTGCGGATGTTGATGTAGCAGTGGGCATTGTGGCAGACGCGTTGCCCAGTGGTTGCGGATTGGGTCCAGGGACGGTCAGTTGCCAGAGACTTTACGATCTGTCGCTCGGGTGCATGCGATGTGAATGACGAAAAATCTGGAGATGCTTGGCCACGGTATGGCGAGAGGGTGTGGAGTGCTTGCTGCGACCTTCTGACGGCGGATTCGAGCGGTGTACATATGCGCTGCATGCTGCTGTTCGAAGGGACACGCTTGCGCGTCAGAGAGGTCTGAGCGCACGCATGCCGGAAAGGCAGCTTCGAATGATGACCACGTGACTGAGAGACCAAGGTGTGGCCGATCCGATCGCGCATGCATGGCAGCGCCGCACCAGAGTAACCAAATCGCGCCGCGCTCCTTAGTCTGGAGTCGACGAAGACTTGGCCTTGCACTCAAAACTCAAGACTTACAACCCATGGGTCATGAACTAGATTACCGTTTATCTTTGATAGCAAGGTTGCGTCCGTCACCTTAGCGTACGCGGGCCCTCAAGCAACCCACTGCCCTGAGGTCGGGATTCGCGCATTACCATTTGTTTGGCCGCCCTCCACTTGTCGAGGCGACACGTACGTAACAAGCCGGACATCCCCCAATCCAATGTCTCGTCCCACGCCTTCTCGACTATCCGTCCCAGGCTCCTCCTCCCACCGACATCGATCGGGCAGCCCTGATTCGGTTCGATCCGGCAACTCGAACCGATCTCTCAGATCCCCCGCATCTGCTGGTTCAAATCGTTTTACCTTTCACCTGCCCAACATGTGGTCTCGAGATACTCGAGGCTCATATCCACGCTCGCCTTCTTCTTTGTCTGCGCGAAAGAACGCAGACGAGGATGATGCGGACAGGGAAGCGCTCCTGCCTGCTGCCGATGGTGTCGAGCACGAAAGAGATGCGGGTATGGGGGATGGAGATGCGATTAGCGAACACATTTTGGTCAATCCAGCAGCTGGCACGCCCGAGACCAGCTTACGCAATCCTCAAGAGCCAGTGGCAGCTTCATCACTTCCGCCATCTCAGGCAAGAGATGCATACGGCGCGGAGCTCACTCCCGAATGGTCAGCTCTCTCTTCCATGCAGAGGTCTAGCGTATATGGGGCCTTTGTGGTCCTAGGCGCAGCTGTGCTTTTGCCATTGTGAGTGCTTACTCAGCCTTTTACAGAGCCTGGAGCAAGAGGGGCTCACTGAGCCCTAGCGGCGCATATGATAGCTGATCTGCTTGCCGAATCTGCCCGTCCGTTCTCCCCTCACGATGTTGCACGCAGCAATGCATTGATTACGCCCTCGGAATACTATCGAGGCCTCTTTGCGGCCACGACGCACTCGGACAATTTCATGTCGTACATCATCTCCATTTACAATGTGGCCACCATCATCTTTGGCGCTCACGCAACAGCTAGTGTTGTACGCGTCTCGCCATATCGACGCACGGTCTGGTCCAGTGTAGTCGTGTTGATCACCCTATCGCTGATCACTGTTTGGATCGGTGGATCCGCCGCAGAAGCTCAGACAAAGGCAGACGGAGCTGGGAGTGAGACGTCCTTCTGGACTCTTATGCTCGTCACAGCTGTATTGGCTATCGCTACAGCATACTTGCAGAATGCCGTGGTTGCAATCTCGTCCCTCTTTGGCGGCAAAGCGATGGGCGCCATGTTGGCTGGTCAAGGCTTTGTTGTGAGTCGGCAAGCTTGCACCAGGCTCGAATTTCTTGCAAGCTGATCGATACACTCTGCGAGTACCTGTGAAGGCCGCAGCCGTTTCGCTCATCCAGCTTCTTGCAACTGTCAGCAGCGTTCGATCAAGCCGAGCTGCACTTGCTCTGGGGAAGCAACCAGAACCGGCATTTGCTTCAGCTCGAGCTTCGGCACTCATTTTTTACGTCTGGACGTGCGCATTCATGCTGCTCACTCTGCTCGTACTGGAGATTCTCAGCCGCTCAGCTCTGTACCGAGTTGTTGCAGCTCAACATGGTCGCAGCGGCAACGCCCTCAACTCGAACCCTTCGCCAGCGACCACTCCCGAGCTTGCGGACCCGAGGGCGAAGGGCTGGGAGTCTGGTGCAGGCCTTGCACGGTTCATGCCCAGCAAGTGGAGGACCACTGCAGCCAGTCTCAGGGCTGTCCAGAGCCAGCTCGTCGCACTGAGCGTGGCGATTGCTTGGTGTTTCACAGTCACGCTCGCGCTGTTTCCTGCGCTTACGAGTCGTGTGAGGCCATGGCCAAGAGCTCCAGGTTTGGATCCCTCCGCACCCGAGCCGCTATGGAGAGGTGCGTGCTGAGCACTCCATACCGCGCCAGCTCAATGAACATACTGATGGCCCTCGATCATTTCAATTCCACAGATCCACTGATCTTTGTGGCCCTGCATTACTTGGTCTTCAATGCTTCTGACCTGCTGGGCCGACTCTTGCCTTCATTGTTGCCTAAAGCTTTCCTGCTGGAGAGTCGACGAGCTATCATTTTCTGGGCAGGCATGAGGGAAGGTTTCTTAGGCATGCTGCCCATGTGCAACGTGAGCCGTCAAGGAGCCACAAAACCAGCAGAGGCCACCTCGACGTCGTTGGCTCTACCGTCATCAGATCGAATCGGCTCGATCGCTACCCTTGCGATTCGCGCAGCCACTACAGCCGCTGCGAGCACTGCGGCTTCAGACGACGGACTCTGGGCTGCAGTCGCTAGAGAAAGAAAGCCGAGGCTGGGAGACGCGATCTTTTTCGTGCTTGTCCTGCTGCTCGGATTGTCCAACGGTATCCTGAGCACCTCTATCATGATCGTAGGGCCACGTCGAGAAGGAGTCAAAGATAACGAGCGAGCGTGAGTGGATGGGCCTAGTATCAGGCGCCGATGGTGCGTCCAATTCGGGCAAAGCGACTGACAAGCAAGGTACGCGCGTCTCATTGCTCTCCATCAACAGACTAGCGGGTACCATCCTGGCTTTCTGGCTCACTATCGGGTTGGCATCGGGCTCGTTTGCAAGCTTCATTTGGTCGTAGCGTCGATGACCCCTCACGTACCGCCTCGCTGCGCAATGCCTATCTTCGTCACATTACTACGCCTTTACGGAAGGCATTGCGTGCTGTATGCGCTGTCTACAGACAATCGAGACCTTGACTGAGCTGTGACTGGCTTGAAGGTCAAGACGACGCGTAACATCGTATACACAAGTCGATGGAACAGAATCGCGTTCGAGCAGGGAGGGTGTGGATGTCCAATTATGACGCGTATGAGAGGGATGCTCGACTGCTCCAACTGTGATCGCAAGACTAGCTAGGGCTGAGAATGACTTGTTCACCCAATGCTCGGCCATTTTCCATCGTTGAATGGGTCGTTTGTAGCTATCGAAGTCGCAAACCCAGGCCCCGTCTGCCTCTGCTCAGCTTGGGACCTCAGGTTCTTCCAGCCCATGGCGTCTGTGCCAGTTTCCTCATCCGGGTCCTGCGTGTCGATGATCACAGGCTTGAGTACATCTCTAGTCTGTGCCTTCGGAATTCAGGGTCTTACTACTCACAGGATCGATGATCTGCCCATCACCTTCGTACCTGTCCCCATATGATCCCTCATCTTCCTCTTGATCGCCTGCCGTACTACCGACTCCTCCCCTGCTAGGCGCTGCACCTCCCATCTTCATGTCTTTCATCAACCTCTCCAGCTCCTGCTTCTTCTTCTTGTCCCTCGCTTCGGCTTTAGCTTTCGCTAGTCGCTCTAGTTCGGGCCTGTAGTCTGCCAAGTATTCCGCCCTTGCCTCATCGACTGCCTTGAAAAAATTAGGCAGACCTTCACCTGTCACTGATGACACAGAAACGGTCTGCAAGGCGGAACACACATGACTGAGCATAATCCTCGCAACCTCGAAAAGTGTCCGCTCGAGCTACTCACCCTCAAATTGCTGTAGAATTCGTCCAAAACCAAAGCCATGCTGTTCATCAAGCTGTTGATATACCCAGCATCTTCTCCTGTCCTCCTCCTTCCAGAACCCGGTCTGTTAGTGGCTACAGAAGAAGGCTCTGTTGCATTTCCTTCGTTCAAAGCTGCTTGAAATGCTTCAAAGTCCGACATCCATTCGGTTGCGAAAGCGCTGGGCTGGACATCTGTCTTGTTGAAGACCAGAATGAAGGGTAAACGAGTTTTGTACATGATCCTGTGCGGAAGACGTGAACAGACATGAGCTTTAGCCCCGCAAGCAGACCGAGGCCATCAGGTGCACCCAAGTCCAGCAACTCACGAGCAAGCGTAGAGCATGTTGCTCATAAACGTAGCGGGAGCTGTTGTCCTCGGTGTGTCTATGACGTACGCCACGCAAGTGGGCATAGAGCTGGCCAGAGCGCTGGTGATGATGGATCCGCTGGCTGACCAAGTGAAGATCTCGATCTGTCCAGGCGTGTCATGCACGATGTATTCCACCTCTTGCGCCCTTCTTTCCAAGATGGATAGTACTTGGTCGTACTTTGTCGTGAAAAGGTTGAGGGAAGTGAGAATGCCTCCGTTTGGACCCAGATTGTATCTGCGAGTGAACGAGGAGCGGGACGGCTGCTTGTCAGCTCAGATGAGCGGGCCAGCGCAAGTGCAAGATCCGGCGACACGCACTCTTCCATCACCCTCTTGTAGTCGACCGTGTCCCGAATGTCGACATTGGGTTCGTAGCCTGTCTTGAGCACAGCAGGATCCAGATTGACCATGTAAGTCTGCGTTTCCTCATCCTTGCTTTTGCTTTTGCTTGCAACAGCCTCAGAGGTAGTTGCAGACCGCGATAAAGCCCCCGCAAAGGTCGACTTGCCGCTACCTGCCATGCCAATGAGCAAGATTGACGTGGCCTTGGGAGGCTCTGGTAGCGTTGAGCTGCTACTCGGGCCGCTGGGCACTGAAGAGCCATCTATGGGTGGGACCGAGGGTCCACTTGGCGGAAATTGAGCCATTGTTAGGCTGTAGCGAGACGACTCGTGTCCACGGAAGATGTCAGGGCATGTGAAGCGTGATCCGGGTGGGTTGTACCTGTATTGTAGGATGACTAGGTTATTGAGGCATGAACTAGAGGAAGGTTGACCAGCAGTAGCTTCATTTTGGGTAGAGTCCAAAAATTGGCCTACTGTAGTCGTGTGTGGCACCTACCGGCCGGGAGATGCACGGCTCCGAATGTGGAGCGGGCCGCGCGTTGCGTTCGCGGGGCAAGGCAGCAATCGTGAGTCATATGCGCTAGCCTACACAGGATGCGCATCAGCGCGATTGAAGTACGCCCTGCCCGTAGTTGCGAGCACCCGCCTTTGCTTCGTCCGCAACAACTAAGTCATCCAACACCACCTCTTGTAGACCACGTCAGCGTTCGAGTTCATATGATTGTGGATCGACCTCAAAGAGCAATACAAGCTGCAGGAACCCGCGCAAGATCGAGACCTCCACTTGAACACGGAGCAGTACGAATTCTCTGAACGCGGCATTTGCGAAGATGGTAGTCATCGTGACGGATCTCGATTCCTTTCCGGTCGAAGTGGACCTTTTAAAGACAGTCAAGGACCTCAGTGAGCAGGTCCAGGATGTAGTGAGTCATAGCGCATGTAATGCGCTCTACCTCTCGTGACACTGCTCACGCATCAGCTTGTCCGATCTGCTTCCAGATCGGCATTCCCGCCGAAGAACAGGCTGTACTACTCGATGGTCGGCCCCTGGATCCCACGAAGACGCTGAGCAGCTATGAGTCACAAGGACTCAACCAGGACTCTTTGCTCGTGATTGGTAAGAGGCCCACGGGACAGGCCAGCGGCAGTGGAGCAATTGGTCAAAGAGGAGGTCAGAGCCAAGGGGCTGCGGGAGGAGAGTGAGTGCCACGAGATTAGAAAACGTGCTGATGCCTATATCACATGTGTAGCTTCAAATTCGTCAAACTCACGCTGATTGAACTTTTTATTCAAAGGGGTGAGGAGCAATTTGCAGAGCAACTGCGTCAACAAGTCTTGAGCAACTCTCACATGAGGGAACAGGTCAAACAGGTAAGAAGCATTTCAGGTGAGGGTATTCCTTTGAAGCCTATCTGTATGCTCAACGGTCTATTTGTTCCTCGCCTTACAGACGTCACCCGATCTCCACGCCGCTCTCGAGTCGCCCGCCGAGTTTCTGCGCCAATTGCGGCGAGAGCGCCAAAAAGCAGATGAAGCGGCACGTCGGCAGCAGCAGGCCGAGATGGAGCTAGCAGCAGCAGACGAGTTTGATGTGGAAGCTCAAGCGAAAATAGAAGAGGCCATACGCCAACAGCAAGTCTACGAGAACCTCGAATCGGCCATGGAGAATATGCCAGAAGCATTTGGGAGCGTCAACATGCTCTACGTTCAGGCTGAAATCAATGGAACGCCGGTCAAGGCTTTTGTGGACAGCGGCGCTCAGATGACGATCATGAGCCCAGAATGCGCGGAGAAGTGCGGGATCAAGAGGTTGCTGGACACCAGATTCTCAGGCATCGCCCGGGGTGTTGGAACAGCCAAGATTCTGGGTCGTATTCATTCAGCACAGGTGAGCTGGGCGAGGAGCATCACAACATCAAGCGTTTGCATTTGATGAAGCTAAAGCGTTGTCATCCCCATTCACAGATGAAGTTGGAAGACTTGTTCCTGCCTGTCTCTCTCACTGTCATTGAGGGGAAGGACGTGGATTTGCTCTTCGGTCTAGGTGAGTTAAAGTAGGGCAGGTTCCAAGGTGCACGATGCTGAGCATAATCATTGCGACTTCATCCATACTATGCACAGATATGCTCAAGCGTTATCAAGCCAGCATAGACCTTGGACAGAACGCACTAATCATCAATGGCGTACGTCCGGCTGCCTCGGGATCGAGCGCTGAGGGGCATCTTACTCAAATCGAACACTGTCTTTCAATTGCAGCGCAAAATCAGGTTCTTGGACGAACATGAGGTGAGACAGCAACGAGTTGACGCTCTCATTACGAGACGCTGACTTGACCTCGTCCTCTTCAGCTTCCCAAGAATGCTCGTCTCTTTGCAGAGGAGCAGGAGTCTGAGGCGAGCGCATCAGGGAGAAGTGTCGGTGGCCCTTCAGCGTCCGCGCCTGCTACTCGCCCTACTCCACCACAATTCCCTGGAAGCGGAGCTATCCTTGGGTCTCAGCCAGTCTCAGGAGTAGGGTCTTCATCTGCCACCTCAGGCAGTACAAGTGCACGTTCGAGCACCCAAGCTGCCGCGTCTTCAGCCTCCGCACCTTCTGCGACTCCTGCTTCCAGAAATGTGGGTGCCAAGTGGCCTGCCGAGTCGATCCAAGCTCTGAAAGACCTTGGCGCAACAGATCAACAGGCTGTAGCTTTGCTCGATGCCGCTGGGGGCAACGTCGATGCTGCTGCTAGCTTCTTATTTCAGTAGATCATTTCAGATCAAATCGTCCGACGCATGCACGCCGGTCAATGCGATGCTGTAGAAAAGAATGCCCGAGGAATGTTCATGACTGGAAAGTCGACGCAAAACGATGTTCTGGCCGCCTCGCGTTGTCACGCGAGTGGATCGACTTCGTCTTTGACTTCGCTTTGAGCTGATCGGAGGCAGGGAGACAGAGCGGTGTGTCGTCCGAACATGACACGAACGCCTGTCCCGCGGTCTACCTCGGGAATCCTGGGCGTCTACCACTTCTGACGGTCAAAGGTTTTTTGACGCAGCATCCGAAAGGAGCATGCGCCGTCATTGGAGGGTTGTGTAGCGGGCTTTGTTCGTGGACACGGTGCTCGAGAATCGCAAAGCAAGGGGCTGAAGCTCCAACTCTATCTGCAAAAGCAAACGTGTTCAGACAAGCAGATGGAGTATCGATGACGATTCTGTGAACGCGTGGGCCGGTCGCAAGGCGCCCTCAGCAACGAACGATCTACATCTCCCGACGCGCAGGCATCCGCATGCCCATCTCTCAGCAGTTACAAGTGCGCTGAACTTTACTCAGCTCCGCGGGACGTTTGGCGGAAGACCACTCCCGAGGCTACTGCAACTCGATTATCAAGTTCAAAATCGTAGTCTTCCCATGCATCAGTCGAGCTATAGTCTTCCTAGGCTCAAATTGCAGAAGTTGTTCAGTCCTTGACGTTCGAAACTTTCACCACACCTCTTCGGCGGTTGGACAGACCAACAAGGGATTGAGCCGGCGAGTGAGCTTCAGCCGGCAATGTCGCTGCTATGAGGGTACGCGACTTTGCGCAACACCAGAAGTGCCATCTAGCTCAACTAGAGTTTCGAGAGCTTTGCAGGCTCGCCGCTAAGAGGACGCTGTCTTCGCGCGGCTTTCAGCGCATTGGCGCTGGCGCATGTCGGACGGCGCATGCCAGGAGAACCTCGAGCTTAATTTCGTAGGAAGCAAGACACCGAAGGGCCGAGTCTCGAGTGAGGTCGCACGAAGCTGCGATAGTAGCTTTGTATCTTCAGTGACGGAGCCGCTGGAGCTCTTGCACGGCGCTGCTGCCAAACAATCCGGCAGGCCATTGAATGGAGCACTGGCTGCGCGTGCAAGCTCGCCATTCCATCTCAGCAAATGCCTCGTGACGCCGAGTCCAACGCGCTTGGACAGCTCTGTGCAGCATGCAGAGATGCTTGCTTGGCGCTGCTGCGGAAGGAAACTAGCTCCGGCGCTTTTCCCTTGCGCAGTGGTCTAGCGAAGCGTGGGCCGAGAATACATGGGCTGCGATTTGCCACAAAGCATGCGCAGTGCCAGCTCGAGAAGATGGCTGCCTGCTGTTATCAGGAGGCGATCTGGCAGGTCAGACACCCACATGGTGCGCTAGGCCTTTCGCAGAAGTGTGACCGTCGCTCGCCCCAGTAGATAGTTCAAAATCGCACTTCGCGTTCGAGGTGCTTTCGCCAGAGCAGCGCGGGAAGCACATGGTCGTCAGATGTGGGCGTAGAAAGCCGATATCTCGTTGAAGGATGTATTGATTTAAATCAAACTCTATTTGCTAACTCTATTTGCTAGGTAACGCGCAGTACATGTACAGTGTTGAGCGACGATTGGGAATGCTTGAAATGGGGGGGAAGACTTGGTAGACATGCGTATCGTGATGCTCTGCACGGCTCAAGGAAGTCCTTGGTACACGTAGGCGTCGTCGTGAGCTTCGAAATTGCATTCACCGATAGGTTTGTTCCAGTTCTCGGGATTGCAGATCCACTTTGCGGCAGCAAGGATGCGGCGCGTGATGCGCTCCACCTCTTCCTCTTTGAGCTGAGCGTTGTCCCAAGACTGCTCGATGACGAGCTCATCGTCACCCTTGAGGCGGTAGACGAGAGCCATGCCGAGATCCGAGCGACCCTCGAATTTGGTGAGCTTGATGCGATCGGATGTGGGTGGCATTCTCGGCGCCCAATTGTAGTGGAAACGAGGTGCGCAAGACTCGAACTGATGGGCATCGCCGGTCTTCTCAAGTTCTTGCACGAGTTGACCACGGTGGTAGTGCGAGTGCTTGGACAGAGCCGCCTGTTGAGTTTGGACACGGTTGAAAAGCGAAAGCACCGTCTCGTTCTGCGAAGGGATGGCGACACGGTTGAGCACCATTTCGACCATGGGGCCGCGAGCTCCCTTGAAATCGAGGCCGTCAACGTCGATGGCCATGCGGCCGCCTTCGGCTTGAGAGAAGACGGCTTCGTAGGCACCGGTCTCTTTCACGTGGAACAGCGCGACAGCAGTCTTGATGGCCTTGGCGGGTGCGATGCCGTGCTCCTTGCGTAGCTTGAGGATATGTGGAACTCGAATAGCTCGGAAGTCGCCGGACTTGCCCTTTTGCTCCTTTCCAGTGGGAGCGAGTGGTCGACGATCTTGAGTGGTAGAATGACCATCTTGGTTGTCCTTGGTGAGCCATCCTTGGTCGTTGCCACGCATCCAACCTGTGGTGCGCGCGGGTGGCCAGGCCTTGGCGGAGTGTTGAAGGCCGGTAAGGCGCTCACGGTGGAAGTTGACGGCGGCCTTTCCTTCATCGGTGTAGGGCCATACGTAGCGCCAGTACGCGTAAGGACCGTAGGAGAGTGCAGCAGTGTCGCGCGGCTGCTCCATACCACCAAGGCGCTCATCAATATCGCGCAAGAAGTAGTGCAGAGACGCCATGTCGAAGACGGCATGGTTCATGACGTAGTGAAGCGCGCACATGCCTTGCTCTTTGGAGTTGCGACTGGTGACGATGGTGAAGCCGGTCATGAAGCCTGGGAATTGAAGGTCGCCACCATCTTCACCGTTGCCGTGCTTGATGTCGGTGACGTCCTCCAGATTGTCGACCTCGACTTCGTCGATAAGGTGCTCATATGTCTCGGCGTGTCCGCGAAGGACGGCATAGTGCATGCGAGGGAAGGGGTAAGGGTTGACGGAAGTGTAGTTGGGCGCATCTTTGTTGCAAGGCACTGCGACGCTGCGCATCATCTCGTTACGCTCCAGAGCGTAGATGAGCGCCTGACGAAGCTGGAATGTGCTGCCTTTGATCATGTACTCGTGACGGTGGGTACCGCTGTCAGATGGAATGGGGGCGAGTCGACGTCAGCTGAGGATCCAAGAGACAATCGTCAACCCCGCGCGCTCACCTGCGAGGTCGCTTTACGCGGCGGAAAGCCCAGACGTCACTCATGGGATAGAATGCTTCCACATCCTTCCAAGAGAGGCGCTTGTCAAGATTGGTGAGGAGTTGCTCCGTTGCGTCAACGGATAGGGAGAATGCTTCGCGGTCACCGTGCAAGTGTGGAAGGTTTGCCACCGTCAACGGTTGCTCGGGTCGAGCGTGGTAAGTCCTTCCATTCTTCCAGAGCTCGGGGGTGGGCTCGGGAATAGGAATCCACTGCTGACCATCGGGCGTGGTTTGAACGCCACTTTGCAGATGAGTTGCTGGAAGAGTGGCAGTGAGAGCCATCATGGTTGCGAATCGTGAGGGTGGAGTGGATCGGTCGTGAGAGAGGGAGTTGTCGTTAGTGGGTGCAGCTACGAGCTGGTGAAGAAGCAAAGCAACCTTTGACGAGCGAGGCGGGTCTTTATAAGATCTCGGAGGTGCTGCTTCGAGGATGTAGAGCAGGGCAGCGGGACGAAGCGGCCCCTATCTTTTTGGTGATTTGCGACTCAAACTCCGAGTAGGTTAGCTGATGGGAACGTAGATTGCAACCCTGGAGGTATTGTTTCCGAACGTTGCCCACGCCTAGTCATGACTCTCGAAGCTGAGCTGGGAGTGTTTCTATCCTGAGCGACCCGCACACTTTTGGACCGCTGTCATGCCCTCCATCCATTTGCAAGACTTGGCTCCGTGGCGAAATTGAGCCAAGGCGGACCTTGGGCACTGAAATTGGCGCTAGACAAGTGAGAATGGTGTAGAAGCAATCCGTCGAATCACCCGTCGCTGCTACAGAATCGCTCCGATTGGGCGCCTTGATAGCTCTTGGACCGAGCACGCATAGTCGTTGCATTTATTGCCCTATCTCGTCCCTCGATGATACCCTGGTCCGCAGCAACAAGAAAGTTTGCATTCCTTGGATGGCGTTGCAAAGATGCATTAGTGACTCTTGGCCACAGTGTGCGTTGTATTGCCTCTGTAGGTAACACAAGGATTGAACAAGGCCGGCGCAGATGTCCCAGCTTTGGGGTTGCGATGTCGTTTCCGCGGCTTGTGCGGTACGCATTGGATCACGCAAGACGGACGGTATCGCAGCGGAGCACGACACCCGGCCATTCCTTGAGCCTCGATCAATGATGCAGCTGGGCACGCACTCCCGCCGGAAAGAGGGTAGTCGAAGCTACGGGAAGAGATCTGTGCCCCTCAGTGGTATCCAATCGCAGCCAGCGCTCTCCGTCCGCCTTCCTGCGTGTTTGATGCCTTTGCGTGCGAGAATGCTCGTTGCTTTGCCTGCGCAGGTCGATCGGAAGGGTGGTCGCTCCGCCATCGCTGCGAACTTGTTGAGGGCCGCACGTTGCCCTCGTGCGCTCACTTGCGATCCGTCACAAGCATCGGAGGATGCTGAGTTGAGAGATTGCGGCTGCTCATTGGAAACCCTTGCTGTGCAGCGGTGGATGAGATGAGTGCACTGTAGAGAAACTTGGATGACATCGTTCGTAAGCTACCGGGATCTCATGCACGTAGAAAATTGCCTTGCAGCAACGACGCGCACCATGCACTTGGTGAAAGAGTCCGAGCGTAGGGCGCACGGCTCGCAGCTTCCTCATGCAGGCGCGCATGGTTATCTTCCACGCCCACAGCCACGCCTCATCCGCCGCAGCTTGCTAGCGTCTTCAAGGTGCTGGATCCGCCATGTAAGTTGGTGCGTAGTGCGTAGTCAAAGTGGGCTTGGCTAGCATAGATGAAAGCTGATCGCTTCTTCTAGGCTGGCCGCTGCAGCAGAAGCATGCCAGGGAGGCCAACAACGAGAGCGAGAGCACAGCCAGTCTGAGTCGAGACATGGATGGCTGATCACGGCTACGAGCAACTTTCGCCATGAAGCACGAGCTTCGCAGATTCGTTGAAGCGACAACTGAAGGGCCCACGGGCAGAGGACGAGAGGGCCAACACGTCACCACCAACATCAGGAGCCCTTCGCGCTGTTGATCGATGGGATCGCGCGAAATCGCCGCACAGAGTCCTTGTTGGCCCGAGCGTGTTGGAGTCCTGACAAGTGTTCCAGTTTTGGAAACACCCTTGTCTGCTGCGCCCTACGACTGGATAAGTCCTTGCACTTGACTCGAGAAGCTCTAGTCGTTCTCAACCGTATGCATGCACAACGAAATGTCACAGCGGTATCGTACTGGTCCCGAACGTGCACTCGCACTTCCTAGTCCCGTTCGACGTGCACGACAAATGTCGACCGCTGCACACCGTAGAAGCGACTGCTGTTCCACCATGGCAACCCTAGACCACGGCCTGGCGGACGTCCAAACTGACTCACGACTAAACCAAGAAGCACGCCTCTCGATACGGACGCGGGATTATGTCCCCTCAATCTGATCCTTAGTCGCAGTCACGACTTCTTGGCTGACACTAGAGTGGGTTTGGCCGCGACTTCTTGCACATTGACCGGTATGTGGCAGCTGGAACAAAGCGCGCTTGATCGAGGCCGTAGGCAAGCCCTGCCAGGTTAGGGTCCCCTTCGCGCGGGTTGCAATCGTCAAACACAATCACGAATTTTGATTGCTACCGTGAATACCGCGGTACACTGTCGCCGAGTCGCCGCGGACCGACGGCTGTTATGGCAACGGGACACAAGTCAATCTGCGGTCCGTCAATCGGAGGGTACACTCAAGACTTCCATTGCCCTCGGCTGTGCTGAACGGGCCTATGTCGACTTGCGCTGGGTGGGTCTGCACTGCTGTCTGCAAGGTTGCCAATTAGCAAGGCTTGGCCTGCGTTGTTCCAGCATAAAGTCAAGAGTGCTCGCGGTGACTCACAACAATTAGCGTCGTTGTAGACTGACGTAGTCACTGGCAGCTGTGATACGTGATCCAAACTCCGAAGATACAGATGTACGTCACCGCTCGATCCACTGCGGTCGCGTTGCCCGACCAGTAGGGGTGCGGCCAACACTTGCATGAAGCTGATTAGGCTGAGCTTTTCCTCGGGCTGACAGATGTGCATTCGTGATCCTTCAATGACAGCGGCAGTCGCTCAACAGGAGTGCCATCGACTCCGAGATAAGAGACAAAAGGAGATGCGTCGTGGTCGGCGCGATGAATGCGATCCGTGCGGGCTGACGCTGTGTTGGCAGCAGTTGAAAGCTGCAAACTGCGGGCCAAGACGCCACCATCTCATTTGGAAACGCGCTAATTTTTCTCATGCATGGGCAAGGCGTGCAGATATGTTTGACCTTCGTCAGCGGCGGAACCGAAAGACGCCGCGACGTGACGCCGCGGTGCTGGTGACGTTGATGCAGATTCGGTTTGCCCGCACACGTGCAGAGAACGAGAAGCTGAAAGGAGCTAGAGGCAAAACCATCAGCATCGCGCTTTCATGATCCGCGGCGACCCATGGTGAGTGTAACAGCGGCGGGAGATGCGGGCTTTTCGGGGGCATGCCCGCCGGTCATGCAGGATCCGCTGCAGCTCGTGGATACGCAGGTTTGCAAAGCTCCAAACTTTCGTGCACGTAGATCAGACGTCATGAAAGCGAAGGCAAGATAGCAGCTGCTTCCTGTCGAACAGGAACCTTCGTCCCCTGAATTTTTTCCCTGAATAACCCTCTTGGATTCAAATTTCGTCCCTGATTGATCCGATGATCGGTCATCGGTCATCGGTCCAATCACTGATTTAGAAAAGTGGCCAGTCAGTATGAAGTCACGAATGACTGCTCCGATCCTGGCTGTGCATACTGCAGACAGGCTAGGACGACCGGTGCGAGCGCTGCGAGCATCCAAGGACAGGCAATTTGGAGGGATTGCTGCAGCCTTGCTTGCCAAGAACAAGGCTGCGTTGGGTCGAACCTTGTCTATCGGAGGCAATTTGGTTGTGCAAGATGCGCGTTCCGCTCGCAAGCCATTCAGCTTATAGCACGCCTTGAAGTCTTTCGACCTCATAATTTGCAGGAGCATTTGCGTTTAGGCGCAATCTTGACAGCTAAATATTGGCGCCTATACCGTAAAGGCGGGCTTGGCGTGCCGCGTATGAGCTGCTTGTGTCTTTCAAAGGCAATGTTCGGACATTGGGACAAAGCGTGTGAATGATGGATAACATGAACGTGAGGCTGCTTCTCCTCTCACACTCACCATCGAAGATTCTGCGTTCAACCAGCACCTTCAGAGCATCCATTATAGCGCAGAGCAAAGGGAGACATTCGACGCGACGACGCCTCGTAGCAGTCAAAGTGCTATACCAAAGCTTGCAGAGGTACGGAAAAGCGTCTCTCATACCAGTTGCTCGACCAGCGTGTCTCTCTTTTGCCCCGAGACATCACCAGCAGCATCGATCGCTTTAGGTACTCACAACTGCAACGAATAAGCGATCAAAGCAAGATGTCACGACCAGAGCGAGATCTAGAGGCGGCAGTGGTCGCTGTCTCTGCGCAGTCAGACCCGCGAGACTCTGATGAGACCCAAGACCTTGCCGACGCTGCCGCAACCAAAGTCAGCACCACACTTGATCCTCGTTCACCGGCTCTGTCACGCACATCTACGACAGTAGGGGACGCAGCACCCACGAGCGATGGCGAGGTCAAAAGTGAGGAGAAAGCGGCCGAAATCTTGCAGTCGCCAAGTGCAGAAAAGACTCGTCCCGATGTCGAAAAGCTAGAAGCGACGGCATCGCAAGAAGATGGCTCTGAGCCAGCAAAGGACGTCATATTGGTGACGTGGGACTCGCCTGAATCACTCGAAAATCCGCGCAACTGGTCAAGAGCTCGCAAATGGTCGGTGGTCAATCTCATCTCCATATACGCCCTCTTGGCCGCTGCCGGCTCTAGCGTGTGCGCGCCAGCCCTGCCGGAAATGGCGGAGGAATTTGGTGTCACCAGCGAGATACAGCGCAATGTAAGCACTGCAGTGGTCCGAGAGGGGAACTCGGTAAACAGAATATCTCGACTAACGACATTGACCCAACTCACCACAGCTTATGCTGTCAATCTTCGTCCTAGCTTTCGCTCTTGGTCCGCTGGTCCTCGCACCTATGTGAGCAAAATCGGCTTTTAGTGAATCTCGAAGCTGACCGTCCTGCTGACCATTATACCTTGTCTAGTTCCGAGGTCTATGGCCGTACGCTGGTGCTTCAGATTACCACGGTGAGGGCCGCAAATTGTTCTGGAGTTCCCTGGCCATCATTCTTACTTCTGTCACGTCAACCTTCTCAGGTCTTCTTTGTCATCTTTATGATTGCCTGCTGCGTAGCGCAAAACTACGCACAGATAGTCGCGTTTCGCTTTCTGGCAGGGCTCGGTGGATCTGCTTCCCTGGTTGTCGGTGGTGGATCCATCTCTGACATGTTTATCAACGAGCAACGTGGCTCAGCCATGTCATTGTACTCCATGGGCCCATTACTCGGACCGTGTGTTGGGCCTATCATTGGTGGCTTCATCGTGCAAGAGCTTCAAGAGTGGCGCTGGACATTTGGTGTTGTGGCCATCGGTACAGCAGCCTTCTCCGTCATTGGCTTTCTCCTTCTTCGGGAATCTTATCCACCTCGGATTCTTGCCCTCAAAGCTGCACGTCTGCGAAAGCAAACTGGCGATCATCGTTACACCACGCAGTGGATTCAGCAGGACCTTGCTGCCGGTGGATGGGCCGCTCGTTTCAGTCGACACCTAGAGCGCCCGGTAGTCATGCTTACAACGCAACCTTTGGTGATCGTGTTTTCTCTCTACTCCGCTCTACTCTATGGTACGCTGTACATCCTCATTACCACCTTTGACGGCCTCTTTGTCAACGAGTACGGTATGAAGCCTGGAATTGCGTCGCTCAACTACATTGCCCTATCAGTCGGCTGTCTGATCGGTAGCTTGACCTGTGGTCGGATGACGGACCACGTGTACAAGAAATTGCAAGCACGGCATGGTGGCGTCGGCATACCGGAATACAAGCTGCCAATCATGATGGTGCAGTCATTCCTCATCCCCATCGGCATGCTCATCTACGCTTGGACTGCCGGACGCACTCACTGGATTGGACCAGACGTTGGCGCTGCTGTCTTTACTTTTGGTAAGTCCGACACGCGCACGCATCGGCGGCACGGTGCTGGGATTGCCCAGAACCCACGGACGCGGGCGAGGCTGCTCTCTTGCCGGCCGTGACATCCGGAGAGGTTGCTCCGAGTCGCTGCGGTGCAATGCTGACGAGACACATGGTCTTCTCCAATTGTGCAACAGGCATGATGACGAGCATTACCGTTAGAGCGTACCTGGTGGACTGCTATCAACTTTATGCCTCAAGCGTGCTCTCGGCCAACAATCTCGCCCGCAACATTGCAGCTTTTGCCTTTCCACTCGCTGCGCCTGCTCTATTCGGCGACCTGGGTTACGGTGTTGGGGGCACCATCATTGCAGTTCTTGCTGCCGTCCTCGGAATTCCTTCGCCCTTCTTGTTTTGGAAGTATGGACCTCGGCTCAGAGCGGCTTCGAACTACGCTCGCGACGCGGTCTAATTTGCTTTGATGACCGCTTAGACATCTCGTGTTGCCCGGGATAAAAGTGTCGTCGCGTTGTGCACAACAACCACAGCAACGTCATGGTGGCAGGCCTATGATAGAATCTGACCGAGAGCCCGCGCAGAGAGGCGATGCACTCAGTAGCTGCTGAGAGTGCTCGCGCACCCCGAACCTGCGCGCACACTCTTCAGTGTTGACCGCAACTTGCTTGCGTGTTTTGCCTTGTAATATAGTTTCCCAGTAACATCACATCTACTGATCGCAATATAGAGCCCACATGTCCTTTTTTCTGCTGCTCCATGTGCACTCGGTGAGCTGCGTCATTGTTGTACAGGCTCCAAAGTGGTGTTCAAAGGAGCGGTGCGCACCACTGCTACCTATTCAGATGCTGACTTCCGAAGCATGAACCAGAAGTGAGCATCGACATGCCGTGCTCCTATCGTGTTTGCGCGGCCGGACCTTTGGCGCCCATGGCGTTGTTAACGTCCGCGTCCGCCGCCGCCCTGATTCTCAGGTGTCCTTCAGCTGATCTCTACCCCGATTCGACCGGCGTCCTGAGGACTGCATGCCTCTTCGCGGCCGACAATGGTGTCCAGTCAAGCGGTTCCAACAGCCGTGCGCGATTCCAAGCAGCCGAAGTGGACCGAGGGCATCTCAGAGCTTGTCTCAGCTTACATAGCTGGCGAGCACGGCACCACGGCTGCCGGGTAATGGCGGCTGCGTTGGCGGGGGACAGCGGGTCATCCCCTGACTGCGCATTACGAAACAGGCCCTGTCTATTCCTCGCTTCAGGTTGAGGCCGTTGAAGGCGATGTTGAGGTCAACAAGTGTGTAATGGCTTCCCACAATCGAGGACAGCTTTGAGCTTTCATCCACCATGAGCAGCTAGGCGCAGGTTCGCGCAGACAGGTGCCGCGTCTTCCCAAAGATGTTTCGCAGGCCTGCTGTGAGGTAGGCGCCTGCGGACACGAATCGCAAAGACGAAAACATTTGTTAATTGTCTCCTCGGTCACCCAACGTTGACGGTGTTGATGCGCCGAGTCCAAATTGAAGAAAGTTTCCGAAGAATCAAAATTTGTGCAGGTGACCCTGAAGCCCGTGGTCCATCAGACGCCAAGTCGGCGTGCGAGTGACCTACAGCTTGGTGAGGTGAGCATGTCATCCTGACATCCGCAGAGGCGACAGGATCTACAAGCGCGGGTCCATCCCGAAGACTGGCTTTCAGGAACACGCATAAAAGGGACCCCTATCTGCTCTTCGAGGGAGGTCTTTCCATTCCTCATCTGGTGGTCGTCTCGTGTCGTGTTCGAAATTGGTTGTGGCTCCTCTCTTGATCTTCTACGTTACCTGCGTTCCTCTCTGCGTAGCTTCACTACTCACTTCAAACCTAGACGACTCTCACTACTCCAATTCTCCGACAACATGAGGGCTAGCAGAGTGCTAGCAACCACCTCGCTGGCCGGCCTCGTTCTGTTGTGCGCAACCACTCCAATCCACGCGGTCCCACTGACCCTTTCCACAGGTGAGTATCAAGACTCCCGCTTGACGACGGTCGATGTTGACCGAAGCGGTCCGGGCTGGCCTTTCCATTGTCCGCCAGATGCCAACGAGTTGGTAAAGCGAAACTTTGCTCTCGAACTCGTCGAGCTCCTTTTGACCCCTTTCAAGAAACCCCTCGTGAGTAGTCGATCGACATCGGATCAGTGACGTGAGGCCCAGCTTATGAATTGCCATGTCATTTCTCGTCTGGCACAACAGAAAAAACTCGCTCAGAAGGTCGTTGGCAAAGTCTTGCCTGGCCTTCATCTCAAGCGGCGTTCTCCTTCAACGCATGAGGTCAACATCCGAGTCGTCGTGATCGATGACTTGGATTCGCGTGAGCCCTTTCTTGGCAGTCTTGTCAAGCTGATCGAGCCTGCGGCTGATCTGGGCGTAGGAGTCGTCAAAGTGGGTCTTGACTCGCGATGCATCACCGCAAAGTGATTCCCAGTGGCTGACTCTTGAAGGTGCTTGCCCTGAAAGAACCTCTTCGACCCGCCCAAAGGGGTACTGCTGAGGAGCGATCCAGCTGATGCGTTCATGCTTAAGCGACAGAAATCGGCAGACCCGAACAGCAACACGCTGCAGATAACACCCATGGGCGATTCGGGTGCAAACAGCGCGAAGAGGTCCAAGGGTGACGGCACTGGCGATCAAAAATGGGGCCTGTTAGGTTTCGGCGGGTACGGCGAGACACTCACAGGTACACCGACGAGCCTCCAGCAAAAGAGCAATCCGCCCACAGGCGCTCAGCGTAAGTGCAGCCAGTGCATGGGACTGCTACTGACTTTCACGGCTAAGTGATCACATTGCCCTTTCTAAGATCGACGGGACCTCAGCGAAGTGCAGCTTGATGACCATCTGTCAGAGATGGAACGCCGAGCACAGAAGAAGAACGGTGAGTGCGGTATCGAAGTGATCGCCACGTCGTCTCGGTCACGTCGAGAGACTCATCAGGCCGCAACTCTCGATGAGCAGACGACAAACCGCGGACGCCGTTTATGGCGAATTTTGGACTCGTCGGCGGAGGCAAAAGCGGGGGCGGCCACTGGGAGAATCACAGCAAGCATAGCAGTCAGTGCTTCTCTTTCATCTTCAGCCCTCACGTTTTCGCTGATTGCTTTCGGTGATGTTGCACAGAGCGCGAAGTCACTACTGCGCCTCTCGACCCAAATGCGAAAGGCAAAATTAGCCGAGACTGGGCGGTCGGCCTGGTTGGCGGTGGCGGCCGGAATGAAATTGGCCGGAAAGCTGTGAACAGTGAGTGATACCTCCTCAGAAGCGGGAGAGGATGGCAGCTGAACCTAGGTGCTGATCCATGGCAGAGCGTGACGTTCCCGTGGAGCGTATGAGAATGAGGAAGAATGGAGTCCAAGCCGACTGGCCCGTGAACGTCGGTCAAGGTGGCTACGAAATAGGAAGCAAACAGAAGCCAGGCGAACGTGGAGGTCATGGAAGCAAAAGGACCATTTTTAGTGAGCAAAGCAGCCGCTTGAGCGAGAGACGGAGAGAGATCGATGCAGAGCAGCCAACGGTCGAACTTACGAATGTTTATCCCTCGGCAGAGCGCGAGACCTTGCTTTCCCGATGCGATGCCCGCAAAAGGTCCGAAGGTTCCGGTGCCAAGCTTGACTCACGATGCGGTGGTGGTCTCCTTGCCCCTCTGTTCGACTTGCTCGGAGGCGCCTTGACAGGCGGGACGGAGGATGGCGGTGACGGAGGTGGGGGGGGCGGCGACACAGGGGATGCGGGGCAGGTCGGAGGTGGTGGTGGAGAGGGTGGGGAGGAACCAGCCAGCACAGAGACCGGTGGCGGCGGCGGCGGCGGCGAAGGTGGTGGTGGGGAGGGAGGAGAGGGTGGTGCGGGCACCGAGACTGGCGGCGGAGAAGCAGGAGCTGAACCGCAAAGTACCGATGGAGGTGCAGGAGAGGCTGATGGTGAAGAAGCTGGCGGAGGCGGTGGAGGCGGTGGTGGAGAGGCAGGTGCTGAACCCCAAAGTACCGATGGAGGTGCAGGAGGGGCTGGCGGTGAAGAAGCTGGTGGAGGCGGTGGAGGCGGTGGTGGAGAGGCAGGAGCTGAACCCCAAAGCACTGACGGGGGTGCGGGAGGGGCTGGCGGTGAAGAAGCTGGTGGAGGCGGTGGAGGCGGTGAAGGCGGTGGTGGAGAGGGAGGTGCAGGCACAGGCACAGAGACCGGTGGAGGTGGAGAAGGTGGTGAGTCTTATCAGGGTCTTCAAGGGCTGGATCAAGGTCGCAGAGCACTCACAACTTCTGAGCGGATTTTGTAGGTGCGCCGCAAAGGAGAGCTCTCAAGCTCGACTCACCTCAAGGCCAGACTCCTATCGTTTCGCGCCAGAGTGAGTGGGAAGCGTCTGCACATGGTCCACGAGTAGTAATAATTTGCTGACTCGGGTGCGCATACATATGTTACATTACAGACTCCCCTCTCGCTTCTGTCAGCGCAAGCGATGGCTTCGTGGCCAGGTCGGTCCACTCTGATTGGGCTTTGTGGGGCTCTTCTTTCGAGATCGGCCAAAAGCGTACCATGAAATGTAAGTCGCTCTGTGGTTCGAGGAGATCTTCTAGCTTATCGCTGATCCATCCATTCGTGTGAAGCACAGAGAAACGTGCAGACTCTATCGGTAGTCACGAACCAGGAGCAATTTGGCATCGTGATGGGCGGAGACTCTGAGGTCTAGGAAAGCATGAGACGAAGCTTTCGCAGCACCACACTTCCGCAGTCAGTGACCCGAGATTCCCTACAGACAGTTGGATAGACATGCATCGTCTCTAGATGCCACACAACACATTCCCCTCATACAAACAACAGTTCCGATTACAGAAGCCGACCTCCATTGGATGCATGCCTTTGCAACACGTAAGCCCCTCCGCAGCCCTCCAATTGACCGGCGGGCGCTCTCCACGCTCCTTTGCTTTTGTATGGTCGCCCCGCGTTCTCTTTCAGACCAGTCCAGATCAGTGAATTCGATCGAAGTGCTCCAGTAGCGAACTATATGCGGATTAGCTGATTTGCGATTACACTTGAGCTTCGTTGCAACCAAGTTGGCTGGGTGCTGATGGTGGAAGTAGGAGTGAGCGCACATCGCTGTAGTCACGAGTGATGCCTCAAGCCACGCAATCGTGAAGGTCCACCACCAGCCCGCCGCCTGTCGCAGCACGCGCAGCTATAACTCACAATCACGAATCAAGAATGATCACGAATCGCTCTCCGCGCACGTTGGAGACGCGCGCGCGTAAGCATACAAACGTCTGCGGGTGCTGCGATGCCGCGAAGGTGCACGGTCCAGGCAGGCGACCATCTCATGCTATTCCCTGGCTTTCCGAGCTACGCCGCCTCACCTTCATCTCTTGTGCTCACTGCTGGGTCCCGCAGTCGGTCATTCCTTCATCAGAGTAGGCTCACACTCAGCAACACTGGGACGCGCTGTAGCACATCCCTCACTGCCCTTCAAAGGCTGCAATTGAGCGTGGGGGTGATGCACCCCAGTCGTGTAAGCTTCTCGCTGCTTCCCTCTACTGCCATCTGCACCGCCTCATCAGCATCTCGCATCTGGGCGCAAAGGATCACTGCAGCGGCACCTGTTAGATCTGCTCCCTCACGTCGGAACCAGCTTCATCTCAAGTTCCGCACCGCATCATTGCATACAAGTACTCGCGTCAAGGTGCATATTCCTCCAAATACGCATCGGCCCGCCTCTGCTGTGCTTGGAAGCCCCAGCGCAATGCCAGCTCTCAAGTCCATCACTCCCTTTCCGGTCGAGGGACTGCTCCCCAAGGAGACGACTCAAGCCAAGTCTTTCCTGGAGAAGTTTCCCAAATATGATGGGCGCGGCGTGAGGGTGGCGATCCTCGACACGGGTGTGGATCCAGCAGCCAAAGGTCTCGAAGGCAAGGTTGTGGATGTCATCGATTGCAGTGAGTAGTCGGAGCCAGTAAGTGAGAAGCGATAGCAAATAGTCAGCCCTGATCACTGCCTCATCTCTTGATACTGCAGCTGGCTCTGGTGACACTTCCCTCGAAGCTGTCAAGCCCTCGCCAGATGCGCCGTCCGACAAGATTGGTCTCAAATCGCCTACCACTGGGCGCGCGCTGCTAGTCAGCTCATCCCTCACGAATCCATCTGGCAAGTGGTTTGTCGGCACCAAGCCGGCATACGAATTCTGGCCAAAAGATCTCATCGCGAGGCGCAAGTCTGAGCGTCGCAAGGAGTGGGATGTCGAGCAGGAGAAGCTGCGCGCGTGTGTCCAGTTCGAATTGAACCGGCTCTCCAACGGCCCTGCCCAGGGTGTACCCACCGGCTCTGAAAATGCTGAGCAGACGCAGACTGAAGACAAGGATACCGAAGCGAAGAGAGTTGACTTGGAAGCGCAGCAGCGAGCTTCCGCCAAAGTTGAGCTGACTGCGCAGCTCGAGGTGCTCAAGGATCTCGCCACAACCTACTCGGATCCAGGACCCATCATCGAAGTCGTGGCGTGGCATGATGGCAAAAATTGGCGCGCTGTCGTCGAAGGTGCGGAGGGCTCCGCTTGGGACCCCTCACAAGGTCTCCATCCCGACCGTCTCAAGAAACTTGAAGACAGTACGCTGGACTTCTCGGCCAGACCAGCACTGACCGATTTCCACAAGGAGAGGCAGCATGACACATTTGGCCAGATCGACCTGCTCACGTACAGCGTGAATTTCCTGTTCGAATCCCCGCCGCCCGAAAATGAGCAGGTCAAAGGAGATGCCCATGCGCCATCAGGCATCAGTCTCTGCGTGGTCAGTGGGTCGCATGGAACACACGTCGCCGGAATTGTCGGAGCCAAGCGGGATGATGATCCTGAGCAGAACGGAGGAGCTCCAGGCTGTGAGCTAGTCAGCTTGATGATCGGTGACGCTCGCTTGGGCTCGATGGAGACGCAGAAGGCCTTAGTACGGGCAGCCAGAGCTATTATCGACACCGGCTGCGCCGTGGCCAACATGTCCTTCGGCGAATCCGGCGTTTGGGGCGTAGACAACAAAGGCCTCTTCGCAGAGCAGCTGCGGGACATTGTCATCAGAGAGCATGATTGTCTGTTTGTTTCGAGCGCTGGCAACTCTGGCCCTGCGCTCAGTACACTTGGCCAGCCGGCCGGAACGACTTCGGGTGTTATCACTGTCGGCGCGTATGTCGACGCTGGCTCGATGCTAAAGGCGGAGTACGCCCTTTTGGAAGATGGGATCAAAAGCAGCACCACAACCTGGTGCTCCAGAGGCCCTGTTGCCGACGGTGACTTAGGCGTGGACACGTACGCGCCGGGTGCGGCAATCACCTGCATTCCGAGATACTGTCTTCAGAGCACCATGCTGGCCAATGGTGAGCGCCGCCTATGAGTTCATTTTTCTAGCTCGCACTCTAACCTCCCTTTGATGTCCACGCCAGGCACTTCAATGGCTTCTCCAAGCGCAGCGGGCGCCTTGTGTAAGCATTCATGAGAGCCATGGGAGCAAATTTCAGTCAGCTGCTAATTCTTGCTCCACACTTCGTAGCCCTTATCGTCTCCGGCTTGCTAGCAGAAGGCACCAAATTCTCTGCCGCTCGCATCACCAAAGCCTTGCGCGCAAGCAACAAGGATGTACGCGATGACCTGGGTGTAGGCTTCATCCAAGTCGAAAAGCTCTGGTCGCATCTGCAAGATCTCAAAGACGACCCTGTTGCAGATGCAGAGTGGCGTGTGGCAGTGACTCCCGCTGGCAAGCCACCTGGACGTGCTGGAACTGATTTGCGGGGCATCTATCTGCGAGATGAGGCTCAGACGCAAGGCTTGAGTCAGTTTACTCTGACTGCAACGCCCACATTTGGACCTCGCGAGACCCAGCGCTCCTACGAGCTGCAAGTGCCGGCTGCGATCGTCAGTACGGCACCATGGGTCACCACTACTGAGCACGTGTGGATCGGAAGCAAGGGCCGAGGTTTCGAAGTGAGGGTGGACTGCTCCGACCTCGAGGCTGGCAAGCTCCACACTGCGCGCGTAGAAGGTTGGGACACCAAAACCGGGCGACTCCTCTTTGACGCTCCGGTCACCGTCACCAAGCCGCTGCCTCCCAACCCTACTGTGGTGCTCGAGAAAGTCAAATTGGATCACGGAAAGGTCGATCGGCGCTTCGTCTCTGTTCCTGCTGGAGCTACGTGGGCCGAGCTGAGCTTTCGGTCTGCCAAACATCATGTATCGGGCACAAGCGTACGCTTCTGGTACCATGGTGTGCAGGTGCTTCCACATGCTCGCTTGCCCGATGCTGAACAAGCCTACGTGCTGGCGCTCAACGAAGGCGAGCCAGTAACAAAAAAGTTTCCGATTGTCGGTGGACACACGATGGAGATGTGCTTGGCTCAATTCTGGTCTTCTGCTGCCGGCTTCGATTTGGACATCAAGATTGAGTTCCACGGCATCAACTTTGGCGCTGCAAAGACGCCTGGTCGGGACGAGACGACCTTGGTTGGAGGACAAGGCATCGCTAGGTTGTCGTGCACCAGCAATGTGCGTATCGAGACTTTCAAGCCCAGCCTCTCATTCAACAAGGTCCGGACCTTTGTGCGACCCACGGCCTTTGAGCTGCGACCCCTGCTGGCGGCCCCCCGCGATACTCTGCCAGCGGGAGGGCAGATCAATGAGCTCGTTCTCACCTACCCGCTCGAGATCAAGGAAGACAAGGCGAAAGTCAGCTACGCTGTCCCTTTGTTCAACCACCTCTACGACTCGGCTGTGCCGATGCTCTCGCAGCTTTTTGACGGCAACAAGAAGCGAGTCGAATTTAACGATGTCTACAGCGGATCAAAGACGGTGGAGCTCCCGAAGGGAAACTACACACTCCAGGTGGAGCTCTTAAATCCTGATGTCAAGGTGCTGGAGAAGCTCAAGAATGCTACTCTGCGCGTTGACACCAACTTGGGCAAGGATGTTTCTTTGGACTTGTACGAGGATCATGTCGATCTTTTCGGCTCAGCCAAGCCCGCCACTTTCAACAACATCAAATTGCTCCGAGGCGAGAGGAAATTGCTCGTCATCGACACAAATTTGGAGGGCGATGCTGTGCCGAAGGGTGCTGAGCCTGGCGATATCCTGATTGGTCATGTCACTGCGAACGGTGGATCTGAGGGTCGCTCTGGCGAGCTTAGACTGGTTGTACCACCCACTGCCAAAAAGCAGCAGCCTGACGAAGGTGTCAAGCTAAGCACGGAGAAGAAGCTCCCAGAGCTGTTGGCTGGCTTGCTAGAGAAGACTCCCGAGGCCGAAAAAGAGGCTTTTGCGGATCGTTTGCTGAAGGACTATCCTGACAATCTCGCTGTCCTCGTTGCGCGCCTCAAAGCCATTAGCAAACCAGACGAGAAAGAGAATGCTCCCAAGCTTCTCGAAGCGGCGAAGCTCATCCTAGACAACATTGACGAGCATGAAGTCTTGCTTCACATCGGCTCGAAGAAGATTCCGGTCGCTGAGCGCACCAAGGAGGAGAAGGAGCAGATCAAAGAGCTTGACGAGAAGAAGGACGCATACGTCTTGGCTCTGAATCGGTACGTGTGCTTCGCTCGTGATTAGGCACAATCGGCACGGCAACCGAGCTGACCTTCTTTGACCATCCTACGCAGCCAAACTCGCGCATTGCTAGCCCAATCGGCAGATCGTCCTTCTGCCGAATTTGAGTCCGCATTCGCACAGTACAGACGGGTAGCCGATGAAAAGGACTCTGCCTTTGCTGTTGTGGCCACTTCGTGGCATGCAGGGCACAAGCGTTACGGCAAAGCGTTGCAGCTTCTCCGAAAGGCTATCAAGGACTTTGGCGCAGGCACATCGAGCAATTTGGAAGAGCTCAACAAAGCTAGAGAGCTTGAAAGGTGAGAGCCATCAGGAGCAAGCGAGCAACCCCCTCGATTCGGTGCGCAGTGGTGCTTACCGAGCCGCTCACTTCTGGCACTCTTCACAGGACCTATCTACAAGCGCTCGATTGGACGCTCTGGTCTGCCAACGCCGACCGGTTCAAGGCACTTCAGAATCCCAAAATTTACAGCGGCTTTTGAGACGTGCAACGCGAGCTTGTACCTCTGTTACATGCTATCACATTCACATTGTCACCTACCCAGCAAACGGGCCTTGGTGTCATTCATGTGACGGTGTTTACATGCGTCTGCGCGTCGAATATCCAGAACGACATCACCTGACGGGACCAGACGTTGTGCTTGAAAGCCGTCCTTCAAAGCTGCGGCAGAGACCTGCTGAAGTCGGCGTGTACGACTGCTCTGGCGCCTGACAACGATTCACTTGCTGCGGGCTTCATACTGGTCCAAGGCGAGCTATATTCAGGGTGTCTGCCTCTACGGGCTCGCTCTGCTCGATTTTATGACTACTCACTGCACTTGGCCAAGCAGGGCTTTGGCTGAGAGACGGCAACGCTCACGACTCTTTGAGCGATCGCCTTCTCGTCCGTTGAGAAGAACATGGAGCTTGCGCTCATCCCCATAGCCGGTTCTCGCAATGCCGCATCTCTCGATGGCGCGAATCTCACCTGTGCACCTAGCAGACGACGACTGCCTCTGCTCCGTCCCTCGTCGAAGGCGAGAGAATGTACGGATTGTGCACTTCTTCCGAATCTGCGGGCTTGTCGAGCTGGCGCATGCACGGCATGAAAGAGATCATCGGGCGTAGCAAACGCATGCTAGCTCGCCGCCCTCTTCGGTGGCTTCATCCACCCTCAGACCTGGCATTCTGACCTTCGTGAAACCTTGAGCGTTGACGCTGTCCACCACTTGCCTGATCTCAACGAGCCAAGTGGCCCTTCGCAAGGAGATCCTGCAGCTTGACGAAGCCTTGCCAGCCCTCCGCTGTTGCGCCGGTCCCATGCACATCGCCTCGATGCCTCACCTCAATTTCACCCGCCTTGGCAAAGCGCTTGCCAAAGATGAATGTCCAAGGGTAGCCCATCAGATCAGCTTCTGCAAGCCTGGCGCCCATTCGCGCCCTCGTTGCCGGTCGATCATCGATTGCAACGTCTCCGCCAATGAGCTCGCCTACGCCGGAAAGCAAAGGAGGATGCGATGTCTCGTCTGCTTTTTCAAGACCGCTTTCATGCTCATCTCTGCCACGCTCTCTCGAAAGAAGGTCGACCAAAGCTGAGACGCCGTTCCACGCCGACTGGGATGAAGGGTCAACCAAGATGATACCGACCGAGTAAGGGGCAAGATGTCCTGGCCACGCGAAAATCTCTCTTCCGCCTCGTCGCCCGTGGGTAAGAGCTCTTGCAGCAAGGATGCCTAGCAGACGAGTAATGCCGATACCGTAGCAGCCCATCTGAAAAGGTTGCAAGGTGCCAGAGCCAGCGTCGCCAGATGGCACGAATCCGACCTCTAGAGCGTCCGAATACTTGGTGCCAAGTAGGAAAGCATGGCCAATCTCTACTGCGCGAGAGGCTCTGAGACTTCCTCTACGGCAAGAAGAGCAGGTATCTCCCTCCTCCGCTTGGAGCAAATCGGCATGAGTAATCGAAAGTGTTGATGCGAATGCCGGGGCTGCTGCGTGAGGTCCCGTGCTCTCCGTGGGGAAGAGTTGAGTCAGCCGCTCGAGAGAGATATCGAATGCGCCTGCTCCAGGAGGTGCTGCGAAAGGACCCAGACTCAGCCGGATAGCGTCTACAAACTCTTCGGGCTCAAGTGCACCGCACGAGCGGTCCACCCATACGGCAAGCTTGTCGTGATCGAGCAGAGGACCTTGAGGCTTTGTCTCCCAATTCCAGCTTGATGCCACCTGCTCAAGTGTGATCGCATTCGGTGCAAGGTGCCGGTGCAATTTAGAGGAATTCACCGTGTGTGACTTTGGCAGCACCACAGCAGCCAGCGTGTATGCGGACCCGCCTGGACCTGTGGACTCTGGCGTCATTGCATCGGTGGTTAGTGAGCTGCGAGATCGCGATGAAGTTGAGTGCACATGATCGTTGTCGCGCAGCGAGAAGTAGACGACTTGTACGTCATCGGCGCTGGTGGGCGGTAAATTTCCTCGAGCGTACGCTGGAAGGGCGTCTGCTAGCTCGGAATTGGCGCTGTAAGCACAGGACGCATCGTTGCAGGTGAGTAGAGTATCCTCGCCAGCTGAATATGGAGCACAATTGTCAGAATTGGTGCTGCTTCGCTCCGGCTTAGACCGCATACTCACCTCGGTCTTCGACGTGATACTCGTGTGACTCTCTTCCTCCCATGCTGCCAGTGTCGGCGGCTACCTACACGTGGTAGGAGAGGGTGAGCGGCGCAAGCCATCTGAACTGATGCTGCACACAACTCACGCTCTTCCAGCTCCCCTTGCCGAGAAGTCTGTCAAAAGTCCTTGTGTACGCACGTCTCACCGTTTGATACGTGTGTGCCGCCGTCGATAAGTCCTTGTCGAAGGTGTACATATCCTTCATCAGGAATTCGCGCGTTCTGATCAGACCAAGGCGTGGACGAGGCTCATCTCTGTGTTTTCGAGCTACCGTACGTTTTCGAGGAAGGCTTGCGGTCAGCTTCTAGGAGCGTTGCTCACTGGCATTCTCCAAGGCAAATGGACCTGTGCCACTCCCAATGCTACTTACAAATTTGGTAGACCCGGACCGGCAAGTCACGTTCGCTCTTCACGCTGTCCCCGACTAAAGCAGTGACCTCCTCCTCAGCAGTTGGCGCAAGAAGCCACTGTCTCCCATGCCTATCCCTCAATTTGTACATGTCCGAACCCATACTTTCCCACCTACGCGATTTCTCCCAGTTTGTAGAGGGCAAAAGTGTCGGCAGCTGAATGCGCGAAGCTCCGACCCCTTCGCCAGTTGTTTCAGGCGCCGCAAGTCCGCGCTCCATCTCCTCTACGACGACCCTGCTGATCTTGTTCTGCACGCGTTGACCCGGTGTGAGGAGGCTGTAGATCCCAGAGGAGGATTGCCGAACGTAGCCGCCTCTTAGTAGCAGTGTCATAGCTGCGTCGAGGTCCGATGAGCCACCTAGTGCAGCATCTTGTGGGCTAGCCTCAATGGATTTCGGGGCTCTGATGTCCTTCTCTTTGGATTTGCTACCGCCCTTCGTGCCATTTGATCCAACGTTGTCCGCTTTGAGAGTGGGGACGAAGAGGCGAGAGAGGAAGGTGACTTTGGTGTTATTCTCGAGCCTTGCTCGTGCTGCTATCTGCGCAGAGGTCGTGGCAGTGGACAAATGTCGTTTTGAGGGCAGATTGAGAGCTCTGGCGCGCGAGAGGGCATGTGTAGCTGCAACACCAACCGGAAGCCTGCTAGAGGAGGCTGCGAAAGTTAGCTACGCGCTTCCCTCTCCCCACAGTGGTGCACGGCTCACGGGATGCCTGAGGTGGACGCTGAGACTGCGCAACAGTGCTGACAGCAACGCTTATGAGACACACTGTAGCAAATCCAATCCAACGACCTAGACCGCTGCCTTGAAGACCAGGCCGGACTGGTTGAGAGGATAGGCCGCCCCTGACCACCCCAAGGGGCTACGATGTTAGGATTGGATATGCGCATGCTGTATCGCGCTGATCAGCAGGATCCTCAGCTTGGTCGAATTGAGCGGGGTAGATTGAGCTGAAGCGAGTCGTGGAAGGTTGAAATGACGAGGTAAAGGTGTTGGTGCGTCGCGGTTGCTGCTTCTTCGCGCCACTCCACAGCAGCACCATGCACGGAGCAACAGCTGATCGAGGGACGCGACCTTGCATGTGTTTGTCTCGAACGCGTGTCTGCGACCAGGCACAGCCCAAGCGGGTTCGCGAGCGATACCTGTGCGCTCCGCGTGCACTCCTCATATTCAAAAAACAAAACACGAAGCACGCGGGGCTACTCAACACTTCCTTCAAAGGTGACTCGTGACTTGACATGAGAAGTCACGCTCAACACAATCGATGAAGCAAGAAATTTGGGATCCCATAGTCCAGGTCGCTGGTCTCTTCATGCTGGTCTGCTGCAAGGCACGCTGAGCGAGGCGACTGACCAAATATTTGGAGCAAAGGCTTCCAGCAACTTGAGCAGCATAGGTCATAATTGATCTTAGTGCGCAGCATCTGAGGTTCACAGATGCTTCGAAAGTGCTCCACCTTCCCTTTCCCTTCAGCATAGCATCATTGGATTTATTGCTATACCCAGTCTGGCGCTAGAATAAGCTCTTGAGAGCTGGGCACTGACGGCTGCGTCTGTCCTAGTGTTCAGGACAGAGGCTTTGCTCGATCCTCAAGCCTGGCAGATCAAAGAGCACCAGGGGGCCAAATTTGAAGGTGCAGCAGAGCAGTGCCACCCAGAAGGCTTGGCAACTTCCAAAAGGCTTTGGCTTTTTCTTCACACATGACTCCAGCTCTCCTCCCTTATGCTCAGCATGCAGCGCATCAACTTTGTGTGCTATTGCTTTCTTCATGGAGGAGTAGAGAGTAGAGACAATCTCCATGGCGCGCAAGGGGTGTTGGCAGCAGCAGCCAGCAAGTCTGGCATGTCCCTCAGTGGTTTGAAGCAGAACATTTAGACTTTCATTGAGCTCTGCCTGTTGAATCCTGTCCTTTCCATGGTCTGCGCAGCTGCTGCTAAGCTCCTCAAGGTGGTCATGATGTCCATCAAGAATTCCTTGAATTGTGCGCTCATTCATCTCTGCAAGCAGAAGGGATGTGGCCTCAAATTTGTGACAAGAAAATCTTTGAAGCTTGAGCAGCCCTTCACTTATGTGATGCACTTGTGCGGTGTGCAAAGCAATGCTCTCTTCTTGTAGCAAAGTCACTTGTTCCTGAAGGTTGTTGACCTCAGACTCAATTTGCTGCTCCTCCGCCTCCTTTGACATCTTTATGACTGCACAAGCCTTGGCCCCTTTGTGCTCCAAATCCAGTCTCTTCTGCTTCAGTTTGTTGAGATCCTTAGTCCTGCCTTCATTGTCCCTGCTAGCCTTTGCCAGCTCCAACTCAAGACTGTTGACTCTGCTTGCCAGAGCATCAAAGCTAAGTCACGCCCCAGGCACTTTGCGCTTCTAGGCTCAAGACTCTGTATGCCTGCAGGTTTAGCTAGGAATGCTAATAGCTTGTGTGCCGGCACTTTGCTGATGCTGGTAACCCCTCTGCAGTTGTTATATCGGTAGGAGAAATCCTTGAGCTGCAGGGAGTTGAGAATGGGGGGCTCAGGGCGTTCAAGAAGAGGAGTCCATCCCTCAACAACACTCGCAACGCCTTTTCACCGCTTTGCATCTACAATGGGCAACATCATCTAAGGGTACCTTCCCAAGCATTGAGGCCTAACCATTCCCCTCGTCCAAGCAATCATCAGCAGACAACAAAGCTTAGTCTAAGGGCACCTTGTCCCTTGACAACCCAAAAATCTTGTGCACCATATCACAACTCAATAGCACCATTTCTGGGAGCACCATCCGTCATCACAGACCTCAGCAGTGAACCATCACAAGCTTCAGCTACAGCTTTTCAGCAAGACAAGTTCCTCATTCTCATTCTCCTCATCCCTCCTCCCCTGCCCCGCCCCCCTTCCCACCTTCCCCACCACCCTCAAGGAAGAGCATGTCGCTCGATCGTAGCCATGCAAAGGCGGAGGTACAACAGCGCGAAGACCACATTGAGGAGGCGACCAGAGCGTACGAGGAGCAGGAGGCAATGGCGAAGGGGCTATCCAAGAAGGTCAAGCAATTGGAGAAGGAGCTCGTGGACTGCAGAGAGGAGAACTTCTCCTTCGAGCGACAGCTCGTCTCTGCCTGCAAGCAAATCCAAAGGGTCCAAGGTCAGGTCAGCGAGGAGATACAGAAAAAGGAGGAGGAGCTGGCCAAGGCGGAGGACATACGCGACGAGCTCGAGCACGAACTCCTCGAAAAAAGGGATGAGCGAACGATGGCGGTGCGCAAGGCAGACAAGCTCGACATCTTGGTGCGCAAGTTGACCGCCGAGCTGTCAGAGCTGCGACAGTCGTCGAGCGAGCCGAGCGATGAGTCTCTAAGCTTGAGCACGGAGCAGGAGCGATCTGGCTACACGTCAATTGCGGTGAGTCGCTGAATTTGGTCTGCACCTTGATGGTCGCATCGTTCGACTGACCTTGCAACGGCCAATAAATTTCTCAGGATACTGATGATGTAGAGCAATCTCGCGTCGCGTTCCTCACGGTAAGTCTGGTGCGCATTCTGGAAGCGTTCATGGTCGCTGACTGACCTTGCAACGACCGATGTATCTCTCAGGATACTGATCATTTGGAGCAACCTCGCGTCGCGTCCCTCACCGTGAGTCTGCTGCGCATCCTGGTAGCATTCATAGTCGCTTAATCATCTTGCAACGGCGGACAAATCTCTCAGGACACCGATCATCTGGAGCAATCTTGCTCCAAGTCCCTCAAGGCAAGTCTGGGCTGCACCTGGAAGCGTTCATGGTCACATGGTCTGCGATCCTCCGTCCTGCTCAGCTTGATGCTGAGCCACTCAATATGCAGGCGACCATCCGGACAGCCTTCTTGGCCACTCCTGAGGAGCTACAGCAGCTCTGTGAAATGCTAAGACCTGCCTTGAAGAAGTCTCAAGGGCACCAGGCCAAGAACAAAATTCTGGACTGGATCAAGGCTGTACCTGGGGCACGAGAGTCAAGATTGGTCGATGTATCTTCAAGAGCCAAGCTGACTCCACAGCCTGCAAGCCACCATTGCAATGGCAGGAAGCTCAAGCGCGGCTACAGAGGGTGATTGGTTCTATCAAGAATGACTGACTCCTGTCTAGACCTTCAAGAAGCAACACTTGCCAGTGAGCTTTCAGGGGAGGTCAAGAGCACAGCTGCAATGTCCAGTATGTTGGCAGCATCTGAAGCTCCCTCCTTTCAATGTCAGTCCATGCTGCACAAGATGTTGCTCAGGTAGGCCACAGAGCCCATCCTGAATTCAGTGCAGAGCTTAGGGAAGCAATGCTTGCCATTGAGCACTCAGGGGAGGGCAAGAGCACAGCTGTAATGTCCAGCTATGGCCAATGCAGAGAGGAGCAGAGCACCGCTCCAGAGGGTGGACAGTTCTATCAAGAATGACTGACTCCTGTCTAGAGCTTCAAGAAGCATTGCTTGTCATTGAGCTTTCATGGGAGGGTAAGAGCACAGCTGCAATGTTCAGCATCTTGGCAGCATCCGAAGCTTTCTCCTTTGGGTGTCAGTCCATGCTGCACAAGATTTTGCTGAGGTAGGCTGAGGAGCCCATCCTGAATTCAGGGCAAGGATGTGAAGCTCCATTGGCTGTCAAACTATGCTGCATGAGCAAAAGCTGTGTGAGGAGCACTTCGCATGAAGAACAGAAGAACCACAGGATCGCAAAAGATGCCACTGGCAGACAGCAAGCAAGTCAAGCGCAATTGGGACAGAGAGCTAAATGCTGTCCAAGACCTAGTCAGGTGCCTGGAGGCAGAGGGCAAGGTCTCTGTGCACACATTTCATGCTGCTTTCCCTTCCGACGCACATTGCCAGACAGGGTGCCTGTGTTGCTTTACCAAAGTACAGCTAGCCATAGAAGGTGGAGGGCGGTGATCAAGATCGACAATTTGGGTGATCCAGACAGTCTCCTGAAATCCCTCAAAATACGGTTTAGTCAAAGATCATGTACACATCTGCAAAGCATTGCTTTCATCAAGAAGGCTTCCTCCAGCCCAGTTGCCTGCTCAAGTCTGCGATGAAGAGACTGCAGCGCCCAGCAAGGCTGCAAGGGTGGCAGCTCCTACTGTCGACTGCTTTCGAGGTTGAAGTCGGTTTGAGTCCAGCAATGAGTGAACTTACCTTTGGAGGGCATGCGGCAGACTCCCGCTCCATGCTCCTTCCTCTCAGGCTTCCATGCGGCCGCATCTCATAACACTCACGACTCGTGACCCACTCGCAACGCCTACGCTCCCTATGCATGGAAGCGGCTGCACAGAGAATCGATGGTGCAGCGCAGGTCGCACGCCTTATTGAAATGTGAATGACCGGCCGTGACGCGTGTCAGCTGCAGGGGCTGCAATTGGTGCATGATTTCTTCCCGTCGTGCATCTCTCTGCAGCTCGAGGGCGGGAGGCGCACTCGTGATTTCTTGGGTTCACATTCAAGCTCGTATCCGCGCTGCCTCATCTAACCATCCATCATGTATGCAGGTGAGTCGCGAGGCAACAGCAGGTACACACCTGGGCTAAGTAGGGTTTGCGGGCCCCCGTCGAGGTACGTTTGTATGTTTGTTGCTGACGCCCTGTTGCTGGTTGTGCTCGCGCTTGTACGCGCCAAGCTGCTGCAGATGCAGCTCTTACCGGACGAACCGGTACCGTATACCACAGAGCGGAATGCCAGCTCCCAGGTACTCGGAACGCTTGCACAGCATACACGATTCTTGATTGGCAGGGATCGATCTTGTGCTTGTCGTACAGTCACAGTGTAGAGATGCAGGCTGTGTACGCAGTCGCGAGGCACTGGAGCAATGTCACTTGTTCCGCAAAGCCTTTGCTCGATCCCGATCAGGCGCTATGGTACTGTGCCCACCGGCCAACGTAGCCCATCCATCAGGTCGCGCCGACACGCCGATAGGGCGCTTGCGACTTCAACCTCTCCCACCTGCCGCCGGCCTTTCCGCTTTTGGCTTTTGATGTATCGCACTTGCCCCCTTTGCTACGCCCCGCTTACCGTCTCACATTCGACCCCCACAACCCCCATCCTTTCGCTCCAGTGCTCATTCCCTACCCATCCAGTCACTCTTTTCTATCCAAGATATCTTAACGAGCCGACGGGGCAGGTCTGCGCAAGACCCTGCAATCCTCAGGCGGCTCCAATCATCCTATTGACGGCAGCTTGATCGTGACAAGTCTTGCGCGGCGTGAAGCGCTCTACCACTACCACCTTCCTTTTCCTGAGAACCAGAATGCGCTTCTCGTCTCCTCTACTCCTGGCCACAAGCCTGGTCTTGCTGGGCACCGCGAGCCCTGCCATCGCAGCCTTGAAGACATGCACGACCAACCATTGGACAGTGCAAGGCTCAGTGAAGCCATACTATCAGTCCTCGGGCGCGAACGTGCAAATCGGAGCCGATGGTGGATGGGTGTCGCTTCCGACGGGCAAAGCAGTGTGCGGATCCAAGCTGCTACGCACTACTTTCAAGGTTGGTGCTGGGTTGACGGTGCCACTTTATGTGTCTGAAGACACGGATGATGCCAATGTGGAGAGGGTAGTGATTGGCTCTGCTGCCAAGGGCAGGGATGGGTGGTACTACTTCAACTCTCTCACCAACGCTCGAAACAAGGCAGCTGGCAATTTGGCTGGAATCGATGAGAAGCGCATCGCGGTGCTCGTTCCACAGTTCATGAACACAGCAGACAAGGAGGCCGGTTCTGCATCTGCCACCGACCTCCTCTTCAAGGGCTTGAGCTGGTCGTCTGGCTCCAACGGTGTCGGGGCTGGTTCCACAATATCCTCTTTTGACGTCCTAGACAGTTTGGTTAATCTGGCCAAGTCACGATACCCCAAAGCGACGAAAATCATCTTTGCCGGGCACAGTCTTGGAGCGCAGGCCATCAACCGCTACTCGACTCTCAGGAAGGGCGCCGATGGAAGCGTACCTTCGCTAGAGTACTTCATTGCCAATCCGGGCTCCTGGCTGTGGATCACGCCGGATGTGCCCGTGCCAGATGCGACTTGCGACAAGGCTGCGCACGAGTACAAGTACTTTGTGAAGCGCGGCGACTCGAAGCTTCCGCCTTACGCGCGCACCGATGTCGACTTGCTAGATCAGAGGGGTGTGTTGTCCAGGTATGCAGCTCGCAAGGTGCACGTTGCTGTCGGACAAAAGGACTATGGCCCTGGAGATACTTCGTGCGCTGCAGGCACGCAAGGCAAAAATCACCGACAACGTGGAAGACTGTACGTCGAGGCGATCAAGAAGGCTCTGGGAGGTAGCTTGCCGGCTAGCTGGACCTACGACATCATTCCTCGATGCAGCCACGATCCGGACTGCATGTTTGGCAGCGATCTTGGCATTGCTAGGCTCTTCACGGACGGATACCCTGGCTTCGTACCCAAGAACACCCAGAAGAGTCGTCGAAGCGCTCACAAGTCGCATCAAGCAGCCGACTACTAAGTACTAAGCCACTGTTGCTCCAGAGATGCAGCCTCTTTCTTTGGCTGTTCGATTCTCAGGCTGTATTTCACGCTTGAGCTCGAGAAGCACTCGCCTTGCCCCTTGCCTAACGGCGCCCATTGCCATTTGCTTAGACCTTGCGCCCTTTCACCGCGCAACATACCATTCGATTCGAGGCCCCGGGAGGCTCCCCACCTTGCTTGTATGATCACACCCCGAGACTGCACCCAATGCTCGTCGCGATGCTCGCGACTCGAGATGCAATGAGATGCTTGAGCATGTGATTCGCGGTGTGCGCCTGCCAAGTCCGGTGTTGGAGATGCGACCTGCGCCGAGGTCACCTCGGAGGTCACCTCGTGCCCTGTCAATAGCAGGTGGATGAAGGAGTATTCGCATCGATTGTCAAAGCGGACCATCGCTCTGCCAAATCGAGACGGCGATGGGCAAGATGATTGGTAGGTTCCGGGCTCGAAGATTGCCCTCATCACTTGACTGTTCGGAAATGCGGACTTTTTAGCTTCGGAGATCCAAGATGTTGATGTGAAGGACGTAGACAGACAGACACGTGACTGGCATTGCCAACGTGCCGTGCACGTCAGTTCCTCCGCGGAGAAGACCACAGCGCAGCGATATATGCGAAAATTCGCGGCCATTTCCGTGCAGCAACATCGACTTCAGGCACTCCAACTGCGTCTGGCGTCACCGCCTGCACGCAATGCGTGATTCTGCGGAAAGACTCTCGCGCATCATATGGCGATCGAGTGGGGCGCAAATCTCGAACCAGAATCACGTGAATGCTATACAGCCAGGGTGGCTGATGCTTGCATCGCACGCACGCGCGAGCGGCATCACGTCTTCGAGCAGCCTGATTTCGCAACGCAAATTTGGAGACTGCTCTCGAGCCTGTATCTGAGAGCGGCCGCGTATGTGCCTGGTGATGAAATCAGACTTTGGAACTCAGCAGACAGGCGAGAGGGCTAGACATCAATTTTGGGCTGCACCGTCTTCATCTTTCGTGATTTCCGTATCGGTCCATTCAAAGCCGTCGACAGAACTCCAAACTGCTCCCTGTGGAGCTGTCTTAAGCGGCAAAGGAGAAGCGACATCTAGCACGAGCTCCTCAAATGCTCCTGCTCCGACGCGCAGCTATCTCAACGCAGCTTGGGCAGTGCGGAGACAGCGCATCCACTCCATTCTGCACTCGTTCCCTCGTCTAGCTGCGACGGTGCAGTCGCAGACCACAGAACCCTGCATTCCGCTCCCACAGCTCCACGTCATCTCACCACTTGCTCGTCGTCATCGGCGAGATCACGGTTGCAGACGTGACTCTGGGGTGCATGGATCAGATCCTCAGCGCATTCAACCCACTCACCAGCAGCGCTCGAAGCATCAAGCAAGCTCGTCACCACAGCATCTTCATCTCGTGATTGCGACCAAGTCTGTGCGCGATCGCTCACCGAATTCAGTCCCAAGCTCGAGCTCTAACCCCGGACCCCGACACCTGAAGGTCAAGCCGCGTTCTTAAAGTGGGTCCTGACAACAGACTGCATCGTTCTGGGGATACATGCTGTCCACTTGCCACGCTGATCCTTTATAAGGAAGTCAGGCGGAGACAGCAACTCGGACGAGGGTTAATTCACATCCATCACCGTGCAAGATACTTCATCCACTCTGGCACGGAGTGGCGCCGACAAACTCATCGGAGCGCCTGTCAAGCCACAGCCAGTACGACGTCGAGTACTCTTATCTCGCAAACGATCGTCTTGCGACGACTCGCGCCACCGTCGTCCTCGCCTGTCCAACCGCCTCACAATAACGAGCGCGCCCGCTTCGAGTCGCGGCTGTCTTGCACAGAGAGATCATCGCAAGCTAGAGTCTCGGCAGAATGGCTAATCAAAGAGCGTCCGGCTCAGGCTGGTATCAGAGGGAGCCTCCGCCGCTGGCCAGCATCCCGACTGATTGCGATACGCCAGCTGGCTACAAGTGTCTGCAAGAGAAGCTGTCCGCAAGCTCGGGCCGTGATTCCAACTCACCACCGACTAGTGCCAGTGCACACGCCGACGAGGCAGATATCCTCTCTCTACCTAGTGCCGCCAATGAAGCTAATCTGAAGCGTAGCGCGGGGGTTACTTTTGCTGCCTTACCAGCAGAACAGCAGCCGCGTCACATCATAGCCACGCCACACTCGCAATCCTCCTCACACACTCAATTGGAAGGGCCACTTGCATCCGATCCGACTACGATGACGCAAACCAGCGACCCTTCCTCGCAGCGTAGAGATTCTGGCAGCAGTCACGCCACCACAAACGAGGACCGCATGAGCCAGAGTACTGGAGATGCAGCTTTGGACATCATTGCTGAGATGGCGCGCGCCGGACCATCCACCCCACTGATCCCTCCGCCTTCTCGACGGTTGTGCGTTCGACACCAGCGTATGGCCGATGAGCCTACAACAGCTAAATTGCAAAAGGTGAGTCCGCACCGCGGTAATCGGGGCGTATTGGGTCTCGTGGGCGACGATCAGGCCACCCTCCATCGTGGCTCAGTGAGGTTGCGCAGGTCGTGCGGTGGTGGGCTGTCCGTCCTTCTTGACAATGGACAGCTTTGCCCGTCGTGGAAGCTATGGACTCTGTCCATGCTTGCAAAGACTCTGCAATATCGTTTGGATCCAGTTTGAGGCCGCGCTCCGGTCTTCTACGAAGCGTAGCCATAAAAGCGATCCTACATACATAAACGACGCGACGCTGACGACGCCGAGGCAGGTTCGCTGACACCTTCGCTGCTCTGGCACAACCATGACAGTCCATTGAATCTCTACCTCTAGCAGATCAGCAAGCGGTTAATACCGTGTGGACCCTCTTCTCGTCGTCGCCTGCATCGAGAAGAGCACTCATTCTGCAAGGACTCTTGACCATGTGCTGTTTCAGCCAACTATCCCTGTTATCGTCCGAGCTGGCACTGGCGATTCGCATCGACCCTTTTTCGCTCTTTCCACGCGAGATCTCGCTGAAGGTGCTCGGCTACGTCGATGCCATGTCCCTTGGACGTGCTGCCCAGGTCTCCCGCACCTGGCGGGCTCTGGCAGATGACGACCTGCTGTGGCGCAACATGTGCGAGCAACACATTGAGCGCAAATGCGAAAAGTGCGGATGGGGTTTGCCTCTACTCAGCGAGCGACGAAGACGCGCCAAACCCAGCACCCCTTTGACCATCACACCGTCCGGCGATGCGGCAACGGGTGTGCCTTCACCAACGAATGGCAACGGCACGCTGAAGAGAAGCATCACTGCCGCAAAAAATGCCGCTGCGCAAGAACGTCATGCCAGAGCAGATAGCAATGCTGGATCGGCTGCCCCCTCACCATCAGTACAGTATGCCTCGATCGATTCGGAAGAGGCTGCAGCAGGCAGCTCGAGCAACGCTGAGGCGGGATCGTCCTCCACGCGACCTTCCAAGAGACCGCGCCTAACGTCTGAGGCCACCTCAGCTAGCGCGGAGAGTGCTGCTGCAGCAGCTGCGACCGCCCTCATCACGCCACCTCATTCCGCAGCGTTGTCGCACGCAACTCGACCATGGAAGTCTGTGTACTGCGAGCGCCTGGCCATCGAGCGCAACTGGCGCAAAGGTCGCTACACCAGTCGGGTGCTACGAGGACACAAGGACGGTATCATGTGCCTACAATTCTCCGATCATCTGGCTCACCCACAATTTCCGGTCCTGATCACCGGATCGTACGACCGAACCGCTCGCGTTTGGAATCTGGACACGGGCGCGGAGCTACGTGTGCTCAGAGGCCACTCGAGAGGGGTTCGCTGTTTGCAGTTTGACGAGGCCAAGCTGATCACGGGCTCCATGGACCGCACTCTCAAGATCTGGAATTGGCGTACTGGATCATGCATTCGGACGCTTGAAGGTCATACAGAAGGCATCATCTGTCTCAACTTCAACGAAGACACTCTCGCCAGTGGCAGTGCAGATTCAAATATCAAGATCTGGAACTTCAAGAATGGAGAGTGTTATACCTTGCGTGGCCATACCGACTGGGTGAACTCAGTTCTACTGTGGTCAGGGCCCGCATCTGGAGGTTCACACGCTACCAAGACCAACTCTGCTGCCGGGGGCGCACCTACCAACTGGAACGACGGTGAATTACGCGCCGACGGCGAGCGTAGCACCAGCGCCGGTGCATCTGCATCTGCAGCTAGTTTCGTCTTCAGCGCCAGTGACGACGGCACCATCCGACTTTGGGATCTCGAGTTGAGAGAGTGCCTGTTGAACCTCGACGGACATGTCGCCCAGGTGCAAAGCATTAAGCTCGTCATGCTACCGCATGATGTCGTGGACAAGCTTGCTCAAGGCGAAGGCGGATCCGACGATCAAACCACTCGAAGAGGATCGCAGCATCGTATCGCACGGCAAGGCGAGAATGATCGTGGGGCGAATGTATCGAACTCCATGGACGGAGTTGCTGGAAGTGTCGCTTCGTCCTCGTCATCCAGCGGAGCTTCGACCTGCGGCTACAATGCCTCTGTGGTTCCCGGGGGCCGCGAACCGAACGGTGGGTTCGCACCGGCCATGCCTGAGCGACACTACAACAACGTCGCCAGCAGATCCGCTTCGAACTCTATCACTCGCAAGCCTATCGATCCTCAACTTGCCCGACTTCATAGTCGTTTGCACAAAGCGGGACTCGCACCAGCTCTGCCGCTGGACGCTGAAGAGGGCGACATTGAGAAACGCCGTCGCGGGGCTAGTACCGACGCATCTGGCCACGGCGCTGGAGGCGGCACTCGGGCGGTTCTCTACTCCGGCTCTCTTGACAACTGCATCAAAGCCTGGGACATTGAGAGCGGTGGGAAATGCGTGCGCACGCTCTTTGGCCACACGCTCGGCGTCTGGGCAGTGGATTGCGATACCAGAAGACTGGTCAGCGTCTCGCATGATCGCACCATCAAGACTTGGAGCGCTAGCTCCGGCGCTTGCGAGCTGACTTTGGTCGGACCAAGAGGAGCTACCACTTGCGTTCAGCTTGCAGACGATAAGATCGTCTGCGCCGGCGACGACACCGAGATCAGAGTCTTCGACTTTTCCGAGCACTGAATGTGCCGATGCGGCTCGATGACTCTTCGCGAACACCTTTTCATGGCCCAGAACCACGTCGAGTCCACTTTCTCCCTTTTTCTGGCGGCCTCGATGCGTCTTTTCACCGTCCAAAGGTGCTCGCGTCGTCGCCTGACACCCATTCACCATGTACACTACGATCAAGGCCGACTACCTGTATTCCAGCATCCTTGGCACGCGAGCTTTTTCCGAGCTGGTCTGGGCCTCCCATGTCTCTCGACGTGCGCTGCTTGAAACTACGCACACTCGTCGCGGTAATGTCATATCTGCGAACGTCAAGCTTGCAAGCGATGATTTGATCGAAAGGTTAGAGAGTTAGGTCTGTCATTGCGAGCATGTAAACGTAGGATAGATAGGTCCCTAGGACAGGGAGGTCGTCGTAGAGAATGAAGGACCCAGCGTTGCAGGTAAGTAGGACTGCTGGGGAACGCTTGGATCAGGCGGTAGCTTTGCCCAGCGTTGCAGGTGACTAGGGCTGCTGGGGGGCAACGCTCGCATCAGGCGGTAGCTTTGCCCATGAGCTTGCTGAATCGTCTGCCCAGCGTGCCCATCTTGCTTTCCGACCCTTGTTCGTTGGTGGAAGGTGCCTTTGCAGCCTCGGTGCCATTGACCCGTTGTTGAGCAGGCTCGGCAGCTGATGCGCTCGTTTCAGCAGGCTCTTTCTCCGCAGACTCGCTGCCATTGTTTGCGACCTGCGAGACGGCAAGCGAAAGCATTGTCAGTGGCGTTGAAAGAAATTTCGAAAGCCCTCATCGCCGAGCACTCACAGCTTCTTTGTTCTCTGCTGCCGCGCCAGTCTCTGTCTTCTCGGCTTCTTTATTGTCCGGCTCTTCGCTATTTGCCGCCGCCGCCGGCGCTGAAGGCTGCTCGCTGCTCGACTGCTTCACATCATCGCCTTCCAGCTCTCGAGCAATCTTCTCTTCTCCATAGAGTGCGATCCAATCGCGTTCGGCCAAAGCCTTTTCGGATCGCTTCGCAGCCTCTTCGGGACTGCTGGTGCCGCTTTCGATCTCCTTGATCTCTCTTCTGAGCGTAGCTGCGCAAGTCCTCCTACCCACGATGTGAATCTGTACAGAGCCATCTTTCTGCTCGTACCGCCAAGTGACTTTGCCTTGCCCATCCAGCACACCCTGTCGGTGAGCAACGGTCTTGCCGCGAGAGTAGGGCTCCAACTCGAATTGAGCCACGCGCAACTTCAGGATCAGAAGCTTGCGCTTCTTGATCGTCTCTTCGCTAGCGCCACCTTTTGCCCACTCCCTAGTGACCTGCTCAAACTCCTGCGCGAGCGACATGTAGTGGTCGAACCTCTTCTTTCTCTCTTCTGTATCCTTTTGCAAGTCGTTCTCGTGAGGATCAGGCTCAATGTACTCGAATTCCGTAACCATATCTCCTCCGATCTTGCTGACAAGTCGAGAGGCTGGCACGTGCTTTGCGAAATCCTGAGGCTTGGAGGTGAAGACTACCTTCTCCCTGACCACAGGATCCAAGAGAGGACGAAGAATAGACCAGATGGGCTTGAAGATGTAAGGCGCATTGTGAATGTAGAAAGTGCCCAGGGACTCTGGGTAGTAGCTGGATAGGACCTTGACGATGAAGAGGACGCACGGGAAATCCATATTCTTCAGTCCAAAGCCAGTCAAGTCGAAGAAGAGCACCACCTTGTCGCTGGGAGGGCACATGAGCAGCCTAGCAGTCTCCACAGCAAAGATGACATACTTTTGCAACTGCGCCTGAGGTTGGCCCCAGAGCTGATGGATCTTGACGTGAATGTAGATCATGGGCTGCTCGTTGAGACTGCTCCCATTGCTGTACGTCTTGCCGCTTCTCATCTGGGTCAAGAAGTGCGTCATCTTCTCCCCTGCTCCCAGCTCTCCCATCTCCACCAGCGACTCGACGTCATTGTTCAATCTCCAGTGCATGCATGCTGCCAGCATCGCCACCGCCCTGCTCACATCCCATTTTCTAGCCCTAAGGAACCTGAGCATGCCAGAATCGGGATTGTCCCCCTTGACGAATTGCCAGACTGCGCTTCTGAGCGCTTCGGGTCCATACTCTTTCTGAAGCGCGGTGAGCGCAGCTTGCTCCTCGGCCTGTTGCTGCCTCTCCTTTGCATTGTCATCCTTGGCAATGCCGGCATTCTTGGGATCAGCATCCGCCTTGTCCGCGTCTTTGTCGACCTCGTCCGAAGGTAGCTCCTGCTTTTGAGCTCCCGTGCCTGCTCCATGCGCTTTCTCGATGACGTCCAAGAAGGCCAACCACATTTCCTTTAGCTTGGCTTCTTGCTCCGAGGTGAGGTTCCCGACGTAGCCTTCGTCGACGGGCACGGGCTGCTGAGGGATCTCGAGCACCTTTTCACCCTTGTACGTGCGCTCGATGGGCTGCGCCTGCGGTTTTTCATCTGCTTTGGTGTCTGCCATCTTGGTCGAAAGAGTGTGAGGCTTACGAGGGGTTGCTCGTGGTTGAATGAGGATATCTGAAGGTAAAGCGGACAGGATGGGATGAAGATGGCAAAAGGGGGTTGGGGGGGGGGGGGGGTGGCGAAGGGCAGGAGGTCGGGTCTTTTGAATTGTCTTCAGCGCTTTATAGACCGCCAAGATGGTGAAGCTTCCAGCTCGTCGAGGCAGCAGCACAGCAGTAGTCGTCATGATATGTGAAGCGTTCATGAGGCTGTCAGAGCCAGAGCGCCATACAGCAAGTACCCACTCCTGCTGAGCAGTGCCAGTGCCAGTCCCACCACAACAGACGCTGCACTCACGACTCAGACTGCACATCTGTCGGAGTATGCATGGTCAAGAGGTGATGCTTTTTGCCCGAAATAGCGTGAGGACGATCGAGCGGTTGCTGCACCTGCTAGCTGCTGCATGCACGTCTAGCCTTGCCGACGCGTGTGGGTACTCGTGACTGTACGGTACCAGCCCAGCGTGCATGGCAGCCTTGGGAGAGCCACAAGTCACGAGTGGAGGGAGCACTTTGATGATCGAGAGAAAAGATCCAGAGACACGAGAGGCAGGAATTAAGGCTTTGCTTGCTGATGCTGCTTGCAGGGTGCACGGATCACGCTCGAGCAAGCAAGCAACCGCCCGCCAAGTCTCGAGTCCCCCGTTCTGTCGAGCCTTGGCCGCATGCATTTGCTCCAGCATGTGCTGTACCGGTACCAGCAGCAACATCAGCAGGACCGAGTCTGTCGTGAGTGAGACACAAGCCAGCATGCAGTCACGAGTCTGGAGCTGATGCGATGGTCGAGTACGTCATCGTAAGTTGTCTGCTTCATGTGGGCACCCCCTCGACTCTTGACTCAGACTCGTGACTGTCCACACTTGAGTGGCGACTGACGAGCAGAGTCACATTAGATGCAACCGACTTACTGACCCCACACTCAAAGACTCTTCTGGTTCTCATCTCCGGCCACGACTGGGGACATCCTTAGCGCGTCGCGGTGCACCGGATCAATTCCTGTCTGCAGCAGCAGCATGCCCGAGGCTCGGTGATGATTAGAATCAAGGCGCTGTCTGCGAGTGGCTTTGTCAGTCTCGTCAAAGGACGACAGGTAGTGTGGGTATTTTCTCGCGTAGCGGCATTCACAATTCAAGACTCAACATACGGCTGGCTAAGCAGATGCGCCAATTGGAAGCGCTACGATGTTCTCAGCGTTCATATGGAGGCCCGATTCGGACCTTGCGCAGAATCGGACACGGTGATCGAGTCGCAGACAACCTGTAGACTGACATTCTGCTTACGAAACATTCGAGAGCGAGGTGTGATGTGCGAAGGACGACTGCTCCGTATGCGCGAGCATTAATCGGGAGGGTGAACCTGAAATCCCCTCAGAGACCTGCATGTGTGTAACCCGATCCTTCTCATCGTCTTTACCCTGACTGAGAGCATCCTCTGGATACTACGTTGCATCCTTGGGATACTACGTTGCACCAGTCCATCGCTGCGCAACGCACACATTGTAGAGATGCACAGGACCGCTAGCATTTTGGCAAGCTCTTAGCTGCTCTCCTCGTCTCTCGCCTGCTATCATTCCGACCACAGCGAGTTGCTCCTAAATTCAAGGCATGCAGAGAAAGAGACAAGATCGACAAGAGGTCGTTCCTTCTGCTGTCCGTTGCTCTTTCCGACCGATGTAGTCGGACAAGTCACGACCACGCTCACCTGAATTTTCGCTCGCATGTCCCCTTCCTCAAGACGCTTGGCGCTCCATGTCCACACGCTCCATCTCAAGGCGTCAATCGAGGTACAAATACGATTTCGATGTGCAGTGCAGGCCTGACATAGAGTCATTCCAGTCTCTTCGACTCCGACGGTCTAGCTCAGATGTCGACCCCCCGCGATCCGAGATACTCCTTCGCATCTTTGATATCCTGTCACCGAAGCGAGCAAGCGGAGGTCAGTTTCTCAAGCTTAATGACGCAGGCGGAAACGCGGAGAGAATCATGCCAGCGTACGAGGGAGACCTTGCCACTGCATTGGCCAGCTGTGGGCTCAACTCACCACCATGAGATCATCATACGCTTGGGGGACATCGTTGAAGTTGTAGAGACCCCAGCCAATACCGTAAAGGAGGTAGGAGCCCGTGCTGACGAGGACCCACCAGGGAATCTGAAATGGGTTTCAAGGAGCGGAGGTAATCACTGGGTAAGCTGAGAAGGGAGAACACAACAGCCTCATACGGAAAGCGTCTCATTGATTCGCCTCCTGGTAGCATCATAGCCCCGCATCCGCTTCCAGATGCTCGACCTAGGTCATGGATGCAGCAAGAAAGGGACTGACAGGCTCTGCCAAAGCCAGTGCTCACCACCACGCCGATCTGACTTCCGCATTCGCGCAAGCTAGCTGGCTACGACACCACGCAAAGCCTACTAGTGCTACATGACTCACCACAGGCAATATTTCCCACTTGACCTCATTGCTGACGAGCGGGAGAGGCAAAATATCCAGCCAGAGGAGCGCATACACCAGCACTGCTGCCCCTAGACCTGTTCCGAAGCGCTGTGCGCGGGTCATGCTGTGCTGCAGAAGGGTGTCGTGCTTCAATGATGATCTGCTCGCTACGACGGCGATGCTCGACTCGTCAGAAGACGGAAGGATGAATTGTCCGTGCGCAGTGGTACGATGTCTGCTGTCCAGATGGACCACGGCAGCACACCTTAGACGAGGGTGCCGGAACGAGGCTCGCAGAACTTGGCTTGGCACGCAGATAGTCGCCAGGGATACTGGATCAAGCTGATATCCAGTACTCGTGACTGTTGTGCGGGGTTGCTGCTGTTAGGATGGTTCGTGTGTCGGTCGGTCGATCGGATGAGATGCTCAGCATGAATCAACAACATCACCAACACTCGTGACTCACGACTCTGACTCAAGACTCGCATCAGGCGCACCGCCGCGTTCGTGCCACCGACGCACGGGGCATCATCTGGCGCATCTACCGCGCGGAAGATCGAGCTTCGCGTCAACGCGCGCTGCGCAATATATATGATGACGCGCGAGCAGACCGCGGGCTGCGATGAGGCCGTTGCAGCGCGTGTGTTTTGTGTTCTCATGGCCGTGCGCACCTCAGCCAAATTCAGGAGAGCAAAATCTGTTGCCGGCATGCACACACGCGCGAGCTGCAATCCAACAGCAGCCGTGTCAGCACCGGTATACATGTAGAGGGCGAGCTTCTTCTTCGCCCGTGCGCCTATAAGAGCTGCTCACGATGAGCTGTGGACGCGAGCCACGATTGGGTAGGATGAGGGCTCTGGGTCTTTGATTCTGTTCCATCATGCCTCTATCCGTCCAACGTCCCACCTTGCACTGAACGCGACCGATATACCGCCCGTTTACACTCCTCGACACCCTTCCGCGTCGCGTCGACGAGTCGTGAGTGCACAGAATTGTATGGACCGGCATAGCATGCTCAACAGAAGTCACCGGCGTTCTGCAGCGAGGACCCTGGCTGCCCCTTCGCCCTCGAATTCGCCTCCTGAGCACAAGAAAGGCGCGTCGCACCAGCGGAGCTAGCTCCCCACACGCACCAACGCCGTGCAGTCCTGCACCCCACCCACGCTGCTATCGGATGCCGGCGAACCAGATGCGCATGCCGCTCTGTCGTACACAGTCAGCAAGCGGCGGCGCACTACGGCACGTTGCTGAGATCTGCTACTCGTGCAGGAGCGAGCCACATACGTATAGAGCTAGGTACATAGTCGTGCGTGTCGTCGCTTCCCCGCCACTAGCCCCCACCCCGTCTCGCAGCAAGGCCACATCACCTCCACCTTGACGAAGTGGTGGCTTTAGCGCTGCGCTATGCGAGGCTGATCAACCCCAACAGCCTCATTGTGAGGTTGTGCTTCGCGTCTTCTCACGTCTCTGGCCAACTTGCGTCGCCTCTCAACCTTGCAGCCAAAGTGATCTTCCTCTCCCGCCTTTCTTAGCGCGTTTTCCACCCCCCGCTTCAGCTTTAATGGGTGTTGCACGAGTTCCGTACGGCGCAAGGCATGCGACGCTAGGCATCTCGGCCCGCACCAACCCCTGACGCGAGCCTATAAGAAGATCTCACTCGAGCTCAACCTCGCTCCTTACTTCCTGCCGGCTGCCTCTCGACAACAGCTGCCTTGTCTCTAGGCCAACGCATACATCCTTCTATCCCGGACCAGCATCACTCACTCTGCACCAGACTCGCTGGCGAGCGTCCTAGGCATCGTCACTGACAATTGACTGCTTCGCATCCCCACCAAAAGGCCCAAAGATGAGGCTCCTATTTGGTGCAGCACAAGCCGTCGCCGTTGTCCTCGGTGGAAGCGTGCTCAGTTCAGCTCCTTCGCAGGCTGTGCCTTTCGACGATACCGACTCCGACTTGCTCCGACCTGCATCTAGGGGCGGCATGGATCTGCTTGGCTTCGATGCTGTCGAGCAGACGCCTGAACTGATCAGTCGAAGGACGGCCCAGCTCAATGCGCGACAGCTAAGCGGAGACAACAAAGCTTTCCCTCCTCCGCCCACGAAAGGAGGTATCTGGAGGAAGGGCTACGCACATGCCAAGAGCCTGGTGAGTACCGGGTCGTTCGTGCAAGTCACTGAAGCGCTCCCTTCCCGATGCGTCGGCGCTTACATCCTCGATTGATCTCCCTTGTAGGTTGATCAAATGACTCTTGAAGAAGTTGTAAATGTCACGACTGGATATTCCGGAACATGCGTCGGCTTCTCGGGAGAAGTACCCCGCCTGGGACTCAAAGCTGCGTGCCTGCAAGATGGGCCCATCGGTCCTCGTCGTGAGTTGCACGGACAGCACACGACGTTCCTTACCACGCTGCATTTACTCCTGGTTTGACATCTCTTTCCCTCTTGCTCTCGCTGCAGCTGTGCGTCGCGTCAGTCAATTTCCTGCCGCCATCACCACCTCCGCAACTTGGGACCGCTCCCTATTTTACGCTCGCGGAGAGGCTATGGGCAGGCAGTTCAAAGCCAAAGGCGTCGATATGGCTCTTTCACCCGTCACTGGAGGTCCAATCGGTCGAAGCCCATTGTCCGGTCGCATTTTCGAAGGTTTCGGCCCCGACGTCTATCTGCACGGCGCTGCAAGCTACGAGACTGTCGTCGGCTTGCAGAAGAATGGACTGATGGCCTGCTCGAAGCACTGGATAGCGTACGAGCAAGAGACGTTCAGAAACCAGTACAACAACACTGAACCATACTCCGTCTTCCCGAAGAACGAGCAAAGTCCAATCGATAGCGTGCTCGATGATCGAACCACTCACCAGCTCTACATGTGGCCTTTCGCTGAGGCTGTCAGGGCTGGCTCTGCGGCGGTGATGTGCAGCTACAATGAGGTTAACGGAAGTCATGCGTGCGGCAATGCTCAGATCCTCAACGGCCTACTCAAGACCGAGCTGGGCTTTGCCGGACCTGTCGTCAGCGATTGGGGAGGCACATGGGACAACATCAATAGCTGGCCAAATGGTCTCGACGTCACCATGCCCGGCTCGGCGTACGATGGTCAATTCGGATACTTTGGAGGCAGCGGACTTATCGACGCGGTCAAGAATGGCACCATCCCCATGGATCGCGTCAAGGACGCCGCCGTTCGACTCTTGACTCCTTGGTTCGATCATCAAGGCAACAACCTGACTTGGCCCGAAGTCAGCTTCGACGTCAGAGACTTGACGGTGCCGACCAAGGGCGTCCGCAAACCAAGCGATGCTGACCTGATCAGAAGGATTGGTGAAGAGAGCATCACCTTGCTAAAGAACGTCAAGAGCACGAACGATTCCAGAGGCTTGCCGCTCAAGGATCCGAACGAGCTCAGCTCCATCGCCATTCTGGGCCAGGACTCATCTGCCAACCCTTCGGGCTGGACTGCCTGTCTCCCTGACGGAGGAAAGTGCCCCACGCCCTACAACAACGGTACACTACCTGCAGGAGGTGGTTCTGGATGGGCTAACCCCAGCTACGTCATCGACCTCTACGCTTCCATGCAGCACCATGCTCGCAGTGCAGCTTACGACGTCAACCACGACAATTCAAGGGGTGCGGCAGATCTGACCAACTTTAGGAATCAAGCCAACGTCTCCGAAGTCGCTGTGGTGAGCGTCAGCGCCTGGACGAGCGAGGGCTACGACAGGGCCAATCTCACGCTAAGTGGAGAGGGTGAAGAGCTCATCAAAGCAGCCGCAGAGATGAATAACAACACCATCGTGGTGATTCACGCGCCTGGGCCTCTGCTCGTGGAGGATTGGATCGTAAGTCAGGAGCTTTTACTGTGCGATGAGTCCTCGCCGCTGACACATTCGCGTCGCTTCTTTCCAGGATCACCCCAACGTCACAGCGGTCCTCTTCGCCTACTACCCTGGCGAAGCTGGTGGCTCCTCCATTCCACCGATTCTATTCGGCGACAAATCCCCATCAGGCAAGCTACCTTTCACCATCGGCAAAGCCCTGGAAGACTACCTGCCTAAGAGCATCGTTGACGATCACGTCGTCGACCCCGTCTCCAACTTCACCGAAGGCATTCTCGGCGGTGATTATGCATGGTTCGAGCACGCCAACCACACACCACGCTATGCCTTTGGCCACGGGCTAAGCTACGCCAATTTCAGCTTCTCGGACCTCGACGTGCAAGCCAAGCATGCTGCTGACAACACGTCCATTGCACCCACCAACGAGCGCTGGTCTTCCGAGCTGGGAGCGCAGAGCGAATCACTCTACGATCAGCTCCTACTACTCACCGTGGACATCACCAACACCGCACCGAAGTCTCACCATGGCTACTCCGGACCAGCTGCAGAGGTAGCGCAGCTCTACGTGTCGTGGCCCGAGGAGTCGAGCGACAACCCAAGAGCTCTGAGGGGTTTTGAAAAGGTGTGGCTGGGTGCTGGGGAGAGCAAGACTGCTTCGTTTTCGCTGCGCAGAAAGGACCTCAGCACTTGGAACACGGAGAAGCAAGAGGTGAGCGGGTGTTGCGGTGCCCGATCATCGTGCGCCTTTTCTGTACAGCACCATTGACCATCATACCGCTGCTGCGTTCTTCATCACGCAGTGGGAGCTATCTCGTGGCAAGTACACCTTCAACGTCGGATCGTCCAGCTCAGACCTGCGTAGCACTGCAAGCTACTCCTTCTGAGGGACGACTTCACCGATACCCCAGAGGCGTTCACGAGGTTCATCATTCGGCTCAGTCTCTTCGAACGCGCTGAAGCTCTCTTCATGCGCTTTGCCAGCTCTCGTCGATGCGAAACTCATTACCTAGCTCGATGCATCACCATCACCATCACCATCACCATCACCATCACCATCACCATCATCATTCATCATTCAAGATTGAATCTCGTCCGTGCTCGTCCTCATGATCTCGAATGCTTCACATGCTACCGATGCTGTGCCATGCTGTATCTCGTCCTTGCTCTTGCCGTACCTCCTTGCTCTGTATCCATTTGCTCTATCTACTACGCACGGAATAACGATGCTAAATTGATAATGCACAATGGTCGTGCCTGTCGCGGTCGATACAAACGATGATTGCGGGAAGGGGGCTTGGGACGGAAGTCTCGGATGGTGAGACGCTGTGATGATAATAGTATACATGGAAAAGAGCCGTCGAGATCGATCTGGAAAGGAAGATCGCCTGCTAGTCGGCGGGGAGGACGGGCGCAAGAGGCGCTGATACTATACACCCTTCGACAGAGAGCGAGAGAGGGGGGGCCAACCACGGAAGAAGTCCGTGAGGAGGCGCGAGCCGGTGGCCGGGCGCCTGAGGCGTTGTCGCTGAGACGCCGGAGGGAAAGAGGGAGGGGCAACGGGAAGACGTCGGTGAGGACGCACGAGCCGGCGGCCGAGCGCAAGAGGCGCTGCAAGTGGGACAGCAAGGAGAACGAGAGAGGCACCGCGGAAAGAGGCCGTAGGGAGGTGCGGGCTGGCGGCCGGAAGCAAGAGGCGCTGTCACTGAGACGCTGTCGAGAAAGAGAGGCGCAACGCCGAAGAAGTCCGCGGGGATGGGCGACCGTTGGGCATCGTCCAGGCTTGCGATCGTGGTAGCGGGGGGGCGAGACTGGAGAGAGGGGCATCGTCCAGACTTGCGCTGCCAACAGCGAGGAGAAGGTCAGAAGCTGGAGGGCCGAGAGCGATCGTCAGAAATTATTCAGAGATGGGTGTGAAGCTAGGCGGACTCAACTCACCCTCGACTTTAAGGATCCGTCGGTGGCCAGGCCTCGGTGAACGCGAGCTTGACCAGCTCGAGCTTATCTTTGGCCGTTTCGTCCTTGTTGCGACGATCTTCGGCTTCAGCGTTGGCTTTTGCTTGAGCTTCAATTGCCCAGTTGCGCTCGTTGTGCGCCATGTCGATGTCCCCAAGAGCGGACAAGAGCGCGTTGCTGAACATTCGCTCCAAGATGTCCATATTCATGACGCAGCGCTGGCGCAGGTCATCGATCAGGCTCTTGGGAGCCTCTCGGCAAATCTCTTCCAGCCTCACACGTAATGTCTGGTTGACGTCCAGCCAAGCCTTGCTGCTGAAGTGCACCGTCCCCGCTTGACGTCTTGCCTCGGCGCGCCCGTCTAAGAAACCAGAGACCGCCGTAAACGCCCTGTATCCGTCCTGCTCGGCTACAAACAGCTCGCGCAAAAAGGCCTCGTACTCCACGCCGATCCTCTTGAAGGCGCGACAGAAGCAGGCCAGCGCCTCGCCCTGCCTTTGGGCTACCTCTCGCTTAAAGTGCGCATGCACACTTTGTTCCCACTTGGCGAGGCGGCGATACACATCGCCAAAACTCTCCGCCGCAGTCACCGCTTTCCCCGCATCGGCGAGCTGTCGAGATTTCTCTTTTCCATCGCGCGCAAGCCTGGCGATGCGCGAGAAGGAGGCTTGCAGCTCCGCGTTGAGCTGGCGGATGTCGCGTTGCTGCTCCTCAATCGACTCGTTCATCGCAGCGCTGAGACCTTGAAGGTCATCGCGAGTGTCATCGCTGAGCTCTTGAGCGCCGGCGAGCTGGGCCTCGAGAAGGACAACTCGAGACTGAAGTCTCTCGACCTCGGCGCTGCTCACTGCCTCAGCCCTCTCGAGCTGGTCGCTCTTGAGGGCCTCGACTTCGGTCTCGAGCTCAGACACCTTGCGCAGGAGGTCGCTGCTGGCGTTGAGGACCTTCTGCTGCTGCGTTTGAAGCGCGTCAGCGTTGTCCTGCTGCCGCTTTGCCTTCTCCAGGTCAGCTTCGAGCTCGCCGTTTCTGCGCTTGAGGACGACGTTCTCCTGCGCAAGCTCGCCTTTCTCGCGCTCCAGGACGTCGATCTTGTGCATGCGCTCGCCCTTCTCGCGCTTGAGGTTGTCGTTCTCCTGCACGACATGGACGATTTGACGCTCGCGCTCGCTGTAGGCAAGGCGGATCGTCTGCAGCTCCACAGCCGTTTCACCGCGCTCCAGATCGGCCTTGGCAGCTCGGCGCAGCTCTCGCTTCAAGTAGTAAGGCGTCCACACCATGAGTGCAATGACGACGAACACTGCCAGGACGAAGCTAGAGAGGCGCGCAGAGAGAGTGAGCGTCAACAAAGTCCTCCTGAGACTCAGACGGCGACTTCATCTGGTACGTACATGATGCCGTAAAACGTCAAGAGGCCGGAATCCACTAAGACCTTGTGCCCCTGATCCAGTGCGCGGCGCCACACCTTTTCAAAGCCGGATGTAGCTTGAGAAGACGGGATGACTCCTGTGGAAGGCGAAGGGAGGCGAAGAACCGGCATATTGAAAGATTGAAGCGGAGAAGACGGAGAGAGTCCGATGACGCGAGGCGAGAATGAAGGTATGAAGGTCGAGAGGTCGAGAGGTCGAGAGGTCGAGACCAGCGACAGACGTGGTGAAATAAGCTAAAAGACCTAAGAGGAGAGGCGGAAGTAGCCGAGGGAGGCTAGAGCGATATTGAGGGAGACGGGAAACTCAGGTAAGGGAGAGCGCGAGGGAGTTGGAAAAGTCAGAGAAGGGAGTGCCCGAACGAGTCGGGAAAGCGCGCGGAGCGGGAGAGCGGCGAGTCGTGAGAGCGGTCGGAGAAGGAAAAAGCTAATAGACCGGACCACCAAGGAGTGGGAAGGCTGCCGCGGGAAGGAACGACGAGGGTTGGCCTAGGGAGCGAAGAGAGCTAGGTGAGAGCGTGGCTTGGGAAAAGATACGTAAAGTAGGCGCGGGGAGCGAAGCGATTCTCGAAACATATGGGAGAGAGAAGGGAAGAGGGTGGGGGGTTGATTCTCGTCCTTTTGAGTGCCACGCTGATACGCACATCGGTCACCAATGAGCGCAAATCGAGTGGGGCTTTGGCAAGGCGAGGAATGCTGAGCGGGCGAGGAATGCTGATTGGAGGGAGCGCTGCTGCTGGCGTGGCGTTAGCATGCACGCCGGCGAAGGGCCTGCCTTCGTAGATGACGCATACATGGTCCCGAGTGCCCATCTCTCGCTGTGCGCTTTGTTCGAGGTGCGATGCATCGCTCAACGGACAAGGACCCGCATCAGCCTGGAATGCGAAGCCCCTCCAGCACCTGAAAGGTGTATCCTCGAGGCTAGATCAGCCGATCGTGGGGCCATGTTGCTTGCTTGAGTCGTGAGATCGTTGCGAGAGGAAGAGCCATGCGCGACGCAAGTGCCAACGATCTCAACGGCTCCTTCTTGTGCAGCAAGCTCGCACACGCGCGCGTCCTCTCGCGCCGGCCACACCACGCAGGTTCTCATCGATCACCTGACTCGTGCGGCTCGCTCATACAGTCATTTACAATCACTTGAATCAAGAAATTGAATACACTTTTCACGATGTGTGATTCGAGAATAAATAAGCTTTCCGCTGACGAATCACGGCAAGCGCTGACGCTGTGCGCCGCCCTGGTCTTGCCGTGCCACTCGCACACTTCTGACTGCGCATCTTCCAGTCTCTGTGAAGCTTAGATTCGCGATTGTATGAGACCGATGATCGTGCATCGTCAACAGCGTCAAAAGGCTCCCATACTTGCCATGTTCATTTGTGATTAGCCGAATCAATCCTCGTGCGATTGCAGACATCACCAAGCTAGAGGCGCGGAGGTGAATCTTTGTCATTTCATGTGTGTCAATTTGTGGACTTTACGCTGGATATCATACAAACACATCGTTGCATTCAAATTGCCGAAACCAAGGCAAACACGGCGAAGCGAAAGCTCGAGGTGACGCACGGAGCGGTCAAAGAGACGTGAAGTAGAGGCAATCCTCTGCGAGCGAATCACGAATCTCTCAGATTCGGTTGCTGGTCCCAAACGTCTCTCTCTCATGTCAGCTCGTGGGCGTAGCTGGCACTGAAAAGCGGCCGACAAAGTCGTGCCTGGCATGACGCTTCACAAAAGGTGCGAGACCCTTCGGTCGGGCCAGACTCAGCATCACCCGGCCGCTGCTTTGGACGGGCCGAGTCTACCATTCATGTTGGGATCCAGAGCGGAAGCTGGCGAGTGCCGTGCATAGCAAGAAGGCATTTGACCCTAAGGTTGACTCATACCTCATAATCGGAGTTCTGGCCGGCGAGCCAGAGCAGTTGACAGCTTGGCAGATATAAGTGTAACGATATGACCCGTATGTTCCAAGTCAGAGCCGGTCGGGAAGTCAGAGGAAAGCATCGAGCGGTTGCATCGGACCCCTGACTGGTGCGCGAACGAGTGCGACAGAGATACCGTTGGCGACATGCATGCGCGGACAGGAAGTGCGCGGGCAAGCTTCAGCTCCAATCGAACGCTTCACGAGTAAAGTGCTTCCTGAACGTTAGATCAAGACCGGCCAGAGCGAGATCGTGACTGGTCAGCTGGCAGAGACGTGTGGAGGGCAGACGGGCCGTGCACGGATTCGCCTCCGCTTTCCGCGCTCGGCGGCGAGTAACGACTCTCGACATACAGCAGGAGTACACAACCTTTCCGAGAAAAGGCCCAGTACTGTGTCCGTGCTGAGTGCGCAAGACTGAGCCGACTTATTCCTGGCCAATTGGTCAGCATTCGCCAGTCACTCATCTGAGTCCATCCTCTGACAGCGCGGTGCACCCTCGACTACTTACTTCCCGTCCCGAGATTATTGGAGCGTCTAGGTAGAAGATGCGTTCGTATTGCGGTGCATCTAGCGCACCTTCTTGACCCCTGGCATGCGGATGCATTTGTGCCCGTGCCCGTGCCCGTGTCCGTGAGCCGTATGCATGCAGGAACGCTGTCACTGACGTAGCAGCTATGACTGCGGCCAAAAAGCCACACCCTCGGCTAGCACAGTCGATCTTGAAGTTTGCCGCTAAGCACCGCTGCATCCACAACTGACGCGCATGTATGGGCCCAGCAACGCGAAGCCTGAGTGGTAGGCGTGGTGCACCTAGCTCACCAAAGTAGCCATGGCGGGCGAGGCAGCTGCTCGGGGCAAGCTGACCTCGGGTGCTGAGTCGCCTAAAACAAGTTGGCCCGCCTTTCGGTCCGATCTTCGGCAAAGGTGGACAGGACGATCAGCTCGAGCTACGCATGGCGACCGGGATCTTGTAAGCAGCTTGCTGCTCTGCTTTCCAGGTACCGCGCGCTAGCGCGAATGGCCCAGGTCGCCGAACACTACGCACTCACCGTGTGTGACTCTGAGTCCCTGCGGCTTAAAGTGCATGGGCATGTTTGCCAGCTGGATGTGGCATGCGGACTGAGGAGCCGTTCATGCCCAGTCAAGATTGCTGAGCTCGCTAACCACTCGTGACTGACGAAGAGGCGCTTCTAAGCAGTCAACATCTACGCTTGCCCGAGGCATACGGGGCAGAATTGACTGCGCATGCTTTGGTCCTCGAGCGCGTACCCCTGCGACTCGTGCACCACCAGTGTGACGGACTTGACTCGCAATTCGCGCGTCCTTGGTGCGGAGATGTCAAGCCTGCAAAGCGCTCATTGCATGAGCTTGGTTTCCGCAGCCGTGAGTGTTTTCAAGAAGCGAGCGCTTGCGCCTTCCACGCCACATTGACTTGACTTGAAAGAGGGAATGCCGCCTCCTTTTCATTTTGAGAGCATGTTGAGTGTGGTCGCTTCGCAGTCACAGAGTGGTCACAAATTTGGATGAACACACGAGGAAATCGTAGTTGTGAGCGCAGGCACCCCTCAGCCCAGGCTGGCTCAAGCGTGCCAACCACAATCAAGATGTAGGGGAGGGCCGACCAAACTTTCACGTTCTTACTCACGTGACGCCCAACTGATATAAAGGCTTTTCGTCGCACATTTTGGTCTCTGCCATGGCGCGCGGCTTCTTGACGTGTCCATGATGATCTATCTTGCTGGCACGGCAGCTGGCAAGCATGACTGTGAAGAACTCCTGACGTGGAGTGCATTTGCACACAGGCACTTCAGTCACCAGTCTTGAGCGCGAGGGCAGCTAGGGCCCAAGCGCGCCGCGCAATGCTGAGTCCAAAGCTCGGCACAAGCATGCAAAGCAGGGGTACAATGAGAGCGCTCACCCATAGCAGGATGTCGGTTGCTCTTGGTGGAGCCGTGGAGGCTTCCCAAGTGTAGACTATGGAAGGGGCAACTGAGCCCGTTTGGAGCACAGCTCAGTGAAGCTGAGGCCACAGAGCAGAGCTCGACGACCGCTTTGTGTCTGCTCAGTGGAGCCCAGCTTCTTTTTGCTTTGGTGAAGGCTTTGATGACCCCACCCAAGATGACAGACAACCAACTGTCTTTGATTGACTGCAAAATGCACTGCGGAGGCGCAACAAGCTTGAAGGTCCTGCGGCTTTGCGTCCAGAAGACCAAGTAGTGAGCAAGCACAAACAAGCCTGCTGAGGACACTTCCTCCTGGTTGCCTGCTAGGTTGACAGGACTGAGAGCTCAGGCTGATTGGTTCTGGCAAGGCTGATCACTTGAACTTCAATTTGCAGCTCTTGCAGCCATGAAGCAGCCTCTAGCTGCTGCTGCTGCAAGCTCAAGGAGGGGCGTGACATCAGGCAGCAATGACACACCTACCACCACCCACATGCTGTTACAATGCTAAACGGAATCTGTCTCTGTCTTGCACCCTTCACATCTCTCTCTGCTGGAGCACCCTTGCCCCGTCGAAAAGCACTCTACTGGTAGAGGCAAGCATGGCACCTTAGCATCCAGAGATTGCTAGCATCGTCTTGACCCCAGCTGAAGGCTGTTGCCTAGCTGCCGTTGGGATCGTATGAGCGCCTTCTTCACGCTCGCCTGCTGTTGGGACTGTATTGAGACGCTTGTCGCCCTCGACAAGCTACTTCACTTGTGTGGAGCCAGGCAAGATCAGCTGGAGCTGCTGATGAGGGCACCCCTTGAGTGGGAAAGCCACCAACAGCATTGCTGGGAGGTCTATTGTGCACTTCTTGCAGATGTCGATGAGTTCATCACAGCGCGAGCAAGATGGACCATTGCAAAGCTCCCTCTGGGCCTTGCGGATCTCTTTGTGGCAGAGCTCCTGATGGTGCAGCCACTCGTGCACCCTCTCCTTGCTGCAAATTGCGTGAGCTCTAACTCCATCGCTCAGCATGTTTCTGCTCCTCAAGTCCTTGGATAAACGTGGTGAAGTGCAGAACCTTGCGCAGGACTTGAGCGCCGATGGCGTCTACCTCCTCAATCTTGCAGTGGGCCATCTTCTCTTGGTGGCTCTTCTCCACCTTGGCCTGCCAGTCGAGGCATTTGCTCAAGGAGACCTTGCAAAGCTCCCTCTGCGCCTTGCGGGTCTCTTGGTGGCAGAGCTCCTGATGGTTCAGCCACTCATGCACCGTCTCCTTGCTGCAAATTGCGTGAGCTCTGATGCCATTTCTCAGCATGTTGACGATGCGGGCGACTGCGCGCAACATCTCCACAAATGTGTCTTGAATCAGGTCCCCAGTGTGCTTGAGGACCTTGGCAGCCTGACGCTGTTGCTGCTCAACAACTTTGATGGACGTCTTGAACTGCTTGTCTAGCTTCTGGCGGTATTCAAGGTTGAACATCTCGCAGCTCTTGCTACCTTGCTCTTTGTTTGTCAAAATTCCTGCTTTAACGGTCGCCCACAGGTATGCTTCAGCCACCTTGATGCAGTCCTAGTTGACCCTTTGAACTAGTGCTGCAGCATTTGT